TTAAAATTATTTAAATATTTAATGCACTTCTGGTATTATAAGATTAATAAATAAACTTCCTTTAATTTAAAAAAAACTATAAATATAATTACTTTTATAGACTTACTATTTAAAATAAAACTAATACTCTTTAATATTATAAAAGGGGATAAATATTATATAAAAGTATATTAAAAAGCAATAATAGAAATAATAAGCAGTAATATATAAGTTATCTCTTAAATTTAGTATTATAATAGTAATTTTACCTTAATATAAAGCCTATTATTAATTATTATAGTAAAGTATATAATATTAAAGAGATTATTAATAAAGGTCAGCTGTTAAAAATATAAAAAAAGTACTAGGACAGCTAACTCTTTAAATTATAGCCTTTAGGCTATACCTTTTATTATTCTAATAAAGCCTTATACTTTATAAACTTCTAAACTAATAGATAATAAAACTAAATAAAACGTAAAATTCTAATATATCTTAATTAAACGTAGTATATAAGTTATTAATATTAATAATACAGGTATTAATTTAATTAAATCTTTTAATAAAAAAAAAACTTTATATATTAACTACTTACTTTATTAAAGTATTAAAAACTATATATTAAAATCTAAGGTAGTATATAAATTATCTATTATACCACTTTATAGTAAAAATAAGATATTAATTATAAAAAATCAATTTAAAGTATAAATATATAAAATTAACTTTATTTTTAAAGTAAAAAATAAAAAATATAAAAGAAAATAATAGCTGTAAATAATTAAACTTATTAATAAATATAAACTAAATATTAAGTATATAAATATATTTTTAAAAATTAAGTTAAAAGGACTATTACTATAATTATTATTATAAAAGAATTTACTTAGTAGGAGGAGCCTTTTTATATTTAAGGATATTATAAAGTTAATTAAGTTTAGTTTAAGCAGTAATAAAGTTAAGCACTGCAGTACTATTGAAATTATTATTATAAAAAAGATTAGCATTAGTAACTATCTCCTTAATAATAACCTTAAGTTAACAATAGTTAAAAAGTTAATTAAAGATATTACTGTCTACAGATAGCTAACTAAAATAATTATAATTAATAAAAATATTATAATATTTAAAATAGTTATTTTATAAGAATAGCAACTATTAATAAATAGCTTTTTAATAAATATAAAATTAACAGTAAAACTAATATATTATATAAAGCTAATTAGTTTTATTAATTAAATAAAAAATAATAATATTTAAATTTAGCAATAGTAAAAGTAACTGGGAATATATATTTTTAGTATTATAAAGGAAATTAATAATATAACTGTAATATTTATATTATTAGCCTTAATGTTAAAAAATTTATATATAAATATAAATATAAGTGATAAATATTTCCTTAACTTAAAATAGCTTAAGAAAATATAGTAAAATATCTCTAAAATCTAAGGTATTTTTTTAATTAAAAAAGAAAAACATAAATAGTTTAAGCTTAGTATTTTTATTATAGTAAGCTTTATAAGTACTATTTTAAAAATATAAATTAAACTATTTAATTTTATAGTAAATATAAAATTTAAAACTCTAAGTATTAAACTAGGCCTATTAGGCGTAAATAAACTCTATATTTTTATTATATAGTACTATTACAGTAAGATTATTTTAAAAAAGAATCTTAGGTAAAATATTTAATATAACTTTTATAGTAAAAGTAGAGTTTTACTAACTAAATTAAAGTTAACCTAATGAAGGTGTAATAGTTATATTTAGATTAAATAAAGTTAAAGTAGAAGTCTAAAAGTATTATAAGGTACCTAAAGTAGGAATAGCTATATAAAAAGTGCAGTAAAATACCTCTTTATTAATTAACGTAATAAATTAAAGTTTAAGCTAGGTAAGACTATAATAAAAGCAGACTTAGTCTTTATTATTAATATTATTATAAATAAAAGATTAAGTATAATAACTATAATAATTAGAAATAGAATTATAAAGGTCATTAAGCTAAATAATACTATAAAAATAATAAATAAAATAACTGTAATTTTAATTATCTTAATATATAATAGACTACTATTATTACTGTATTAATTACTTAAATACTTAAGATTATAAGAGAAGTTAAAATATAGTTAATGTTAAGGAAAGATCTTCGCTAATATAATATTAAACATAATATTAACGTTAAATTTATACTTAAGCTTTATATACTTTAATGTATTTAAGACTTTTATTTTTATTAATATTATAATAAAAAAGATATAAAGCCTTATAAAAAGTCTTATTAGCCGCTTTAGAGAGTAGGGTAGGCGTTTAAGCAAAAATAGCAGGGATATTTATATAAAAAAAAATAACTAAAAGTTAATAAAATAGCTATTACTTAAAGGATTAAATACTGCTAATTATATATTTATAGCTACTGAAAATTAATTATATAGCTTAAGTAATTTAAAAGAAGTAAGTAAATACTAAGGAAAAGAAAATTAAGGTTATATACAGCTATTAAAGGCCTTTTAGCGCTAACAGTAATTAAAGTACTTTTTAACAAAAGTATTTAACTTCTTTAAATAAAAGAATTAATTATTTAGTTTAGTCTATTTATAATAAGTATATTAATAAAATAGTATATTATTAAAAAACTAAAGAAGATTAAAAAGATTAAAAAAAAAGTTAAAATTACCTTTAGGAAAAAAAGGAAGTAAAGGCGGAGGTAAAAGTACTACTACTATAGTAAACGTTATTATAACTATAGATATAAATTACTATTAATTATAAGCTTATAATTCTAATAATTAAATATTAAAATATAATTTATTTATTAAAGTAAATTTAAAAATAATTAAAATATTAAAATAAAGTTAATAGCTTAAGTAAATAAAAGAATAAAAAATAATAAAAAAAAATAAAAAAAAGTAAAAAATAAAAAGAATATACTATAAAAGAATTTTTAATATTTAATAAAAGTATATTTATTTATAAAAGCGTTTATATATATAAGTTTATCTATTTATTAAAAATAATATAAATTAATTAAGCAGTTAATATTATTAAATAAACTATATTAAGCATTTTAATTAATTATAGGTTAAATTTATATATACCCTCCAGAGGTATCTGTAGTAAACTTTACTTATAGCGCTTATATACCTACAGTATTATACCTATAGTATCTTTTAATTATAATAGTATTTAATATATATAAAAAGCTGCTTTTCTGTATTTTTAAATAATATTAATTTTAAAAAGAAATATATTTATATAAAAAAAATATATATAAAATTATATTAAAGTATATTACTATATTACAGGTAACGTAAGATATAAGGAGCTATAAAAAGCTATAAAGCTTAACACTACAGGAACATTATAATATTAACTTTTAATTTACAACAACACTAAAAAACAATATTAACACTATATTACAGGCAGTAAAAGCTACCAAAAAATATAAATTTAACCAATTACTAATTAAGATTTCGACCTGTAGCTTAAAAATATAGTGGCTTATTATTATTTTTGCCTATTAATAAAGTAAATCTAAAAGCTGCACTTCACTCAGTTTACAACTTCGCAAAGCTAGCTTCGCAGCTTTGCTTGATTAATTACAGTTAGTCATGTTCACAATGTCTCCAAGACTTTCGGGCTGCCAACTCACTCTGAGAACCATGGCAGCGTGGATAGCATCCTTGATGGGGAATCGACAGGGATGCCGTTGATAGCACGGACAACATCGTCGCGAGAAGTGGCGTCACCGCGGACAACTTGCACGATGGCTCCGGCAGCCTCAAGGTTGGCGACCAGCTTGGCAACGGAGAGTGAGTCTACCCCATATCGGTAGAGGAAAGTGAAGCGACGAGCTCCAAATTCCATCATCCACGAGGTCAAGCTACGACCGAGACCACCCAAGCATCCGACATTGGTTTCAGGAATGGACTGATGGATTGGAAGGTAAAACTAGACGAGTATGATGAAAAGAGTAATCGTAACAAGTTTATCAGAATCACCACTACAATTTCTGAATTATCGATCAGTGCATAAAACGCGCTGCCCCTTTGCTTGCCAACCGCTCCCCCAGAAGATTTGCCAGAATCGCAGTTCATCGGAGCTGTGTGAGATGACTTCAGAAGGACGGCTTCCAAACATGAAAAAGTGAATTCAGCACTGCTAGAAAAGAGAATTCTTCCCGATAATTATGATATGAGCAGCGCGTGAGCCATGATAATGTGGACAGGATTTAACTAAGTGGGATTTATTATTGTATCCGCTATTTCCCTTGTCTTCAATTTCCTTTCGGACTAACATACATAATTGACACAGGCTACGAGTTTTGATTAAACAAAAGAACATAAATTAATTCGTACCTTTATTTCAGATTCATTTTAAGTCTGATGTTGTCTATATGGGTCGTCCGCGGGCGGTGCTATCGCCAGTGACATTGAAAAAGTAGCATACAACGCGAGCGCCATTGATCCATATCAGGTCCCGATATCTTCAATGACTTTTGCGATCCAGCATTAATCCAGTAGTAGTTGCAATTTTGCAATCATATTGCGTCACCTCTTCGCGCAGTTTAAAGTTGATGTGTATCTGAGCCCATGACTGGTCTTAGCTGCCGTCGGCGCATTAAAATTCTCTTGCATGGGAAGAAGGATTTAATGGCCTTAATTGACTTAAAGGTCCGGTCTTGATCCTTGACAGAAACCAATGACCGAGAATTATGGGCACAGATCGCTATCAGATGCATATTCATCTTTAGCCTTCGCAGACCGGACTTGCGCTGCTATCGGCCAAGATCCCTTAATGCCGCCAACTTGTCCGGATGCTTAGAGGTGGATTTCTTGAAAGCACTGCAAGAGGTTTAGTAATTCACGAAGGATGAAAGCTAAACTCGACTTGCCGTAGAGTCAATGTCGCAGGTCGAATCGGATTGGCTTATTCCCCTGTCAGACGTGTCCACTACTGTATCTCCGAATCCTCTTCTTCGAAGCTCTTCTGCGGACCCCGCCTTGTCCGCACCTCCACATTGGCCGGGAAACCTCTCAGGCACGGAGATGAGAATCCGTCACTATGCCCAAAGGGCAACAAAAAGGCTTGCGATTATGACGACGAACCAACAGCATAGATAGGATGTAGAAGATTGTATATAACCAGCTTGGAACCGATCCTTCGCTCCATTCAAATTCCCTCATACTCTTCATCTGTAGCAACATAGCCTGGTAAAAATTGTTTTGAAAAGTGGCAGTGCTTGTCGTTTCAACTTGTCATTGACAGAAGATTCAGCTTTATAAACCAGCTCCACAGAAGAAGGAAGAAAATTTCGCCAGAAATGCCTGGCTCTATCAGTTTTATGCAGCAGTCCTTCCCGGGCGCGCCTAAGTTCACGGACAAGGATGTCCCGGACTTGAAGGGAAAGGTGTGAAACAATGGATCTTCAGTTGCTATCTTCAAATCCCATTGTCGCTAATGCTGGTTATGATAGACTGTCATCGTCACTGGTTCCAACACCGGTCTCGGCAAGATTATGGCCCAGATCCTTTACTCCAAGAATGCCAAGGTCTACATGATGGCGCGTTCTGAGGAAAAGACCAAGACGGCCATTGACAGCATTAAGTCAACTGTCGGCAAATCTGATGGTGAACTCATCTACCTGAAGCTTGATCTTTCCGACATCCCCAGTGCCAAGGCCTCAGCTGAGGAGTTTTTGCACCGCGAGAAGAACCTCCATTTGCTGTTCAACAATGCTGGTGTTGGATACCCTGAGCCGGGGAGCAAGACGAAGCAGGGCTATGAACTCCAGTTGGGTGTCAACTGTCTTGGAACTTTTGCCTTCACCAAGACTCTGACTCCTGCCCTCGTTGCCGCCGCCAAGACAGCACCGGCCAACTCCGTCCGCGTCATTTGGGTCTCATCTTCAGCTGCCGAGGCCATTGCTCCCAACAACTACGTTGAGAACCTCTCCAAGATTGAGAAGATGGGTGCTTTTGAGCAGTACTGCGTTAGCAAACTCGGAAACTACTGGCACGCTACAGAATTCGCTGCGCGCTACAAGGCTGATGGTGTCATCTCTATCCCCCTGAACCCCGGCAACCTCGATTCCGATTTCTGGCGCACTCAAGGAGCCGTGATGACCTACATCCTGCGAAAGACTCTCCTGTATCCTCCCATATATGGTGCTTATACCAATCTCTTTGCTGGCTTCTCTCCTGAAGTTACTCTTGAGAAGACAGGTACTTTCGGTAAGAATTCTCTTTCTCTCATTTATACCGACCAGAAACTACGGATAGCTAACTGGGATATAGTTGCCCCTTGGGGTCAATTCTGGACCCTCTCCAAGGAAATGATTGCGGGCTCCATTTCAAAGTCTGAAGGTGGCACTGGTATCGCCAGTAGCTTCTGGGACTGGACTGAAGCCCAGATCAAGCCTTACATGGGTTGATTTGCTAGTTGGAAATGCGAGAGGAATTTGGACCACGGGGTTTTTCTTTAAAATAGAATTTTGGGGGAACTAGCGATGCGTTCGGCTGGTTATGTTTGTAACGTCAAAACTGAAATGAAATGATAGTCTTTATTTACATTTACCCTTTTCTCTTCTGGCGCCTATTAATTACCTAGGTACTCTTTTCTAACTCCCCACTCGTTTACGATGCATCCTTATACCATTAAAATTTCCAATCCAAATATTTTTCAGGGACCGTGGGCCACTTATCAACACCGTCTCGAATAACAATAGACATGCCTCCCAAGAGATGATTGCTGATATGGCAATGCAATAACCAAGCACCCGGATTCACAACCTGATATCTCACCACGGTCCACGTCTTTCCAGTAATGGCCGGTAGCGATGCGATGCTGTCCCTACGGGGTGGATTCACAAGGTTAAACAGCTCTGGCTTCTCCTTAATTGCTTCCTTAACAGAATCCCAGATAAAGTCGCCCTCTCCGGCGCCAATCTGAAACATTTTGTTGCTGTGCTTGTGGATTGGATGAGGTGGCATTGGTACTGTGCTTGCAAAGAGGACAAGGTCAACCCATGTACCGTTGAAGGTCGAGATGGTCACATTGTTCTGCACAGGTTCCGGGTGTCGAAATAAGACGGGTGGTTGGCTGGAGCTGTCGAGGGCGTCGGGCATGAGACGAGTGGAATTCAAGGCCCAAAGGTACGAAGCCCCATCAAGCTTCATGTCGAGCTTGTACGTTATATCGGCTGTTTGCACGATTGGCTCTGGCGGGAACGGGGCAGCTGTGGCTTGGTTGAATAGCGTCACATTCTTTGACAATGGCACTCCTGTAATGCTGATGAATGGTTTCGACTCGCTGGTATGAGACTTTCCGCAGTTGCTCTGCACTTCCAAGACTGCGTTTCCAACCAGTACCTGTGGAATGCTGATGGCATTGCAGCGAATGTTGAATTTCCCAGCCTTATTGATTCTCACCATGACGCTGTATCGATCGCCATTGGTAAGTACAAGGGCTTGTACCTTCTGAGGATGAATGTATGCTCCGTCCATAGCATACACCCACATGTCATGTTCATCTATAGACACCATCGATGTGATGAAGTTGATGGAGCCGATGATGTTTATTGCGAGCCACTGGTGAGTGGGAAGTGACGAGAGCTGTGCCTGAATGATTTCAGTGGCACCTTTGGTTTCCTTGCAGCCGGAAAAGGCTCCAGCAGGGATGGAAGTGAGATTAGCTTGGTCTGGGTTACCCAGTGCAGCCAGCGCCGCAGGCGGCAGGCACCTATTCAATTTGAATCAGTACAGATAGGCATCTGACGAGGCGAAGATAGAACATACGACTTATCAGTCATGGCCGTTACATTTCCCATTGCTAAAAAGGCCTTTTGATCATCGCTTAGGTTGGCCGAGACTTCGGCGCTCGGAAGACACTGCACGCGTCCCTTGCCATTGAACAAGATGGAATCATAGCACGAGTCTTCGACACCGCTAGCCAATGCGATGTTCCACTTCTCTTGAGATGTGAAGTGGTTAAAGTCTGCAATTGCAAGTGGCTTGACGTTGCGTTCAGCTTCAATCATGGCGACAACGGCATCGGGGTCGGAAGATATCAGATGGAAAGGCTTTGGGTCTTGAGGGCGAGGGTGAATAATTATGGGACCGTAGAGGCCATCTTCAATCTGACCGTGGAAATGAGAGTGATACCAGTAGCTGCCATACTGGGTTGCTGCAAATTCATGGATAAAGTGACCACCAGGAGGGATCGATAGTTGAGAGAGTCCAGGGACACCATCAGACCATGGTGTACCAAACATCTCAATGCCTTCTAAAATTAGCATTGCATGTCAATAAGACATCATTATCGACCTACCATGGAAGTGGATTGTAGTGTTTTGAGGGGAGTGGTTCTTGACACGCACAACAACCCAATCGTCCTGATCAACCTCGATCGTAGGGCCGGGTGACTGGCCATTGACCAAGAACATCTGTCGTGAGAAGCCATCTGGAGCGTGCTTTTCCCAGGTCAAAGTAAAATTGAACTCGCGCACCCGTACAGGAGGCACATAGGTTGGGAGCGCCCATGATGGCAGCAACTGCGCAAGGAGAAGGAAGAGGAGCATTGACAGTCGCGCCATTGCGAGTTGGGAGGACTGGATCAATCTAGATGGCCTGGCCCGAAGACACCAGAACCAAGCATAGAAGGAAAGGGGCAAGCCATATTATACTCGGCCAACATGTCTCAGTCTTACCACCCGAATCCATGGCTCTTCGGCCAACGACTTAGCCTCGTCATGTCTCAGATCAATACACGGGTAGAAGCTGCAATAGGCGTCATCCGGCGGCAACTGGCCCCTGCACGCCCGCCTCCCTGGGATCAGGCCAGCGAAACGAAACAATCAAAGATCCAGCATGCGTGTTGGTGCAACGCCTTGATTGGGAGCGTGCGGCAGGGCACCGCATCTGGTGGATCTCGATCCGCTTTCAGCTTGTCTCGTTCGCAGGATGTAGCACACTTGGCACGTCATAAGCGCGCCAGCACAGCAAACCTGCAGCTACGAACAATCCTCCAAGCTGATTATCTATGCCCTAAATAGTATCATTCGTCGGCTTCGAAGAGGCTTTGGGCCTTTTGCAGCCCGGTAAGGTGCAGCGGCGAACGCCGATCCAGTCTGTTGAATGTTTGCCATTGTTTTCTTTGTGTGAAAGCTCGGCCACGCAGACAGCGATTAATATCGGCATTGGCTTTTGGGACACAAACTGTTGATTTCTTCTTCTCCTTCTCCTTCTTCTTCCCCATTTTGCAGTTGTAATTTTAGGCTCAATTTTAAAGTTTGCTGACTATTGACTTGGAAACAGAATTAACTCTCGTTGTATGTCGCGCGCGCATTGAGCTTGCGCTTAGGCATTGTTTAGCTCTCATATCTTCAAGCTATCGGATGTATGTAAGCACTGGCTCAAAATAAGCTGATGGTTTGTTTACTGCCCTGCGAACCAGAGGATCTATAGTTCAGAGAAGCAATAGTGCGAAGTTAGGTGTTGACTCACAACTGTTGCGCGATGAAGAACGGAATCCCAATCAGCCTCTTATTGAGCCAGTGTTGGGACGCTTCTTTGGTCAACGGTTCAGATGACCAATCAGATGACAAACATGTGATGAGAAAAGAACATTCAATTCATCTCTACCTTATACAAAAAACTCTCTAATGCTTGGATGATCTTCTCGTGGTGCATCCTGCCTCAAAAGCCACCATCCCACGACTTCTGGCGGCTGATTACCTGGAAATACACATTTGCTGTTGTCCTCGTCCTCGTCCTCCCCGTCTTCATTCGCCAAAGTCCAATCTAACTCTGCCACTTGATCCTCTTCATCTCCCTTTAGCTCTTCTTCCAGCGCCCTCTCCATATCAACTTTGATGTCTCCCCACGTCGTCATGGTCAATAGTGTCCTGCTTCCTTCAGTTGCTCCGGGTATGACCAGGACTCCTGGGGCCGCGTTTCCCGCTGCCGCACCGTTATGAATCGCATTCCGGATTCCCATGCCCGCACCGGCCCAGGGAATTTCCGTTGCCTCAGGCAAATGCACGAGTTGAGCTTCATACTGTGCTGATTTGTATGGTTCGCGGCCCCAGGTGACACCCCCCTTGTGCCGTACGCGTGGGAGTACGTAGTGAATGCCCTCTATCGCAGGCATATGAAAGTAAATGCCTCTGACAACGCTCCGCCAGTGCCGGCGAATGTCTTCATCACCAGGCGCCGTCTGTCGAGGCACGTCTCGGAACCAGGCTCGCCATTCCAGTCCTACGTGTAAGACCTTCTCCCAACCGCTGATCCTCGTCTTGCCGCCTTGGGAGCGTAGCATGTGCCGCTGATTGCGATCAAAATACAAAATATCCCGCTTTGGATTGAACCAAGGTCCCGTGCCGGGTTCCGGAGCGAGAAAGTAGTCTCCATTCCGGAGAGCGGCGGCCCGGGACTCGGTGCATATGTGGAGTGCAATTGGCGGGGGATGCTTGCGGTGGAAAGTGAGGATTTTGCTGTTAATACCAGATTCTGTTGTACCCTTGACGTGAAATATTCGCGTAGGGGGAAGAGTGGCCTCCCAAATGAGAGTGCGGATCTCAAAGGGCAAGCCTGAGAGGTTAAACGACTCTCGTGCCATGGCTATTGTGTCTCGTAGTTGGAATTAGATGAAGAGACTTGCTTCACACAAGGCTGCAGCTTTATGTAGTATCTCTCTTCTCTTCAGCCCAAGCAGCGTAGGCTAAGATAAAGCAACCAAACCCCTGGCTAGGCAGCCAGGTTTATGATGGGAGCCGGAATGAAGCTGCCTGGTTGGTTTGTGGCGGCTGCGATGAAGGCGCGTCGACTTTACGTAAGGCAACAAAATGGATAAGGCGCATTTGACAAGAATTGGCAAAGAAACGCGAGTCGCACTACCACAAACTTGCAGCCGCAAATGACATGGATGAGCTGGTTGCATCTGATTGGATGTAGCCTCGATCACGGAGCGGTGAGTTTTGCAATTGCCTTGAATCCCGTGTTGAGTAAACGATTGCCTATCCTGTGCTTCTAATTCTCTGCCCAATCGCTTCCATGTTCAATTACGTGAAGGATTCATACAAACGCCATCATAGCTCTCACTCCGCATACTAGAGTCGCAGAAGCGGGTGAGATTATAGGTACCTAGGTAGTTTTGCATGTCGGCTACAAGTACAAAGTTCAAGTTCAGGTGGAAAGCCAAAGGAAAATAAAGAGTCGGAGGATAAGATGACGCCACGTGATGGCGCTTCTCCTCTCCAAACATTTGCCCTGCCTACATGTATTCAGCCTGAGTCTTTAGTACGCATCCAAGCATCATATTTACACACACTTATGCATGACGGCAGCCCTCTTGTTGCCGCATTCTACTGCTTCACAATCTCATGTCTCGTATTCATGGCGTTTCCAACCCCCAGCACCGAGTTAGCGCGGGTCCGAAGCGACCGACCGATTCCATGTATATGTCACTAAAAGTGAACATCTCAATGATCATCCTCATTGCTACATTCATCTTCGTTTTCGCCACCATTATCCGTTCCTCCAGTATTTGGATTCATCTCCAATGGACTCTCGGAATCAAAATCTCTCATGGAATTGAGACGTGCGCGCCCTTTCCAATAGTTCCTCTGAACATCAGCCTCCATGAAGACGTACCTTTAGCACCATCTCCGCTCCCTCCTTCACACGCGGCATCCGATGGAGAGACGATTATTAGAAGATTTCAAACTCTGGGCAGAACGACTGTCTGGAAGAGTATTGCAAACATTAGCTTCCATGGTGACACGTTTGAACCCGAAGGTCTCGTCCGCTTGGGCCCGGATCGTTATGTAGTTAGTTGTGGAGAGTATACTGAGCGTACGCAAAAGTATCCTCATCCCATCAATGGGACCGATCGGACGCCAGGAAAAGGATTTGCCCATTTGATGGTGTATAATGGCAAGGGAGAACGAATTGCTGACGCGACGATTACAAGAGAGGGGGATGAAGAGTATCACAACGGCGGGATTGACTACGATGGACAGTGGATTTGGGGGACTGTTGCACAGTACCGGCCAAACAGCACAGCATATATTTATAAAGCAAACCCATATAACTTGAAGACAGAGATCGTGCTACAGTTTACCGATCATCTGGGCGGCATCGTTCACGATACTACCAAGAACAGCCTCACAACACTAAACTGGGGAAGCCGAAATGCATATGTCTGGGCTCTCAAAGAGGGAGGAGTGGCCGATTGTTTCATCCAAAAGCCTAAGTCAACGACCCGCAACCCAAGTTACTTCGTCGACTACCAGGATTGTAAATGGCTGGGCCAAAGCGAATTCTACAATGGCGCGAGCGTGATGCTTTGCTCTGGCGTGACTGCCTTGGATGGCGGTTATAGTCTCGGTGGGATTGCGTTGGTTCATGCTGAGACAATGCAACCTTTGGCTGAAGTGCCAGTCATGCTCGAGAGCGAGCTTGGAGTGAGAATGACGCAAAATCCCATGGATGTGAGCGTGGAAGGCGGCAAGTTGAGATTTTACTGGCTTCCAGATCAGAGAAATAGCACATTGTACATATATGAAGCACAACCTGATAGTCCTTTTGAGTATGGCGGAGGACAGATTTAAGGCTCCTTGTATCCATGTCCTCAATAGAAACAGTAGGTTGGAGGTTTCTTGCATATAAGATGGCAATAGCACCCATTGGCTATATACTCAACCGCTACAATTCCGTCATAATGGTTTATCTATGGCTTATTTCAGTATCATTTGGACAGCTTTGAGTGTTCCAGTAGGGCTACTGTAAGGATCAAGAGACTGTATTCTCCAATTATTTCCGAGAAATGTATTTAGCGGTTTGTGTGACGGGCAATGGCTTGAATCTGGCCAGCGGCTGGGTTTTATGCTCCTGTGAGTCCATGGATAGAAGTAGTTATACTTGCAACGCATAATTCTATAAAAGGCTTACAGCAAGGAGATTTCTTTAATCGCTAGCACTTCAAGCACCTCTAATTGCAAATATTAGATCTCATGGTATTCTATTCCATATCGCATGAGTCTAGCTTATTATGGGATACAAATGCCGTTAGCCATGTAGACAAGTAAGTATTCGCGCAGAATCCTCCCACATCCTCTATTTTCCCACCACGTACTGGCCAAAAAAAACTGCCATATTTATTTAACATGTTGGTTGATCCGTCGAACTAACGTTGGTCAAGATTGCAACAAACTCGCAGTTGGGAGGGTAGTAGGTAACCCAGTCCACATATTGGAAGTAGTACCACGGAGTGCCATCTTCATTGAGATCGAAATCAGCCTCACAGATCTGCATACCGTTGAGCGTGTTGACGGGCTCCTGGTGCCAGAGGTTGTAGGTGTTGGTGCCACTTGAGGGGGATAGGAGCCAGTTGGGGTCTGAGGCGTTTGGGAATGACGAGGTGTTGGCAAAAGCGAGCTGTCCTACAATAGTAGGGTGTAGAAGCGGGATTTCTGTGTAGTTTTGTAAGAATCCCTTGGGACCGAAGTCGAAGATTGTGCCATCAGAGTTTTGGCCCTCGCTGACAAGGACGCCATTGTCAAGGTTGGCAAGTAGCGGAGGAGAGCTGTTGTCTAGAGCGACATAGCTATATTGGCCGTCCTTGCTAGGCCTAAGCTGAAGAGGCTTAAAATTGTTCGAAGGAATTGAATCATCATAGAGATAAAATGTAAGGCCCGCATGCGTGGTCACGACATTCTGGGCACAGATCTGCCCAGTAACTTGAGATATGCCGGTAGTCAAAGCCAAGGCAGTTGCCATCAACTTATAAGACATGACAAAATCGTGTTGAGTTTTTAAGTGTTTAATAAGAAGCCAGACTTGTACTTGTTTGTGATTGTAGAGATAAAATTGATGTCTGAAGTTAATTCTTCAGCTTCTTATACTTTAAGTCGGCTCCTCTGTTGAGCCGAATAACTTGGAAGGCGCATGAAGCTTGGTGATGGCTTGTACAACTACCGTCGGGTAGAGACGTAGTAGAGTTAGAGCGCGATTAACGAGCTAAGACTTGCATCGGTATATTTACGCGAGCCAGGGTGCTATGCATGCGGAGAATACAGTAATTTTCAATCGGCGGTATCCTGCACAACAAGTGATGCTGATGTAACCCAAGCATAGATCATTTTGATACGGCAGACAAATCGAGTGGAGACTCAGACACAAAGGTGGTTGATCTGTGTATTGCAGAGAACATTTTAATTCATTTCCAAACGTCAAAGACAGTATATCGCTTGATTGCACAAAGTACGAGTCTCATTCTCGAGCCGCCAGTAATACACTCATCGCCATCTGGATTACTCCCCTATATTTGTCGATTGTTAAAGCTCGCTTGCACAATTGCCGAGCAGCTTCCATTTTAAGCTAGATAGCAATGTATATTACTTGTATGTAGGCGTATGCGCACCATTCGTTTTTCATTGTAACGTTATGGCAATTGCACCAAAAGGGGAAGGTATCTCCATTGTGGTTAATCTGAATGCCATTTTCAGATATACTGAACCGGCGATGATCTGATAAGCCATCGTGGCGGGGAAATATATATCAGTAATTCTGCGGCTTAAACAGTACTAGGAGATTAATATAATCGTTCCACTCTCGGAGATAACTACCAAATGTTCAGTCTTCTGCCCGCAGACTCTTTCCTTCAATGTTTGATCAGCCTAAACAATGACGAGATTTGTACAGCCTCATGTCTCAAATATGCAATATGCGATACCCCAAGAGACACGCATGACGTGATGCTATGCAACAAGGGTGAGAACGGGATATTTTTCGGCGGGAGCTAAACACATACGCCCTTGTTTTTACAGAAACAGAATTGCCTAAATGTTTTCAACCATCATCAAACCTGTTTGCGCAATGCCAAGACAAGAAGCGAAGTATGAGTGAGTATGAGTGGATGCTCTAATCGCATATGGCTCGTATCTAGGCTGCCGCTTTCTTCTACACGCGGCTTGAGACCATGAAACTCAGAGCTATGTAATTCTTATCTGAAAAGTCTAACTCCTGGATGTACCCTAGTCAGAATCCCCGACTCCCATTTAGTATCACGTTCTTCTGAATTACGTAGTTGCTTTGGAATGGGCATATATAGTTAGTCTCCCTATGATGACCATATATCTCATGGGCTGATTGCCGAGATGTTGAAATAGCATGGCACATATTGCTCGCAAATACTGCATCACCTCTGTTACTATCAGCTATTCTCGGTGGGTGGGGTATTTGTATAGCTATCCCCTTGCTGAAAAATCAACTGCAGGTCATTTGTAAGCCCTGTCACGGCACGAAAAGACACCAAACTAGTTGTGCCTACAGGTCCCAGAATTGCAAGCATTGTGAAGGTGTATGTTGCCTGTTGAAAGACATGGTTATTTTGGAGCCGCTCCACGATGAGACCGACCTGCATTGCAATTAAAATCAAGGCTACATATGCAGTAACTGCAGCAACCCAGGTCAGGTTCTCACGGAAGAAGCTACTATAATTGTTCCATCAGCCGAAGTACTCTTCAGAAAAGAGAAACAGACTTGTCTGAATGAATGACATTGATGCGCGGTAAGCGAAGTACTGCTCGAAAGAAGTGACGGTGGATCCTGATTGAATCATGTTGACTGATAATTTCTTTGCAACACTCTGGCATTGTGCCCATTTGATGGTTAAGTTATCAGTCTCTCATGGTTAAAGACAATAATCCATGACGATAAAGAGTCGCATTCTGTAGACGCTAAACAAGGATGGGTGTACAGAAAGCTTGAGATGATTTCTGCAGATTCTCTTTATGCTAAATTAGGCGAGGACATCGTCACTCTATCATCGACCGATTTTCGATATGAGCACCAACAACGCCTTCAATGGCGGTTAAGCCGGTATTGCGCATACAACAGAATTCGCTGCAATACAGATGGCTTTGCCAGAATTACAGATGCACAAGAGATCAAGAAAGAGGCTCTACAAAGATTTTCTCATAGCCAGTCTATAACAGGTACAAATAAATCCGCTCCACAAGGACGATACTGAAACCAAGGGTAACTTGCAAGTGCAGCGGTATTCTGGGGTGTCTCGCACCTGCGAGCTAAAGAAGCTTGTTTATCTAGTCCAGCTGTGGCAATGATGGCCGTTTCAAAGAATCCAGACACACTATTGAGGGATTAGCAACTATGCGACATCTTCGGCTGCCAATAATTTTAGGAAGCTGAGATGCAGCTGGAACGAGATTTAAGGGATCCTATTGTTCTCCCAGCACGCGTATAGTGAGCTGCGGGCGGTATTTGCCAAAAGCTAGTTATACATCAATGAATCATTATTGTCATTCTAATGATGGCCGCTAATTAAACTGCTTCGGCGTGAAGTGTATAAAGGATGGGATAGGGGTGTTTTTGATAGGTATTCGGCTGCGATGGTGGTCTTGGAATTGGTCAGGCACGGAAATTGATGGCAAGATGCGGCTCTCGGCCGAGCATAGAAATTTTTGCTAGGGTTTGGGATATAAGCCGGAAATTATTGTAAGATACCATTCACCAAGTATATCAGTGCCGACCATACTGGGCAATTAGGATGGGATTCCCGTAGAGTATGAGAACGATATCGCTTGCCTCAAAGACCTATCTATTATCTCTACATTGTAACAAGCAAGTCGTTAAAAGAAGTTTTCTAGCTTCTAATTTTTCAACATGTGAGAAACAAAATGCTATTCTACAGACGAGTACCATATCATACTGTCGATAGGATAACGCCTAGGTTTCTCTATTATTATACTTTTATAGTTGTGCATATATATCTTGGTGATGAATGCATGCGGGATTATAGACATTCTTCATTTTAATCTTACAGAGAGGTGATATATGAACTTCTCTGGTCACAGTATCCAAAACATGGGGACGTAATGTTTCTCTTTTGTTAGCACTTCATTCCGTCTCACACCAGGCGCGATAGGAGAGAGTCTTTCTGTGTAGCACCCAACACCAAGGAATATGGCAATAATCTACTCAATATAAAGCATTGAAACAATAAATAACCCATTTTTAGAGCACTGGCGATTTGGAAATTCTCATCTTTCCAAGACGGATTTTGAAGCTCATGCCTGGCAGCGCTGCCCCACGACCGTCTTGTGGTTCTGGTTCTGGCTTCTTACTCAGGTCAACAAGCTTGTGCAAAAGAGTACCTAGTATCAAGTCACATGATGCGGTGCTGTGTACAGTGCCTGTTCTTAGCACAAAGTTATGCAAACAACTTCAGGCTGTGCTTGAAGATTTTGGCTCTAGTCTCCACTCCCGGCTTAGCCTTCTAATCAATCTGACATCCAAACACGAGACTCATGCATGAGATACCATCGCAATATCCATTGATTCATCGATCTCCCTGTATTCAGTCAAAGTATCTTTCGATCTTGTCCAGCCCAACAGTGTAGCCGATCAATATGGCTACGTTAGTCACCACTGGTCGAACCACTCAGGCCAAAAAGTCCTGTAACAGTTGTCGAAGTATGTGAGATTTTCATTTACCTCTAGCGTCGGTGGAGTTGCGTGATGGGGGTTTTTGACACGACCTCCTGGACTTTGGCGGCGACAACGACGCGAGAGCCATTTTGCTATGTTTGATACATAAAGGCTAACGCTGCTTAGCACTCAAGATCGCATGCGACAAAGCACTGCCTTCTTGTACGGCTTGCAAGACTCGTGGCAAAACTTGCTCAGGTTACAGTGAGAATCTGTCATGGCCACGGAAAGGCGACAAGCGCCGTGCCGCCATGGCAAATGTCCAGAGCCGGGGCAGATATCAAGCCAATCCGGCCATATTCCTTAACACATCCAGCTGGGATGTAAGCCTGTATCGCGAGCACGTCGATACGGGCGCGCATTGTTAGTCTCACTGTGTATTCAGCGTAGCCTATCCCCTGGGACCCCTGTCTGACTGACCTTGGTTTGTAGTGCAGCATATGGGGGCCTGGACGCCTTCCATATCACCAAGTCAGTCTATCTGGTCATCCAAACTTGGATTCTGTAAGTCAGAAACGCAAACATTGCAATTGCGACTCGACATGCTGAGACGGAACAGATGGGCCACAGTTGCCATCGGCTATCCGCCTTGTCACATCAGGCAGTTTTCATGACGACGTCTGCGGACTCTTGTACCGAATGTCGCTTGGTGACAACAGCGTGCCATCTCTCTCTCTTCGCCACTCCATGAATGCAATCTCATTATTGTCTCTACACAAATCGAACGAGGCACTCAAATACAAGATTCTTGCAATTTCGTATCTTAAAGGTGCCCTCACACAGGGCCTCGATAACAAATCTCGGCCCCAAGCTATTGCAACTAGCTTGCTTTTGACGTTATATGAGGTAAGTAAAACAGTTGAAGCTCAATTTGGTTATATATATAATTATATACTATACAAACATATATACATAACATCTAACCCTCATTGGTTCTTAGGTTCTCAGCCATAGTGGCAAGACCAATGATTGGTCAGTTTACTTTGACGGTTGCATGAAGATTGTCAACTCTGGCTTCAATATCCATCGCAAATATGCGGGAGACTGTGCGATCCTCCTAAATTGGGTCCGCTACCATAAAGTGCTATATAAATTTAGCATAAAACATTGGCAACAGCGCACTCCACAAATGGAAGTAATGGCCAAGTCAGACATTCTCGTTTCTGATTCAGCATACGACATAGATATCATAACTGTAAGAACCTCCAATGCCTCACCAGTAAAGATGCCATTATACCACGCTCTTACTGACATGTTGACACTTAGATGCATAACATGCTTGGCTGCTCTCCCGAAGTCTTGGATTTCCTGAGCGAGGCAATGGATCTCGTTAGAAATAGGGACGATCCGAGCTACTTATCAATCAAACGCCTACGGGCTATTAACGAACTTGAATTGCGGCTCAAAAGAATCGACGACTTACGCGACTGTTTTGATGTGGGAGAAGAGGATATTACTATCAGTAAGGTGTCAGAAAGCATGAACGATAGATTGTTCCAGTTTGCTTTGATCATATATGTCGACCGGGTAGTCAAAGGTGCCTTCATGTCCTCATCAACCTCCCAGAACGCTGCCGCTAAGGCGTTTGCCCTTTTGGAGAAGATCCGACTATACGATAGGCCTTTTCCTCTATTCATTCTGTCTATCCAAGCAGAAACTGATGAGCAACGACTGCTGATTCTATCTACAATCCACCGAACAATGGAAGCAAGACCAATGAATAACCTGGGGTCTACGGAGGAAATGATTAAGAAACTTTGGGCTCAGCAGGACTTGCAGGGACCCGAACAAGCGGATGCCCTCTTCCTGCTCAACGCTGTGATCAGCGCCAACAGCATGCCGCCAACCTTCACCTCACCTTTCGTAATCAATGCGATAACGGGCGCCAACGCTGTGCCGTTCTTATCTATTTGACGAGTTGAAGGATTTTTCGTTTATTTATACTGTTTTTGGATCATGCGACAGCGCTGCATATTTCATATAGAATGGGGTTCGGCATAATGAGTGTATATTTTGTAAATAATTGAAACTGTAGCTGTTTGATTGATTTCGATATTTACCTATACTTATAATTTCGGCGGTTCACTGTTTCCGGGCAATGCTTATTTATGTCGTGATACGTAGATTTTAATATGTCCTCCCGAGAATTCAACCCCATTAGTTTCAATGGACCAACCGGGCCACAAAATATACCACGACAAAGCGTTAAAGATTTTTTGTTCTCTTCAATAGTGGTCAAAAACATAAGATATACACGTTGCCCGTGTTGCGGCTACCTGCTTAGGGAACTGACGATATCGGCAACATTTGCAAAAGCGAGCTCGTTCATAGTTTCTCGCCAAACCTTCTCTGCAATCTTTTCGCCTTCAGGCTCGTACACAAGTGGCGCCATTCTAAATTTGACAGCATTAGCAAATTGTAATATAGCTGTTGATTAATGTGACTCACGGCTGGACTTTTCCATCCTCTAGGTACTGGCCGTGCGATTCTGCACCTTGTTTTACAACTGCATCTGTAAATGCGCGTGCTCCAACAGATCCTTGACGCCCAAGAACCCAAAAAAATATGGAAATGAAGATTCGTTGAATTGGGTTGGTTATTTCGCGACTTAAATTGGACTTGCATAAACCGGGGTTGGGGGCGTTAATTATGGCAACGGATGAGGGCACCCGCTTCACCAGTTCAGTTAAGAACAATTGACCTAACAATTTGGATGTGGAATATTGATCTCCACCATCGTAAGATTCGGGTTCGTCCAAGCTAGCGAATAGTGATTCCGAGTTCCTCTTTTTGAACGAGGTCCATGCAGCAGTATCGGATGAAACAAGAGCAAGGTGGCCGGGCTGTCCAGAGACACTCTTCTCCTTCATTATTGGTAGAAGTAGCAAGGTAAAGAGAGCTAATGCAAGATAATTGACTTGAATAGTCTCCTCGTGACCTGTTAGATTATTCGCCTCAAAAGTGTTCTTGAGGAGACCTGCATTATGGATGGCTATATCGAGCCGCTCAAGTGATTTGGCGCGTTCTGCAAATGCCATGATTGAGTCATAGCTGGATAGATCAAGTTTCCATACTTCAATAATGGGAATCCTGCTAGATTTTTGACCCGCTAAGAGCGTCTTCTTCGCCTCTTCACCCTTTGCTTCACTGCGGACAGCAAGGATGAGCCTCTCAAGACCAAGGTCCAGAAGCTGACGACTGCACTCAAATCCAAGACCGGTGTTGGATCCTGTGACAATGGCAGTCTTACCACTCAGATCTGCGTCATTTCGGGTCCATGTTGGAGGGGACCTGAAGAACTGGCGTTGAAAGAACGCAAGCTGCGATGCTCGCCACTTTGGTGTTACATCGAATTGAGGCGTCATTGAGATAGAATCTTTGCGTAGTGGTTATATGTGTGTGCATATATATGATGGCCAATACAATTATGAATGTGAGAGAATGTTTCAATGTTAAATAGATTTCAACTATTCATATCTCTTTCACCCTACCGAAGAGTGAAATTTCCTAATGCTACTTGTCTCACGCTGTCTGGAGGGTGGATCCCGTCTCGCGCTTTCCTGTGTCCTTTCTCCGACAGCCAGGAACTGGCTTTAGCAAATTACGGATTGTAGTAGTATCACACAGATAGATTTAAGCAAAGCTATATGAATCATAGACTAGTTAAGTTTACTAAACCATGCTGTTGTCAGTATGGGAGCAAAAGCGGAAGCGGATTTAGCCACCTTGTTAGTGCCGACCGCGAGTTTTACATGAGTTAGGCGTGTTTTAGACTCCGCAAACGCATAAACGAGCGTCAGACAGGCAATAGGAGATCTGATCTCATTCGATGAGTCGCGGAATTACGGAGCATTGATTAGCTACTTGTTATAAATGTCCTGCGAAAGGGGAGATCTAGAACATCGGCATCTATACATTTTGCGAGATGAGGTGGTATGTGGGGCCAAGGGAATACCGTTGCAGTGAAGCCGGCGTTAACAATACCCATCTCAGACGCGAGGCTTCGGCTTTTAGAGAAGCACACAAAGCGAAGATGTGTGTGATTTGAAGATCTGGCAAAATTTGGCCTCATTAAGCTCATGGCGCAGTCTAGTCCAGGGGTTTTCTTTTTCACGTCTTAATTCTACAAGTTCCAGGATTTAATTCTCAGAGAAATTTGGCTTATACAAAAGTGTGTTTACATCCTCTGCCGAACCCAATCCTATCTCATCATGTATGGTACGGGAATACTACAAAAAGACAGCTATCAAAACCAACTTGTCCATAATTGCTATGATTAAAGTAATTTGTCAATGTACAGCTGGGTAGGTCGTTTTGGGAAAGCCTTCCGGAAGAAACTCCACAGACCACAAGGGTAGACAGGGTGCATTTGCGGAAGCCTGGGATTCGGAAATCCGACAAAGAGCGAACAGGCGCATTGGTCATATTGTCGTAATAAACGAGCCTGATATTGTATTAAGGCGCGGAATTTGAGCTGGTACCTGACATTGATATGCTGCAAAACCCCTACAATTCCCAGGGCGATGGATGACCGGGCAGTGCTTGAAACCATAATTGGGAGACAAATATGAAGAGGCTTGCTGAAGCAAAAGCACAATGCTTGTGTGCATCTCGATTAGAACGACGAGCTCTATTTGCATTTTTTATTCTGTGACTGATTTCTCCTTAAAACTTCTTATTCTTATTGTTGTGCGACACTGCTGATCCTGTTGGTCGGATCATGCCCTTGACGGCAGACCATTCAGAATGCACTCGCTCTCTAGGCGCAACCATTGTCAAGACACAGGCCTGCGTGCTAAACAGGAATTGCTTTCTATTACACCCCTCTATATAATATGACTCTATCTATAGAAACATGTGGCATCCACCCGGGCTATTTCGAATATGTTACTCCGCGCATGATAATGCGAACCCATGAAACCCTACGCACTCGATGACAGCTCCGGCACCACATCGATCTGTCACAGCAACCTTTTTTGACAGCTTTCTTTCGGACCCCTCACTGAACCCACGTGTCAAAAATTGGGGAATTCCTCAACTCAAGGACTCGTCCGCGGCGCATGTGCAAATCCTAGATCAGTTAACTACTTGTTCAGCCCAACTCAGCCATCAAACTCAAACCCCAGCTTATCAGCTCATCAGCCACAGCCCATATTCGCCACGTTGAGATGGGATCCAATCAGTGAAGCTTCATGGCAGCAGCTGAAGCCACATTTTACCAGCAGCCTGATCTGCCGACGTCACATTTCGAGAGCTGACTGGTTGTCTGAGGTTGCTCACGATGAGAATGGAATCCTTTCAAATAACCGCCTTTACGCCCCCAAGAAAATACATTTACGCTAGATGCAATCTTAATTGAATGAAGCTTTTCTACCTGATCTTAGGGGGAAGTAGAGAGCAGTCAGACTGGTTCATGCTTAGTGAAATACCTATACTCTTAGAGTCTATTGGAGTCTGGGTCAACGCCACCATCAGGATTCGTGGCGGCGCCTCTGCAATTACGAACCAGTCCTCTGGTACGCGATATATGGGGGTTCAATAAAGCATTTCCCCTCATAAACGTGGCTATGGCCAAGGCATCCCGTGATATTAAAGCTCATGTTCCGGCATTGTCATTGTCATTTCCTTCACCTTTGAGACAGAACCAGCTTCTTCAAGATAGAGCTCCAAATCTACAGTGCGGCGACCTTGGTGCATATACGAAATGAGCGACGACGAGATGACAATTCGTTCGAGGATAATAGGATCATCATCCCTGATTAGGCGAAATTCTACCAGTGATACACCCCCGGCAAATACCAGCCATGACTACATCCCTATTATTGTCATGACCGTCATTGTAGTGGCGATTATTCTGATACTCCTTATACTTGCGTACGTATCAAGACCCCCCATATTCTATTCTTCATTGCTGCTTGAAATGCGCAAGTAGCTAATACCTCTCATAGGCAATACACAAGGGTGCTCGATCGGAAAAAGCCAACCACCGGGCTTGACGACCCAGAAAGTGCGCAGAATGCCGGTAAAATTGAGAAACTGAACCAAAAGGCTCCAAATCAATCCTTCAAAAGCTGGAGAGAGAAGAGCGAGGACATCAGCAGTTCCGTCAAGCAAGGCACAACTTTTGTCGTGTGGTGAGTCACCTCTAGCCTGCTGTGTTCCAAAATGACTACCAAGTCACTAATGCATGGTAGTGCCATATGTCTTGAAACCCTACAGGAGGACGATACAATTCGCCTGCTATCATGCGCGCATATTTTTCATTCTCTGTGTTTGGCAAAATGGTTTTTGAAGAGACATGATACATGTCCACTTTGTAAGGCCTGTTTTATGTCTTCGTCGGAGAAATCTCCAAAGCCTTTGCAGATTCCAGAAAGAACACATACCCGATGAGCACATCTTACCACCATATAATTATTACCCACGGAGCACATTGACTAGAAAATACGTTATACCCTTTGCTTTTCCACTGCAACAATTACCAGCAAAAATAATGTCATGATTATACTTCATGGAGAGACATCTGTTGAGGGCCGGCATGTGAAATAAGATAGAGAGCCATGCCGCTATTACCTTACAGCATCTTGAAGATCTTAAGATGGCCATGAGCCAGGCGCAACTAAAGTGCCGTTGGCTCATCTACAGATTGAACAGGACGAACAATATTGCTGAAAACTCAAATGCCAAACAATAGAAATGATCGGCCTCAAGTGGATAAGAATATGAGAGGCTTATTCGCAGAGAGATTGGAGGCCAACCTGCCAGAAGATGCCTAAATAGGAAAGCATGTAGCCTTCATTGACTGAAAGCATTAGGTGAACCCCATGGGGTAAAGGAATTGCGTTATTAGTAGGCACTTGTTAACCTGGAAACTGGCCTTCGTAGTGGCAACCCATGAGGCTTCAACTGATGTGAAAGGGTATTGAAGAAAATGGCAATCATTTATCTCAGGAGAGGAAAAATATACCTTCAAATTACAAGGCATTTGAGGAAGGCTTGGGTCATAGTTACTATTAGGTGAATTGTGGCCAAGTGATTTTATGTAGTATACGCTATTCTAGGCAATGCCGATGTTGTATTTAACCAAGATCCCTCATTGTCTTGTGGTCCAACCACTGCTCATTTCCAGTGTCCAGCGCAAAGACGAAAGGGCCGAGAAGTAACACAGCGCGAAAAATTTCAAGGCTTGAATTGGATGTGACTCTATGAGGTTTGCCAAGATTATTTGTGTAAGCAGAATAATATGCATCTAGGAGGCAGAAGGAGGAATGATAATTCTCCTGCGTATCTGTTTCGTGATATGAGGATTTGGACAGACTTTACGTACAACATAAGCACAGAATATTAAAGTGGAAAATAGCGTTATGCATGGATTCGATGTAACAATGGATTAATTAACCTTGAGTGCCTTAGACTAAGGTCAAGGGATTTCGCTCTTGGCTCTCACCCCTGCTCTTATCAATACGGGCTCGGGTCATTAATGTCTCCGTGCCCAGAGATTATTTCATAGATGTCTCAATATACGATGTGGCCAAGTCAAACCGCCGGCCGTTGCTGATTCAGACAGAGATAGGACATTACAGAGTAAGAGTTACCTCAAAGTTGCCCAGACCAACATATGGTTCTGGGATGTAGGGAAAAAAGCTCAAAAATACGCTTAATGAAGCTGAAACATGGCACTACTATTGCGTGCTAGATTCCTAGCCAAGTAAGCTTAATCCCTAACCTTGTCCTAGACCTTGCACCACGGTTCCATTTCTAGAAAGAGATATATGTTTTAGCTAAATAGTGACACCTCGAGGCCTCTTTTAATCTCCGTGCTTCAGAGTTGGAGCGCAACATTCCGCATTCCGTGAGTAGAGGTGGACTAGGTGAGCTTGCCTGATTAGAACCCTCAGCACTGAGGTTACATTTTTTCCGAGCTTCCCTTCCGGGAAAAGGACTTGATGATTGCACGTACTGTTACTAACAATTGTTGGCGAGCTGCTAAGTTTCATGATCATCCTGTTCCATTATGCTTAATATGGTATGGCATTTGCCGTGAGTAATGGATATGTTCTACCCCGACTTTTCTCCTCATTTGTACTCTCGTGGCAAGATTGGGCGAATTGCGAGGCTAGTGGCCGATGTTAAAATCTTTGTCGACGGACACCCATGGCTGCAGGTACAACAAAAAGACCACCCCCTGCAAGTAACAATCTTGGCACTGCTGTCGTAATATGCCTGTATGAAATCCCGCTTTTGGTTTCCACGTCTGAGACGACCAACGTGAGTATGAACCTGAGATCCTTGCAGCCGGAGTTTTTGTACCTTGCGTCAGTCTTTTGTATATGTGATTCATAGCAACTCAATCCTATTGGATGAAGAGCCTTCTATATAAAGGCGAGTGACACCTACTATACCCGCAGGCAGGCTCAAATTTCTCTATCCCCCTGTCTCTGATTGACAAAATTTTCTCATCATGCGATCTTACCTATTTACTGCCCTTCTTGCCTCAGGCGGTTTCGCCGCTCGTGAATTTTTAAATGAGCCTGACACTGGTATTGACGATGTTCTCAAAGATCTCCCAAAGGGAACTCTGCCAAATTTATCGGACATCATTGGCCTCCCCGATTTTGACTGGGCAGCTCGCCATTATCTCCCAACGAAGAACTACACTTACTACCGGAATGGAGCTGCCGGAGAATGGTCATACCGTAACAACCTCGAGGTATTCCACAGATATAGACTAAGGCCTCGGGTAATGGTTGATATCACGAAAATTGAGAGCACGCTACCGTTAGTCAAATAGAAGAAGGGAAAAAAGAAGGCAAGCTTTATTTCTGACTATTATTGTTTAGGACAACTATCTTGGGTCACAACTTCTCTGCGCCAATTTTCATTAGCCCGTGTGCCCGAGGTGCATATGGCCATCAAGAGGGAGAACTCAACCTATTGAAGGGTGCAGCGGCTGGCAACATTTTATACATGGTATTTGAACCATTGACGACTCACGCAATCAACCCCTCATAATAAATTTAAATCTGACTTGTTTCATAGCCGGCATTGTTAGCATCATATACGATTGAAGAGATTGCTGCTGCCAAGGCCGAGGGCCAGGTCGTTTTTCAGCAGGTAAATATCCATCAAACTCAGATTCACAGTGGAAAAAATTGCTGACGCTGCAGAATTTAGCTCTACCTTTCCTCGAATGATACTGAGACCCAGGATCTTCTAGACCGCTCCAAGGCCGCTGGTGCAAACGCCATTGTATTTACCGTCGACTCTGCGGCAGATGGGAACAGACACCGAGCTGCCCGCTATGGCGTCGGATCTGCGTGGGTCGAACCGATATCGCACTGTTCCTAGATTGTTGCATATTGCTGACAATGGATTGTAGTGATTCTGAATATACTTACATCACCGTAAGTCTACCGGTGGATATTTTCTAACGCTTCATACCAATGGTTGGTCTGAATCGTGTCAATCTTCTGTTGCTAACTCACAATTCTTGTAGTGGGATTATTACAAGAAGGTCTCCACCATGACTGATCTCCCAGTCATTCTCAAAGGAATCATGACTGTCGATGATGCTAAGCTTGCAGTTAAGAACAAAGTTCCAGCTATCATTCTCTCCAATCACGGCGGCAGGCAGCTCGATGGGAGCCCTTCGTCTCTCGAGGTGGCTATTGAGATACACGAAAAAGCTCCTGAGGTCTTCAAGCAAATCGAAGTCTATGCGGACGGTGGTGTTCGATACGGTGCTGATGTGCTCAAGCTGCTGTCGCTAGGTGTCAAAGCTGTTGGTCTCGGTCGTCCATTCATGTTTGCCAACGTCTTTGGTACTAAAGGTATCGAAAAAGCCATCCAAATTATTAAACACGAGATTGCTATTGATGCTGCGAATCTCGGTGTTGGCAATCTCGACAAGATTGACCCCAGCTATGTGAGAATATTCTACCTGCTTCTGTAACCGAGGGCAATGCTGACTGCTATCATAGGTCCAGTGGACTCCCAACAACTGGATGGGATAAATTTTGGTACTGGTTAGGTTATAGAGTATAGATTTTACAGATATCAAATTACTATACATAATACTACAGGTGAGATGGATTCGACATCTCATGTGGACAATGGAATAGAGAATTTTAATGACTCTACAATAGTTCATATTTACCCGTTGGCACTGATATTGTTTGTCCTAGTAAAAAGAAGTATATATTACAAGCAAACTAGCAATCTCCTTAGATAGCTAACATACTGTGATTTATTTGCATTTGTTTGTATGAATGCTTGCATTAATTGCTGGAGGGGTGGACCAAATATCCAGTTGGCTCTAAGAGAATATTATATAAGCGAAGAGTGCCAGGTTCATGATGGCTGGTATGATTCAAGTCATTGGTTTGGTTGAGTGTCACTGAGTCATGTGCTTGCCCCTATTTATAGTAATTGCACGACAGAGATATAATAGTCAAATAACTGTCCAAATAATTCTAAAGAATATACGGACAATATCCTGGTTCTACCTCTTGACCCCTTTCACCTCCATTGTTGACGAATGTTGATGTCCTTCACACTATTTCCAACAGTCCATTAAAGCTTTGCTAATCTTCATCCGCATCGAGCAGTTCCAGAGCCGCAGTCGCTTCCCACACCATAGTCGCAGCAGGCCCCAGAGGGCGAGCATTCATAAACGTGATTGTTGACTCGCTTAGCGGTGATGATGTAGCCGTCGCCGTTGGACCAAACACAATTGCCGCAGTACTGGCCTTGCTTAAGGGGGTGCAGAGTGCTGCATTTGCAACCAGTGTTTTTACAGGCCCGTTTATCCAAGGAGAGAAGAGATCGTTCTTCGACCTGAGCTACGGCTTCCACACGGGCCTCGATGTCGACGCCAGCAACCGCTGCAGAGGCCAACGGAGCAATAAGAGCGGCAAGGAGAATGAAACGCATATTGGTAGTGTTGGTAGCTTTGTTTTGTGATTGAAATTGTATAATATTGGATCTTTGACCAGGGACGACTGTGGTAGACTGTTGATGCCGATGGTCCGAACGGCTTCTCGGCGACAGCTTTATATATTCCAACACGCCGCAATGGCTGCCAATTCAAGTTAAATATATTATTTACCATTACCATAAGCCCCGGGGAAGAATGACTCCGATGAGCCGTTGATATGTCCAATCATCAAGGCTGGTATTCATCTGGCCCTGGGGAAGTTCATTTGAGCATCATAGTTGAAGTAAGACGCTGTTTTGAACAAGGATGGTAAGAAGCGGCTGTGAGACTTCACTAGTAGGTTGTTTCACTCCTAAGATGTTTGGCGCATACTGTATAGTACTTGAGTACTACATACCCCGCTTGCTTGAGGTTACATTGCATCAAACAACTGTACTCGTAGGAGGCGAAACGAGGAAAAGTCTCAATTCGAATATTTCATTGGCTGTATCACCAGTAAGCAATGCTTTCTATTCCTCCATGCCAACTTTTTACATAATGTGGCTAGCAGCAGAGCTGATCTAGCCCGTCGGCAAAAGATCGAAAAGTGCTCTATCACAGCACAGCACACGGCCTCCTAAACGTCTCATCATTGGTTCAGAATACAATATGTGATCTCATTGCTCCACAGTGAATGAAACCGTACAATATTATTGATTATCATACAGACGGAGAAGTTTTCCCCGGTCCATGTGATTATGGATGCAAAGGCCTCGAAAAAATTGTGCACGCATAACTCGTATTATTTGCGGTATCGTGGGTTGAGAGATGAACCAATGCTTTCCATAATCAGAATAATCAGGGGTGAGAACTTAGGATTCATCAGTGCTTTTGAGCTAGGAGTGTTTATCTATTAGAACAACTAGTATTTGTTAAGCCAACAGGCAAGATAATAGCACCGGGCTCCCTTCACAGGCCTTGTATTTTTACCTCACAAATTTGGAAAAATTCTAGCTATGGTGTTGTCACTGATGAATATTTACTCTTAGTCTATCCATTGTGCTTATTGCGCCTGTTGATTTCCTGTGAGTGTTCATTGAATCTTGAAATCCGAAAGTACGAAAGGCGACAACAGAGAGGGCTAAGTATTTGTGAAGAATCTTATGAATGGTCATCAAGTCAGCATGAATTGAAAAATTGATGGGTTGCAACTTTCAGCGTGATTCTTCAACATATCTACTTATCACAGCCATAGGATACAGATATTAGATTCATAGGTCGGCTGATGTATTTGGAATGTCATAGAAGAGCATTTATTACATGGCATCCAGTACTGTTGGATATGCAGTTTGGTAAGTCCAGTAGAAATCGCGAAGTTGGGAATATATATGCTGCTAGGGTAGACCGAACGTATGAGAATGCTGGTTACGCCGAGAGACCTTTGGAAATTGCTTGCAGTAAACTGAGATGTCTGATGATGTCGGGCAGGTTAAAACCATGCTCTAATTTCGACTTCCGTACCATTAACTTGGATATTAAGTTCATTTTCCTCGATGTTAAAGTACCTATGGCATAATATTAGGCAGATTTAATTATTGCATTGGCAGACATAGAGGCTATATTGATGATTATGATTGGAAGATCAATAGAATTATACCAGTTATGTTAATAAACAGCTATTGCGTTGTAAAATATAGTATGACTTTTTTTAATTGCGTTATTGTAGCCAATGGTGATAAGGTATATGCATATATAATACCTAATGCCTAATTTTTCAAGCTCTGTAAATAGACTTGCCGTTCTCAGTTATGTTCAATATAGGTTGATCTATGTCCGCCGTAATCGAAATAATAATATTGGTCCGAAAAGAGATCCCAAAACTTGGGGTATCGTATTATAATGAGGCATTTCCCTAGTGACTTGAATCCTTTGCCCACAAGTTATTCTCATGAGGGCTCTACTTCTCACAGAGATTCCACAAGTTCAATTGCCTTGTGGTCAACAATTGCTGAGCCGTATCTTTCACTCATAGCGTGGACACGCTCTTTAGTCTGCAGTTTGTAGGGGGTAAGCATCCATCCAATGCCAGATAGGAGAGATTTGCGGTACTCGATCAGCACATCGTCAAGCTGGAGAGTTGGTCCTCCGAATTTAGCGAGAGCATCGAGGTAGTGTTGCAAGATGGACATTTCATGTTCCTTGCGGTCCGCTACAGTTAAGGCTCCCACAACAAAGTAGGCAAAGTCGTGGAAGGCTGATCCCACGTGGACGAGTTGCCAGTCTAGGAATCGTGGTTGGCCGTTAATGAAATATGTATTACCAGCATGCGGATCGCCATGGAGGAGACATGAAAATCGTGGGTCGCGGGACTTGAGGTGCTTTTTCATGGCGGCTGTGATACGCTCCTCATTCCAATCTGAGGGGAAGTGAGGTCGTGACTCGCCAACAACCAAACCTTGCCACCAGCTGCATAGGCTCAATATGGTGCTATCATAATGCTCCGGGTCAGTGAGCCAAGAGGGAAGATCATCACTCTTTGCTCCCCAAGTTCCGGCATGTAAGCCGGCGAGCTGCTCGACGCCAGCTTTTACCTGGTCTACTGACCACGTCTCTGTTGGTTCTCCAAAAGTGCCACCCTGCTGGATTAGGTCGTCCAAGATGACAATTCCTTGCTCGCTGTTAGACCCAGACCACCAGCACTTTAGCATATCCACGTGACTGAGTCTTGGAGCGACCCAGCTAAAGAATCCAACCTCTCGCGTGTAAATCCGAATCATGATATCTGGATATTGGGCGACGACGGCCTGGTTGAAACCCCCTTTCAGACAGATGTAGGTGGGCTTTGCGGCCACACTAGCCGCCGCCTCATCATCGTATGTAATGGTGACGAATAGCTTGCTAGCAGTTGCGAGAAGAATCCGGTTGGTGAATATAAAAGACCTGACTTTTTGCCCCAGCACACTGGAGAGCCACTCTGAGGAGATCTCCTCCGGGGCCAAAGGAAGCTTTTGTTCGGTCTCTGGCATGATAAAATTTGCCTTTCTTTAAGTAACTTTGAAGGGAATGATGACTGCACAAAGTCGAGTTTACCAAGGACGTTGGCTAGCTTTTAATCCCCAGTAAGCCAAGGCCCAGACCGTCCAAAAGACAAAGAGTCCATTCAGGGGCTCAGAAGCCGAGTGGATAGGCCATTCAATGTGCTTGCAGGTAGGGAGTAGTTCGCGATAAATTTCGCTCAACAATATACTCCGTACCTGTAAAGAAACAAGACGGCAGTCGTATACCAGGGGCTAGCGATACACGTACTTCCTATTCCGACTTTCACCGCTGCTTTGTACCAGCCCATTAATCTAGCATGCTTTTTTGCCCATTCGGAATCAGAATGAGCGCCAGATATGCATGGATGCCCCTGCTACTGCTGCATAGTACGGAGTACGGAGTAGTACGGTAGTAGTAAATTACAAGGGCTTGTCGGATATTGACAATCTGTCATGCCCACAAGTCTAAATTTAACAGGGGTGAACCAATGACAATCGACCAAAAGGGACAAAGTACGAAGCGAAAAACACGCAATGACAGAAGGGGATTACACATTGACACATTGATTGCTAAGATTGAGGCTATGGGCATACATAGTCTTATATAATGTAAGACAAAAATTTTTTGGCAAAAGCTACTCCAATGCTCTATACCATATAAGTTTCAATGTACTCTCCCAGACAGATTGCAGACTGATGGTGTTGGCATGGAGATGGACAATGCGGCCGCAAGTGTTCTCTGAGCCCCTGATCGTCTGAAAAAATACTAGTAGTAGCATTGCTTGACAAACAGTATGACATGTAAGGCCTCGCCAATGCCACCGACTGCCGTTCATGAAATGAGTCGACCCGCTACGTCCACATTTATCCGTCTTTAGACCTAGCTGACATGCAGAAATGGCTTCATCTTGTCTAAATTCAAACAACCTAAAGCAAGGGATGGGAGTTCGGTAGTCAGACTGGGAAGTCCGCGTACAACTTTAATGCTCATTCGAGTGCCACGGATTTCGCAGCATGAATATCTGCTCCGATACCTGCTCCGATATGATCCAGCCTGGTGCAGTTTTAATATAATAAATAACAATATGCGTCAATCTATTATACGCACAAAATACGGCGCTAATACTGCCGTTAATCCGTAATTGCGATATACACTTATGGTGCAGAGGATCCAATCTGGTACGGCGTTAATACTGTACATGCGAGAGGTTTGTTATGGGGCTGGAGTTGGCACCATGACTAACACAAGGGATGCTCAGGCTGTTTTGAGCTTCCACGAAAGGACCGAACAGGCTTCATCTCGAATTTCATGTCAAAAACTGAATAGGAGGCCCGCGGGGCGAAAGATATCACGTCCCATCATGCCAATATGAAGTAGCATCCCAAAGCACGCAGCTGCTTTCTTCTGGAAGTCGAATCACGCACTATGAATCCTAACTTTGCTGTAGTTGCTTGTAAAGGAGACTCGAGGATCGCCATTGAGCAAATCAAGGCCACTTCTAGCTCCGTATTACGCGGTATCAGAGTAGTATACAAGTATGAGAAGCAGGGAGGGCCGTGACCCCAAAAAAGAGGTACAAGTGACGCTACAAACGTTCTGTTTTTAGTAATTTTCCCGATTGATTGACACGTAGCGAGAATCTAGCGCGGCACTAGCCCTCCGGCATCGCCTTTCTCTCCCCGGACGGGCCGCAGAAATCTCGCGTGATCCATTACTATCTCTGCGTTCTGAATTCTTACGAGCAATTGGGAGGCATTGGATCAATCAGTTCAACCACCTACGAGAATCAACAATGTGAACTCTACAAGGCAGCTTTGCTTTTGGATTGAATACCCGAGTATTCCAATTACTGATTACTCAGACCCTAGGAAACATTGCATTTAGTCAGACATGAGCTGACCCTTGCTTTCATGCCTTGCTTTTGCCAGTAATTCTCGTACACAAAGAGCTTCCATGTGGGAATACCTTGCTCGGCCTTAACACGAAGAACAGAGTGAATCGCCGTGGCGGAGAGGATCAAAGAATTCTACTGTATGTAATACTCGTAAGTTGCCAATGGCCTGTATATGCCAGGGTTCTTATATGGATCTGGAACAATGCGGAAGAGAAATTGTTCCAGACTCCGCCTCTTTCTAAAGGCACATACGACGGCCGCCTAAGTCCGCCAGTGGGCAGATGATATCCCGCCGTCAGCAAATACAACAAGCTAAATGGCATAGTATGTAGGGAGCTTAGCTGTAGAAATTCGCTACCGCGGGAGCTAATGTATATCCCCGAGAGTGCAAAGTGCGAGGCACATCATTTCCTTTTACAGCTAACAGACGCCCAACAGACAAAACGTTTGACCCAGCTGCGCCCAGGAAAGAGGGTCCAAAGAGTCATTTGAATGGGCCAGGACCGAGTTTACTGACTAAAGACAGGCGCTACATCACTCCCCCGCAAATATTAGCTTGACACGCATGTACCATCCCTGTCGGTTCACGACGACGCCTACCTCAGCTCTCCCTTGTCATCTGCTGACATGGATAGAGAATGGGTCGTTTTCAACCCACTCTGCATTCCTACTATAAACAGTAGTCCGTATCGATCTATGCCTGCAGAAAGAATGAGTTGAACTCGGTACCCCTGAGATACACCGTTGAAACAACGGCAAAATTTTCTAGGGAACAAGGAGTTGTAGTAAATTGGCTCAACGCAAATCCTTAGCATTAAGTAATCGAATGGTTATGAAGTACGTATTAGATGGTTGTAGTCCCTATACCCTGAAAAGGCAAGCAAAGAAGGAAGCTTCGATAAACAGCCTGATGCTTCTGGATACCTTTTCCCTCCTTTACACGTACCCGCTTCACGTCCAACAACCAGGCATGAGAATAAAGTGCCACGATGAGCCCAAGGGATAGTTTCTGGTCCGTCATGGTGGCGTTTGTCGTCATCAACAGTGTTACCGTTGGGTTGAGACTATGGCTCCGAATCTCAAGTGGGAGTTTTGGATATGATGACTGGGCTACATGTGTTGCATTTGTGAGAAACGGGCTTTACCAACCTTCCGTCCCGGTATACTAATTCATTTCTATGCAGGGCGTATTTGTCGTCTTCTGTGCCTTTGAGTTCCGGGCCCTTGGCTATGGATATGGCTCAACGGAGATGCTGCCTGGATATAACCCGATACTAGCAGCTGAGGTTGGTTGTCTCATTGGGCTGAAGATTGATTGTGATGTTAATGCTTGACAGTTCTTCGTCATCGCGCAGCTGTTATATCTCATCGCGCAGCTAGCTGCAAAGATCAGTGTGGCGTTGGTCCTCTACCGCATCGCCACAATGGCGCCTCTGATACGAAAGACACTCATTGCTTCCATGGCAATCTTGTCCATTGTATCTGTGGTTGCAATCTTCATCTTCGGTTTCCAATGCCGTCCTCTTTCAGTCGCTTGGGGGGTTGGCACCGGCACATGCCTACCAGGATCGACTATCGCCAATGTAGCGTATGCTGTCTCGGCAGCAGATATTCTCTTTAGCTGGTTATACGGAGTAAGTGATCTTGTCTCGAAAATCATGCGAATATTCACAAAGTCGAACTCTCTCCACAGTTTGCAAACAATAACAACTCCTCCATGACTGACCCATTGAAATAAATAGCTGCTACCAATTTACCTGCTCTGGAGTGTCCAGATCAGCATGCGAACAAAAATTGTAGTGTCAATTCTACTTGGTTTCGGCGCGGTGTAAGTGGAAGCAATCCTATTTGAGACATCTTTGGCACTAATAAGAGATGATTTAGGAGCTGCATTGCCACCATTTTGCGACTCAACTATGCTGTTATGGTGGCTCAGCTACCATCTACCGCCGCAGCACAGGCTGTCGACTTGCTCCTCACGGCAACTATCTAGTATGTCGAACCTACTACGAAAAACAACTGAAGAGCTAACCAGCATGTCTAGTTCCGCAACTGAAGTCGGCCTGGCAATCTTCTGCGCTTCGCTTGCAGCACTGAAACCACTACTGAAGTTCATCCCTTGGATCCCTGGGTCTTCCAAAGGCACGTCCAAGTTCGAAAGCGGTATCGAGCCACGAGGCCCAAGCATTCGCCTTCAAGATCGACAGGTGGATACGGGGAGCGAGGAGAGCATTCTCCCAAATGCACAACACCACATCCAAAAGACAACACATTATGAAGTCAGCTACGAGGCGCACTAGAAACTCTTGAGAATATCTAATATTGTCAAGCGTATTATATACTATTACCTCTCAAGAACATCTTCCATTTTATTTATCCATCATAGACCTATAGCTACCTGGTGTAGTTACCATTATTCCTCAGTAGTAGTAATATTCATCTCTCTTTGCATTATTCGGTAGTTTAGTTATCAATATCCAATTTATTAGCTTGAGGTTAGTACTGTTCACATTTGTGCCGGTTAGCTGCACTAACTTCATTTATTTTTGATATGGTTTTATGGGTGATATACCATTATGTCCCATTTTATTCAATTTCTTTTTGTACTAATATCCTGCACACATTGTCGCATACCGGTATTGTGCTCAACCACTAGCACGTATTTGCATTGGCCCTTAAGGAAATAATGCGTGTTGCAATGACTATCTGTTGCAAAGCACAGTCAAAGGAAAGAGTGATTTGAGCGGTGGTGGATCTTATTTCTCCCTGAATAATGCTCTTGTATTATAGAGATTTAACAACCCCCAAGGTTTACCAAAGTATATGCCGGGTCGTAAGAATTGACTGATGTTGGCTTTGAAAGTTTTTTATGAAACCTGCCGCTCGTGAGATGGTCGCACGCCAAAGCCAGATTTTGCATAAACCATATCGATAGCCTTCATCTGTGCTATACTTTCGTCCGCTGAAACCCATATCCCATTTCCACTGCGCCCTTTGATTCGTTGGACGAATTCTTCCAGCTGATAGCGGTAAGACTTCCAGTACGTCTCACCAGGTTGTTCCATGCCGATCTCGCGGAATGAATGAGCGGATTTCGAAATCTTTTCAGTCCATTTTTTAATGGGCTGTTGGTCATCTCTGTTGCGTACTTCAAATGTATCTTCCGTATCGATGCGGTTATATATGGTGGCAAACATGTGCCCGTAAAACACGACCTTTCGCGTCCGTATTTTCACTTGGTTGGGTTCGATAGAGTCGTCTGGAACTTCTGTTGGTCGGTGCAAAACTTCGAGATTCGGGAGCCTGAACTTCAGCCATGGCACATCGTACGTTCCTCGTATCTCTCCAATTGCACCACCGGGAAATTGAAGCTTGGCTGTGTATTCTGCATCGCAAAGTTCACTTGCCGGCGGCACTGTTGGCTTCACGGTACACTCAACGCAAGATTCAGGTTCTGCTGCGAAGATTGCTCGCAGCGCTGATATTCCATAGGATCCTAAATCCATGATTGCTCCGCCAGCTAAGTCATAGTTATATCGTATGTCAGTCGGTTTGATGATGCCTGTAGGGACCAATACAGTATGGCTAGCATAAACGACGTCGGTTTGGTTGATTTGAGACATGAAGTATTGCCATGTTGGGTGAAAATTGTAATGCACAGCGTCGAGCAAGACGGGCGCTCCAGGTTTGCTCAAAAGAGGCGAATGAAAGAGTAGCTCTGCTTCTGTTGCGTTGGATACAGAAGGCTTTTCTAACAGTACGTGTTTGCCTTTTTCCAGGGCAGCTAGTGCCCATTGAAAGTGAAGGCCATTTGGTAGAGCAATATAAACAACATCGATGGATGCATCATTAATCAAGGCTAAATTTCCCAGGTTAGTTCAAACGCTTGCATATTTGTTTCTGGTAGGCAGTTTGCATGATGAATTGACGAAACTCAGCAGCGCGAGGAAAGAACATGCCATCATAAGAGTCTAGTACCACTGGGATACCATGTTTATCTGCGTATGCTTTTGCTTTTGCTTTATCTCGTGCGGCTACCGCTTGAATCACAACTTCGGGGTGGCTACGGGCTGGGATAAAAAGGGCATCTGGGCTAAAAGGTCAATGTGATAACGTTAGATGAGTATCACTGTACATTTGAGCAACGCCCATTGGATGCTCACCCAATGTTGGCGGCGCCCAGTATCCCAAATCGAATGGGATCGGATGACTTGGGGACAATTGGCGGATTAGATGCCTTGTAATTTCTGTGAAGGAAAGTGAATAAGCCTGCCATGTTGCACAAAGTTGTGCGCTTCGTGGATATTTGAACTAAGTCTGAAGGCTTTTGCTGAAGGGAGGTTGAGGAACTCGTTGACACGTGTTTCTCTATGTGTAGGAGTAAACGAATTGACGGCGGAGTTTTTCTGGGCTCCCGCTATCTTGATAATTTGTCTGACTTCTCACTCAGCGCTGTTCCCAAATTTGATGCTTTGAGCGAGGCAAACCCGTCGACGGGCATTAGTTTGGTGGCGGATGTTATTGAGCTCCACTAGTTTGTGGACAATGATGTTTGTAAAGAATCAGAGAAATAGAAGTAAGAGTAAATTGTTGTAAAAGATCTGCCCATTGATATAGAATATCGTACGGTAAGCACTAAAAAACGCCATAACACGAATTCTGTGCAACTCCGAGGTTTAAACACGTCTCTCCACACGATTACATATGCAGCAATATTAATCTGGTGCCCAACTTGTTGTAGTGGCCTGGCCACTCGCTTCTGTTGATGTCCAACGAACTTGGGTGTTATTAAGTAGGTCCGTGAAGAACAGTTGAAACCCCTCGCACCATCATCAGCCTGGAACCATTAAGCATTAACACTTTATTGAGCAGCATATAAAAGCACGAAAACCAATGATAATTGAACAGTATTCAAATGTAAAAATACAAGTTATCCCTATAACCAATGCATGCTCCAATTCCAAAATCTACCCAAGCCGCACTTTGTGCCACATTCGCAAACATTCCTGCAAGTCCATTGCCAAAGTCCCCTCCAACGCATCAGACGTGTCTTTGATCAAAGCAATCAATAAAGTTGCTTCAGCAAATGTCGATTGATTCTCTTGGATGTTCTGATAGTCGGACTTTCTCATGCCTCCCATATCCGCCCACGCCTTCCAAGCGTCCAACATCTTGCAAATAGTAGAGGTGAATTCTCCATCGCGAACCATGCGATGCAACATGAGGCCAACAATTTCTTTAATGGACAGGGATTCGTTCCAAATATTGCGAGCTTTTAACCAAGTTAAGCAATAATCAGCAACGAGCTTTGTATCCCATTTAGGACTTTGCAGAGCTTCCATGGCCCGCTGGTCACGGCGATGTTGCTCCGTCCTCATTTTGTCTCGCACTGCATCGCGAAAACTGATTAGCATAATGATAGGCAAGATTTATCCAAAAATCTGGAAGCAACTCACAGTCCTGCATCCGCTGCTCCGACTCTCTGCGCATTCTGTCCTTGACTGCTTGTTCACGCTGAGCTGGGGCCATTCTAGATTCCGCCTCCATCGCGTGGCGCTGCTCTCTGGTTCTCTGGGTGAACTGATCAAGAGAAGCGCCGTAGTCATTGTGCTTTGTAGCCCACTCGGGTGTCTCCGACTCATCCACCATGCCGAGCAACACCAAGACGCCACATGGCACCGTCTCTTTTCTGGAAAATGACAAGATATCATCCGGGATTTTGTAGTTCCAGAGGATTGTCTGGCTGGAGGTACCATACGCTGTAGCGGCGCTCGCAAACCATACACCATTCGACTTTCGGGACTGTATGCGGAGATGTTCGATGTAGAGGGTCTCCGGCGTAATATTGCTGTTGAGGTCTCCCTGGACCAATGCTGTGACAAGCCCAGATAGGGATATCTCGCAAGTGATATCGTTTTTTACGTTTGCATGAACTTGTTGCTCAATGGAGCTGGTGTCGTCGTGACTTGGTGCTTCGCTGGCGCTCCCGCTGTGAACCTGATCCTCATCTGCTTCATGTACCTTTTTCTCGCCCTTTTTCTCACTCTTCTTCTCACTAAAAAGAGCTGGTTCACTTGATTTGCCGGCTGGTGATGGTAATCGAACCCAGTACGGTGGGAGATGGGCGTGATCTCGAGTGATCCAAGAGCTAGACCAGGCCACAGCAAGAGACAGATGTCCATCCGAGTCGTCCAATGGGGCAATGGTAAGAGCCTTTTCTCTGCCGTCGGGCGACATCATCAAAGAGCAGCCCACAGGCGCCCACAGTCCCGTTGATCTCAACAGTTTCCAGCCATGAGGATCTGGGACAGCACCGAGATCTAGAAGATAGGAAACTAGTTCGGTAAACGCGACCTCGACCTGAGGTTGGCGCACCTGATCGGCATACTCGACGCGCTGAGTCTTCATACCGATTGCATTCGTTTTCCAATTGAACGTTGTCCAGCTGCCACCGGGAATTGAGCTGGGATGGCGCGACAGCGTCCAGTACTCGGATCTGTTCTGGAATCTATCTAAGGGCATGACGGCATACCGCGGCAATTCAATCTCGATGACGCGATTCACGACATCACTACGTGTCAGCGCGGTGAGGCGACTTCGCCGGAGCATGCGCTTTATGCGGGAGAGAGAGGCGAGGGTTGCGAATGTGTTGTAGAGGATAGGGAGAACTGTGGACTTGGTCAGTGGCTTTCACCTAGAATCATGATTTTTGTATCGCATTACCTCCCAGCACCGCCAACGGCACACCAATGTAGGTGATGATGTCCGTCGCTGACTTGCCATTGTCGGCCATTGTGATCTGAAGCCTGGCACTGCAATGAGCAAGGAGATCCAGACGCTCAACTTTTGACGACAGGAGAATAAGTTGAGATTCAAAGAGATGAGGCGCAGCGAATAGCTGCCTGTTAGCCTCAGCTGCTCATCTTGTTTAGTGTTAGCGCTGTGACTGGGCATCTCAGCTGAAGTCAGCCGCGCCAGATCTTGCAACACAAAATCTCGCCATTTATTGACCTGCTAAAGGGAAACTTGGATGCAAATCATTCTAGAGAAGATACCTAGTACTAATATCCTCGGGTAAGATGAAGGCGTATTGTTCAGCCATCTTGTCGCATTCAGTGCTATGGAAAGATGGATGCAGTGTGAGACTAGAGCCCTGGTTGAGTCTTCTTCTGCCGGGTACCTGACGCTATCTCGGTTAGATGCTCCATATTATCAGCCTCCAGCCCGGCTCAGGCTCCCATCGAATCGGCCAGGGCTTCCCACCCACTAAATATGACTCCTTAACGCTAGAACATTGCGGAGTAGACAAAGAACGTTCATAAAGCACCTTCTACGCAGACAGTACCATTGGCGGTGACATTATTAAATTGTATCAATTGCCATATAAACACAGAATTGCGATTCGTATTTTTATTGTCCTGAGGTTACATATATAGAGATGTTTTTTGTACTTTTGTTGTGTTGCCTCGATGACACAAAACGCGCTTAGGAGGAGCTTCTGCATTGCCATGAGACTGAACTAAAATACCGAACGGATAATTTTTATTACTTTGCGTCTGTCCATCGACAGCTTTTCCTTATCCACGCCTTTCGATCATCAAAAGAAACAAGTACGTTACAAGTTAGCCTCTTTCTCCTCCAAAGCCGTCAGCGCCCGGCCTCCCTCTTCATTGGAAAGTTGAAATCGTATTTGAGACGGACACAATCTTGGTAGCAATGAACGATACCTGGTCTAAATATTTCTCTTCAATCATCTGTCATGCAATAGATAGAAATGACTCTGGAGGCATTCCATCTCGAGAAAGATACGTGTGCATCTCTTTGGCGCCGCGATTGCGATAATCGCCTCAATCGAAGGCAATTGAAGTGCGACACACGCGAGCTAAAGTTAGTGCCAACGACAAGCCGGCTATGCCACCCCGATAAAGAGAGTATCGTAGATAGCAGGGGCTTTGCAGGATAGCATGCTGTCAGGTAGATAGCCGAAAGTTAATGGAGACTGCTAGTTATCTCAAGGAAGTACAAGACCGATAGTGAAGGCGAGGGGGAAGATTGAGATCATGACCTGGAACAAAAACGCGAATAGGCAGAGAAGCAATCAAATCGGGGGCTGAGGAAAAGAGGGGGGGAGGATTCAATACAGGGAATCGAAGTGAAATGAGTGAAAACAGAAAGCAGACAGAGTCGATGTTGGCTGATTGGAGCTTCAAAAAAAAAAAAAAAGTAATGATCTATACTCTCGTTAAACTACCTCTATCTATCCATCCATGCCTATCATTAAATTCAAAGGCTGTTGTAAACTTCCAAGGCAGCCTTAGCCGTCGAGGCAGCACTCGCGGGGTTGGTACCGGTTACCACGCGACCATCAACGATGTGCAAATCACCCCAGACATCATCGGGACGTGTGTCTGTCGTTAAAATTCTTGTGTTAGGGCCTTTTAATAATCTCATAGAGGGGAATATACTCACACGTAGCCCCTAGAGCAGCAGCGTGCTCCTCCACGAGAGGCTTGCCCCAGGATTTGATCTCGGACATGATGTTCAGGACATCTTCTCCCTCATTGGTGAATCCGGTAATGGTTCTGCCAGAAATAATCGACTTTCCAGTGGTCTTATCCTTAATATTGGCGAAAATGGCGGGGCCGTGGCAAACTGCAGACACAACACCACCGTTTGCCCAGACTTCCTCGGCGATTTTTTGCAGGCCAGTAGCAGTTGGGTAGTCAATGAGGGCAGCATGGCCAGCCGAGGCGAAGAAGATTCCATAGTTGTTACCATCAAGCCCGGCTGGCGTCGGCATGTTGTCGAGTTTCTTCCGAAATTCGCTTTGAAGATCCTCGTACATCTCCTTGTCGGAGCCCTTTAGGAAGTCGGGTTGGAGTGAGAGCCAATCTGGTGTATATTTTCCAGTCTCTGAGACCAAGTCAACTTCAAAGCCGGCATCACGGAATACGCGAAATGGGTGAAGAGCCTCCGAAATGAAGACGCCGGTTGTCTCTTTGCCATTGAAGAGGTCAGCCTTGGCCGAAGTGACGGTAATGACAGCGCGCTTTGGAAGAGGAGCCATTTTCTTTTGGTATATAAATTTAGTTGTTTATCGAAGATGATGTGAGAGGTGATCTGTTAGGAATCCGCGGTTTAGTTGCTGAGCTCGGGAGAGTGCCTTTGTTGATTGACTGGTTTGGGTGATGAAACTGATTCTTTTGCTCTCTTGTCACGCCGGTCATTCTGATCTTTATATACTAATACAGAGGGATTATTTACTTCTGGATTTCTTCAAAATACGTCATGGTTGCTACATCCCACGTTCTGAGCCACGTCTTGGTCAATAGCCTCAGTTACACCAGCCAGTGGTGGCTACACCTGTAGTTTGTCGGGCAACGGAAGACTTTGACTGCCATCCACTTAGCTTGAGCTAAATTGAGTGGGGGCTGAAGCGGTTGACACCACTTTATCCAGCAGCTTCCGAAAGAGCTTTCACTCTTTTTGGAGCTCAGTGGATGCCATTTGAAGTAATAGCCCGCGGAAATGGATATGAAAAAGTTGGCTATTGTGATGAAGAGCTTAGTTTGGGCTAATTTGGTAACCTAGTGGATGCTAGGCGGCATCAGCCGCACCACCAGAAACGGAAACAATGCGAAAGCTTAGCTCGCTTGGTTCGCCTGTTTGTTTATCAGTACCTATAGTATTTATGCCGCTTGAGCACATGTGAACTCATAGCTATTAACTAGGCTGACTAAAGTGGACAGAGCTTCGTCTAGAGTATCATTGAGGCTTTCTCGTGAATTACAAGAAGAAAGTAGACATCTATGATCTTTTATTCTATATCTAATATTTCGATCAATATTCACACAGTAGATGACACGCAATCTCAAAATATACTTTGAGGGAGAGGATATATACGCCAAGTCAATACAGGTCGGGCGAGCAGATAAATATTGCATTGGTGATGATGCTCCAGTGTTGCGGGGCATGTCATGTTCAGAAACACAGACTCGATTGGCTGCATTTCAGGTAGACTATTTTTGACAAATATTGAAAACGAGATATCAATTACTTGGCATTCGTTCTTACTGGCCTCTTCGTCGTCTCTCCTGCATTTCTCCTCAACTCGGAATCCTTCGGGAATATCTGTGGATTTACCTTGTCGCTAGCGTAGCTCGCTAGCATGCTCTAATTGTCGCTTAGATCGGCTCTGTCAGAAGACATAAGCTCAGCAGCTATTTTAGTTTGACATCTACTGACTCAATATGGCATCCGTCTACTTCTTATGGGAAACAAGGCGGAAAGCCCACGGGATCAATTGAAGGAACTGTCTGCGGAAAAAGGTTCAATAACGCAGGAACTTTCTGACCAATCTTTTCATCCGCTATGGATACATTCTTCACCCATTCTACGCGAATTATTATTTAACGTCATAACGATAAATATCTGTCTCTTTGAAGAAAGTCTGGGGCGACACAATTCGTTCTCGGAATTGAGATCCTTCGCGTCAGAAAGGAAAGTTTTGCCTATCTAGTAGTCCTAATTTTCCCTGTTCCATTCTTATATTAACTTATCGTTTTTCTTTTTTTGCCTCATCTCTAAACTTGATTGGCGGAAACAGTAGTCTCTCATCTCACGGTCCTTTACGGCGTGTCGGTCATACGACAGCCCGAGTTACCTAAAGCCGGCGGCGAGATATGGGCATATGTGGCTCACTAATCTAAAGCTGACCTTGAGCTATGAGCATGCACTATTACTATTAGCAATGCATCCTTGCCCATTCGCAATTTTTTCCTCAAAGGATCATAAAATGGATATAGCTGTTGCACCACCATAACAGGGAATTGCGTCTGACGCCTAGATCCAGTATATTATTGAGAGATATGTGTTCGCATTAATCGATAAGCAATAACACATGTATGTTTCATTACTCTATTTCCGTGCTCCCTTACGTTTGTGGTACCGTTTGTACGGAAACCACCCCTGAAAGACAGTTGATTATTCATCGATTTTACTTAATCTAGACTAAAGAAGACCAGATACTTCATAAATCTTGTTCGTTTCGATTGTAAAAAGAAATGTACGGCTTTGCTTATATTTCTTCGAAATGAGCAGAGAGGTTAACTACAATATATATAATACATCATTTTCTCATGACCGAAAGCAGAATACAAAGTGGTTCACGAACCTGGTCGCGGGCTCTCGCACGTATAGTAAGGCAGCCCTAGATTTAGATTGCTTGTATCCGCTAGTGTGTACTATATTTAGGAGCATATACGGAATTAAGCCGAAAAACATCTATCAAACCGGGACTACGAAGAATCAGGATACATTTATACGCTATAGAGCTTAGAATTCAGATATTCCTTGCTCCATATCATTATTAGTGAAAACGATGCGTTTTATGCGTAATCTCTGTTTGTTAAGGGCTTACGTGGTATTTCGCATTCGCATAGGTCTAAGGTTGAGCTTCAACTCACTAGGTATGCGAAATGGCCTGCGTCTGCGTTGTACTCACACAGATAATTGCAGATGATGATTTAAAAGAATAAAAAGCATAAGCGGGACGATAAAGTATCCTCACTGTAGGCGTATATTCAGGCGGTATTCGGAGGACGCGATCCTATTAGGGCTAGATGAGTTGGAAGTGGAGGAATGTTCGCTCATACAAAATATATATTTATAAAAGAATGTGATGGGCCGCGCCAGCCACTAAAGAACGCCTATGGAATGATTCAAAGCGTAATTTAAAATGAATATAGGCAGGATGAAAACGATATCCTCCAACGAAGATCGTCCTACGGTGTATCAATATTAATCGCATAAATGGACGATTGCAGAGTATATAAAGAATTCTTTGAGACTAAGTATTCTATCGGATAACATGGAATCTATACCGTTAAGTATCTATATCACAATCAAGTGCGAAACCACAATGTTACCGATGCTAATGTAACATCTATAGACAGAGAAGTTTGAGTGACTGACTAGGCCTGTGGCCTCCCAATACGTGTGCGCTTCCATAGCGTTTATGGTGGTTTAGGAACAAAAGAACACAAGTAATATTTATATATCAATATGATCAACTAAGACTAGCAAACATAAAACCTATACTGCGGACGGCAGATATAAGAGTAAATGTAGTGTCTTAGCAGCGCGTTGCATCATGCTACTAATAATCTCATCATAGCCGAAAGACATATCTTCTTCGGAGGTCATTCTATGCATGAGCCATACTATCAGATCCAACATTGTAACGACTCTGTAAATGGTTATGGTGAAAGTCGTCGAACTACCAGGCCAATACTTGCAGAAAGGTTTAGCCCATCACTCAATTTTATTTTTATTTTTATTTTATTTTTTATTTTATTTTATTTTTATTTTTATTTTTTGTTTTCTTTCCGTGCGCGGAGAGAAAAATATTGTTGAAATTATATGAGATATTTTTCTGCAACGCCTGTATTCAATTGCATGCAATCTCCGCATAGAACCTAACACTTGAGTTGGTTGGGTGTTGGTTGATGTTTCGCAGCTAATTCCGAGTTATGATTAATAAGATCACATTTGTCATCTAGAGAATCCTGTTGAATTTGTCATCGTGTGAACACTATTGTCAAATAAAGATAAAGAATAGGATATATAGTAATAAATATTGAATATTATGATGCTTCCTCTATTACAATCGCGTAAAAGTATACCTTGCTGTGGTTTTTCTGGAGAGCTCTTTTGCATGGAAAATGAGTCAAACTGTCGTTCTCATTACCGGTGGAAACCGAGGCCTGGGACTCGGGCTAGTCAAAAGCTTCCTTTTACAGTCTAACTATGTGAGGATTCCGACAATTTCCTAGATTGTGAAATGTTTAGTGATTAATGAGTAAAACAGACTGTTATTTCCGCCAACCGCGACCTTAGTCATACAACTTCCAAGGCACTTAGCGACCTTCCTAAGGCTGAGGGTAGCAATATTGTTGTCTTGAAGTACGACGCTGGAGTTGAACAGGATGCTTTTAATCTTGTAAAAGATATAAAAGACAAGCATGGAATTGATCACCTCGATATTGTTGTCGCTAATGCCGGCATCTCAAAATCTTACCCTCTTGTGAAAGATGTCCGGCGAGTTGATATCCAACAACATATCGACGTAAACGCCTATGGCATGGTATTTTTATACCAAGCTACACGTGAACTTTTGCAAAAGTCGACCAAGAAGCCAATTTTCGTCACGATTGGCTCTGGTGCTGGCTCACTTGGGTGAGTCACTACAATCTGATACTACATATGTTCCAGAAAATTAATAATCATATATTAGGAGGCAACCGCCGGTTCCAAATGCTGCTTATGGGCCATCCAAGACTATAGTAAACTGGTATGGAGTTAGGATTAACGCCGAGGAGGAGTGGCTCAATACTTTTGTCTTGGATCCCGGCTTCGTTCAGACTGACATGGGCAATGCGGCAGCACAATTTTTTGGCATGAGTGAAGCTCCGGTTACCGTCGAAGACTCTGTGAGTGGCTTATTCAAAGTCATTACAACGGCAACTAAGGAGACACATGGCGGTAAGGTTGTATCATACAATGGTGATATTCTGAGCTTTTGATAGTCCCTAGGCTCAAATAGACAGACTGAGCTGGACGAAACAAGTGATGTTTCTGAGGAAGTGGCATACAACCGCCATGCGCTGTAAACCAAATACTATAGTTAAAATGCTAATTGATTAAACAAGAAATAGATTGGCCAATGTCATACGTAGATACATTGCAGCAACTATCTTGTTGAGATAGAGCAAGTCTAATCTACCCTCCACCCTCCACCAGCCTGAATGCACCAGCTTTGTCAATAAACACATCATCTCACTATGCCCGAGATGTTTAGTTGCTCTTCGGCAAATTATCAGCAGGGAGATGCCGCATATTGTAGCCTGATGAATGACATGACAGCGTTGGAAGTGTCCAGGATCACTTTCAATACTGAATAATGGTGAGTCACTTATTCAGTATTACGAATCAGATCTCAAGAGACGATCCTCTTGTCCATGTCGGGGTTGCGGATGCGAACGGTATATTACATATAATCATACTGCATCTAGATAGTGTATATGCACCTTTCTCTAGGAAAAGGCTTGCTCTCTAGCTTTTTAAGACCCCCCTTTAAAAGGAGCCCAGGGTTATAGGCATGGCTGGCGCTGTTAGTTGCCCACAATATGGTGGCGAGACTTGCCACGAAGGCGCTGCCTAGGGGGGTGTCGAAATAAAAATCAGCCCCGTTGGGGTCCTTGAGAGAGATGTAAAAAGCTTGAATTGAACATAGAAGAGGGGTGCCTGTTGAGGCATTCTATAGCTAGCAGCCGGCTTTTAGTCCAGCTACTGACTACGCTGCTATCTGCTTCTTATAGCTATCGAAGCTGCAAATCCATTCCGACACACCCCCGCACCAAATGAGGATATTGTGAGCACCTGATTTAGTGGAAGATTTGGCGGAAGAAGCCGGATCCTCGGAGTTGCAGCAAGATTCCAACCTAATAGCTTCAAGCCACTTATTCGAATAGCTGCCGGCCGGACCGGTCAACTATAACCTTCGAGCTTCAAATAGCTGCCGGCCAGACCGATCAGCTAGATAGCTTCCTTCCTTCCTTCCTTCCTTCCTTCCTTCGTCAGTTAAATAGTTGCTGGCCACGCTACCGGTCAACTAGATAACGTAAAGCTTGAATAACTGCCGGCCGCGCCAATCAGCCAAAGGCAATAGCCAATAGCTGCCGGCTGCAGCAATCTAGCCAGCTATAGCAAACGGGAATAGCTTCTAGCAGAGGGATGTTACTAGAAAGCTCCAGGCAAGCAATGATTGCTATTTCCTTTAGCATCTTCCTTCTGGCTTCTTGCTAGTTATCCTGATGCTGATACGTAAGCCTCGTGCAAAGGCCTCGTGTTATAACTCGATCCGAGAGTCATAGCCTAATAAGCATCATGCTATTGCTCTCTTGTAGCTCGGTCAGGCTATGGCTTAATTGGCAGTGATGCCTTGCCTTCCCTTAAGCAGGGTTCTCAACCAGATTAGTAGCTAATAGCTGCCAACAGCGCTGTCAGCCTAGCTATATAGCTTCTGGGATAACTTGCTATGCTCTTGGAAGCATAACTTTACCTGATGGACATTAATGACTGATAACCAACGAGGTCATATTTCACCACAATCGGCTTTGCAGAACTTTTCTGCGAGTAGTGGCATAATCAGTGACCTTTTTGATATGAGGATAACTGGATTCCCCATTCTCCAATTTCCAGGCTATGACTTAGGCGAAACTCTCTTCTATTTAGATCAAAACAGAGTGGTATTACCATGGCAGAGTATTTGCAGTTATGAGAGGGGTATAGGTCTTCCAATACCATCTAAGCCCTTGGCTAGACCACTCGAAGTCACTGAATAAGATAACCGGATTGACAGGAGCCAAGCTGACCCTGGCGCCGAAGCTGCCGTAGGCTACAGATCTCAGGAATTTTTTGGCCGACTATCATCTAGATTCGTTATAGGCAATGCAGCTGCGTAATTTGATACGAAATTCTCAGGCTCCAGCTTGGCATCATTCACTAACTCAGCCTGCCATAAGTGAGAAGCCTCTTGCAAGATTCCCTAATGAAAGAGAAATCGGAGATAAGATGCATCTGAAAATCGTGAGAATGATGGAGCCCAGACATAAAAAGATGAAGTTTCTCGTGTTGATACGGATTTTGCTAACGGAACTACTTGATGAAGCCCTTTAGTGCCTTCATGGATCAAGACTGCTCTCTTTTTCGGCATGTTTGGACCAATTAATCATGACTTTTTGGGCAGTTGATTTAACGAGAGCAAATCCAAGTGACTGGCAATGCATCTTCTTGATGTGGTAAAAGTAGCTCAAGAAACTGGATTAGGATATCTCGATGATAGCGACCGGCCCTATTAAAGCAGTGGTAGAAGCTCCGGCGGTTAGTTCACATGCTCGTAACATAATTGAACTTGCATTAATGGAATCCAGCAAAACACAGTTCAGATTGGTGCTGTAATCATGGCCAAACATTTTGGTTTGTGTAGAAGATGTGTACTGGAGAAAATGGAAAGCAGCGAGAACGTTACTCATGACTCAAGTCATGACACGGAGACATCTTTCTTACCCCTAATTGATCACTTTCTGGGTAATCTTCAAGGGTCCAACAACAAACTAATGCATGCAACCTCGTGAGTGCTTGCATGACGGCGGCGGGCGATAGGCCAGTCGTGAAAAGATAAGTGACTTATGGGCTGAGCGAGGCTTAATTTAAGCGATGCTCCATTCTTTATGGCACAGCAATTACAATTATGTGATTACTCTAAATAGAAACACAAAGCATTAGTCGCTTCCCATCAAGCTAACTAGCTTCTTCGACAACTGAAAAGGCTCCTGGCATTTGCAACTCTCAGAGTCACACCTTATCGCTGACCAAAGAGAGGGTGCCCGAAGAGCGGAAACCCTTTGTGGGCTAATTTGTAGTTGATTACTCAGTCATCTTTGAGCGACGGGCCCTATAGTTATAGCCCCTTATTTATCCAAGTGACGGATTCTTCTCTAATGTCACTGCCGCTCCATCGGCCAGATGGAACTGATAGTAAAGGCATAGACTCAATCCTAGACACGCACAAGAGCTTCAGATGGATATAAATACGCACATTTTGCACTAAATTATGAACCCAAAGTCTCAATCGGTCCAGCGGAAGATATTTGAGTGCTGACTGGCCTGTCTTGGAGCCTCGCGAAGTCCACAAGACCCCCGTGCGCAAGTCTCTCCAAAACACGTAGTTCAAGTTTCCGCAAAAGCTAAGCCTTGCAATAGTCGCAATCACATCGAAAGGCTAGCCTTTTCCAAACAATTTCACTATTATCAACCCGTTGCCCGGCTATTCAGCCAAGGCCAAAACCTTCACTGTTATGTAGCTGGGCGTCTTAATTGCTACAGTCTCTCCAGGCTTTGCCGCAAAAACTTTACTATTTCTGTCCTCGCACCACGCCAAGGATGTATCTAACCCCGACTCGTCCGCCACTGCATCGCAGGATTGGCAGCCAAGCAGGGATATGGAGCAGTCTAGCGCCATGGGGTAAGATTATGGTTCCCCAACGAAGTCCTCGCGTTAGCTAACCTGTTCAGGTATATCAAGGGGGCTGTCTCTACTCATGCAACGACATTTCAACAATCCGAACTGCACTTGAGAGAAAGCAAAATGCTCACAACCGCCGAACGTTTCTTGACTGGGTACACAGACTAACCGCGTGCAACAGTGGCTGTGATGGCTTCATCGTTCGCTCCACTCTCAATCATTGAGCCCCAAACGCTAGTTTTGACAGCGAAGCCGCGTGGGCGTCGCAGTAGAGGCTGCATTACCTGCCGGCAGCGAAAAGTGAAGTGCGGTATGATGAGAATTCTCTCCCTTTTTTGACTACCGTTTTGAAGCCCTAGCCTAACTTGATTGCCACATGGCTTCAAAGACGAGAGGCTTCCCCACTGTCTTCGATGCTTAAACAGCTCCCGCGAGTGCCAGGGATACGGGAACCCTCAAGTCTTCATTAATCAAGTGCTGGCGGCAACGCCGTCTGTGAAGACGGCGGACAAGAATCCAGATTACTCGATGAAAGTAGTTACTAAATTCTCCACCACTGGCGTAAATTTCCCTTTGACGGTATCCCCTGATGTCGGAGGGCAAGACGTCGTCATTTCACATCTGATAAACAAATTCCCCGTCGACTTTGCATGGAGGCTTCCGCCGGGAGCAAAAGGCTCGCCCCTGTCTGCCGTATTCACGAGCTTAAACAGACGCTCGACCGCCTATGTCTCTGGAGTGTGTCTGGCTCAGGCGTTTTATGCCCGGGCCCACAAGCGGCACGATCTCATGGCGCATGCAACTGTCCTGTACAGCCGTTCGTTACAGCATCTCCGCCAGGACTTGCAGGTATTGAACAGAAACACATCTACGGAATCCATGTACTCGAATCTATGGAGTTCATTTCTTCTCTGCCTTTACGAGATCGTATCCGGTGTTAGTTCAGCTGGGTGGTTGGAACACTGCCATGGCATCACAGCTCTTGTATGTAGGCTGTCGAGATTGATAAATCGATAGAATCACGATGGAGCTAATGCAGCGCGTCAAGATCCAGATGCTAGGGCCTCATGCGTTTCAGGAGCTCGGAGCAAACCTAATGTTGGAAACATATCGAGGGTTAATTGTGGGCGACAGGGACTCCATTCCGTCACGGCTTTTTTTGGATAAAAGGCTGACTCTTTGGTTTTTGCAGATTGTGAATTTCCTCATAAGGCGAAAGCGCTGCTTTCTTGAGGCTCCTGACTGGAAGACAGTTCCCTGGACCATCAAGAGAAAGTCGCTAGGCTCGCAGCTCCAGGATCTTTTCTGCGACATCCCGGGGCTAATGGAGGAAGTAGATCAAGTTATGCAACGATCAGCACTAGGCCACGAGATAGGCCCCATGAAGGAGGACTTATTTGAGAAGGCGTCGATTCTAATGCAACAATCATGCGAGCTCCGGTGGCAGTGGGAGGCTGCTCACGCTAATGCATGCAAGGAAGTACCATCGGCAGAGTATAGCTCAGGCTCTTCGGGAGGCCAGGGGCCCTCGCCTTTCTCTACTGTTTTTCACTTCCAGACCATGGATCGAGCCATTGAAATTGCCTTTTTCAACACTATCCACCTGCTTTTGGACACCCTTTTGGACCCGTTGGGACCTGGGCCAAGGCCATCTTTCAGCCTGCCACAGCCACCCACGGGGCCTTTTATGAGCCCTCTACTTCTTCCAGGTCAAGGAAACATAGAGGATCATGCTCTCGAAATCTGCCGAATTGTCGACTTCATGTCGCATAGCAAGCATGATAGTCTGGGCATGTTTATGCTCATGTTTCCTTTGTATGTGTCACGCTTGTGTTTGGTTCGGCGTCCGGATGTTTGTGTTTGGATAACGAAGATTCTGAACTCATTAGTCCGCGAGAAGGGTTTCAACATTGGGGGACATTTATCAGAACAGAAGCGGCATTAGTTTGAGACCAGGAAATGACGATATCATAGACGGAAGAGTTTTCACCACTTTTTTGGAGGCACGTTAGCGTATGAGAGGGAAATATGGGTTAGATACACGTATATAACTAATGACATTATGATCTATGGTATCTGCAAAATTCAAGTCGTAAAAAGGCAAAACAAGGGGAGGAACCCACAAAAATCTCTAATACATTGAAAGAATCAGTTATCCTTGCCTTTGGGGACAACTACAAGGAAGCTTATTCTTCTAAGGCTCCTCTCCTCTCTATCTTTCTTTTGGTAATCTTTCTCTGCCTTTTCCATCTCTTTTTCGTACTTTTGTTGTGCCCTCTGTCGGCGCTCTTCAATGCGTTCTAGATCTCTGCTTGCGCGGCGGTCGTTAACATCAACGCTCTTCTCCTTCTCATTGTAACGCTCCATGGAGCTCTCGTACTTCTCGAGCGCTTTCTGGGTAGCCTTATCGTGTCTCTTATTCACTCTGATTCTCTTCTTGAGCATAGACTTCTCTGCAGACTTTCGTTCAGCCTCGCTAATGTATACATCCACCTTGCTCAGTACGTTGGATGGGTTGGCAACTGGCGGGAGCTCCTCAATTTCAAGAGGAGAAATCCATGCGTCAAGAGCTCTCAGACGGCGTTCCTGTGCACTAATAGTCTTGAGCTCGTTGGCCTCTGCGAGAGATTGGAGAGACTCCAGAACAGGCGACTTCTTGTCCACGTCTCCCTTTTCGTTCAATATCGGCATGTTGGTGAGTTTAGCGACAGTCTTCAACTTGACAATCTGCACTTCCAGGCCTTTGGGGTTGAAGATTTCCTTATTTGCCTGACGAATGACGACCTCAGATCGAATCTTTGACATAGCATAAGTTCCAACCATAGCACTGACGCCAGCAGCCGCAGAAACAATCTGGGCCGTGGGTTCAGGCACGAATCCAACAATGTCTGAAGCAGCCCCAAGGACGCGCAGCGGTGGGCTTTGTACAATGTTACGGTTGAGCTGATCCACAAACTCCAGAAATTCGGCTTTCGAAATGCTCGAGTTAGCGAGAGCAGATGGATAGGCTCGTAAAAATGCAGATCCCACGTCTGCGTTGGTAGCGGGAATGGCGATGATCCTTTTAGCATCGTTGATGTTGGCTGAGCTTGCAAAGGCCAGAGCTTGCTGTTTCTTGATCAATGCCTCTTCGTATGGCGGCGGCTCAGAGTCCGAAGAGCTTCGCGCAGATGACGATTCCTCAACTTCGGTAATGCTGGTTTCTCGGTGGGTCTCTGATGGGACATCCTGTTTACCAACGATGGTTGAGGTGGCCATGGCGGAGATGACAATATGCAAAAAATATTAAGGTTGTCTTGTAGCTTGGTTTGCGGGTATTAAGTAGACAGTGTGGTAGATGGGTTGTTCTTTAATATTGATGTTGAATGCTGGAAGCTGGAGGTTGATGAGTTGAAAGAGAAAAATCCCATTGATGATCCGGCCAAGACTGTCTCTTTAAATCTTTCAACCTCATCCGCCAGAGTCCTTGCCTATCCTACATCCCGACTCTACAAATTGATGCATCAAGCCTCCAACAGACCGTCTCAGCCTTGGACCCACGACTCAAATCTGTAAACTTGTTGCGAGCTCCTCTATTCTCCTGGGACACGGCATTCGAGTTGGCTGCAGATCAGGACGGAACTAAACCCAAACTCGCTAGCTATCGCGAGATGAAGGGCAGGCTGTCAAGTAGTGCAAATGCTAGCAGTGAGGCGGCAGCGCTAAGGAGCAGGGGTCTGAGCATAAGCGATGGCACTGCTGATGCAACAGTTGGGTTTCCATCCGAGATCAGTTCGAGTTTTGGTGAGGATATCATCTGAGCCCTCCATTCGAGCCTTCCATTCGAGCCTTCCATTCGAGATCCCATTCGAGCCCCCATTCAATCCTTGGTAGGGAAACTCTTTCGAACGTCCATTCGAGCTGCGCGGGCTATCTCGGCACGTTTGTGATGACGCTTCTCGTCTCAAAATAGTAAAAAGCTGATGCGGGTGATGATGTCCTGCCACGCGGCACATTGTGGGAGAAATACAGTGTTCACGAGGCAGTCTTGACAACTGCATAGGAGGAGGCAATAAGAGCGGTAAGAGTTCTCTGGCCTGGGGGAATAGTATTTAAAGGTACAGTTAGCAGCTGGTGGGATTGCTTGTAGCATGAGTAATGCATGGATACTGGCAGCACACCCTTTAAAATCCAGCTCTGGTTATGGTCAAATAGCCTTGGCACGACCTTTTCGGCCTTTGGGAGAGTTAGTACATGTCTCCGTACTGGGTATCACACAGCGTTATCTCTACATCTTATTGGTTCGGCACACAACTTCTTTAGTTACCCTTGGTCGATGTTATTCAAGTTTCGGAAGGTAGTACCTGATGTGTGTTCCGCTCAAGCGTTTTTGTAAGTAGTCAAATGGGATGGGGGAATCTTCAAAGCAGTGTAAATGCCGATGGCCTTGTTGAGGCATGTCATCAGACTGATACGCTGTTGAGCTGAGCTCTTTGAGCACATCAACCGATGCTAGATGCTCTCATGCCGACATAAGCAAGCTGATACCAGGTTAACTACCCAAGCCATATGATGCCCATGATCTACAGTCTTGAAAACAATTAACGGGTGCTCAACGTTAGCGTTACAGTTATCTCATGTTAGTGAGTTGATGGCTCTGCCATGGCTTATAGTGGCTTGTTCTAGGGTAAGGACAGGCACATCAGCATGTCCAACCACCACTCAATGACGACGAGCAGTACCTAGTCATAAAAGACGTTTTGTTGAATGATGAATTTTGACATTACAAATTACATACCCTACTGGAAAATCACGCTATAAAGACCCCCAAAAAAAATGGACGACTCTCGGCTCTTCTCGTACTAAATCTGTAGTAAAGGCTTACAATCGCTCTCACTACACGCTCAGGAGGTACTAAAGAGAGGAATAAGCCGCATAAAGTACATTTTTCAGTAGTAACCTGTCAACCGCTTACCCCATTAGGAAAGCGCGCGTTCTCCCAATTCTATCATGATCACGTACTCGTAGCCAAAGCGAATCACTCATATCCATAATCTATACATGTAGTTTCTAATCAACAATCTACCTCTTTACTATAACCCAACAACGGCTCTATTAATTTGTCATACATCACGCATTCCATCACTTGAACCTAATTCTAATCAATCATGGCCTCCCTGGCATGTTGGACTTGTCGGCTCCGGAGGAAAAAATGTGACCGGACTCAGCCGATATGCCAAAGTTGCGCCAACCTGAATATCAGTTGCTGCTATAGCAAAGAACGCCCCGAATGGATGGATGGAGGTGAAAAACAGACTCATATGGCACAGGCTATCAAGGCCCAAGTGAAACAAGGAACCTCAACTCGTCGAGGCAACGAGGTTGCGGTTCGAGTCTTTTCACTTCATGATGGTCCACCGGCTGAGGCCATACCGAGGAAACCCGAGGTATCTGGAGACAACTCCAGTTTCCATCAGACAAGCACTAGTTCATCTGCTTCGGTGCATGAATCAACACCGGAGGAGACGGACGACTTCCTCATCACTTTGTATCTCGATACCGTCTTCCCGCTTCTATTTCCTCTGTACGAACCGGCGACATTGTCCGGTGGCCGCAGCTGGATACAGGCGCACCTAAAAGCCAATAAGGCAATCTTCCACAGTGCGATTAGTCTTAGCGGCTATTATTTCACCCTTTTGCTGGCCAAAGATGCGAGCCACACTCTCCGCAGCCCATGCGAACAACATCTGTGGGACACTTTGGCGAGGCACATGGACTCTGCAATCCAGGTCATTAAGCAAGATATGGACCGCTACCATAAGGAAATTGGACATTCAGATGTCTTCGCGAAGCTCGATATCCTGGGAGGCGTTACGCAGTATTTAATGTTTGCAACAGCGATGCCCCAGGATGCCGATTGGAAGATGCATTTGTCGGCAGCTTCGACATTGCTAGATGAAGTGTTTCAATTACATGGAATGGATAATGGTGAATATTCTCTAGAAAAAGTTCTAGAAGCCATGGCTAAGCCCTCAATATTCGACGGCATGCATCTAGGCTTTCATGTATGGAGCAAAGACCAAGCTGCCTTTCAATTCTTCGCCTCTTTTCTTCTATATGTCGATATTATGGCTAACATTCAGTTGGGACGCCCCTCTCAATTTCAGAGCCACCACAGGAATTTGATAGCTACTGGTACAGTGATTATGGCTCCGGATGTCCACCCTCGGCGGTTTCTTGACATGGAGTCTTATGTTGGCTGCCACGGCTGGATTCTCACTATTCTCGGTGAGATTCGCACAATGGAAATAGCGAAACGCTCCGCTCCGTGTGAAAGTGAGCGTTTTATGAGACAGGGTAAAGCGGGAGATCACGAAATGATGAAGAGATTGCAACAAGGCATGGCAGAAGTTGATGTCACGGTCCAGTCAGAGTTTCTGACGACACAGCCAGATGCTATTAAGCTGGGTGAGCGACAAAACAGAACCCAGGCCAAGAAACCCGCCCTTATAACGAAAGCCTGGCTACATGCAGCCATAATCTATCTGTCGGTGGTAATTGATGGTTGGCAGCCAGACAATCCCTTTATTCGCGCCAACGTGAATTCCATCCTTTGCATCTTAGATATACTCTCACCAAGCCTTTCAATACGCAGTCTCATGTGGCCGATTTGTGTTTGCGGTTTCCAAGCTGCGGAGGAGCAAGAACATATATTTAGAGACTTGATATATTCCTTGGGACCATTGCAAGCTCTTGGCCCCGCGAAGCAAGCCATACAGCTGATGGGAAAAGTCTGGGAGCTTCGCCATCAGTTAGATGAGACATGGGGAATCCACGATTGCTTCCAGTTACTAGGATCCGATATACTTTTCATTTAATTGGGGACTGGTTACTGTAAGTTTAAAGTCGAAGCGCAATTTGGTTGATCTATCTTTGGTTGATGTGCGAGGGAAGAGACAGGCTTCTCGGTACGCTCGCTGCTGGGAATCGTGAGTCTTTATATACGGTGTTCAGTGAACTTGACATCGCTTAGACTATTACGCGCACATGTAAGCGACGATCTATTCTAAATTGTCAGCAAGGAAACCACAGTAGAGGCAAGATGCTATTCTCATATTTCCGAATCCGGAAAGCGCGCGCCTCATAGTGTCGACAGCTGGCGTTCTGAATGCACTCGGCTGAGAACACCAATGCAACGGGAGAGTATTTTGACTAAGCATGCTTGCAAATATATATTTCTTTCTAATCATTCGTCGAATATACATTTGTTTCCAATTATTCATGCTGACAAACCGAAGATGCGATTCTCAGTGACCTTCATTGAAACTTACCGGACTTTACATATATAATCAACGGTTCAGAACTGTTAACTCTTCATACAACAACCCGCAGTCTTCAATCACTATTAATCCCCAAGCTCATAAGTAACAAAAATAACATTCACGCAAGATAACATGTCTGCCATTGCTGTTGCTGGCGGTACCGGCAACGTTGGCCGAACCATCGTAGAGACTCTTGCTGAGTCTTCCGAGTACAAAGTCATCGTACTGGGGCGCAAGGTACGATCATAGAATCAGTGTTGGGAATTCAGTTTAGTTTGCTAATGAATTAAATGAAACAGGCTCAAACAGTCGTGGAGAATATTCCGACGTTCGCTGTTGACTATGTTGATATCGATGCAACTGCGGAACTCTTGAGGCAGCATAATGTGGTGACAGTCATTTCCGCTATTCAAGTGACTGAAGAGACATCCTCCGCTGCCGAAATCGGTCTCATCAAAGCCGCAGAGCAATCATCAACTGTCTCTCGATTCATCGCTAGCGGCTGGGGATCGCTCCCAAGCAAGGCGTAAGCTTTCTGGCCAAGTCCTATTTGTCACCTTCTCACCAAGCTTTCAGATCCCCTGCGTCGGTTCTCCAGCGAGCTTCGGAAGATGCACTACGCAGCACCATGCTTGAATGGACGCGATTCTCCGTTGGCATTTTCATGGATTACTATGGAATGCCTGCCATCAAAACACATCTGCCGCCTATGTCTTTCGCCGTCGACATGAAGAGCAGGAAGGCGGCTCTTCCAGGAACGGGTAATGAACCGGTAGCCTTTATTTACTCATACGATGTGGCCAAATTTGTTTCCGCATATTTGGATGCGCCCAAGTGGGAAGAGATTACGTATGTCTATGGAGAGAAAACGACTTGGAACGAATTTATTAAGGTAGCCTCAGAGGTAACAGGTGAGAGGAACTATGTGCACTCTGTTGTATTTGCCTACTATTTTTCACAGCTGATAATAAATTTCATTCAGGTTCCGCATTTGAGGTATCATATGATCCCATTGAGAAACTGGCCAAGGGCGAAGTAACCGAACTCCCCTCGCACAAAGACGAGCTGGCCAAGTCCCCTTTCCCGGAGCCACTTGCTCGCCAACTGCTGGCTATTCTGGGCTGCTGGGTCGTTGGAGGGCAATTCGATATTCCTGTTGACAAGGCTCTCAACAAGAGATTTCCGTCAATCCGGCCCATGAGTGTTCGAGACATGCTACTTGCTCGACAAGACGCCTAGTGTGCTACTCGGGTTCATTGCGCAGTGTTCCCGGAGATTGCTGGATAATTGCTATCAGAGTTATAACATAGAACTTTATTAGGAGGGAGAATACGATTGTTAGCTTAATACATTGTATTTGACAAGCACGCATAGACCTCTAGGTAAATTCTCCATGGTCAAGTCAAACTTGGATCAAAGGTCATTGGTAACCAACAACAAATTGCTCAATCGATGAATCATCGGAACTCGGTATTTTGACAGTGCAATGAGAATCACAACTCATTCAACAGCCACATTCCTTTTCTTTTCTTTTTGATTCAATTGTGGTTGTTACTCTGTCTCGAATCATTGTGCAAGAGGAAGTGGATTCTCAGGCAACCATAGATTAGGTATTAGTGACACAATGGCCTGACCCCAATTCGCTTATTCCCAAAAACACTTATGATGAACTTCATCGTATTCGCAGCTTGGATATCTTATTGCTCATTCAAAGATTGGAAATGAAGAGAATGGTCGGACTAGCATGGACAGAAGGGAATGTGAGCTCTCCCAAAAAGAGCTCGACAACCGCGTAATCTCCAATGAAGAGGACCCGGATCGTCTTTCTGTGGTTAGATTGCAGGTTATTCAGCGAATGGAGATATAATACGAAGCTTTGAGAACTCATGCGATGGCTCTCTCACTGCTTCTAATCCAAACTTTCCATATCCTGGATCTTTCGGACGAAATGTTGGGCAAGATCTTCGGCTATCAAGGGCCTGAGCAGAAATTTATTAGCCAGAAGTGATCTAAGCAACAATATTCACTTGGTTACGCGAGGGAAGCCCCTCAAGGATGTTGTTCAAAGCGCACGCCTAAAAAGCCAACATGACTTGAAAAAATATTGCCGTCTAGGCCCAGTTCTCAGCAAGTCAGTTGGGCGCGTATCCAGGTAATTGACCTCACATACTTGTCACTGAACGAGTTGGGGCTCGAAATTTTGTGCTGAGGACTGGAAGAATGTCTGAGCCAAGCCAGAATCCTGTATTCTCAGCTCAAAGAGGGAACATGGCCAGTCGCGCTGGATATTGGTGCACACAAACTTTTGGTGGCACATTCTGAGAAGACCCAAAGCATGGCCATGCAAGTTAGAAGGGGGCGAGTTTGTCTGTGAAAAGATGCAACCGCGACCTGAGCCATACGAACACGTTCCTTAATCTATTCACAGGATATAATAAGAGGGTTCAATCCTTGCCCAAGTTTTGGGAAAGTAATTATTGGGTAAGATTGGGGAGAATTCTTTGATCAACGTGGATATATGACAAGTTTAGATTAAGCATTAAAACAAATCCGGTCAATTTATTAATTCTCTACCTAGAACCAAGCTATGTTAAACTTTCTTCCTACCGTATCCCAAACAAAAATAGAAAAAGCGTGGCATGTCTATAAAGCTTCTCAAGATTTATCATGTCAAAGCACAAACCAAGATCCATAGGACGAGATCCATAGCATGCGCACTCCTAGTTGTATCGGTTGACAAACTTGATGACCTTGCGGCCAGTGCTGCTTCTCACAAACCCATCCAACTCGTCGACAAACGTCGTCTTGAAACGATACTCATTTGTCTTTATGACATGGAGGAATCCCTTAATACGAGCAATGAGGGCATCATGTGAAAGAACTCGAGAAGTTCGTGGAGAGCACATCAATCGGATCTCCAAAGATGACTCCAAAGATGGCTCCAGCTTGTCCAGGATGATCTGCCACTGCAAGACGCCGCATTCCTCATTGTTCAACAGAGCTGCCATGTCTTCAAACTGGATGTATTCCCCATCCCAGTCGAAGCTGACTCGCCTATCGCGGCCTTGGAGGCGAAGAATTCGGAGATAGGGCCAATCGGCAGCGGGAATCTTGTCTCGAGATTCTTCAGGGAGCGGATGGATGGATCCAATGTCGCCAGTGACATATCGGACAAGTGGGTTGCGCAATCGCGAGAGAGACGTTTGTACAACCACTCCCGTCTCTCCGTCAGGCAGCGGATCAACATTTTGGTCACCCTCAGCAAATGACGCTGGAAGCACCTCGAGTATCATAGCTCGGGTGTCGAAAATAAGATCCTCTTCACTGGTGGTGCTCACTCTTCCAGTGATATCAGGGTTGCTTGCTGCCCACGGTCCTGCCTCTGCGCTGCCCAGAATAGAGATGATCTTGATGCCCTTAAAGGTCGCCTTGATGTGTGCTCTCTGCGCAGCGGTAAGCACCTCAGACGTGTAGATGATCTTGTCAAGCCTGATCAGTGCGCGCTCTTCCTCGGGAAGATTCGAGATGTGGTGCGCCATCTGGACAATCTGGCCGCTATCACCGGCGAGCACGTTGATGTGGTATTTTGCCAAGAGTTTGGCAACATCGTGAGGCGGCATGAAATTGCCAGCGCTGAGAACCGAGGCACCGGCATTCTCCATGATTTCGAGCATGAGATCCAGGGATCTATTCTCCAAGTCAGCACCAGCGTTTCTTCACCGCGACATCAAGTGACTAACCTGTAAAGCTCACCCGCACAATGAGTCGTCAGTGCCCAGTCTCCTGGCTCGAGGGCTCCAATGGTTTTGAGAAAATGGCCGAAATGGGCCCTGTGTTTGCGGTTCTCATATACATCTGTGCCGAAGAATAACGGCTTCGAGCCAAACCCACCGCCTGTGATGCTTGCATACACGCTCTGGCGATATGTGTTGTTGGGATCTGTGTCGTTGATAAGCCGTTGAATGGTGTCGTAGCTATGTAATTTCGGGTTAGAGAATTGACCAATTATGTACATACACAGCCCTCAGCTACCCTCTTTCACTTACAGATTCTTCTTCCAGATAATGGGCTGCGATTTAAGATCTTCACTTTCTCGTTCTTGCTCCGTTGCTATTCTTTCTCTCACTGCTTGAATAGCCTTGCCGTCGGGAGGATACTGAATCCCCTCTACGTAAAAAGGGTGGATTTTGGCAATGGCCAAGACCTCGCGCAACGAATGTGGCTGAAACTCCATCGCTGGAATTCAATCTGAACTGCCGCTGTTTTTTTTTTTTTAATTTTATTAAAGAGAGCAAGTTTTGATTAAACTGCCCATTTTTCAGCGGCAGCGTAGAAATACTGCACGGGCAGCAGCCCTGATGATGGTGCTCTGCTCACATGCCCAAGTTCATGCTACTGTGCGAGGCTCACTGTATTCATCGCCGTACGCCTGACGTCGAGAACTTGTAGCCTATGGGTCGACGACAAGACAGCAACAATAATTGCTTTTGGTGGAATTAGGCAGCCAAGTAGAGCCACTGCTCATAGTCTAGTTTCAGCCTGAGACATGCAGGCAAAGCACACGTAATTTCCCTTGCATCAGATGGCCAAGAAAAAGCAAAGTAAACACAAATAGAGGGAGAGGGAAACAAGGCGAACGGATGCCTTGTAATAACGCCTGCGGCTGGATGCAGCTAGTTAGTCCACGTCAGAACTGATGGATCTCATTGCTCTGAGACATGTCGCTATGCCTGAAACTGGTGGTGCCGGGAGAGACAATGTTTCAATTTGACCGCCATTATTACTATGATGGCTGAACCGCTGGCAATACAGGGTACGAGGACTGGCCTGGTTCGCATACTGCCAGGATGAAGCCGGGTGCGATGGCGTTGCTCGGCAAATATCCCTGCAAATTGCGATTCAGCTCTGTTCAGCCCAGCCACACGCTGCATGTGTGTACGATCGACAGGCCACCAGAGGCGGGCCGGGAAATTGAATGTTTATGTTTTCCATATTGTCCTTTTCTGGAGACGTCACACGCACACAAAAGCACATGTAGTGCAACCACAGCAATATGCTTGGCTGCTGCTGTCAAACAAAATACTACCGTCGGGGTTACATACAGACAGGATACCATACATGTTTGTTTATACTCGTATTACATTACAGGTAGGGTCCATGTGCTTCACAGCAGACCAATAGTACATGCCACTATTTAACCAACCTCCAAAAAAAAAAAAAAACACCTCGACCAGACTTGGTCCGTCCCGTGTCTCAAACCAAGTGCATGCCCTCCCATATCTCCGTACCGCCGCACCGCCGAGCTTCATCATCCGATACCCCTGGCTACTCCTTTTACTCTTGTTTGTTTGCTCCTACGCCGAGGCTCCAGTAAAGGGAACGGCATCCCATCTCACCCGACGCAGATGCCGCTCCGGATCCTTGACGTGATTCCGCGCATGCAGCCACCGCCGGTTGTCAATGAGGATGATGGACCGCTCTGGAAGGGCCTTGGCAGTGAGGTGCAAGGTCGAGTGGTCTCTCGCTTCGGCTCCCTGCAGGGCTTGTCTCAGCTCCTCTAGAGCAGCCGACGCTCGTTCGCTCAGGGGCGTCAGGAGATCTTCCCGGAAGCGCATCAAGTTGAGCCGGCCCTCGTCGTTGGCCAGCAAGATGCTTCCCACTATGTGCTGGTGGCCGGGGTGCTTGATAAACTCGGGTGGTGTGCGGATGAGGAACTCGGGTCTGGCCAGAGACTCCCTGGCCTCGGGTGAAAGCAGCTCGCTGAGTCGCTCCACATTCATGACAGAAAGCGTTCCGCCACCGTAGCGATCAGGCTGAAGCACCTGCAGGGCGAAGTAGCGCGGTGGAGGATTCTCGTAGCTGCAGTCAGTGTGCCAGGGGAAGTCCTCCATTGTCTCTGATCGAGCCTGGCAGTTGGCTGACTGGAAGCTGGTCGAAGACGGGAGAACGTCCCAGAACCAGCCGCGGGTAGCGCTGTGAGAAATGGGCAGTTGATGACCGTGATCTCGATGCAGGCTCAGGAGCAGCTGCTCGAGATATCGGCTTTTCTCATCAGCAAATCCCAGGATGACCTTGAGGATGCCCCTCTGCTGGAGCATCTCACACACGCTGCGGACGTGACCAGGTTCCTGGGCGTAGCTCAGATCGGGTGCATCCAGGCTCGGAACTATCTGTGAGATTTCGGCCGACAGATGAGTATGACGAGTTTCATGGAATGCAGCCCGGATATGCCAGGGATATCGCTGGCGATTAGCAGCACCATATATACGATGGGCTGTAAGGACGCTGGATGCAGCACGGCGATACATGATGTGATAGATAGACAAGGCTTAAAGTGATATATAGACAAGGCTTAAAGTGATATATAGACAAGGTTTAAAGCGATGCTGGCAGGAGGAATGGCAATGGTCAATTTCATGTAGATAGGTCGTGGACGGACTTGGGTACCAGATTCGATCCATCCCATCGACGCAAAGGGTTATTTATCATGTCACTCCTGCTGGCACAAGTACAAGCATGCACCGTACAGATGCTAGGATACGTCACAATACACGAGAACGAGACATAAGAGTAAAATCTCGTCCGCGTTTAACCCCCGCCCCCTGATCAGCTGGCAAACACAAACGGCACAATTTCCGAGGGAATTACCGCTGTCAACAAACCATGACTACGACTATACTCGTACATGTGTGGATACAAAGTCAAGAAACATGATATTAAACCCTGGCAGATAGACTATGATAATAGTAGTAGTAGTACGAGTACGAGCGTAATTGGACGCAGGCTTAGTAAACCTGTGAGACATCATCTCCCACCGTTCCCCTGTCCTTGCGTATCACCGAACACAGCCAAGCTCCCCCGTGACTGATTGCACAGATCCGATCGTCGCTACTCCGCCAGAGCGCAAGCCCGAGCAGGGCTCCGTTGATGACCATGTACGTACCGACCAGGGGATACTGCAGCCTCTCTCCCGACGGCTTCAGTACCACGTCATACAGGCGATGGGTAATCCGACGCTGTACCACACAGCTTCTCTCAAGCTCAAGACCAGGGGAGAGCTGACGCTTTAGGGCAGCCACCCACTCTTCGTTGGTGATGCTGTCGCCAAACACGATACCGTCGCCCTTTCCGCTGCGGATTGGCTTCAAAAGGTATTCCTGGCGAAGATTGGGGTACGCCTCCGAGTGTAACAAGAGATCCTTGAGCTCCAAAGATCCCGGAAGGTATGTATCAGCGATGCCCCTGTCGAGAATCCTTCCCTGCCTCTCTGTAATGATCCCAAGAAACACTTGCTTCGGAAGCTCCTGCTTGATAATGCCCAGCATTCGCTTGTCATGGACCAGCAAGATGGTCCGCATGTCATTGAAGCAGCGTAAGCTAATCTCACGCAACATTTCGGGCCGCATTGCAAGCAGCTCACGCTGATGCAACTCCAGCCCGACCTGGTAGATCTGCTCCACCAGCTCTCCCTCGCTAGTCAAGAACAGGGACGACACGTCGGGCTTGGAAGTACCTCGCTCAGGCTTCCTGAAGACGGCACAGAGCATATACCCGGACTTGCTTCTGGAATTTGGCACCAGCCTCAGATCCTCGAGGTTCACGATTCGTGGGGCAACGCCCAAGCGGCGTTTAAAAGCGTCGACAAACATGTGGATATCCATTCCAGCCTCCTCGCCTTTGAGGAAATGAATGGGGCGATCTCGTCGAAAAAGAGAAAACAGTCCATCTACAATCTAGAAACATTGTTAGAGAGATCCTTCATTACAGTACATGGAGCATTTGGGCTGTACCTCTTTTGGATTTGCAGCGCTGGCGAGTCCATGTCTCCCCATCCCCGTATCCTCTAGAGCCATATGTCCATACGTCGCGTGCATGAACCCATTAAAGGAAAACCGAGCATTGATTTCGGTAATTCGAAAGTTCTCTACCGTGATGCCGTCTTTGGTCCTGACTTCTTCGACCAAGAAGTCGGGCCTCCACGAGCCTCTGCAGTCTTCATAACGGGGTAATCTTCCGATTATCGATTGTCGATCCACATACTGGATTCATGTCAGTTCTCATCAATATTTTTTAGGGGGAAATAGGGGGAAATAGAATAGCAGTCACTTACCTGCAAGAGCTCGTGTTCTTTCTCCCCAAGAGGCATTCGCCTGGGAAGATCAGCTGCCTTGTCGAGCCACCATCGATACACGATATCGGTAACTGAGGCGACCAATGCATCGCTGAGCTCCTGCAACATTGACTGATGATGCTCATTAATCAGGATGGGCCGAGGACAATAACTGTTGTAGGAGCCTTTGGGCCACAAGGCAGGGGCACAAAGCCTCATGAGCTTGGCCTTGGACGTCTCGTGTTCCCATTTGTAAAAGGTTTCATCAACCTCTGCGGTTAAAACATTTTCGTATCCATCGTCGCCGCGCCCAACGTGGATTTGCTTGAGAGGTTCAGGAAAGAGAAAACGATTCATCTTGACAGTATTTGCCTGCTGTGTATACAACCGATTGCCAAGGTATGAGATATGGTAAAGAGCATTGAATCGAATCAATATCTACTACGACTTAAATATCCCTTCCCTCGTGCTTATGAAAATGCCCCACGATCCATGTCTTTACACAAAGGCACTCCCAGCCGCTCCGTACTCCATGTATCTGATACGCCCCCAGATCGCCGGCCACAATCACTCGATCGCTCAGCTCCCCGTCGATCAGATCATCTATCCACCCCATCGTGTACAGGAACAACGCCATTCCAAATAGTCCTCCAACTAGTAACGCCAAGAGGGGTCATTGTATTTCCCATTCGGCCAATGCCTGTCCTTAGACCAGAGTCTCCCTCCCTTGCATATCAGTCTCAGACACGCGAACCAATTACCAGCCACCGTCTCTGCCGCCGCATTGACGGTGTTAATTACATGCGAAAGGAGTGGGGAGGGAACAAGTGGATAGCTCACAGCCAATGGATGTATACAAAAAGAAATTCTAAGACATGAGGCTTCAAGTATTACTCAGAGGCGGCCAGCCCCCACGTAATACTGCTACTAACCCGCATCGGCCCGGTCCTAGCTGTCCCAAGAGACAAGGAAGTGCCAATAATGATTTTTATTCACGGTGTACTTGGCGTCCACCTCCTGTAGGCCAGAGGTGTGCCCGTTTATTATTAGTAGCAGTAGAATTGAGTGCTACCCTAGATTGCGATAACACAAGGATGGGAAAGTCAACATAGATGTGAACCAAATGAGGCAGAACAAGAATATTCGTAAATTATCATGAAGAAAAAGTAGAAAAGATTGTCGCAGTAGCGTCCCTCTCAACACCACATGTCGAAACCTGTAGTATTCTCAATGCTTGCCTTCCCCGGCGCCGCCAGCTTTCTGAAATTCTCCACGCTGCTGGCGCTCATCTTCATCACCAGCTCCTCGGCCTGCTTGTATATATCTCCTTCACGCTTGTTGAGGTTGCTCTGCCAGAAAATACAGCTGCTATCCAACAGGGTCGCCGCCAGATCCGCGCGGAGATGATCCACCAAAGTAACGCTGTTTGCGTTGTCAAGTGCAGGCGTCGAACCAATCTTGATTGCCATCAGGACCTTGGGCTCAAAGTTCATCAACTCTCTCTTGAGCGTGTCGAAGCTGCTGAAGTATGGAACTCCGCTAGACACAATGTCATTGAGGAGCTCTATAACTCTATTTGCGCATCTGGTCACAACCTCTTGGGCCTTATCCGGCTCTGGAGTCTCTCGAGGCAAATCCAGCATCCTGATCTTGAGCGGCAGCGTATCTGGGAGGCCTGGTGGCTTTCGGTTCAGATCAGCTTGCCACGCGGGTGTTCGAAGGCCATTAATTCGCTCCAAAATCCGGCCCCAAACGGCATTATCACGATTGACATCCTTTGTGTCGCTCAAGAACTGATCAAAGCTGGTCAATTTCCCTTGCACAATGAGGGCATCCGCAATCTCGAAGAGGAACGACTCAAGTGTCAGATGAGAATCCTTCTTCTGGGCTTTTTCGTCGCTAATTTCTTTGTTGGTGAGATATAGGCAAATGGTTCCAAAAAGCCTCGTCTTCACTCCATGAAAACCATCGAACCATAGATAGCACCAATGTCTGCCCCAACTAGAGTGAAGCAGCTTCTGGTCAGCTTCCACAGCATCCTTTATAGCAGACAACCAGTCTGGGAAATTTAACATCAGCAGCAAATACTGCCTTGCCAAATCAATGTACTTGATTGGAGTCTCGGATTCCATCACATCATGAAGAGTGCTCAACACATTTGGAAACATGGGGATGGCGGGAAGCTGGGCATCATCAGGCACACTGAAACTATGCCGTTGAATGAACAGCTTCATCCAATGCCTTTGGTTCTCCGCCGAAGCCTTAAACACGGACTCGACGAGCTCCTTATACAATCGGCCTTCTTCTGACTGCCAATCCATCTTTGAACCAATCTGCAAAATGAGCTCCATGATTGGGGGGGTCTCATAGCCAGGTTTCCATATTTCAGGCAGCTCATTGCCAGATGTTAAAGCATTCCAGTCCGTCAAAGGCTGCGATTCATTGATCGAAGACGCAATCGGCGCGGCGTACTTGAGCAGCGCATCAAAAATGCGCTTCTTCACCTCAGGATTGGTAGTTTGTGCAACTGCCTCCGTTAGTCCCCTGATGGAAGCTGTTCGTATATCGACATGGCTTGCTCTCTTGACGATCCTAATGTTTAAATCGACCGAGAGACCCGGGTCGACAACAGGAGATTCTCTCAGAAGCTGAGCCAGCATTTTGACAGTGGTGACTTTGACAAGCGGTCCCTTGTTTGTAGGTGCATCATCAGGCTGCTTTTTCGCACGCCTCTCTTCCTGCTCTTGGAGCTTATCCAGGATGGCGTCTGTAAAGCTCTCAAAGAAGCTCTTCGCATCAGCTGGGCGGAAATGAATAAGGGCCTTTTTGTTAAGAAGCGGCCTATGCCATGAGCTTGCATCCGGGTTCTCCAAGACAAATTGCTGGATCAGAGGGATTGCCAACGAGGGATCAGCCCCTTCCAGGATCATATTGATTATCCATACCAAAGTACCATACGGTTTGTCTATTTCCGGCTTCTTTCTTATGCTTTCAAGAACTGAAGCTCCCAGCTGAGAGAGCAGGCCAGCCGGCACATAATATCTGAGATCACGGATTATGCCAGTAACTCCAGACGTGTTCTTGTCGACTTCTCTCTCTAGAAACTCTTGGTCAAGATACAAAGCCGGAATGCGCACTGCTTCTGAATTAGGGAACGGCGTCTTCAGCAATGAGGTGTCAGAGCCATGCTTCATGTTGAGAGCCAGGATCCCCGCAGCCACATAAGCATCCGCACGCGCCCCAGTGAGTTTTGAATTCTTCCTAAAGAGTGAATACCAGAAAGTTGAAGGACGAGGCTTTCCAGGAATGACGCATTTGACTCCCCCAAAGACGGAATTCTCGACCTTAGTAAATTTAAATAGGTGCTCATACGCGTACTTTGGCCGACTTAGCAAGACATCTAAGCATGTCGGTGTCAGTGTCTTGTTCTTGTTAGGCTGCGAGATTCGGTCGTAATCAGGATCGGGATTCCACTCGATGGGCTGCAAGTCCGCCTCATCTGCGTCAGGAAGAGATGGTTCAGGTCGCTCATTCGCCTTCTCATCAATCCCAACTTCATCCTTCTTAATTCCAATTCCCTCAAACACAGGCCACCAAAACCGCTCAGCCTCTTCAGGGGACATGCGGTCTTTGCTCAGGTTGGAGGTAGCGTGCAACCAGGCCCTTGAGATGCGCTCTTTACGCTGGTCCTCTTTGGAGAGCTTGCCCGGCATCTGAATGTACAGCTGAAGAGCCGCGGCCCAGCTGTCTATATATGTTCCAATGGCCAGCTGGGATTCTTCGTCAATCTGGATCGGCTGTAAAGCTTTGAGAGGGTTCATAAACACAACCGCCTCGATTCGTGACTGCGCATATGGCAGGTATGGCAAAGCTGACCCGAAGCTACGGACCAAGTGTTGAAGTGTTAGTCCTTTGGGCCAGATCTCGTCAACTGTTACCACAGCAGGCGTTTCCCGAAGGCGAAGCTCTGCCCAGAGAGAGTTGTAATACTCAGCCAAGCGACTGAGAAATCTAATCGTGGGCTCTTGCAGAGTTTCGGGCTCTTTTGCTTCGTGGCATGAGAGGGTAGAATAGGCTTTGTGATCAAACTTTTCATCCACCGCACCAAGAACTTTGGACAACATCCTTTCCAGCATGGCGTACGTTGGCTTCCACAGTGCCTCATACAACGCGTCATCTGATATATTGGTCCTGCCCTGAAAGTCGTTGGCACGGGTTATGCGTCTACAAATCGCCCGATTGATCAATTGAAACGTATTACCCCAATCCCGCCAGCCGCGAAAGCTAGGCTCGTTGATACCCATAAGGGCTGTGTCGAAGAGAATCTGCAAGACTTCATTGGCAGACTGAATTCTGTGGGTAAGCTCTTCGGCAGTGACAGTCAATTTACCTTCTTTGGTGGGCAAGACAGTTACAAGGTCAGCTAGCTCTTCTTTATCCAGGGACGATTGATCGTAGATTATGCTGACCGCCAATGGGTCCTTGTTAAACCGCCTTGCCCAGCGAAGCGTTTCCCCGTAAAGCTCCAGATCTCCAATGGCGACGCACAGGGCCAGGGCAGACACTGTCCACCGCGCTCTTATTTCGGGCTCACGGCCTTGGGTGGCCTTTTTCATCCTCCTAGAAACCTCTTGACGAAGATCAGACCGCATGGTATCCAAGTCTGAGGTTGAGAGAGGAGAATGGGTCTGGCTCCGGTTCAACAAAAGTGCCCGAACAACGGGACCATCGGACAGCTGAAGGCCGTCTGGGTCCCTGCTATGACAGAGCGACGCTTGATATGGGCGGTATTCGACATCTTTTCCTGCCCTTTGGACTTTCTCCCATAGGAGAAAGCCCTCGTCCGCTGATAAGGTAAAGAAAAGCCCGACCTGCCAGCGGCGGATCGTTGACTTCACAAGCCCCAAGTGCTCCAAGCTAGTGGGCTCCCCAATATCAAATTGATAATCGGCCGTGTGCTTCAAGAACGAACGTAAAAGCTGGTATCTCCGTGTTTGCGCGACGTTCTTTATGAGATCTATCAACGAATATCCTGCAAATGTAGATTTGGGGATAAGGGAGAACAGCAGAGTCAGCATCTCCGTGTATTCTGCCCGTGCCTGAGAGTGATTCCACGCTTTGACCAAACGAGCAAGGATCCGTTTGTGGTGCGTGCTCGAGTTTTTAAAGTCCTTTTGAAACGCCTGGTGCTTTTTCAGGCACAGCATAACACGGCTCCAGAAGCGTATCGCGGTGTCACTGGCTACTCTCTGTTTCGCCGAAAACCGCTTGCTCAGTGGATCAACAACTGCTTCAAGGAACTCGTCAGGAGTGGCCCCAAACAATGATTCACTCTCTGTGAACCTGTCCAGAACATCCAGGCCATACTCAACGCGGTGGATGACTAGAGGCGTCACTTCGTCCAGGAATTTCGAGGCAGAGATTTCGCCGCGCTGCAATTGTTCGTCGTAATGCTGCTCAAAGAACTCGTGATCCGTCTCAACGTCTATGAAGTAGTGATCGGGCGTCTGCCGCTTCATCTCCTCCCACTTTAATCTGAAAGCGCCACCGCAAGCTGCAAGAATCTTGACATATTCTTCGCGCAACGGACGGCTATCAAGCGCAGCCTTCTCATCTCCATCAACTCCCCAGAGCAGAGTCAGAAGCTCTTCCATCGCCCTCTGGCGTTCTTTGCGAGCGCCTCGTGCACGACCAGTGGCCCCAAGCTGGTTGAATAGGAAGCGCGCGCTGCTCACGCTGAGCTTTGTTACCAGCTGAGCGATTCCTGCCGCACCGCCGGCGACCTCCCATGCCTTTGCAAACGTCTTTTCCCTATACAGATGGCGGTAGAATCGCGAAATGGCAGCTCGCTGAGCATTGAGGCAGAGCTCCTGTCGAATCACTGCCAGAATTTCCTGAGGCTCATTAACGATAGAGGGCCATAATGCGAGAACAATGGCCGGAAGAGAGTCTGATGCAACGAGCGAGACGAGCTGAGATGTGATGGAAGACGCCGCGCTTGGATTGCTTTTGAGGACATGGTGCAGGTGAGTTGCCTGACCCCTAGGCGAAGAGCTCCGAAGAAGCTTCAGATCGAGCACCGCTTTATTCGCCATGGCCGCGGAGTATGAGATAGGTCGCGATAGAGAGTGTGTTGACAATGAGAAGCGCTCACAATGATGGCGACGAGTCTAGCGATTATATCCCCAGCCATAAGATGTCCAGTTTTGCAATCGAGTCATCCAATCCAATGCCAAGTCCCGGATACGAACTGAAGGTTTTCCAATACAACCTCGTAAGGCTGAATATCAGTCACTGATTCATGAATGTGTTTGAGTCAGACTGGAGCCACACCTCATTGTTCGGGCGTTGGCCGCTTATACGAGCTAGCCATTAATAAAGGAACAACCCCGCATCTAGAGATCTAGACTTGGCATCCAATGAGTTGTTGGCTTGCTGAGATGTTGATTACATGGCATTGTTTAATTTTGAATACGGGCAAGGATGCAGGCAGCCAATTGGGGAATGAGTCACGCAGCGGGATTTGCAGCGGAAGAGATAGGGGCGAGATAGCTTCATGTTGGTTAGACGTCGAATACGATCATGGCGCAGTTAATCTGGTATCCTTGCTTGACTGCCGACCAAGGGCCTCATTTTCACCACAATACAATCAGAATCATCTGCATGAAACAGTTTCAAATATTCAGCTGATCATGAATCATCACAAAGAGCTCAAGCACTTACTGAATATAATCTGTTACAAGTATACAAGCTACGTGTATTATAGCAGGGACAAATGAGTGTCCGCTTTGGCCACTTTGCGAGCCTGTGGCTGGTACAGTGCGAACTTCCTCTTATCATCATGTACTCTTTTATAGCGGTCCTAAGAGTTGCGTCCGTTTTTGGATAAAGTGCCATTTCCGGCGCCTAGTTGCGGCTACCGTCGCCATTACCTTATTAGAAGACTTGCAGTATAAGATATGTCATAACGGGACAATAATCTCAATAGCTGATATTAATCTGGACATAACGGCTTTAATATTTATAGTACATGGCTGTATTCTCTTTAAATTCGGTATAGAATAGAGAGTGCTGAGATTGATCTTGCAACGCGTGAAACAAACGAGAATGCGGTGATATGCGGCAATATACAGTGATATGCAGCAATATACAGTAATGCAGTTATATAATACCATCAAGCAGCAATGTCTCTCGGCTTTACCATCTTACATTTCCGTGCTTAGAGATAAACATTCAATTACTAAACAATGTGGATAGACATTATCTATAAAAACAGGGGGCCCTGACTAATTTTGCATCATAGCTTAAGTTCTGTGTAAATCCTTGGCCATGAAGCTTGATTGGTGATCCTACCAGCAACGGAGAGTTTCAGCAAGAGAGCTGCCGGGGCAGAGGAATATTGATCTACTCCAGGATAGTCTAGGCTCATCTTACGCCACGTGCTGGAACCATGGATCCTGAATCCCCCTGAATCCTGATGGATTTCGAACTAACCTCATTGCAGCCTCAACTGTGACTACAGCTTACCTTACGTTTTTTTATTTCCATAATTGGATATTGTTACAATTGAAAAAGATTCAGAGTTTTAACATGCTTCTAGAGCAACGCGAACAGCTGACATCCATCAGATACATCACGAAGTACTGCCGTTTCTATTCTATATTGATGATAAGTACTTGTGTGCAAAAGTAGCAATTGTAAATTGTATGCATAAAAGAAAAGTAAAAAGTAAACCCAAATGTTTATGCTTAACCATTGCTAAAGAGCTTACTATACTGCGACATACTTCAACACATTATTAGAAGAACTTCCTTGCTGCCGTGTCATCGATAGCACTCCTTCAATTGACATTTCTTTTTGCTACTGATTCTGAATCATCGACAATAATAGACCGATGGTTCCGGCACTACGATACTACAAATACATATTTCACAGACCAAACAATGCACCGCTTTCAATATTGCTGCCCTGACCCTGTAAGTTCTGACACGCCATGATCAGACAACTGTTTACGTTAAAATACTAGTCACTGGTAATAGGCATAGAATATCTCCACAATAATTTATACAATTCTTACTATCTGTATTTACATATATGTACATATATATATGCTCTCAAGGTTATCAAACAGGCGTCATCTCGAAATGCCAGCTTTATGCTCGGCCGGCGGGCCAGGTGGTGCCGAAACGGCCGTTGGTGGATGCAATGACGGGGCTGCCGTGCGAGTCATCGACATAAACGTACTGAGAGCCAACCTGCTGGAGCTCCCAGTCGCGAGGAGGCGTGTTGATGGCCCCGCCAATGAATTCGGTGGCCGCGAGCACCCTCTGTCCATCATCCTTGGTGTCAAGAGCGTTGCTGGGCGCATTGCTCAAGATGTCCTGCGTGAATCCCTTCCACGCTCCAGAGCCGTCCTGAGAGTTGACCAGAACAGGACCGTCACAGCCACGGATGAGAGAGACGTCGCTCCAGCCCCAGCCATTTGCGTCCCAGCTGAACTCAAACCATGTGCCGAGCCAGTGAGCCTGGCCATTGAGCATGGTTGCGTCAACTCCGCGCTGGATGCGGCCCTCCCAGCCATCAGGGAAGGACACAAATTGAGTTGCGCCGGCTGCGACCCAAATGTACTTGTAAGGAATCGTGTCACAGTTGTTGTGGAAGGCGTAGAAGCCCCGCCAGTCGTTGTCAGTGTTGGTGATAAAGATACCTTTGCCGCCATTGTCGCCGTCGCCCCAGGTCAGAATTGGCGAAGTGCTGCAGGTCCAGTCGCGCTTGGACTTTGATCCCTCAGACTTGAGAGACTGGCGCACCAAGCCACCAGTCTGATAGCTCTTGAAGTGATCTTGCGGTACGGCTTTGATGGCATTTACATCAGGCGCGGTGATGTTGTTAGCGGGAGCTGCTCCAGGGGTTTCAGTTGGGAGCGCGATGGCAGCGCCAACAAACGGGAGAAGAGAGATGACACGCATGATGATATCAGATGAATGAATAGCTAATCTCTGTTGAAACAATGCTTGTTGGATGGCTGAACTGAAAGAAGAGATGAAGCAATGTCTTCATTTATATACTTTTTCCCTTTCTATTCGCATGTTCATGCCAGGCCGGGATAGTCAACCTTGAAGCAAAGCTATCTTGTCACCTTTACTCTTTTCTCACAACACATGCCGCCGCCTGGGTAGTTGCCGTAAGATTTGAGTTGCCAAATAAAGCTCATAGGCAGTGACAGGATCCGCAGGTTCCGCAGCTTCAATGGCGTGCTGTAGTAGAACCGAGCCAGTTGACGAGAGTCGTAGCCACATCCGGCTCTTGAGTAGCAGCAGCAGCCATGACGAGTCAATAGCCAAATGTAACCTATGATGAATATAGAAGGAGATGAGTTGCAAAAGATGAGCGTATCATTATGTATCATTATACCCAGCAATGAAAAGATTCAGTATCTTACGAGATGGTCTGCTGCGGCATTATATCGGCAGGATCCGTTCGAGCGTATTACAAATGAGTATGATTATTAGAAATTAAAACATCTTTACCTTCCTTTTGCAGAAACAATAAGTATATATCCACATATGAAGGATTCAAGGCAGCAGTTTCCAGCGTGTTATGCTAGGCAATATAAGCCTTCTGTGCCGCATATAGCGTGGGCCGGGGTTGCATCCTGGCTGTGAGTTAGTTCCACTTTTAATAGCACTCAACTAGGACTTTTAGCAAACAACTATGAAAGCGTGCCTGACTATCATCCCACGTGGCACATGCTTCATATTACAATGAAAGCGTATTAACAAATAGGCTTGTTATGCTTACCGGGTTAGTTCAAAAACAGAAAGTGAAAACAGAAGAGGAAGAGCAAAAAAAATCCTTCGACAGATTGCAATCATCCTTCAAGATATCACAATCAATCAAAAGAACAAGATAATTGAGTGCTTGGAAACTGTATATATAGCATATAGATTGCCGTTGTAATACAGAAGAATTCACCACCGCTCTCAAGCTTGTTGGAACATCTAATCTCTTTGCTCACAGCAAAAAAAAACTTCGCTTCTATCTTCTTTTGCTATTCAAATCTTGTGAATTTGCTCTCGCGGTCTCACATACACTCAGCCAACATGGTTTTCTCCAGCAAGAAGTTGAGCATTGCCGCTTCTCTTTTCACCTTGGCCCTTGCCGATCCATGGCCAAAGCGTGGCTTAGCTGCGAACGATGATATTCCCATCTCGCAGTTTGGCGGATCGTATAATGGCCATGGTTCGCAGGTCAACTGGCAGTATAACTGGGACAGCACAACCTCCCAGAAGCAAAGCTGGGCCGAGTTTGTACCCATGCTGTGGGGCACGCAGAGCTACCATACCACTCAATGGTTCGACAATGCTTGGTACTGGATCAACAATGGAGGCTCAGGGCACTTGCTGGCCTTTAATGAGCCAGAGCTGGGTAGCCAGGCCAATCTAAGCCCTGGCGATGCTGCTAATGCGTGGAGGCAATACATGGAACCTTTCTATGGCCACGCGCAACTCGGTGCTCCTGCTGTCTCCAATGACGGCTACAACTGGATCAGCCAGTTCCTGCAAGCCTGTAGTGGCTGCCACATCGATTTCATCCCCATCCACTGGTACAACGATTGGACACTGGAAGCAGATTTTGAAAACTGGGTCAACAGTATCTGCTCCCTTGGCGGTGGCCGCCAGGTCTGGATCACAGAGGTATGTTGCTCATAACAACTGCTAACAGCAAGAGAGAATGATTGCCGATACTAACCACTCGAATAGTTTCAAGCACTAGGAAACGCTGACCAGGAGGCTACTTTCTTGCGATCGGCGATCCCGTTCCTCGATAACAACCCTTGCGTCTACCGCTACTCTTATTTTGGCACTGCGGACAACGGAAAGGACTTGCTCCAGAACGGTGGACCTTCCCTTTCTTCCCTGGGAATTCAATATGCTTTTAGTCCTTACGGCTCGGGCAGTGTGTAAGATTATGACATTGGAAAAGATGCTGGTGTACATATTATATCTTCAGGCTCATGATCATATAAAAAAAAAAATTGCTACTGTATATATATTACTTTAAGACATATAGTTAGATGAAAACGAAGATACTACTTGAGATGAACATTCATTTCCGAATACTGTAATCGAGTTTTGTGCATTACAGCTGGTAGCCTGGTGATATTATGACTGAGTATTATTAGGGTGGCTAGTAGGTGCTAAAGCCTCTTGTGGATATAGGATGTAAGTTGTTAGGTCCCCGTAAAGAGCTGCTTTAATATAAACCGTTCGAGTGCTTGATTTTTCTCCTCAAAAGAGTACAAAAAAAAAGAAAGAAAGAAGAAGGAAAAGAAGAAGAAGGAAAACATTACTGCACTAATGATAAGCATGCTTCTATGTAGACACTACCAGACTTTCGTAATGCAAAAGGTTTCGATAATGAAAATGCATTGGTGTATGTAACTGGTATATAATCCTATGTAACTATGTATTTTGCGTAACTATTTACATAACACGACTGTAAAGAAGAATAAATACTTTGGATAATTTATGAACAAAGACAGGGCTAAAATTCCCGATACTACTTTATAGTAGCACCAGCAAAATTCTCCTTGTCTCAAGGTCTAAGCCTCAATCGCCAAGACTTTATGGCTGTCTAGGGTTAGGAGGGCAAGCAGCCCCAACGCAGCAAGTGATTTGGCCAGACTGACACTGTCCGAAAGAGTTGGCAGCGCCATCGTTAACATACGTCCAGGCGGCGTGCTGGCAGGGGGCGAAGAAGGGCGCAGCAGACGTGGCCCCTTCATCGCTTCGGAGCGGGTTAACACAGGCGTTTTGTCCGTCGTTGTTCTTTATATCATGTTTAGCTTCAGTCTACTGTAAAGGTGTACTTCAAGTTCAACCTACGCCGCAAGAGTTGAGGCTGAACAAGTTCTTGTTGCAACCTGTCACAACCTGTCCGTTGCAAGAGCAAACAATGGCAACAGAGAATCCGTTACTAGAGAAGAATTAGTTGATAGGAGCGAGGAATGCGAATGGTGGTCTATAATTTACACATAAGAGACATCAACATCGGCCACGGCTTCATTAGATCCCTGAGGAACAACAAAGTTACCCTCAATCAGGGAATCATCGCCAGTAATGGCCCAGCCGGCGTCGTTGATGGCGACATTACCAATCCATCCAGTTGGAACGGCAAAAGCAGCAGTGGCACCATTGGCCATGGTGCCGGGACCTACATTGCCCGACACAGCAGAAGGTCCGTTGGGATCATGAGCGTGCGAAGTCGAGATGGCATCACCATGGCTGTTAATAACAGTGATGGTCAAGAACTGAGGAGCGGCAGCAATCTCGAGACCGTGAATGTTAGGAGCAGCTGTAGGGCCGGCAATTCGAACGGTTGAAGCAATCGTGCCTTCAGTTCCAGTCAATGCCGGCTGAGGAGCAGCAAGAACGGAGCTGGCAAGGGCAATTAGGGAGATGTAAGTCAAGCGAGCCATTTTAGATGGAAGTGAACAGCGTCAAAAAGGAGTTGAAAGTCTCTGATACAAGGCAATTAAAGTTGTTGAGATTGATGGAAATATTATGAGAAACGCTCTGGAGCGAGGTCTCTCTTTATAGTTGGGTTCTATTGCTGAGTATTGCACTGGCATCTTCCAAATCGTCTGGTGAATTTGTTTGACCAATACCAGACTCTAATTTCTCTTTCAATCCTTGCCCTCGCCCCCGTAGGATCCTGTTGATGCTGACAATAGAGTCTCTCCAGGAATTCGAACAACAACAACTGCTGAGGTTGTCCATTTTCGGTCACTACTAGATAGTAAGAGTAGCCTTTTGAATCCTATGGCTACACTAGTTGAACATGATTGGCGCGGATGCAAAGATGTACCGCGATTTGAGCATGGTATAAGATCACAACCTTCTCTTTTGGTACAGTATGCAACTTGAAACACCCGTCTATCCAGGTCCAGGGTATTTAGGCCCGAAGCGTTGCTTAATACAACTCCGATTAAGGAGAAGGGTGGCGTAATGAGATAGTTGCCAAGCCGTGTGCCTTTTTTGTACAAATGTAATCATCTGAATTATAGGTAGGTATGTACTGACTAATGATTTATGGGACATTAATTCAGGTACCTCAATACAGGTGCTCGTTGCTTCTTTCTAATCCGCTTACAATAAAAGCGTTCATAGTTTGATCAAGTTCAAAATGGAAGATTCCTTACGCTTTTTATTACTACTCTTTACTTAGTATTGCCGTAGCTTACAAGGATCACGCGTTCTATTTTCAAAGTCCAGGAACTGCTTATAATTGAGTAGCTATGTATTACTTTTTGTGATTAGCGCCGGTTATTATTACCTAGTGCTATGATAAGCGACATTCCTTCCAGGCAGCACTGTTTAATACGCCGAACGTAACTGTAACTGGGCTTTGGCCACAATAGTAGTATGTCAACAGGCTATTGAATGCAGTAACTTGAGTCTTTTTTTTTTTTTTGACAAATCTATTGAGTAGAATTTTCTTTATCAAGTTCAAATGCTTCCTTTCAGCCGCTTGAAAACTACATGCCGTGAATGAGAGCAATAGTTTGCGAAACGAAGACCAAATTATAACCCCTGGTAGTAATAGTATTGCCGGCTTGATCCTTCGGACAGGTCGAGAATTTCGGCAGTGGGTACTACTTGTTTATAAACCACCTACATAGTAGTATCATGCTAACTGTCGTTGGTAACAGTTTGCGAGGCAACGGAAGTCGGTAGTGCAAGGAGTAGAAGATGGCAGCAAATTGACGTCCAGTCACAAATAAAGGTTAGTTCCGGCTCGTATAAGTAGTATGGCCTTCGCTGAGGGTACAACCTGCTCAGAAGCTGCGCACTGTATCAGCCACAATGCGCCACAAAAAAGGTTCCGTGCGGAGAGAAACTTCCGATTTACATCAACAAAGCGGACACCCATTTCGGGCGCTACTGTATGTATGTACATGTATCCATAACTGAAAGCAAAACATACAAGCCCTCCTCCAGCATCAAGTCATTACATGTAATTCATAATCCAAGAAAAAACTCTAAAGGCAAAAGCCCTCACAGCTTCGCCTCGGCAATCCCCTTATACTTCTTCAACAACCTCCCCACCGCCGCCCTCGGACTCCCCCCGTCCACAAACCCAAGAAACGGGTTCCCAACCTTATACCCGAGCATGTCCACCAATCGCTCCGGAATCTCATCCAGCTTCTCCCAGTCCACCGCCAGGATCTGATTCTCCATCGGCCGGATCCACGGCTGGCAGTACTGCGCCGTCAGCGCTAATCTGCTGCCATCGCTTGTATTCGCGCCGCCACCGTGCCACAGCGTGCTGAGGAAGAAGAGCATGCTTCCCGCCGGCATGACGACGGGGATCGTCTCCTCGTCCAAAGGCACGCGGTGAGAATCCCAGAGATGCGAGTCGGGGACGATGACAGTTGCGCCATTGGTGGCCGTGTAATCATCGAGTGCAATCATGACGCCCTGCTCTTGTAAGTCAGCCATCACCTCTATTTCTTTGCTTTTCTTTTCTTCTGCTCCTTATGCCAGCTACAAATCGGTTGCTGTTGTAGCAAATCGCTCACTCACCGTCCCGACCGGTTTATGAGGCCTCTCCATCGTCACATATCCATGATCATAATGCAACGTCTGCGCACTCTCCCCCGGCAAGATATTTATGCTCTGAAACGAGTTAATCAAGTACCCCGGATCCAAATAATAGTCATTTAGCGCAAGCACATCCTCATGCAGCGCAAAGGCGTCAAACACGCGCGACTTGTTCGCCAGCGCGTACAATCGCTGCGTCTGATGCCCTTCAAACGTGTTCCGACCCTTTTCGGCCGCCGGCCCGGCTATCTCGGGATCCGCCGTCAGTCGGGCGACTTCAGCTTTGGCTTCGGCTACGATTGAAGGGGAGAAGGCGTTGGGTATAATGGCGTAGCCATGCTCGTTGATTTGATGGATGAGCTGCTGGATGCGATTGTCGGGAGCCTTTGAGAGTGATGACCGGCTTAGTCGAGCCGTGGCTCCGACTTGGTCAGAGACAGAAGCCCCGGGAAGACGCCGGTTATTGCCCATTTGTGAACAGAGCACAGCAACTACTAAAGAAAAACGAGAGATGAAACGAAAAAAAAAGAGGTATGGTATTGAGTCGATGAATGACCTGCTCTATCAACTACTACAACCTCAACGCGTAGGACCCAGACCCGTATATATACATACTCCATCATTCTAGTCTTTATACGAGCAATACAGCTAGCTCTATTGAAACTCCCTAGCAATCATCACCACATGCGGGGAACAGAAAGGAGATTCCAGCGGGTCTAAATACAAGGCTATTATGCTGGCCAAGCCAAATCCAGGCAACGACCGGCTGTCTTGAACTACAAGGGGAAATTGGGGGCCTTGCACAACATATCAGTAATGCGTAATCAAGCTGAATCCCATCTCCCATCCTACCAATATAGTCGATGCCTCGGTAAAAAAAAAAAAGATCACGCGTGTCTCGTAGGACAGACCGACGGATCTAGCAGAACGCTGGTGGGTGCTCGAGATCGGTGGCTTTCACCCTTGAAGAAACGGCAAGAAAAACTCTTGGCTGTCCCTCGGCTATCTATTGGCTCCATACGGGAACACATGATGACACATAAATAGCCAGTAGAGGCAGCCATTATTAGCAGCTAGTGTCATGCATATTATCCGATAGATTCAACGTCTAGCTTCTTTACTACCACCCAATGCGCCTTTCACTCTGTCAAACAGTCACGGAGATGCCTTACTTGAGTCAAGATTGAATATATCCGATATATGCATTCGCTTTATTCAGCTGGTTTGTATATATAAACAAAAAGGGCTTTTGTACACTTTTTTTGCCCCATAAGGTAGATACATATTAATTTATATACATGAAGGCTCGATATTCCACTCCGCCTGTGCTCTCCGCGTCGCTTCGTCTCTTGTCCAAATTTAGTTGGAGCAGACACCGTTCTTGCAAGCGTAAGGGTCAGAGCAGTCGTTGTCAGTAGCGCAAGAAGCGCCGAGGCAGTGTCCAGCCCAGGAGCAGGTAGGAGGAGGAGGAGCAGTGGAGCCAGCAGTGCCGCAGACGCCGCTGTTGCAGGTGAGGGCATCGGAGCAGTCGTCGTCGGTGCTGCAAGAGGCGCCGGCGCAGTGTCCGGCCCAGGAGCAGGTGGCGGGGCTGCTAGAAGCAGGGGGAGGAGGGGGGTTGGTGCCGGTGCCAGAGGAGATGCCAGCCTTGATGGTCTTCTGGAAGTTGCCGTTCTTGACAGCCAGCTGAGCCTCCCAGAGCATGACACCGCCGATGTTGGGCAGGTTGAGAGCAGAGACACCCTTGTAAGCAGAGAGGAGAGCGCTGGAAGAGACGTAACCCTGGTCACCGTCGGCACCGCTGGCCAGAGCACCAATAAAGAGAGTGGCGTTGCCAATGTTCTTGCTCCAGTTCTTGACGGCGGTGTTGAAGCCGGACTGGCCAATGTTGCAGTTGCCGTTGTTGTAGAACTGAACCCAGATGTAGTCGGCCAGCTGGCAGACGTTGAGGGGCTCCGAGGCGTCGGGAAAGGGGCACTGGGGAGCAGCAGTCAGGTAGTACTTCTTGCTGGTGTCCTTGGCGAAGTTGGACTTGAAGCGCTGGGCCATGGCAAGGTAGCCAGTAGGGTTGCCGGTCTCGTTGTCTATCGTGGAAATGAGATGTTAGTAAAAACGAGACTCGTACATAGATGTAGTTGAACATGGGTATTTCACTCACCGAGATCAACACCGTCCAGCTTGACAGTGCCAAAGGGACGGAGGGTAGGAGTGGCGGTACCACCCAGGAACAGGTTCCAGACGGTATCGGCAATCTGCTGGCCCTGAGAATCACCAGTGAGGGTGACGGCAGAGTAGTCAGTAGCACCACCCATGCTGAGGATGACCAGCTTGCCGGCGGCCTGGCAGGCCTTGATGGCGGAGACCAGAGAACTGCCGTCCTGGAGGTTGGTGGCACCGGCGGCCTTCTGAGCAGCGGAGGGGCCGCCGAGGGTGCTCAGGGAGAGTTCGGGGTAGCCACCGCCGGCGAAGAAGCGGCTGAGGAAGGCCAAGTTGACAATGTCATACGAAGAGTCGGCGCAAACGTTGGCGAGAGTGGTGCTGTCATCCTCGGCACCCCAGTAGATGACGAGCTTGCCACCGGCAGCACGCTTCTCAACGGTGGCGGTGGGAGCTGCGAAAGCAGCAGTGGCCAAGAGGCCGGCAGCAGCCAGTGCTTTGCTGAAGATCATGATTGCGAGAGTGAGAGTGAGAGTATGTATATACAATCGGAACAAGATATGTACAAGAGACCTAAAAAGAAGATTACCAGATCTTCAATGCTGCTGCTGCTGCTGCGGTTGATGAGTTATCCAGAGGGAAACTTGGTTCTTCAATCAACGGCCGGAACTGCCATCTCTATTTATCTTTCTCAACGTCCAATATAATTCCCAGGGTCGTCCTTCAAGCCGCCACAGCCAGTAGTGAAACAGCTGACTGTGTAAGCTCGGCCGAAACATCAAGCTCCCGATACGGCAGTCAAGAAGAATTAGCCTAGTCGACAATCCGGAAGGTGGCTCCAGGCCCGGCTTTGCCAGAGCCGTCTTGGCCCTGTCCGGAAGTTTGACGATACCCCGGATACAATAGTCCAGGGCAAAGGTCTTGTTAGCGTTCCAGTCTAGACGACACCATGCCAACCTGGGGCACAGGCGTTTAGGTGGCGGATCCTTTCACCAGATACGATATCCGATGGAAGAACAAGTTTCCTTTCGGACAACGTTACATGATGAGCCATCAAAGGCTTCACATACGAGCGCTGATGCAGAAAGCGGCATGGCGAGAGAAGCAGATGCCGAACTGGGACACGCCACAGCGCTTGATAAAGGATGAAGGCGGGGAATCTCGAGATAGCCTCAACACCAGCGGGACGTCGAATGCCCAAGCGCGCAACCGACGGTTCGCCGTAAGGAGTCGGTGATGCAGTACGGAGCAGAAAGCACGCTCTCCTCACAGCGGTTGCTCTCAAAGGCGGAGAGGGTTTCATTCCGTCTCTCCCAGCTGCAAGCTTAAACATCAGACGGTAGCGTTGATGCCAGGGCAGCCTTACAAACAGCGAATGAGAGTACGGAGTACCTGAGCTGTTGTTAGTGAATGCCTTCATGTGAGACGCTTATCTGGCCTTGGAAGTCCTCGGCAATGGCGCTGGTGGGAACGACTCCAGATTTGGCAGGTCACTAAAACAACTTGAGATTGAAGCCCACGTTGGGGGTCGTCAGCACCGAAGTGCAGCCGCTTCGAGTCCCGTCGTATCCCCTCTGGTCTGATTGAATCAACTTTCCTAATGAGTTTAAGAGTTTAAAATCCCCTCTGGGGGTGCGGTTGCGTTAATGTAGAAGCTCGTTTAGGCGCGTTACATCCGATCCGAGGGTATATGCCATGCCACGATTGTGTAGCATCGTGCAAAAGCTGTCCATTAGTGGAATGGATTTTTCCGTCCTTGACAGATGAATAGTGACAAGAAACCGGCAAAAGGCGGAATTAATTTGCACATGTCGATGCTAGCCCCAAACTCTTGCGGCTGGGCCGTGATGTTGAAACAGGAACACGCCCAACAGAGTTAGAAATAAAGCAAGCCGCAGCCAATGGAGAAAGTCACTTGAGCGATGCAGAGTTCTGTGGGGGTCGCTAAATTGGGCCAGGGATCGCAAGAGGAACCGTCCCGTGAATTGGTTTGAATGTCTGCTATTACTCCGTCGTGGGCCGTCATGCTCAGAGAATCCCGCATTGACGCGGCATTATCCCAGTCCCCTTCTTCATCTTCTAGCAGGCTCTGGAGCTCAAGCGCGCACCACCTTCTCTATTTGTTATTTCAAGCATTGCCCGACGCAAGTCTGGATACGAGGAACGACTCGACGTCATCAAACTCCTCCATGCAGGCCGAGTGTTGCATACCCCTGTGATTTTACGTCAGCAAATGTCCCTCCTCAAGACCAAGGCAAACGACATGATATGATTTGAGATGGCAACACCATCTGTACAAGTGGTTGCAGAGAAAAGGAAGCCAAGCCATGGGGTGATGCTCACTCATATGTTTCTAGCTTCACGTCATAACCGAATTCCTTGAGCTTCTGCTCAGTGGCCAATCCCCACTCATAAAGAACCAGTTGGTCGATGTCTCCATGTCCCATGAAAATGGGAGTTTCCTTGTTCGGGTTTGACTCTGGGACAAATTCCTTGAACTTGTGGCTGAGAAGCATCCAGGAGGACAGGCCGACGATACCACCAAGTTTGAAGGGAGCCGTGAGGCCCGAGAAGATGCTCATGGCACCGCCTTGGGAGAAGCCACCAAGCACAATACGGTCAGACGAGATGCCGTCTGAAACCTCTTGCTGGATGAGAGAGTACAGATAGGCGCGAGACTCGAGAATGCCAGCCTCGTCCTCCTGGCGAGATCTCGCATCCAGAGTCCCACCAGCCGTGGGACCGAGAGACTTCTATTGCACGGGCAGGCGTTAGACTGAATCACAAATGCGAGCATGAGAACAAGGTAAAAAAAAAAAAAAAAAGGGAGAGTCGTACGACGTCGAACCACGCAGGCATAGGGTAGCCTTGATTCTATAAGTGATACCCAGCATCAGCCCATCCTGTTGCTCCAAGATTCTATATCGCCGGCCAACTAACCACTGTAATGGGCATAATGCGAGCATTTGGCAGCACAAACTTGACCTCGTCCAGCCGGTGCTTCCTCTGCCACATCTGCACGGCATCAGCCCAGCCGTTGCCGGTGTCGCCCAGCCCGTGGATGAAAATCACAGTGGCCGTATGCCGGCTCACGGCGGGAAACACCAGCGGAGCAGCCCGACGCAGCGAAGCCATCGTGTCGTCGAGATTGAGGTTGGTTCCCGTCTCTGCCTCTGCTTGAGTCTGTGTCTGTGTCTGCGTCTGTATTATCTTGCGAGCCGAAACCGCTGGTTCTGGCTCTAGCTCCGACAAGCCCAGGTACGATGGCAAAATGGCCAGAGCAATCGCTATCAACGCCGCAAGAGTGAAGCCCGAAACGACAGTGCGGCTGAAGCTGAAGCTGGGCATGAGGTAAAATTGCAAGGATGGCAAGGGTGGAGAAGCAGTTGAGGCCTCGAGTTCTTTTGGCTCTTTTGGCATGTCGAGTCCGGGGGCTGTGATTGGCCGCTGTAACGGCAAGGAGCCCCTGGACAGTTAGCGGCTTGTCCGTTATAAGCCCCCTGTATTTGCCTCCATAACTGGCATAACTGGGGGGCAGGAGCAATTGAACCTTGTAAGATGGATCTGAAGCGGATCTAACATTGAAGTTGAAGGTGAAGAAGAAGAAGGTGGTTAAGAATGACAAATGACTATACGGTGAGGGTTAAAAAAAAAAGATAAAAATCAACATGTCATGGACTTTCTACCTCGTCAATGAAATGTACATATACATATGTAGGACGCATGTAGGTAAGTACGTGGGCAACGACAACATAAACACCAAAAAATGCAAGTCATCTACATGTACTTTGCATCTTTCATCCCACAGGGGCTGGAATCTGACCAAGACGTAGTAGTTGAGATCGGATAGATCTGCCAAGGACTGGAGCCAAGGGGCCAAGGGGCCAAGGAGCCAAGCATCAATAGATCAATCTAGATACACATCCAACTACAAGGTAGCATCGCATAAATAAGTGCATGTGTTTTATAATCATTCCTTCATCTTCACCTCACTCCAATTACTCATCAATCCATCTTCCTCTACCACTTCGTCTTATATCTACCACGAGAGCCAAAGCTCTGCTCAACCAAGCGCACACCATCATGTCCAACTACATCTCCGTGTAACCACTGATGGCGGATCTCTTCAAGCCCCCCCTCTGCCATAAGCGGTCCATCTCGTCTCGACACGGGTTCCAGACCGATGATTGTCACCGGCTTACCCGAGACGGTAGTATATGAAATAGACTGTATCTCAAACTTGGCCCCGGCAGCAGCCGTATACTCCATTTTGGTCGGATCATCAGATAGCGGCGTGACAAACGACACACTATCCCACAACCATCCATCAGACGGCGGATTCAACACGAGCACGATTCCGTTGGAGTAGCGCATGGCATCCTCCATGCTATCCGTGAAGCTCCAAACCATCTTGGTCGTGATGGTGTTTCCAACAGACATGTAGCTGGCCAAAGCATCCGGCAGTGAATGAGCCAGCTCGACCCCAACTGGGCCCTGGTTCAGCGGACACTCTTCAAACTCGATGCCGAACCGCTCTACGCCAAGCTGCTCCATATCAACCTGTCCGCTGAACAACCGTGGCTTCGACGCGAACGACGTCCGAGGCATCGACATCATGGCTGCAGTTACGAGGCGATTCTCGACCTCGCTAAAGTTGTACACTTGGTCAATGACCTCTTCGAGTTGGGCCGTGAGGTTGTCGAGCGAATGTGCGGGCTGCATCAAAAAGGCTCGCATGTAGTCTGCATCCTGGGGTGTATATACGGAAAAGTTGCTCTGCCAAATGTTGACGGCGAGGCTTTCACGATCCAAAGGGTGCGGCAGCGCTGCTACCCCCGAGTCGATGCCGGTGTACTGAAAGATTTTGAACAGCACCATGCGCGAAAACGACGGCGTTGTCCAGTCGTAAAGGGACATGGCAAGCTCAAAGTGGTAGGGCGTAAAGGGAAAGAATTGTCTTCCTAGTGCCCTAATTTCTTGGATTGGCCTCGTTGGCGCATCCGTTATATTCTGATAGGGCATGAATTTCTGTTCAATCATACTGCTGATGAAGGCCGCATCTTCAGCGGAGATGTCAGGTAAGGGTTTGAGGCGGCCTGATACTTGTTTCGAAATGTTATAGCAAGCTGCATGCATACTCAGGGTCAACTCATGGATATGGCTACCATTTTTGAAGAGTGGTTCCAACCTGTTGTTGTATCCGGGACATCAATGAGACTGAGGTTGAAATTGCCATCATCATCAAATCGAAGAGACAGACTCAGCGGAAATGAACTATTCTGCAAGGACGAACAAGCAGAGTCGCTACCATCTCTCTCACACCTCTTCAGCCACAGAGTTGCTCCATTGGCATCGAAAGCCACTGACTCTAATGAGCGCATCTCAGTGACATCCAGAAACCCTTGGTCATCAACAATGAGGCGAGATGAGACGCCGTTGCCGCCACGTAGGGCCTCTACTGGATTCCCATCACTGAACCAAAGACGTGATGCTACCAGTATTCGAGCAAGATGCCACATGTCAAACGAAGTCACAAATAGGACCATGGATTTGTTTCTTTATTGAAGCTGAAAAACGCCAGAGGGCCTCAATAGGCTACCGCGGTAGCACCTCTTTTCTTATAGATGCATACAGACCACAGAGACAAAGAGTTTGATGGTCAATCTATATCTTTTTATTCTCCTTTCTCCTCCTGTGCCCATCATCTCTCCTCTGCGTTAGAATGTCTCAGTTGACCACATGCAATGTTCAATGAGCTTGCCATCACGTGCATACATGAACCTCAATGAGAGACATTCGCTCCGTTCTGTCACGGATTGCAATTCGCACATCATGCAAAGGTACATGTGGTGTAACAAAGGTCGCCAGGTAGGCCAGATTAACTGCCGTCTTGGTGTTGCGCTGTGAAGCAAACACGGGTTCAGCTGAATGAATATGACAACAAAGGGCTCACTTGAGCATCGTGGAAATGGCCAGGGGAGGAACAGCTTCGACCCTCCATCGACCCAGCTGCTCACCGCCAAGAGCGTCTACCAGCGCCACTCACAGGGAAGAGTCAATTTCAGGTGATTTGATTTGCTTGGCGTTGCACGGGCCGCCTCTTATTTGGTTCCATCATGTAATAATACCGCCTGATGTCTCTGGATGGCTGAAGATATTACTATCCGCGAAGCTGAGTGAGAATCATACGGCTGGTATACCCGGATAATGCAGGACAAAATCCAACACTCGGCAGAATGACGACTGGATGGAGATGCCGTCCCGGTTTGATGCGGGATTGACGCGTCCTTTCCACGATCTCTACGATTGCGGACAGGGGTCATTTCAGCCTGGGGTCGGGGCGTGCTCGTGATAACGGTGCACATCCTCGTGTGTCTAATCGTTCAGTGTTCAAGATGGTTTTCGAATTTGCATTAGCCATGGTAAGCCAGGCAAAGGCATGGGAATCACATCAATCAACTAACATTTGTTGTTTTTTTGGAGGTCAAATATATCCTCTAGGTTAATTTGTATCTATCTTATGTCCCAGGAGATTGCTTACTAAGAGTATTCCATCAGTGCAAGAACAAAGGCCGGACTCCCACATCATTTTCGGGTTTCGTAACCTGGTGAATACAAATCTCTCCAGGAAGTCCAACAGATTCTCTCTAAAACGCGAGTCCCAGTTTAATCGCAGATATAGTGTAACGACCCAGAGACAATCAACTGCGCGTATTCGCGGCTCCTTGGGTGCTTACGTGCACTTTTTAACGCTACGAGTCCTATTGCGCGTGCTAGTAGCTTCGTATTTCTCGTGATTTATACTTGGAACCATGTTCTTCTTGTCAACTCTGCATCCTTAAAACATCACCTTCATTCGTCTTTTTCCTTTCAAAATCTGTACATTTACTTTCTTTGACCATTGTAGAATCTACCCAGCAACAACAACATCATGGAGCACATCACCATCATTCCATTCTCTCCCTCTCAACACACCCACTTCATCCCCGCCATCATCCAAATGCACATCGATTGCATCCAATCCGACGGCGCTCTCCTACGCTTCCACCCGCCCTTCACCCCGGAAAAGCTTAAAAAAATGGAATCCTTCTGGAATGAACGCCTCTCTCAGGTCTCTTCCGGCCGTCGCATCACCTTGATTGCGCTTGTATCATCCGATGGCAAGGACCAAGGTGATGTCGCCGGCATTATAGAGCTCGGCATGCCAGAGGCAGACACAGGCCCTTTCCGGGGCGACGTAGAGATGTTGATGGTGTCGCCCAATTATCGGCGCAGAGGACTAGCCAATAAGCTAATCAACGAATTGGAAGAAATCGCAAAGGAAAAGAGACGGACATTGCTAGTGAGTTGCTGTGAAGTTTCGCTTTCGTTGTAGCGGGGAACCTGTACAATTTTGTACCTCTGGACCGTGCTGACATGTAAAACAGCAACTATCGACCGACGTTGGCTCTACGGCGGAAAAATACGTATATCCTCGCCTAGGATATGTTCTTGTATAGTCTCCCCTGCATTCCTTGATCCTTTACCTGTAACCTATTGCTCACTCGTGTGTCTCTTCAGATGGGAACGATTCCCAACTATGGTATCTCGCCTCGAGACGGCTCGCTGAAAGACGGCGCATTTTTCTACAAACAGCTGGTTCCTATTAGCTAGGTAAAAATTAGACATATAGATTTCACATAGAATTAAATTTTGAGAACCCGGTCTGTGAACAAAATCGTGCGGTTCCCTACCATCCCATCAGATCGAAGCACCTACCTATACACCAAACTCAAAGGCCACCTACGCTTGCTCTTTTCCAATCCCTTCCATCATCTCAATTCTCCATCCGGGCCTATCGGCAATACGAGAATCCTCCTGTCTCTTGCCCAGGCGAACTGAATCCTTCTGCTCTGCCACATTCATTCTCACTGGCTTGTTCGGCTCAAGGCGGCCCAATTCGTCTCCGAACCCACTCCACTCGGCCGAGTGGGGCCAAGACCCGGCCGAGACGGATTCCAACAGACGCGCCTGAACTGCCTCGTGCCGACGTCCCTCCGGCTCCGATTGCGATATGCCGGGAGGACCTCCGATGGCAATGAATGCAGACTTTTGATTAGGCGACGGAGATACGAAGGATTGTCTGCCTTGTCGACGGCGAATCCTTTGCAATATGGCGCCAAATGGACGGGTGATGTCATGTATGTGCCATGGTGAAGGCTGGTCTGGCATATATGGATGTAGACATATATATATCAACCAGGTCGTCAGGATATCTGTCAATTATCATCATCATCATTCAATCGGAGCAAAACAAAATAGCAATATCATCCATCGTATCACTATCACCCTTACTTACTCCTAACTCCTCTCCACCAAATCAACCTCCAATCCATGGCTGCTCCAACAACTGGTGTCGCCATCATCGGCGCAGGCCTCTCCGGCCTCACTCTCGCCCTTGCCCTCCACCGCCAAAACATCCCATGTATACTCTATGAATCTCGAGAAGCCTCCCTCGACATTGGGGGCGCCATCATGCTCTCCCCCAACGCCCTCAAGATCCTCGACGCCCTGGGCATCTACGACAAGATCGCACCCCTTGGATACCATTTTGAGGAACTCTACTTTCATTCAGACGACGATAAGCCCGTCGATACCTTTGAATTCGGCTCTCAGACCAAGCACGCATACAAAGCCCTCCGCATCTACCGCTACGAGCTCATCAACGTCCTCGTGTCCATGGTCCGCGACGCCGGCATCCCCGTCCAGTACAACAAGAAGTTCACCCACGTCGTCTCCTCTTCCTCTTCCTCCGTAACTTGGGCCTTTGCGGATGGATCCTCCGCCACCGCAAAGCTACTCGTCGGCGCCGACGGCATCCACTCTCGTGTCCGCAAGCACCTGTACCCAGACCTCGTCCCCAAGTTCACCAACATGATCGGCGTTACCGCCGTCGTGCCCCGTGAGCAGCTCCAGGCCGGACCCGACTATCCCCTGCCGGTCACCATTATGAGCCCCAAGCACGGCGCCTTTGTCATTGCCCCACAGCGCGCCGACGGCTCGGAAGTCCTCATCGGGAAGCAACGGCGTCTCCAGCAAGAGTACGACCGCGCCGGCTGGGATGAGCTTATGGAAAACAAGACTTGGTGTGTCGATTTTCTACGCGAAGGAAGTGCCGATTTCCCTCCCATCGTGGCCAATGCCGTGACCGACATCCCGCTCAAGGGAATTAACCTGTGGCCATTCTATCTCGTCCCCAAGCTGGACACCTGGGCCAAGGGCCGCGTCGTCATTCTCGGTGATGCAGCCCATGCAATCCCTCCCACCGCCGGCCAGGGCGTGAACCAGGCATTCGAAGACGTCTATACCTTCGCCGGTGTTGTGGCCAGGGTGAGAGATCAGAAACAATCCGAGGACGACGAACAAGATGCCGTCCGCATCTCCAAGGCGCTCAAAAACTGGCAGCTGGGACGACAGGCTCGCGTGGACCTGGTATTGGATCTGAACGACAAGCTAAACAAGAGACGGTTGCCAGATGCAGTCAAGGCTGGCGTCTTTGAGCCTTTTGACATGGATTGGCTGTATGGCGTGGATTTTGATCAAATGATTGCCGAGTGGGCGAGCTGATGGATTCCAAAGCTGGTGTAGCTATGTATCTGAAGTTGGCTTTTCTTTTGTGTCCTTAAGTAGTATCTAAATTGCAAGCGAGATCTGTCAGCGCCTGGAGCCAGCATTGTGTGATTGCATACACTTCTTGATGGTGAAGCCACAATGACACCAATCGTCAGTCTCGTAACAATTGTGAATAAATCAGACCTGCATATTCCTGAATGAGGATGCACATCGTATTGTATAGTCACGTCCAGCGCAGCCACAATTAGTCAGTCGTACACGATCCCAGCCCTCTTTGGTATTGAGGTCGTCTAATTCATCTAATTCAGGAGCCATGTCACAATCTCGTCCATCATAACACAGCGATACGCACCTCATTTCACTCTTGTATAGATCTTCGCATCACGTCATCATTGGAAGCATTATCTTTCTACACGTTCCCGGAGCAGGGTCACCAAGCGCCCAAGCCTCCCATTTTATAAAACCCCATATTGAAAAAAACAGAAATGAAAGCAAAAGGCAATCCACGCTTCTAGTATTATCTCTAGTCATCTACTCGACCAAATAGTTGTCTGCTGTGGACTTGACATCCTTGGAGAAAGTAACCTCCTCGTTTTCTTCAATCAACGAAACGGAAGTGACCTGAGAGCAATTGTTAGCGACAGGCAATCATAAGAGTGCCGGAAAAATGCAGCAAAACTTACATCAACGTCCACAAACGGTGTTGTCTTGTTGAAACGAACATTCATGGGGAAAAAGTCATTTTCATCATTGGACTCGGCTTCAAACTCAAAGGATCCATTGGGGTTTTCGTCATCGACCGAGCCAATGTTCCACTCCAGTGTATCTCCTGATACCTCGTAGGAGGCGTCGAAGCTGGAGACAACAGGCTCACTTCCCTGGTAGGGAATGACAACGCTGACATCCCGCAGGGCATCGCCGCCTGTCAGCTCGTACTCGACCGTGATGTTGTACTTGTCAGAATCCTTGTTGATCCAGACAGTGAAGGTAATGGGACAAGCGCTTGCGTCGTCCGCCTTTGGCGAGGCCCTCCATCGTAGCAGTCCAACGCCTTGGTTGATGGGGAATCCTCGAGCCGCATTGCTCATTTGTAGAACCTTGGAACTGTTGAAGAGATTGCGGTCCACGTTGGGATGAGGGCGGAATTGAGCACCATGCGACGGAACAGCGTGCAGGCCGAGCTTGATCTTTGTTAGGCTGGGATCTGAAACTCGCAGTGTCAGATCTCCGTTGACTGAAATAGAGTTGACTGCGCCTTCTCTTGAGAGCTTGGCGCTTATCGTCTCGGCAATTGTGACATGGATGGCATCGCGATCAAGCGTCGATGACATTCGCGGCTCGGGCTCAGCGGCGGCAGCAGGTGTCGGCGTGATGAGGGGAGCGTCGTCGGCTCCAGCGCCAAGGTCTCCCCGAACCTTTTCGAAAATGTCGGTCGTCTTTGACTTCTTGCCCAGCTGCATTCCCTTTGCCTTGAGCGTAGATGTCCTAGCGAACTAGTTAGCATTACGAAGGGTAGGCAGCAGTGTTTATTATTGCGCACTTATTGAATGTCTTGTTCTTCTCGGCCTCGTATGAGTCGAAGGCGCTTGCAGATGGCTGGGAGGGAGGGGTGTAGGTAGGATAGACGGGTGTTCGCGGGGCGGCAGGTCGGCCAGTTCTGGCGGACTCCTTGCGCTGCATTTCCAGCTGCTTGGCCTTGCGTTTCCGCTCCTCGGTAGCCTCAAGCTCTTTGTTCTGTCTCGGTGTAAGCAATTCGGCCTGCCATGGTGGCACAGCAATTGGGGCCATACTCGTGCAATGATCTCCTGGATGCGCTCCTCATGACTCTCCATCTCCAAGAAGGTCCTGATCTGGCTGATGGTCAGGTTCTCTCGGTAGCCCAGTGTGACCAGCTCATCAAACGCGCTAAGAAGCTCGTAGGCATTTCGGACAATTTCTCTCTCGTCGAGCGTCTTGCAGGTGCTGGAGACAACCTGGGCGAACAGGTGCAGGGAATCGATGTCTTGGAGGATGTTGGACTGGCGGTTGGTGATGAGCACCATGTAGAGTTCGTCGAGAGGCTGGTAGACGAATCGCACATTGTCCTGCTCGACAATTGTGTGCTGAGTGCCGCTGTCTGCCAGCTTGGGGAACGACGCAAGGAGAGCCTCAATGCGGGATCTGGGCATCTCCCGGAACTGTCTCGAGAGGACAGCTTTCCCGCCTCGGGTGCAGATGGAGGCCGCGAGAACAACCTGGTCAGCCGTTAGTCGTCAGCGAAATTCGAATATCGGGGCATTCTGGAGTTCTGGAGCTGCGCGCGCACCATTTTGGCAATGACGTGGTGTGCACTGAAAAGCAATCTGGGGAGGCTTTGGTGGGATGTCCAGATGGTTCAATTGAGCCACGTCTAACTCAGGAGCTGGAGTTTAGTTGCTAACGCAGTGACAAGGCTACTGCTCGCCCAAAAGCGACGTCACGTGCTATGCCAGTGGAGGGGCTTTGGAGGACAAAGTACAGGATACCTGGAATTGAATGAAGGGAGGGAGCTGTTGGCGCCGTACTATATGCTCTGTAAAGAGGTTAGTGCTTGTCATATAGGCGTTGAAAGCATCTTTCAAAAGTAAAATTTCATAGAATGCATCTCCATTACAAAGAAATACACAAAACAAAAGAAAGAAAAAAAAGAAACAATATAGCGACTCAACAATAGGGTTGAAGTGCTGCTGTTTACTTCCCCATCAAAAGCAATCAACAAGATGTATAGAGTACAAGTTGCAGCGAGAAACCCCCTGCCCCCACCTACTTCAAGTTCCCAGTACCCCTCGACCCCAAAGCCACGCCAGCAAACACCAGGTACTAGGCACTTGATAGTCTTGTTTACCCACTAATCCTGTTTTAGTCAGCTCTCTCACGTGTGGGCCAGCTACTCCGTAGATCCAGCAGAGCTGCCTTCGAAAGTTTGTCGCATTCATTAGCCTCAGCCGCAACTTCACCAGGCTTCACTCGTTCTACCGGCATCTGCCTCGGTCACGATCCGTCATCCCGAATATCCGCCTGCACGACGCGTTTCTCGTGTCGCCTGACCCTATTTAACCTTTTCCCTCTCCTCGATATCAATGTGTCGCTCTCCCGCTGCCAGCCACCAACTTGAAGACACGATATCGTGAGTGGCGTAACAACTGTTCATCTAGCTCTCCACTCAGCACAGGATTGCCCTGGGCATTTCCATCCTGGGATTCAGAAAGCGCATCTTCTACATTGCTCTGTAGCATAGGAAGCACACGTCTACTTACGAGCGCCTCAAACACCGAATTACGACTTTCGGAGCGCTTGCAGCACTTGTCCGAAATTCACACCTTTGTCCTTAACAAAGCAGCAATCCAACACTCGGACAGTCACGCACCATGGCTGAAATCGAGATGGACGTCGACTTGGCCCCGTCAATCAAGTTTGACGAACAGGCTGACGATGACCTCATCGACTACGACATCGATACGACCGAAGACCACACCCACGACCCATGGCCATCTCACCAGGATGAGCAAATCTCAAGTGCGCCAGAACCCGTGCACTCAACCGAAGAATATGTAGGTACCGAATCGAAAAATATCGAACCCGAACACGACGAACAACACTTCCGAGATACGGAAGCAGATCACCCTCAGGACAACATGGTATATAACCATGACGATGCTGCTGAAGAATCCCATCAGCAGCCAGAAGTAGCCGCCGAGATACATGATGAGAATAATCCTTTGGAGACGGAACAATCCAAAGATGTCACCGTCGCTGAGACCGAAAATGTAGTAGATGAGATTGATTACGAGGATGGCGATGTTACGGCGACACAGGAGGAGTCACGCCATGAGCCAGATGAAAAGGAAAACCCGGTGGGCGACATTGTCGCTGCCGAAGATGTCACCGAAGCCACCGCGGTAGAGCCTGTTACGGCAGAGCCCGCCAACGCCCAGCCACCAACCGAATCTGCTGGTAGTGCTGACGTGCCAGAGTCGGGGGCCAAAGAAGATGAAGATGAAATAACCTGGGAGCATGAGGATGCTGAACCGGAGGCTGCCAGCGGTGCTGTAGAGACTACCGCTTCCGAGACTGCCATCCCGCCTGCAGACGAAAGCTCGCACGCGCACGCTGGAACCGAGAACAGCGGTTCGCACGACCAGGTGTACGAACAGCACACCAATGCAACAGGTTCCGATTATGAGGACAATGCGATGGATGGCTCGGCAGAACAAGAGTCTGTGCAATACCAGCAAGACGAATCGCTATCACAGCCGGAGGAGCCGAGCTCTGAAGAGCACGATTTCCCGGCGATCACTGTACAATACAAGGGGGACGAGTTTCCCTTCTTTTCACATGATAAAACGGAAGGCTTCTTTTCTGATGTATCCGTTTTGGATCTCTCGATGGAGTCGGTTCTTGCTGGCTTTCGAGCCGAGCTAGAAAATGAAATTGCTGCACAGGATGAACTTGTCTTCCAAGTCGATGAACTTGGGCTTGAATTTGCAGAGGTATGTTTCACTATGTGGACTCGATTTGAGAGATAGTAAACTAACTGCTCTGCAGGCTACAGAACAAAAGTCCCTCGCAGCCATTACACTACGGCAGGTGTTGGAGGTATTTGACTTGTTTGTGAAGAACCAAGATCCCGATAGTTCGCGAGTTCTATATACGTATCTCTTTACAAGGTCGAATGCTGGCAAACGATTTGAATTCCTGGCTGAGAGTGCGGCGGCCGGTAGAGGGCTCGATGAAGTGATTCATTTATTCGAGTCTCCTTTCGGACATCATCATGCCGCCGCCGAAGGCCATCACGGACATAGTCATAGTCATGACCATGATGAGGTCAGCGAAACCAATGAAGCTACAGAAACTCACGAGAGCGCTGAGGACGATGAACATGATGAGAATGATGCAGCTGGTGCCACTGAAGAATCCGAAGCATCAGATGATGAAGAAGGGGAAGAGGAAGAAACCTCAACCGTTGAAGAACAGCCTGTCGACACTGCTGATCAATATGAAGAGGAAGAAGAGGAAGTAGAAGAGGAAGAAGAAGAAGAAATAGAAGAGGAAGTGGAAGTGGAAGAAGAAGAGGAGGAAGAGGAAGAGGATGAAGATGAGGAGGATGAGGATGAAGACTTCATGGGAGAAACTGAAGATTTTATCGGAGATGTCGAAGAGACTGTCAACCAGGAGGGAGACTACAGTGACGGCGCGGATGAGGAGTACAAAGATGAACAGCTCCAGGCAGTGGTTGTAGAGCCAGTGAACCATTCCGATAACGGGCGTGCAAATGGAGACGCAGAAGATGCACCAGATGCGACTTACTCATATGGTACGGCCGCCAACATGAAGACGCCGTTTGTTTCATCAATTGCTAACAAATCCTGGCCAGATGATGAAGATGACGACGCCGAGGCCAACCCATTCATTCACCTGGAACTTCAGGAATCCATGGAAAACAATGGGGGCGAGCTCGACTATGAAGAGATTGTGCATGTGGAAGGCGGCGATGGATCATCTCGCCAGATTCCCATGCATCCGATGGACGAATACATCGACTCCAACGAGCCCGACACCGGCACAACCAACACGCTGGTTGATAATGCAGAAGCCATCTCCAACCTACTAGACATTGGCACGGTGCAAGGGCTAGACGAAGTTACCAACGAGGATCTGGCCTTTGATGACGAGATGCCCGAGATCGACTGGAGAGATGGCCTGGACGCCGCCGACGATGCCAAAAACGACATGGCTACTACACCCTCTGGTCTATCAAAACGGGCTCGAGACGAGGACGAGCAAGGCGCAGAAGACGAGCAAGGTAAGCCTACTTACTCAATAGCCTTGAATCCGACAGACAGGAGCTAATTGTTTTGCAGATGCCAAGCGCCGCCGACCTTGATTGGTCATGTTTCACCAGCACTAACAACGAGGATCCAAACCCAATCTCCCCCAATGCATCTTGTCACGCAGCCACATCTGGATAATACCCAAATCGGGCGAGATGGCCCATTTAATATAACGGAATACTAACCACAGTCAACAGCGTGGCCGCTAATGATGCTCATATATCCGATCAATCATCTACGTGCCATCGGATACACGACTATATATGTCAACACTCTTGGACGAGGACGAATTCCAGGTAGGGATGCAGCGACTTTACTAACAATGAGCCCTTGCGACTATGTAGCTGCAGACGACTTTGCCTTTGGGTCACCTAATGACCAACTCTTTTTGGTAGCTTCTTTTTTTGTCTGGCCTTCTTTTTTGCTTTTCCCCTCTTTTCTTTTCTTTTCTTCTCTTCTTTTTTCTTTTGTTTATTTCCCCAGCCTCTTTGTTTTCCAACTTGGAGTTGGGGGCTCTTGACACCACATTCTCTCGATCCAAGCGCCAGATCAGTATCTGGCTCGACTTGAATCATGGGAGAGCGGATAGATATTCTACGGGATGGCTCTTGAGGCGTGAAACTGGAAGAAAAGGTATGCCAGGCAAAGGCAGTTTGGGCGTTTTTGGACAAGATGGTCCCGGCCCTGATGTTCAAGGTGAAGTATGTCTGCACATAGATTTCGCTAGCTCTACGGACAGAGGTCTGTTGCACATGTCTTCAATACACGTATCGAAATGAATGAATGAATGGAAGCTGCTGGCCACTGGATGCGAACTTGAGTGAAAAAAAAGGGTGTGATTGATGTACGCCTTGAGGTTGATGAGGATGTTGTCGATGCTGTTGGCTGGCTGAGCAAAGCAAAAGCTTTATGGGGGCCAGTATCATTGCCAGCTTCCAATTCAGATGGTCACGGGATTCCGCCGACCAGCAAATCATCCGACGTGGTGTAGTGGCTAGCATACCGCGCTTTCATATTGAGAGTACCGCGGCGATCCGGGTTCGACTCCCGGCGCCGGAATTATTTTTTGCCCTTTTTTTGTCCTTTGCATTTTATTTTGGCTTCTGAACGCATTGTTTCAGCGCGTGTTCGCTCAGTCTATGCTCAACCAGCAACAACCTTGCAGAAGAGGGTCGTGACAGGATCTCTGACAGCTTGACAGCCTAAAAGACCGAGATCGCGACAAGCCACAATTTAATTTTCTAATTTTTTATTTTCTTTTTTTTTTACAGATCGGACGGAGCTTTCTTAGCACCCGGCCCTGACGTGTTTGCTGCACCACATCCGATCAATAGCACCACAGACCAGGGGGTTCCTGTTTGCGCGTCCCAGGTCCACTTATCCAGGGGCTTGATTTTGTTTCTCTGTGTTTTGCACGCATTTTCTCCCCGTTTGACCAGGGGGGCCCCTAAATGTGAAGCAGAGCGCAGGGCGATCACTTTGCCGGCACTGTGCAAAAAGCTTGGAAGCGGTTGGGCGAGGCTCCACCGAGTACGATTCAGGGTTGGGAGTGGGAGGCAGCCGTGGGGAGAGAGAGAGAGAAATGGTGGGTAGATTAGATTGCCAGTGACAGGCATGTTGAAAGGGTAATATCGAATTGATATTGAATAGCAGTGCTGAATAGTATTAAAGGCTGGTGATGAATGAACCTAGAAGGCTTGGATGGTCCGTCAAATTTCATCATCCCAGATACACACCAGGTACATACATAGTAATATAGTAAGTAGCCAAGTGTCCTCGTCACTGGATTGGGGGTGCATTGAGGCGCAGCATGTTGGTGTCTAAGACGACCATCTGCCGGTCTCGTGATGGGATGGTGGATGGGACATATCACACGGCGGGTGAATGATGGGCTCACGGCAGCGCTAATTTTCTTTTGTAAAGGGCACGAGGAACTATACGGAGTATGAGTCCTATACGGAGTACTATACGGAGCACTATACGAAGTACCTAACGTAGTAGTAGCACAAAAGAAGAAGAGATGAATAAAGAGAAGGACGGACTGCCGAGGGTATTTCGTGGGATTGGACTGCTTTGCTTTTGCTTGCTCGTGGATGTGGTTGTGGATGACGTGCGCTGATGCTACCCTGTGACGAACCGGCCAATGACGTCTTGGAGAAATCGAAGTTTGATCGCGTCCCCGTCAAATGGATTGAATTGCTTGCTTTGTGGCTCCGCCCATCGGAATTTTGTCTGTTTTTGATTTCGCGCCGCCGTGCTACTTGGTGAACTACCTATCTACGTACCTATGCTACACGAATTGTAGCCTGTACTGTACCTCAAGTCAGCAATAGATAACAAACATTGGCTTTTTTGGAAATTGAAGCCGCAAAGAGAAAGAAAAGAAAACTAAAAGAAACCAACAGCTAGGCAACTTGCAGTAATATCCACGACACAAAGCGTCAAGATCTCTCTCTCTCTCTCTCTCTCTCTCTTTTCTCCCAGCCTTGCCGAAATGAACAGCTGATGAAACACGCCCAAGCTCGATTTCCTTGTTTTAGGACGGCTCCGATCCACCGGGCAAAGGCTCTGCTGTGCTTTGCATGGGGCCGGGAATTGGTTGCGACTGGGGTGTTTTGGCAAAAAGGCCTCCCTCCATCTCCATCCCCTTGCTTGATTGCATGCAGTGTGATGGAGTGAGTGGGAAGATTGTCTGGGCAGAGGTACTAACCTGAGGTGTATACGCTACCTCTTTCATCGCAGGTGTCAATGCAAAACATTGGGTATCATCTACCTCTGACACAGCACCTAGCAGGGTTCAATTTCTTTTTATAGCTGCTTGTACTAAGGCACTCACTCACTCACTCATTCCCACTGTCGGGTGCTGTAAGAAATCCATCAATACAGGCACTCGTAAGGCCGCTAGCCCCCTCAGGTACCCGTCCCTCCAGCCTAGCGCTGTGCTCCAGGGCCTTGCGCCTCTGTCGTGGCCCGCTGAGACCGATGCCGCGCCCTGTACACGCACTGCAGAGTGCCAGAAGACGCTGGTGAGACACGCATCTCATTCCGAGCTCAGGTTCGCCCCCCCTCCCCTCCCTCCCCAAAAAAGCGCCACTCACGCCTAAACCAATCCAATCCGCTCGATCCCATCCAAGTCCAGAGTCCAAGCCAAAGTCCAAGCCAAAATCCAAGCCAAAAGCCAGAACCACAAGCCACCACAAAACACATGCGCGATCGTTCCTTTTTCTTTCCTTTTCCCTTCTCTCCCTCTCACTGTGCACCATCTCCGCCAGGCCCTCTTCTTGCCCCCTCTCCCTCTGTCTGTGTCTCTGTCTCTGTCACTGGCTCTGGCCCTCTTCCTCTCCCTCTCCTTTCCCTCGGCGTCTGTGCTGTGTTTGCATCTTGAGTTTCCTTGAGTTTTACGAATTGGACGACGAGCAGACCATCTGGTGCGACTTGAGACCACGGCACGACCACTAAGCATCCTCGCCGCCTCTCCCTCTCTCTCCCTTGCGGAACAAAAAAAAGAACAAAAAATAGTCTCGACGACTCAAACGACGACAGCCGCGAGCCTCGCTCTTTTTTTTGATGGGCCTGATCTGATCTGACGAACTCTTCTCTTCTCTTACTCTCAGCATTTCATCATCTCGGCTCCCCCGCCTTCGAGTCGCCGCAGTCTCTTTTTTTTTTTCCCTTTCGCCTCTTTCGGCACCACGCATTCGCTACGATTCGCCCTTGCGCACGCTCATTTTGTCCCGTTCGCGACTCTTCCCTTTTCTAGGGAGCGCTGAGCAATACTCGATCGACACCACACACCGTTGCCTTTGCTCTCTGCCTCTGTCGCCGTCTTGCGCGCGCCGGAAACCACTCGCTCAGCATGCTTGAGGATAAGTGCGTTTTGCATCCACAAGCGAGGCCTCTCTCGCACCAAGAGAAGGTCGTCCCGCTAACGTTTGTTTGTGCTGCAGATATGTCGGCCTGGCGTTGGCCATGTCATCAGCCTTGGCCATTGGTATGTCCTTTCCTGTCCTGTCCTGTCCTGTCCTGTCCTATTCTTGCCCACATCCCTCCTCTGACTCCATCGCTTTGCGGCGTCCCTGTGCTGACTCTTGCGTCTCTCTTCAGGCACCAGTTTCGTCATCACCAAAAAGGTCAGATCCATCCTGCGGCGACCACGGCGGTTCTCGGCATCATGCGATGCCCAGCCGACACAACCGAAGACTGGAACCTGCTCTGCTGACGCTCTGCACAGGGATTACTACAAGCCGAAGAGCGGCACGGATTCGAAGGCGACGGATTCGTATATCTGAGAAGCCCCTTGTGGTGGGCGGGCATTGCAACCCGTGAGCATAGACTCCCCATCCCAGGACCCTATTCATGCACGCGTTTTAACCTGATCCTGTCTTGTCAGTTGGTGTCGGAGAAATCTGCAACTTCGCCGCCTACGCCTTCGCCCCAGCCATCCTGGTCACTCCTCTCGGCGCCCTCAGTGTCTTGATTGGCGCCGTCTTGGGTTCATACTTTTTGGATGAAGAGCTCGGCACGCTGGGAAAGCTGGGCAGTGCCATTTGCCTCATCGGCGCCGTCGTCATTGTTCTGCACGCCCCGCCTGACGAGGAAATCGAGACGATTGATCAGATCCTGCACTATGCCATCCAGCCAGGTACGGACGATGACGATTCCCGTTTTTCTCTTGCCCTCCCATATACTACTCAGAAATGCTAATGGCAACTAGGCTTCCTCTTGTACGCCTTTGCCGTCGTGGCTTTTGCAGTCTTCATGATTTACCGAATCGCCCCCGTCTACGGCAAACGCAACGCCCTCATCTACCTTTCCATTTGCTCCACCGTTGGATCCATCTCCGTCATGTCCGTCAAGGCCTTTGGTATCGCCCTCAAGCTCACCTTTGCCGGCCACAACCAATTTTCGCATCCTTCGACCTACGTCTTCATGATTCTTACAGGAGTTTGCATTCTGACCCAGATGAACTACTTTAACAAGGCATTGGCATCATTCCCGACAAACATGTGAGTTGAAGCCTAACGGACAACCCTGTCCTTGTTTTTCCTAGTTTGTGCGTCTCCAATGCTGATTGAGAATTTCCCAGTGTGAACCCGCTCTACTACGTCACTTTCACCACCGCAACCCTCTGCGCTTCCTTCATCCTCTTCAGCGGATTCAACACCACCGATCCTGTCAACACACTGTCACTGCTCTGTGGCTTCCTCGTTACCTTTACCGGAGTGTACCTGCTGAACCTTTCTCGAGGCGATCCTCACGGCCAGAGGCTGGTTGCTAGCCGCGGCGACTTTGATGCTGCTGGAACTGATATGATCTCTGGCTTCCAAACTCGCCGCAGCATGCAGTCCCGAAGAAGCGAAAACACCTCGAGGCACAGTCTTAGCAGCTTTCACGGAGACAGGCAGGGCCTGATCCGGGCCTATGACGAGGAAGAGGCTGCGGGTTTCGGCCTCACCGACCTTGCCGATAGCGACGACGAGGGCCGGCGCCCCAACGGCGCAAATGGCTCCAATGGTGCGGCAAACGGCTCGGCAAACGGCAAGAAGCAGTACACCAGCAACGACATTGAGCTCGAGTCCCGGAAGCATCCCGAGAGGTAGTAGGAAGCTTGTTCGATCAGTTTCCTTTTTCTTTCTTTTACAATTATCGAATACATGAGAGAGGTCAAAGTATGATGGATATACCCGCAAACCATTGCCATACATCTCTTGTGAGATCAATCAAAACAGTCGGCCAGATTGGTCAACCAAATCTGTATATTTGACATGCAATGCCATTTCTGAAAAAAGGGGGGAGGAGCTATATTTTCATAGCGCAAGGGGGGGAGTTTCCAGCCGCGTATGCAGGTCTCAGTTACTGCAAGCAGCTACAACGTCCGATAGAAAGAGATGGAGAGTCTAGGCCCAGGTGGCTCAGGGAGTCTTGTTCGTCAAAGATCTTGCTCCTTTTTTTCTTCCATCTCTCTTCGTTTCTTTCTTCTGTTTCTTACCCTCCTGGCTGTCCAAGTTTCCTGTCATCGTTTACAGTGGGAGCAAATGCTGCGGCTGCAGCTATAAATGAAAGGAGGTGGGATTCCGGAATCTACTGTCTTTTTTTTGTGTGTGTGTGTCTTCATTTGCTTTTTCTTTTCTCTTTGGTGGGAGAGGCGTTTGTGTGTGTACGTGTCTCTGCGGGATAACTTGCTTTTATTTTTACGGTAAACATGACTGATCGGAAAGGAAACTGGATTTGAAAGCATGCTCCTGTTGTACGATATATATATATTTTTTTTGGGTTGGTTTGCATTTCTGGTGACGAGGTAGAAAGAAAGAAGAGAGAAAGAGAACGAGAAGAATGAAAGATGCGGGCCGTTGTGGTCTTTGGAAAAGAAAAGAGAGAACGGTGGGGAGAGAGAGAAGCGAGTTTTTTTTTTTTTTTTGTGTTGACATGATGTGTTATATATACCACAGGCTGTTTACGGCCTATAACAACAGCCCTTTTTCTTTTCATTTTCTTTTCATTTTCTTTTCATTTCTCACTTCGCCTTGTTGATTGTAAATTTAGTACTCGCCTTGCATTACACGTATTGGCTCGCAACCTGGATACCATAAATACCACACACAGCACGACGGATAGCACTTTGTTGGCGACGAATGGAGGGGGTTTGGTTTGGTTGGCCATGAAGTTTTTTTTATCATAAGATTCTCTCAAGTCTCACTTTTTTGTTTCACGGCTTAATGATGTTCTACCATGCCATGTTTTTTGAAAAAAAGGAAAAACAAGACGAAACCTTTCCATGCCCTTAGCAGATGCAAATGATCAATTGACGCCTTAAGTTTGACCGCCATCCCTTTGCCCTGTGGCTTGATATAATCATCCTCGCCTAAACCACAAAACGTCCCTTTGTTTGGTGTTCCTCCCTTTGCGTAAACACACAACACAAACCCTTTTATCTCACCAGTCTGAGGCTTCCTACTGCTCCTCAGCGGCGGGCTGGGCCTCCTCAACAGCACCCTCCTGCTCAGCCACTCGCACGTCCTGGCTGCCCTGGGCGGCCTGGGCGGCCTTGGCACCGTAGTCCTGGCTGACGGGCTGGAGAACGGCAGGCTCCTCCTTGGGCTCGATGATGGTGACGGCGTCAGGGAGAGACTTCTGGGGGCCGGCCTTGCCCTCGGGGTCGGAGCCGCGCATGATCTTGACCTTGATACCCAGGACACCCTGTCGGAGCAGGACGTGGCGGGTGGCGCTGTCGATGAAGTCCTTGGCGGGCTGGCCAGAGTGGATCATGAAGCCGTCGGTGAACTTCATGGACTTGGCACGGGCAGCACGGAGCTTGCCGGAGACGACAACCTCGCAACCCTTGGCGCCGGACTCCATGATGAAGCGCAGGACACCATAGCAGGCACGGCGGACAGCCAGGCCGTTGAGCAGCTTGTAGCGGAGAGACTCGCACTGGGCGACGGCGGACAGACCGCGGTTCTGGACCTTGGCGGCGTAGAGGGAGACGGAGTTCTCGGGGAACTTGAAGCGCTTCTGGATCAGGGAGGTGAGCTCGCGGATGCGGCGGCCCTGCTCGCCGAGGACCTCCTGGGTGTGGGTGGCGCGGACGATGATGTCGGTGACGGTGGGGGTGACGCGGACCTCGACGCCGGAGTAGCCCTCCTCAGCGAGCTCGCGCTGGAAGAACTCGTTGAGCTCGGCGTAGAAGACACCGTCGGCGACGAACTTTCTCCGCTTGGAGCTGTTTTGAGGATATGTATGTTAGCGAGGGTGTTGGACGAAGGGGCAGTGTGGAATATGGAATATGGCAGCAAGGGGTTTGCGTTGTGATGGTGGTGGTGGTGGTGATGGTGACAATGACAATTCCCCCCTCCAGTAACGCAACTCCTTGTAATTCCCTGCTGCGTTGTCCCCAATGGATCAATGCATTGTCCCTTCTCTTCCTCTCTTCCTTGTTCCATATCCCTCTCCCATTCCCCTCAACTTCTCCTCCACAGGACAAAAAGGGGACAAGATGCCATCCATCACCAAAAAAAACCACCACCACAACGACGTCTTGCTTTGTGTGTATCGATATACGAAACGAAAACGAATGGAGGGGTTCAAGGCTTTTCGCACTCACATCTGAGCACCCGGGTGGGACATTTTGAATGATATGAATCGAGTCTTTGTTGTGACTTGAAACTGGTCTTGGTGTCTGAGCCGTGCAAAAGGAGAAGAGGGACAAAGTTCGCGATCTCTCTTGGGAGTTTGGCGGGCTGGGCTAGAGCGAGAGCTTCACTCACAAATTGCTGGCTTTGCGCGCGCAGTGCAATTTTCGCCTTGTGTGGGTTGAGCCCTAACCGGGACGAGGTGGCCCTTGCGCCGAAAAGTGTGTGGGCTTGATTTTTTTTTTTTAAGTGGTACGTACCTGGCACTACTCAAAGTGGCACCTTGGTGGCATCTGTTCGGAGAATTAGTTTTGGCGACTGCCGGCGGCCCGTCTCCAAGCAACGACTTAGAACTCGAGGATACTTACTGCTATTAGCCAGCACGAAGTTGGATATACAACAGCATGTGTTCAAATTCATTGGAGTGGTAATATCAGACCAATTTCCAGAAGAGGTAGTAATAATGGCATCTACTGGAACAAAAAAATAGCAATAGTAGCAGATACTAGAAAAGACGGCGATGTTAGCAGACATTTGAAGCACTGGGCAGACACATGTAAGTACAAAGGTGCCAGCGACTAAGATGCTTCGTGGAGAATGACAGTCAAACCTGCGGAGCTATCAGTAGCACTTTCCAATGAACAAAATTTGAGAACATGTGACAATGGCAGAGAGATGATGCATAAACACAAGCAGATGGCCATCCAAGTGTTTCCCGTCAAAATGATACAATGATGCCGTATCCATGATCCCTATACTAAGCTGGGTTGGATAGTCAACAAGGAAGAGGAAACAGAAGAAAGGTGGGAATATTGCAATTGTAGTGAGATGCAGATGAAATGTCTTCATCTAAGTTTCTGGCGTCAAGTAAATGGGCAGCCAAGTGAGTCTAATCTGTTGGTCACATCCTCACCCGAGATCAGCAACTCTCATTTCAAACTAGATCATAAGCATTCATGAGACTGCTCTCTACAATCTACTCTGACATCGCTGTTGTACACCTAGGTAATCACCGCTTTTTGTCATAATATCCTAACTGCCCAACCAGGGGTGGAATTGATCAACCGGCTGATCCAGCGCTGCTGTCCAGGGAGCTCATTGTTTACAACTGTCATCCCCTGTATCCTTACTCGCTGGCGCTTTTGACTAGTCAAATATCGTGCCCGTGTCCGTACCCATTCTTTCACCGGTATTTGCCATGTCTCACCATCTATCCGCTGTTTCTGTATGACATTGTTTCTTTTTATAGCCAAAGGTTGGCTCTGGCGGGAGGGGGGTAATAAAAAAACAAAGGGAGAAGGGAGAAAATATCATGATTATCTATCGTCTGGGTTCATTGTAGCCACATCAATCTCATCCTACACAGTCATTTTTTCAACGTCATAATTCGAAGCTTTTCAAAAGAACGAGAATGCCACGCGTCTTGCTGAGAAAAGAAAAGAAACCCCGACAAGCCATTAGTCTGCTTTGGTGCGCGGTCGAGAGCAGCGGTGGGTATTTTGCGTCTCTGTGATCAAATAAGGCGCCGGGCCTTGGTCTGGAAACATGATCTCCTATGTCATCTCTCGCATCTCTTGATCGCGAGGAATGTGTGCTGTGGCCGAGCCCTCGGTAACCGGCTCGGTAGCAGCGGAATCGGTAGCGCGGCCAAAGTTGGACATTACGGCCTTGCTAATGTTCAGGCCGGCGATGCCATCACGAAGCGCAGCAAAGGCGCTCATCCCGTCTGCAGATACGCTATGCTGCAGAGCGGCCTGCCTATCCTCAGGCGTCAAGATGCTGTGCGCAGTCTCCACCGATGTGAGGGCCGACTGGCTTGTCGAGAGGCTGGGTGGCTTTGGGCTCGGGGCCGACGACTCTGGAATCTCTTCCACTCGGGCGACGCTGGGGTAGTTTAGACTCGAGACGGCAGCCTGCCTATCGCTCTCTGCAATGGCGGCGGCGTTGAGGGCACCGTTCATTTCGTCCTCGGTCCGGCCGAACAACTGATGCCACCATCGAACCTCATCAAGACGGGGCAAAATGATGCGTTCTTTGCCCTTGATGTGATCATCAATCGTCGGGTCGTAATCGGGGTTGGTAAATTCGGCTCTTCGACAGAGGAAATAATCCCACACGGATGACGTCTTTTCCGCGACGCCGGCATCTTTTCTCTGCTTCTCCGAGTTATACAGGAATGTCCCGTACTGACACGAGTGCGCATGGTACAGCAGACGCCGGAGGAAGCGTTCATTGAACTCGAAGCGCGTCTTGTTCTGCCGTAGCAGTTGGTACATGCAGTCGAGGAACTGGTGGAAAACCGGGCTAATCATCTTTGGCGAGGTGGCTTCCTCATCTACAACTTGGCCGCTGGCACCCTCACCCATAGTGGCCAGATCGGCCGCATCTTCTTTATTTGAGCTGAAGAATCGCTTGGCGCCGCTGATGACGTTCTGAAAGGCATCGGTTCGTCCGTCGCTCTCTCCAGGTTGGACCTTGAGGCCAGCGAATGCATCTTTCTGAATAGTAAACCAATCCTCGGAATTAAGATGGCCGGAGCGTAGCCTAAACATGTAACCAAAGGACAGCCAATCCTTCTCTACGAGGACGATGAATCCGTCAATGGTGCGATAATAGGGGTCCAGCATGATTTGAGACAGGGCACTCAGTTGGCTGGTCCGATCCCAGCCATCCGAGCAGTGAATCAAGACGTGCGAGTGTCGGATGCCAACCTGGCGGGCAATAAGCGCTGACCCGTCGAGGATGTCGTGAATGTGTCTCAGCCAGTTGCTTTGATGTAGAAGCTCGCGGTTGGGGGGCAGAGGAGACAGGTCGGCATCTTTGAGTGCCTCCACCACTTTGAGCAAAGAATTCCGCATAATATGAATGTTGTCGATGTTGAGAAATATTTTTTGTGCGAATTTATACTTGTCCATAGGTTCCGAGCCCATCCCTTGGACCTGATTCATGATGGCATTGATTGTGGGACGGGCGTCGACAATCAAGTTGTTCTGCTGAGCGCCATATATGAGCCGCTTACCAGTCTTGTCGTCGTAGAGGGCAGCAGATCTAGAAATGAGCTCGTCCTCGTATCGCTCAGTTTCCGTCAGCTGCGTCTCCAGCATAACGCTGCTGGTGCTGGACATTTCTGCCTGGCTCGACATTGGAGAGGAATCTTCCGAACCCCCGCTGCCTACCGAGGCTGAGAAGGAGGCGGCGACAAGCTTTTCGTCTTGAACGTTGGTCCTCCTGGTGATGCCTGCGAGCGGCTGAGAGCTTCTTGTAATGGTGCAGTTATTGATCGGGTGGATGTAGGAGAGGGCGGGTATCCGGTTTCTCGAGCGAAATTCCTTTGCGTATTTGAGGACGTTGTCGGAGATCTTGGAGGGCACCACGAGAACGGCCGGATAGGTGTCGCAAAAGCTGTAGTCCTGGTTGATGTTGGTGATCCTCCAGCCCTTGTCAGGGAGCTTTTCACTGATGCCCTGCCGACGAAACTCTGCCTTGGCGTCATAGAGACTCCAGCCGTTGATCTCCTTCTCCATCTTAGGGGGCTTATGGCTAAATGCAAAGAGGTTCTGGACGGTCCCAAGCTTGCACGTGCGGCACTTGATGTGGTCATAGGCCTCTCGGGCCACTTCTGTGGAGGTGAAGTTGAAGGCGATGAAGGTAAAGTCGCGGCATTGGATTCGGATCGAGGGGGCCTGACGGGAACCCGGCGGCGTGGGCCGGAACGTGCAGTGGGAGAGCATCGGGTATGTGATCCATCGTTCGCGCTTCTTGGGCGGCGGCGGCGCTTCTTGGCCGTCTCGAGGCGGCTGCTGTTCGATGGTCGCGCTGAAGATCATGTGGAAGTCGGTCAGCGTCAGCGTGCCAGTGGCCGTCTGGCCGCCGTTGATGCCCTGGACGCGCTCGATGATCTGAGAAGAGCCATGGAGTCAGGATTGCCACTTGCGCCCGGGGCGGTGAGAGATACCTTCTTGGCCTCCATCGCGATGTGTCCGTGTCCGTGTCCTCCGCTGGGACGGTGCGGCTGCTGTGAGGGGGGAAGAAGGAGAACAAGGAGAAGAAGAGAGGCGTCGTCAGTAGCTCATCTCGTCACATCACATGGAGGTTGAGTTGCGTTGGAGTCTCAGCAGGCAGGGCCAGCGCTGGCGGGGCACCTGCCGGGGGTGGGGTTTGGCGGGATTCGAGCCAAAAGACGTCAGGCGCAGGCCATAGCACCTTATAAGCTGCCTCCTAGAAGGGTAGATACGTAGGTAGACTTGGCTTGTAATGCACAGAGAGGGGGCGCTTGATCTACCAAGGATACTTGATCTACCACTACAGATACTAGATCTAGGTACCTAGAGATACTTGATGTATGTAAATAAATTTGCTCTATCCAGAGGTATTTGCTCTATCCAGAGGTATTTGCTCTATCTAGAGATACTTGATCTACTAGAGGTGTTTGCTCTATCTCGGTACCTAGAAGAGATACTTGATCTACTAGAGATAGGTACTTAATCTATCATCATCTAACCCTCCTTGCACTCATGAAAAATCCCATCCAAAGTGTCACCGTACAAGGAAAGACTGCTACAGCGATAAGCTTGTAGAGAAATTTCGTCAGACGCCTTCATTCCCCATCTTTCTTCCCCCTTTTCTTCAAAACAAGGTTGCTGGGTTGCTGGATTAGCAGCCACTCTCTTGATATACAACACACTACCCTGGACCCGCGTAGGATTGCCCTCAACCTTTACCGTTGTAAAACAGCAAATCTGTTGGATGAACAAAAACATTGGTGATACTTTTTGGAAAAGATTTCTACTGCCCTTTTTTTTAACTACCAAATCTACTTTATTTCTCTTTTTTCAAAAAGTTGTTTCTTTCTTTAGCCGGCAACCTCCAATGTCTGTACGTCCATGAGGTCTGTGACTTGGGCGAACATGCAGATTATAGGAAAACCTCTAGGTTAATCTCCAAAGTACTGACGGGGAATCTAAAATAGGTAGGAAAGAATAACCGTTAGCGTCATGGCCAGTTTCAACTTGTTGGCAGAAGAGAAAGGGGAAAAAAAGTATAAGACGTACCTTAGATCAAACTTTTCTAGCACAGAGGGATGCAGGATGCCAAACTCGCCGATGCGCTGCTCCTTGCCACCCAGCCTGAGATACACGGCAGCGGCGTGGCCGTGGAAAAAGGTATCCTCGTTGAGCTCCTCGATCCAGTAGCCGTCGGGCTTGACGGAAGCGCCGCCATCAACGCCGGCGATGAAGTTGGTGCGCAGCATGAGCATCAGGCGATCCAGCAGGCCATGGACGACTTCGAAGCCACTAGACTTGCCGCACCAGGCGGCAGCAAAGTGGCGCTCGTTGCGGGCTCTGCGCTCCGACTTCTCGTCCTTGAAGACAACGTCGGCGGCCTCAAAGATCTTGATGGGCAAGCTGTGGCTCTTGTTCTCTCGGATCGTCTTGATCAAGCCGGGTAGCAGGGAAGTCCGCACGACCTGGTACTCCAGCGTCTTGGGGTTGGCCAGCTTGACGACTGTGTTGCCGTCATCCTTGCGGTTGAGCCAGCCAAAGTTCTCGTCATAGCTGCACAGGGTCAGGGGCATGACCTCGCTCCAGCCCGCCATGGCGGCCTCGATGCGCACAATGTCGCTCAGCTTGTTGATGGGGAGAGGGGCGGCGACGGTGGCGCTGCGGTTGGGAGAACTGCGAGGAAGCCTGTTGAAGCCGTAGCAGACGGCCACATCCTCCATGATGTCGGCCTGGTGCAAAACATCGGCGCGGGTGGGGGGGATGGCCACCTCCAATAGGTTGGAGTCCTTGTCTGACGGGCGGGCAACATAGGCCATCTTGGCGAGCAACTTGCAGAGGCTCTCACGGGACTCGCTCAGGCCGGTGCAGCTGTTGAGGTAGTCGACCTCGGCGTGAGTCACGCGCGGGCGGAGATGGGGGGTGACACGGGTCTGGTTGTTGTGGTCCGAGATAATCTTGACAGGCTCGACAGTGAAGGGCTCGGCGCAGTACTCGGAGAACATGGTCACCATCATGTCGGTGACAATTTCTAGCTTGGTGATGTCGGTGGCGGTGATCTCGATGAAGACGTTGGTGGTGTTGAGGGTGATCTTGGAGTGGTCGCCGTTGATGATGGGAGGCAGTGAGCAGATGACTCGGTTGGAGTCCAGAATCAGGGGGTATACGGGGGCATCGCGGATGATGTGCAGGTAGCGGCCCAGGTGTCGGTCGTTTTCGTAAAAGGTCATGAGCGTCTCGCCAGTCAGCTCCTGCGTCTGGTTGAGGGGGACGAACTTGAAGTCCTGGGGCGGCAGGGCCTCGTATGTGAAGGGGCCCTTGATGGTGTCGAGGTCGTGGGTTCCAATGGACACCAGTGTCCGCTGGCGGGCGAGGTTCTGGTGCAGCTTGTCCTGGAGGGCGATGAAGGACTCGTACCGGTCCTTGGTGAACTTGATATTGCGCAGGATGGCGCCGGACACGTAGGGCCGGACCTTTGCAGTCTCGGGAGAGACGGTGATGGTTTGCAGCAGGCCGTCCTTGGGCTCTACCACTCTGTAGTTGGGAGGCTTGGTGCGGCCGAGGAAGATGTTGAGATTGAGGGCAATGCCCTCGAAGCAGAGCATGTCATAGCGGTTGGCGGGGATCTCAATCTTGAGCTGAGGGGGTTCCTGCTCGCCATTGACGACGGGCCGTTCCTGGTCTTCGGTGTCTTCGTCGAGTTCGATGCCGAATTCGAAGCAGAGGTCCTCAAACTCGGCCGTGGTATATCTGGAATTGCCAGCCGTTAGACGTGCACTGTAAACTATGCAGGATATACTACTGCATATGGAGTATGTGGTGTATAGAGTATGGAAGGCAAGGTAGCCAGCCTCTGTATGGCATCGCAGCAGTCTATGGAGACTTGGACGACAACGGGAGGAGGGGTGGGATATGGATGGCATGCGCATTCGCAATCGCACTCGAATTCACAGATGCAAACGCTCAGCTGGAGGGACATACTTGCGGCCGAGAGCCTCGTAGAGCTTGTACTTGTCGACAGAGATGGTCGGCATCGTGACGAGAGTCGGTGGTTTGTGATGCCGGAATGGCGGGCGAGTCGTGCAAATTGTCGTCGCTTTGAGTCACAGGAATTTTTGGAGGGACGATGGCGGGGTGATTGATATTGATGGTGATAGCGGAATGATGCAGAGGGACTTGGCTGGCGGCGGGGGACGCTGAGCAGAGCCAGGTACCTCGCTAACTGGCAGGCAAAGTGCAGCGCTTTCGCATGTCCTGAAATCGGCGGGGTGGCGGAACATTGATGCTCCCTTTTCCATTACATCTCACCTGGTACAGGTACCTACCTTGAATTTAGCAGCAGGCCGTTTTACTGAGGGACAGATCCCCGCCTCTGCCATTTGCTGGGCACCCAAGAGCCCAATTATTAGGCTCCCTCATGGCGGCGTATCAGTGGCAATTGATTGGCACCGCCATGGACATAGGGCTTGATAGGACAGCAGAAGATGAGGGGATGAGGAGGGGTTGATGGGCAGCTGATGATTTTGAAGCTTGCTGTCATTGTACAGCAGCCATTGAGGGCTTTTGGCCTGTTGGTGCCTCAGCCAGGCACTGTACCTAGGTTTTTATGTATGATGCATTTGATCCATCTCTACCAGACCTCTTATGTGAGCCTTGTATACCCTGAGTGGCATGTCGTTGCACTGCTTATAGCACCTAGCAAGTATTCCATACCTATAGTAGGCACTGTAGTATTGATATAGTATCATATATTGCACCCTGCATTTCGCTTCAATCGCTTTGTAGCACCTAAATCTGCATCATACTTATCAAAGGCGCTCAACCCGTCCACGTACCTGTACTCACGGCAAAGGGGCAAATTACAAAAAAAGGACGTCTACAGGGGCCGCGGGTGGGGGCGCGCAGGTACTTGTGTGGCGGGGCACTCCATGTTAGTGCTCAGGCCGATCATCGCACCACATCCGCTAACGCCTTGCAAGCACCACCGCTTGTACCTCCAGCTCGACTGGGTGCTTGCTAGTCCCTGTAGCACTGGCAGCACCGCTATAACCGCCTCGCTGCTAGGCTCTTGCTGGGCTCCAACAACAGCTTCGTGTCTCTCGATCCAATCTTCACCCCTCAACTCCGGCACTTCAGCTGTCCACCTCCAGCCTCGTCCCGCCGCCTCTCAGCCCTGCTTCTCGAGCTCTCCAGGATCTGCCCCTCGCAGCGGCTAGGCGACAGTTGCTGCTCAATTCCGCCCTGGTTCTGCTTCAGCTTCAGGCTCTGGCTCTGCGCAAAAGCCATCCGTCCATTGCATCACCAGCTTCATTTCGTCTCCACGCCATCGGCCTCGTCGCTCGCCGCTCGCCGCTCGTCCCGCCAATCTTCGATTCCCAGCTGCATCTGCGGTGCTTCGACCGTCTCGATTCGACTCGCTCAACGCGCCCCCTTTCCCCCCTCTCCGCCGCTCATCTCCTGTTCTGCCTCCCCCCTCGTGACACGCCATGGCTGAAGCGCCAAACGCAAACGACGAGCTCTACCCCATCGCCGTGCTCATCGACGAGCTCAAGGTATATCACACCTGACGCCTTCTTCACTAATTCGTCTTCTTCTTCTGGATACCTTTTCCCCCCGCTCCTCTTGTGACGTGACGCTGACTTTGGGTTCTCTGCTATTTGCTAGCACGACGATGTTTTGCTCCGACTCAACGCGATTCACCGGCTCTCTACAATCGCCCTTGCCCTCGGCGCTGAGCGAACAAGAGATGAACTGATTCCCTTCCTCGACGGTCAGTAACAACTCGACTCTTGTTGTGGCTATGCTGCCATTTCCATTACTTGCACCGTTCTCAACTGCTCCTTTTGCTTTGGGCCCTAATCTGACGTTGTGACGCATAGAGTCTGTCGAGGACGAGGACGAGGTCTTGGTCGCCTTGAGTGAGGAGCTCGGCAACTTTATTGAATACGTTGGAGGCCCTTCATGGGGCCACGTCTTGCTCTCTCCCCTCGAGAACCTCGCCGCCATTGAGGAACCCGTCGTTCGGGACAAGGTAAGACGCAGACTGGTGCTAGCCCGAGCGCTTTTGGCTGACGGCGCAAATTCTAGGCTGTCGAATCTCTCAACAAGATCTGCCAGGAGCTCTCACCGCAACAGGTCGAGGAGTTCTTCATCCCACTCACAATTCGACTCGCCAAGGCAGACTGGTTTACGTCCAAGGTGTCCGGTTGCGGTCTTTTTACAGCTCCCTACAAGAAGGTATCTCCCCCTGTCCAGGAGCAGCTTCGCCAGCAATTTGGCCTGCTGGTACATGATGAGACCCCCATGGTCCGCCGTCAGGCCGCTTCCAACCTGGCCAAGTTTGTCAAGGAGATGCCCGCCGCCATTGTCATTGAGGAGATGATCCCTCTTTTCCAGCACCTCGTTTCAGACGACCAGGACAGTGTTCGATTACTCACTGTTGAGATTCTTATTGCTATCGCCGAGGGCGTTCCCAAGGAGCAGCAGGCCAGCCACGGCGTCCTGTTGACTTCTCTGCGAAACCTGATTGAAGATAAGAGCTGGAGAGTCAGGTACATGATTGCCGACAGATTCGAAAAGGTTGGTAGCAACATGCTTGAAGCTGCAGCCCTTTCTCCATTGCTAACACCAGCCCTCTACAGATCGCCAAGGCCGTAGATGAAGAGGTCGTTTCCAGAGATTTGGTGCCCGCATTTGTCAAGCTTCTTAAGGATAACGAGGCAGAAGTCCGGACAGCCATTGCTGGTCAGATCCCCGGCTTTTGTGGCCTGGTGGACCGTCAGACGCTTCTCAACGACATCATGAGCAGCGTCGAGGATCTCGTCTCAGATACATCACAGCATGTGCGTGCCGCTCTCGGAACCCAGATCAGCGGCCTCGCCCCTATACTGGGCAAGCAGGAGTATGTGTCCATAAGCCCCTTGTAATGTTCCATGGCTGACTCGGATGTTGTAGGACGATTGACCACCTCTTACCCATGTTCCTCCAGATGCTCAAGGATGAGTTCCCCGAGGTTAGACTGCACATCATCTCCAAGTTGGAGCTGGTGAACCAAGGTATGAAAGCGTGATATCGTGCTGCGATTTTGTAGAATTGTGAAGCTAACAGGATTGGGAATAAAGTCATTGGCATTGACCCCCTGTCTGTCTCACTGCTGCCGGCCATTGTCAACCTGGCCGAGGACAAGCAGTGGCGTGTACGTCTCGCTATCATCGAGTACATTCCCCTGCTTGCCAGCCAACTGGGTGTCAAGTTCTTTGATGAGAAGCTCAGCAACCTGTGCATGGGATGGCTCGGTGACACCGTCTTCTCCATTCGTGAGGCTGCTACGCACAACCTGCGAAAGTTGACTGAGGTCTTTGGCGTGGAGTGGGCGAGCGAGGCCATCATCCCCAAGGTCATGACAATGGGCAACCACCCCAACTACCTGTACCGAATGACCACGTGCTTTGCCATCTCGGTAAGTTTGATTGTGTTGTAGCCATACCCGTGACCAGTGACTAATCTGCCTTGATCTTTTTTCACCGAATACAGACGCTGGCCTCTGTAGTTAGCATAGATGTCATTTCCAAGTCGATTCTGCCCATGCTCGACAAGATGACCGAGGACGACATCCCCAACATCCGATTCAACGTTGCAAAGACGTACTTGGTCCTCATCAACGCCCTGCAGCGCCTGCCGGAACAGGGCACTCTCTACACGATTGAGCAACAGGGAGCCCAGGCTGCGCCGCCGACACCTTCGCCCCGGGGTCAGGAGCTGATTCAGCAGCGCATCTTGCCGAACCTGACCAAGCTGCAGAAGGATGACGACGTGGATGTCCGTTACTATGCGACACAGGCGGTCGCCGAGGCTTCAGGAACCGGAGCGTCAGGAGGCGGAGAGCCCATGAATACTTCACCATAGATGAGAAAACCCGTAATGAAGCAATGATTTTGTCCCTTGTCCCTGTCTGTGCTGCAGCGGCTTTTGGTCTCTGCGTTTCAAAGGTTTTTCTTTATTTTACACTTTTTTATTTTATTTTTGAGTCCTATATCCTTGGACATGTTGTGGCGTGAGAGAGTACAAGTTTTGATGAAACAAATCACTCAAAGACAAAGTCAACTCGGTGAATGGATGGATGAAAGGGGAGGAGAAAGCAAGGCAAACAAGAGGGAAAACAAGAAGAAAAAAAAGGAAGTAAACAGTGAATTGGTGGGTAATGGGCAGCATAAAGGGGGAAGCATCTTTGTAGACTCGAGAGGTGTAATGCAGGGTGTGGTGGTAAACGAACATGTTTTCTTTTTTTTTTTATACCGATAACAGTTTGTGTTGCTTCCGTGATGTGCTCTGCAGTGTTGTTTGGTTATATGCTGCCATGGTTTTTCACTTGACCGAGGATGCTGCTTCACCTTTGTCCAAGAAGTTGAAGCTATATATACATGTCTATTTCAAAATTTCACTCCATCTCAATCTCCTCTCCCTCTCGCACATTTACATGGTATCATTTTCTCCCCCAATCATTCTCCTCAGCCCCTCCTAAAGCAAAGAGTCGTAATCGTCTGCCCCTTGACCCCGCCAAACGTAAACGTCGGATACTCAACCCTGCCCACAACACGCAGCTGCCCATCGTCATCCTCCTCGAACCAGCTCCGCAGCTCCGGCTCGGTCCAGTTGCAGCTCGTCACGAGGAAGATTCCGCCGTTGGGACTGAGCAGCTGGAGGAGCCGCTGGCGATACGTTTCGCAGGGTCGCACGTCGGAGGATGCGGAGAGGCTGATTGCGTCAAAGGTGCCCTTGTCGAGGATGACGTCGAAGAGGGCTCCTGACGACGGCGCAAAGGACAGCGGGGAGGCGGCGTCGTCGAGGGAGAGCGGGCCGGAGAGGAGATCCCATTCGAGGAAGTTGACCGACGGAGTCTTTGCCGTCTCTGCTTCTTTTCCTTCTTCTTCTTCTTCTTCAGCAGCATCCCTCGTCTCCCCAATCCTCCTCGCCAGCGCAACGCTCTGCGCACTATAATCCACCCCCAACATCCCCCCCTCCCACCCATCGTCCCTCAGCGCAAACAACAGCTCGCCATTGCCGCACCCGAGATCCAGCACCGCAGCACCTTCCTTGGACAGCGGCCGCGCGAGAATCTCCTGGTCGTCCTCGGTCAGCGCGTCGAGGAACGCCACGATGCGGCCCTCGGCGTCGGAGTCGTCGAACCAGTTTGTGCCCGTGTCGGAGGGGTTGGCGGCGTGGTTTGTGAGTTCGGCGGTGTAGAGCTTGTCCCAGCTGCGTGGTGAAAAGCAAACCATGTTAGATATATATACACATCTGTGATATCGAGGGGGATATGAAAGGGAGACTTGCTATTCTTTTGTGCCGAGCTCGGAGGGGTCGAGATTATCTGGTTTGCTCGACATTGCTGCTATATATACCGTGTAATTTATGGCCAATTATTTCTAAATAAATAAATATATATATATAAAGAGAGAAGTCTATTCAAAGATGCTTGAATGGAAAGGGTTTATAGCAAAAGACTGTGGATGGAGATGATGCTTGTATGGAGGGGCAGCTAAATTATTGCAAAGTGCCTGCAGCCGTCCAATTGGGGCTGCTGGATGTGGCAGGCGGTGAGGTCGCTAGATGAGGGGCATGCCTCGCTGCAAACTTGCGTCAGAACTGCAGTTGATATTATTTGATATCAAATACAGTATCAAATGGATTGCCTAGGTAGTAGTTATCACCAACAGAGTAATTAACTGTTACATCTCATAATTGCTTCAAAACATGACAGTTGCTGTAGAGTTCCACATTCATCTTCACAAAACGGCAGTCCAAAGCATTCATTACACAAGAAACAGCCCAGTTTCATCTATTGATTCAGGCATCTCCCCCCCCCCCCTCTCTCTGTACTGGATGGATAACTACAACCAGATCCAACATCAAGTGTAAGAAAAAAAAAAGAAAAAAGAAAAAAAAAAATAGTGATGAAAAGCCAATGTACACACAAACGCCTCCCATGCATGACCAGCATACCTCGCGCGCCCACGAGTGACCGCCGTCATCCCGTTCGGTTTCCGTCTTTTCTTTTCTTCCAACACAATACAAAAAAAAAAAAGAAGACGTTTCGTAAAGAAAGCAAACAAAATGGGTTCCCATCAACACCATGCCTGTGTCGGATTTCTCAAGCAATCACAAAACAAGTAAAAACAACATCAAAAGTAACCAAAAGAAAACCGCTTAGTAGAAGCTTTCCACCATGGTGTCCTTCATTGTGGTGTTGATGTTGCTTGGGCCCTGGCCCTCACCCAGTCTGAAGACGCTCTCGATGACGCTCAGCTCGGTGGAGGTGGTGTCGAGGCCTGTCACGGCCATCCAGTCGTTGACCACCATGCCGGCGCCCACGACGTTGCTGCCGCGGTTGACGCTACCGGCCACCAGCGGGATCTGCAGCAGACTCGACAGCTCGTCCTGGTCCTGGATGGTCGTCTTGGGATGCACAAGGCCGCCCTGGTTGGACAGGCTCATGTAGCTGCCAACCAGCACGTTGTCGGCGACCGTCTGGCGGAAGACCTCAACACCCAGCACATCGGCGATGATCTCCTCCGTCTCGCGCTCCAGATCCGGGTGCACCAGGGCAATGTGGTCGTTGGTAGCAATGACGTTGCCGAGGGCCGACAGACGCTCCTCGATGCGCTGGATGCGCACCGAGTCGGGCAGCGAGTTGCGCAGGTGTTGCAGCTCCTGGTCCGAGGTGGTCGTGGGCACCAACAGGCCCTTGCGGTTGCCGGCCGTGAGGCGTCCGATGATGCGCGTGCCGGCGATGGTGGTGCGCACAATGGGGATGACGTCCTGGAGCTCAGCCTCGAAGACACTGCGGCGCATCGTCGTTAGAGCTTGTTGCCGCTGCGAGCAGTAGAGATGATGCTTTACCTGTAAAAGTTCTCGCTGGCGCCGAGAGCCACCAGGGCGTATGAATTTGTCAACGTCGCAAAGACGCCAACCCTGCAAAGACACCCAGAGTCAGCCAAAAGTCTTGGATATCCAGTAACAGAAAAGAAGAGAGAATCAAATCAATCTCAAAGCAGCCCGTCTCGTGTCGAACAAAGCTCATCTTCCACCTCCTCGTCTCCCCTCCCCCGCCAATATCCAATCACCCAAGAAGAAGAAAAAGAAGAAGAAAAAACATACTCGTTGGAGTTTTCAAACTGAGCGCGAACAGCCATGATGCTTGTAGTATCAACAACACAGTTCTGTATCGGTAGAATAGTGACGGTGTTAAACGAAAACAATTAAAAGAATAAAGAAGAGCTTCGAGTCTAAAGAAGCTGTTCTTTTTGGCTGTTGTCGATGTTGAAAAAAAGAAAGAAAAGCTCAGATGCTAACCCGCTAAAAAAGACTGCTGATGCAAGCAAGTGCCCCGCGTATCAAGTTTTTTTTCTGCCGGAATGGGAATGAAGTGAGAAAGAGGGGACTTTGCCGCCTGGTTTCTCAGCACCTCTTTAAGTACCTTTGGCGGCCACTAAAAGGTACCTGTACCTGTACATGCTTCCGCCTAGCGATGACTCTCTTCAGTGTAACAGCCCGCTAAAAACAGCCTGTGTCTCGCGGTTCGCCTCGCTGCAAAGCCTCATCTCATCTAATCTCATTCTCCAGCAGCAACACTCAAAACACACCAAAATCAACGAGTCAAGACAGACGAAAAAGACAAAAAGGGGAAGCAGAAGAGTCACAAACTGCTCATAAGCAGCATAGCGCATAACCGCCCCCAAACCACAGCCAACCGCAGCAGTAACGAGGATGCCAAATCAAGCCCAGTCCTCGATGACTCAATCCCAAACTTAGCGGGGCCAAAAGTACCTGCACTTCTGCCGGGCCCTTCCGCGCCACCACAGGTACCTGGGCAAGACGTGGACCCTGAAGCTGTGACTCAAACCTTGATGAGATTGGAATCGTGCATTGCCACAGAACAGGGTGCAGTGACTCTTTGCTTTTTTTTTTTTTTCCAACTTGATCGAAATGGGGTAGAAAAAGGTGATGACGAAAGAAAAAAGAAAAATAAAGAAAAGAAGAAAATTCATTTTATCCCGTTCGGCTCTCCTTTGCAGACGAGGCTGACTTCCAGGTTCAATATCAGAAGACATTGCATCATGCAAGCCAGAGACCGGTATAGGTAGTCATGCAACAATCGCTTCACCACCGCGCCCATCTCGACAACATGACAATTGCGTAGCGTAGCAGTCGTCTCTCATCATCTACTCTAATAGCCTCTCGGGCCGTCCGTCTAGTCTTTTTCAGACGGCCCCCAAGTCTATTTACAAAAAGCCCCAGCCTCGCTTCTCCTCCTTCATGCCATCCAGCCGAGTCAATCGTCATACAATCCATAACTACTAAAGTAAACAGACGAGATAAGTCTCTCCCAACATCAGCACCCCAACGAGTACAAGAGACAGATTAGAGAAGAAAGAGGAGGAAGAGGAACAACATAAGTAAGATGGAGATATCCATTTAGGTCATTGGTGCCAGCCTCCGTAGAAAAGAAGAAGATAATAAGAAAAAGAAGAAAGAAAGAAAAACCATCGAGGGGAAATAAAGGGGTGTCATTTCGCCCTCATTGCAATGATGCACTCTTGTCACCGCCCAATTCCCCTCTACAATGTCCATACCGGTGCCTTCATCAACACCTGTCGCCCTCTTACTTCGATAGCCACAAACCCTGCAAATCGCACGCGGCCGGAATCTTTGGGGAATCCTATCGTCAACAAGTTAGCAAAGATCATTAACACTAGACGGAATAGAAGAAATGAAATAAAACAACTCACCAGCCTTGCTAGACTCTCCGCTGCTGCTATTCTTGTCCTTGTCTGCTTCGGCATCCGGCTTGGCCTCTCCCTCCTTCTGGCCATCGAGAGAAGGCAACCCACCCTTTTCGACCTCCATGAAGCCGGCCTGCATCACGTCTCCTGGCAGAGGGTACATGATGGTCACGTCTCGGCTCTCCCGCGGCAAGTTGGCAGCGATGCCCACGGCCAGCTCCACAATCATCGAGGTGCTGCCTTCGACTCCGGCCGGCGGCGGCTCAATCAGGAACTGGTACAGGTGCGCCGCCAGGTTGGTTGTCATCTTGGCTATCAACCCCGCGCGGTTGTCCGCCGCCATCGTCGAGCTGAGCTTGTGCTGCAGCCCGTCCAGCGTCGCCATCCGCCAGTTGACCACCTTGGTCGTCAGCGCGTCAAACTCCTCCTGGCTGTGCATGGTGTACGCATTGCCTCGGATGTGAAGCTCAATCTCCTTGAGCTGGGCGCTAAAGGTGGCATCCAGGTCCGGGTGGAAGCACTTGTTGAAGACCTCGTCTACTATCCACTTGGTGATGACGGCTCTGCCCACCGCTGTCATCTCTTGCTTTCCAGTCTTGAGGGCGTCGGGGCTGACAAAATTCTCCAGCCACTGGGGCAGGCGTCGCCAGTCCTTGCGGATGTTGAAAGACAGGTTGTTGATGGCGCCGTTTAGCCGGTTGAACCTGTTGACATACTCGTTGTCGTCGAGGGCGGTCCGCGACTGTGACATGCGCTGGTTGGCGACGGCATTCTGCAGATGCTCAATCTGGCCATTGAGCTGTTCAATCTGGGACTTTCCATCAAAGTAGAGACGCTTTACGTTTTTGTACTTTGTGACTGTAAGCCGGTAATGTTAGTTGCATACGTTATTATTATTATTATTGTCTGGATAATCCCAACCACCCTAGGCGGCGTAAAACGGAGACGAAGAGAGAGTAGAAAGAAACAGGAGACAAACGTAATTCTTTAAATGCCTTTTCCGATTCGGCATTGTCGCGCTCGTGGGTCGAAGGCTGAGGACTATTCCGGCCTTGATCGCCAGTCGCCGATTCATACCGCGGAGGAGCGCCTGTGGGGGCAGCGGCACCGGCAGCGGCGCCGGCAGCACCAGCGGCAGCACCAGCACCAGCGGGCTGTTGGCCGGGCTGGAGAGGTGCGCCGGGCAGCGGGGTCATGTTGGAATTGGTGTGTTGGTGGCGATATCCAGGGGGTGCGCCGGGAAGGGCCTTGTCAGCGTCTCCGGGTCGACGGTTCGTAGGTGCGCCTCCTCCGGGCGGTGCCATGGCAGGTTGCGAGAGCTGCTGCTGGTTCGTCGGCTGGACGGGCGGCAGAGTAATGCTGGAGACGGATTCTTGCGCCGGCACAGAGTAATGGACGGCGGGCGACGGCTGCTGCTCCAGCTGTTGGTTGAGCGATCGCTGGTCCGAGTCGGGGATTGGAGACTCGCGCGAGAGCTGAGAGATTGTTTCTGGGTTCTGCTGCTGATGCAGCTGTTGTTGGCCAAGATGCGTGGTAACGATGCGAGGGTCTGTTGTCTGCTGATATTGATCTTGCGGTGAGCCGGCGGTGTAATACTGCTGGGGGGTGTGTGGTGGCAGTTGCTGCTGCTGAGGATGGCCCTGCTGCTGATCGTAGGTAACCTGTTGGGGATCGTATCGAAGCTGCTGTTGCTGCTGCTGCTGAATCTGCAACTCAAACTGCTGTTGTTGCTGTTGCTGCAATTCAAACTGCTGCTGCTGCAGGGATTCCTGAGACGCAAGCACCTGAGGGTGAGCAGACTGGGGTTGCTGCAGCTGAGGCGGCGGCGGGATCTGCTGCTGCGAGAGGTGGTATTCGTCGTAGGGCGACTGTATCTCGTCGTGGACAAGCCCCTCACGGATGGTGTTGATGGGCGGCACGGCCAGGCGGGGATCGATGCGGCCGTCGTGCTGGAGCTGCTGGGCCTGGTTGTGGTCGTAGCCGTACTCGTCGGCCTCGCCCACTCCTTGCAGCGGCGATGTCTGGTGGATGGACGAGTTGGGCGTGTGCCAGTCGCGGTCTGGCGTGGGCGAGAGTCCCGTCTTGACGTTGGGCGGGTTGCTGTGGCTGATGCGCTTGGATGGCCTGCGGGCGAGCCCTATGGTGTTGTCGTAAGACTGAGATCCTGCGGGGCCCTGCTGGTCGCGGTGGTTGTCGTGATTGTTGCGGCCGGAGAAGATGCCCTTGATGATCTTGCGGGCAGATCGCTTCTCGGGAGCCGAGGTCTGCGAGGCTTGAGAGGCTGCGGCAGAAGTTGCGGCGGCTTGGCCCTGGTGATGGCCCGTCAGGTCGTTGAGTGACGTCTGCGAGACGTTGAAGAGGTGGTGGAGCGAAGTGCTGTAGCGCTGACTCTGGCGGACGGCGGAGGCGGGCTCAGCAAAGTCGCCGGGCTGCTGCTGCTGCTGCTGCTGAGGCGGCGGCTGTTGCTTCTGCAGCTTGCCCGTGCTCAGCTGTGGTTGAGGGGGCAGCGGCTGCTGGGGATGCTGGAGCTGGAGTTGAGGTTGAGGTTGCGGTTGAGGCTGTTGATTCAGCTGGTGCTGTGGGAGCTGCTGGAGCTGCTGGCGGCCATCAAAAGCGGGCGCTGGCACGCCAATGACGGCGGGGTTCTGCACAGGCGAGGGGCCGACGCCGGTGTGAAACAGGAGTTGCTGCTGAGGCGCCGCCGGACCAGCACTACTACCTGCTGATGCTGATGCTGATGCTCCGGGTTGCTGCTGTGAGAGCTGTTGCTGTTGTTGCTGCAATTGCTGCTGCTGTTGCTGGAGCTGAAGCTGTTGTTGTTGCTGTTGCACGTTAAACGACTCGCTCGAGCTGAGCGCACTCGTCCGCAAGGCTGACTGAGGGGTCGCGTCTTGCAGCTGCAAATCTGCCTCAGCCGGCGCTGCTGGTGCTCTTGTAGACGCTCCGGCCGCCTGCTGCTGCAGTTGCTGTTGCTGCTGCTGTGGCGACGCCTCGGCAACCGCGTGCTGCGAACGGTTGCTGTGCTTGCCCAGGCGACTGAAGCTGGGCATCCTCAATGCAATGGCGATTGATGACCTGGTCGAGTTGCGCAGGTTTATTTTTGGCGCCGATGATCCAATCTGATGAGCTGGCCTCGCCTATGCGGCTTAGGCGTGGGAAAGGGGGGGGGCCAACCGCCGGTTTGCTTTGGGGCCTGAGCCGCTGTAAGATCAGGTCTGGGCTATCCCTCAAGTGCTCTCTAGCCTCGACGCTGTTCCTGCACGTCAATTTCCTGTTTTCCCCCTCCTCTTGCGTTGTCGCAAAGGGCTGAGTTTGTTGCTGGTCTGTTCTCTTCCTTGTCGAGTTGCCGGGCTTAGACTCGAGTCGGCGGGGGAGTGAGGCTGTGTACCTAAACTAAGATGGAGATGGACGTCGTGTACTCGCACTGCACATAGTACAGAATCGAATCAGGACCAGGACAGCTGAGGGAAATGCGCGAGTTGTTTGCGTGCAGCCAGGGATAATAAGGCTGTGTCCGAAAAAAATAGTCAAGAGGGAGAAGAGGCACCGCAGCTCTTGTCGCTCATTTAAAATCCGTGGCCAATGCCCGCTCTTGAAAGGCTGGACAGCCGGGGTAGCGCGACACGAGATGCAGAGGCTTCCTTGTTCGGTCAGCCAAGTCGATTGAGTGATTTGACAAGTTTGACAGGCTTGGGGCCCTGCTAGCGAGCGAGTGAGTTGGTGGAATGGGCTCAATAGTTCCAAAGCGAACGGGCGAGAGAGAGGTCATCAGCCATCAACTTCAACTTGGACGACGGACTTTGGACTTTAGACTTTGGCAAGTGTCGAATCTGCGCCAAGGCCATGGTCCCGGCGGAAAGGCTGCTCACAGGGCTGAGTGAGCTTGTTCTTGACTTGTCCATAATTTTCTCGCCCGTTTCGTTTCGTTTTTTCCCGCCTTTCTGCCTGCTGAAAATCTTACACCACTGCTTCCGAGGCTGCCAGCAGCTCTCCATCCAAACCCCATCCAAACCCACCAGAGAGCCGCACACAAAGGGCCAGGCTTGCCCAGCATGGTAAAGTCCTACCAGTGGGTGGGCGCTAGGATCAAAGCCCCAAAACTCGCCGTGGCTCGTGGGTCTTTGGGGGGATATAATTAGAATCCATGTCCAGTTCACGTTGTGGCTCCATTCCTTGGTAGCACCTGGACTGGACTGTATTAGTTACCTAGTATAGGTAGCTTGCATAGCTTGTATACCTTGGCGAGCATGGGGTTGGGCCTCTTCAGCTGCAGCTCCATCTCCATCTCCTATTCGATAGAGGTTGGCTGATGGAATCACGGAATGCAATACTAATCGGCTCACAGGCCCTCGTATCAACATTCCTTCTGTACTGCCACCTTTTGTGCCAAGTATACGAGCACAGCAGCTTCAAAGGGACTCGACGTAAGATGGCAGGATGATGCTGTGCCAGGTTGAGGTAAGTAATCACGACTCATAGCCTGTCAGTTCAAAGTACCTAGGTACATGAACCTCTCCAGCCAGATAATCCGGCCCGATTGATAGGTACCGGTACTCCATCATCCATGCCCAAGCCTCCATGTTCTCGATATTTTCCCCCGCGGAGCTTGTCCTCTACATCATATCGGGTATCTATACAAACCCGGCAGCAGCAAGGAACTGAACCGGAGTTTGACGTACCTTAGGTACCTGGTATCTATCCTGTGTTCAAGATAAGAACATCAACAGCCATCGTCATGCAGCATGTCGACCTCCTGCATGTCCCTGCAGAGCTCATGCAACGGCAGGTATAAATAGCAACGCGAACACAGCCATCGGCAAGGTATCCTCACATGCAATTTTGCATCTGCAAATAAGAAATGCTCCGTAAAACGAGCGAATTGACGATGCGCGAGATACGAAATACGATGGCCATTGACAAAGTTCTCAACAGACGTTGTCGTCAGTCTGAATGCGCATCCAATGCATGTTGAAAATCAAGATTCCAGTGCAGAGGTAGTGGAGACCACGATGTATGTATTGTTGCATTGATGAGACAAGGCTTAACAATCTGGTTTCTAAAAATGAATTGGGTCCGAATTAATTTCCTTCATCCGCTTATGCTTATTGAGGTGGTACTGCTACTACAGGTTACGAGTACATGTATCACCACCTTCTGCAAGTTGCAGTTGTTGAGCTCAACATAGACTCAATGATTGCGGCGCAGCAAATGTCGTGCTCCTACTGGGCAGCAATACGATTTACACTTAAAAGCTTACATGCTATTACCCTGAACCAAATCCTATTCTCTTTGAATTGATAACCTACCCATAACTCATCTCTAGCCCCATCAGAATAGACTCATAACCAAACCTAAAGATGAAGACGACAAAGAAGCCACAAACACACACAAAAATGCCCCATCAGTTGAACAAGTCGACCGGCGATGCCCAGACACCAATGCCCTGCTCTCATAATATTGTCCATTAACGGCAAAGGCCATCACCGCCTATCGCATATCCAAAGCTTCTGGTTTGCCATCTCTAGCTGTCTTTTGCGGGGTTTCGTGGGGAATTCGCGGCTCTAGCGGGGTTGTCGATAGCCGTTTACGGAGGGCGTTTCATGAGGGTTGTGAGGTAACACTAAGCTCAAAAGGCTATTTGCCTCGATGTGACTTGATAAGAAACGTTCCGATTTCGTCTTGTGTTGTTTTGAATGAGTCTGAGCCTTGAAATTGGTCCTTATGGATGAACCTTTTGTCGTTTATCCACGGTAACCAGAACGAATCCAGCCATCATGCTGCTGCTCTCTCCCATCACCTTGATAGCAGCAGCAGCTCTGCTATGTGCCATCCACTTGATCCGGTGCATCAGATCCCCATTGAGTAAAATCCCAGGCCCGAAATTGTCCAAGTTTACTTCTCTGGTTCTCAAGTGGAAGGAGATCAAGGCTCTCCGGACAGTCTACATTCACCAGCTTCACCAGCAATATGGGCCCGTCGTCCGCATCGCCCCCAATGAGGTCTCGTTCACATCTTGGGAAGCCTTGAAGGAGATATACTGCTCCGGAGGCAGCGGCTATGACAAGACGGAATTTTACGACCTGTTCAAGATATACGGGAGGAGGTGAAGCTGTTGCCCTGTCTTTCAGTATCTGGGATCACGATAGCTTACTAGTGATACATTCTCTAGGACCATGTTCACCACACTGAACAAGGCTGATGTATGCTTCTTGCCACACGCTTGATATCCATTCACTTGATCTAACATGGGGCAGCATGCCAAACGTAAAAGGATTCTCGCCGACCGTTATGCCAACAGCAACATCATGAAGAGCGCCTCAGTCACAGGAGTCCAGGAGCGGTCCTCCAAGTTTGTTCGACGCTGCGTTTCTGCTCCAGGAGGTGTATCCGACATCTTTGTAAGTCTAGGCCATCATGATAAACTATCAATGAGAGATACAGGCTGACAAAACGTGTCCCAAGATGGGTGTGTCCCCAGTAGCTGTAGAAACTACTTGCAAACTGTACTAACAGCTCGCAGCCTTGCATGCGTATGCTTGCGATTGCATTACACACCACCTGTTCCATCCCTATGGTACCGACTGCATCACTAAGAAGGAAGACGAGGATATGATGCATCAGGTAGCAGCAGACGATAGCCTGCAGAGCAAGTCGGCCCTCGAGAGACCAAAGCCGAATACTTGCACTAACACGACTGATAGATCGTCTCATCTCACACTACGCCCCTACTTTGCACCGTCTATTCTCAAGGGTGTTGTATCTATTTGCAAAGCCCCGGGAAACCCCCCTAGCCGATGACTATGTGCTGGAGACGAGCCAGCTAAGTGGCACGGCGCCATTCACTCTCATGAGCCGCTTTGACGAAAAGACGGGCGACCTCGATTACATTGACAAAGCAGCGGAGTGTCTCGACCACATGGCGGCGGGCATCGACACCACGGGCGACGGGCTGTGCTTCCTCATGTGGGAGCTGTCGCAGCCACGCTCGCTCGGGATCCAGCGCAAACTGGCCGAAGAGCTCCGGACGAACCCGGACACGCCCTTTGACAAGCTCCCGTTCCTCGATGCCGTCGTCTGCGAGGGTCTGCGGTGCTTCCCGCCGATCCCAATGTCGCTGCCGCGCTATGTCCCTCAGGGCGGCCGCTCCATTGATGGCTTCTGGCTGCCCGGGAAGACGATTGTGAGCTGCCAGGCGTATTCGGTTCATCGACTCAACAGCGAGATATTCCCTGATGGCGACGTGTTCAACCCTGAACGCTGGCTGGAGCTCGATGGAGATGCAGACCGCAGGCGGATTCAGTTTGCCTTTTCCAACGGAGGAAGGGGCTGCGTCGGGAAACAGTAAGTTTTGTGCTCTCGAGCGACCGGACACTGGGTATCTGCGGCATAGTACATGTAGCTAACTGAAGATTTGCAGTTTGGCCCTCATCGAGATGAAGACACTGCTGCGGGATGTTTATTCCAGGTACAGCACGACGCCGCATGAGTCCATGCAGGAGGAGGCCATGGCCATGTCGGATCAGCTCATCTCGGCACGACCACTGGGACAGAAGTGCCTTTTGCGATTCCACGCTCTTGACGCAATGTAAGACAAAAGTCACTCGAAGCCGAGCAAATTGAAACAAATCACATGCAAATTGGTTGTAGAAGGAAATTGCGCAGTGGTAGCAGTGCAACATGCAGTACCACGAATGTTGCCCTGCAGTGATGCTGAATAGAACTGGTACTCGTACTCTCTGTTAGGGACAGCCCAAGACAACACAAAATCAACACCGCCACATGGATGTCTAAATGCCCGACTGCAACCATCGATGATGCAAAGGCAATATCAGGGCACCACCGCTGGGGTTGGTTGGGCGAAAATGCCAGCAAACTTCAAATGTTGGTAGTAGATGCAGCTGCCGTTGGCTCCGTGCTCAGCATCGATCTGCAACACAATGGAATGGATTCGATGTCCTGGTACTTGCACCTTGACACCTATATCTCAACCTGGAACGCTATTAAGCCCATAAACTCCGGCTTTGCTTGTAGCCCCTGGATAATCCCCTGTAGCCAGTGGCATGATTACTTACCAACGGAGATACTGTCCAGTCCAATATCCACTCACCCGTATATATGCTCAAAATGTGCGTCTCGGCCGGCTCTCCGCACGGATCTAGGGCACAAGACATCATGATCCCTCCCATCTTGGGCTCCATCCTCCATCCTCTCCATCCCCTCGTGCCATTCTGCAGCTTTGCAACGCAAGCCGTGGGGCCGCGGCACGTCGCTGGACTTCTCTGACGGGCTTGCCTGCATTAGCTGCTGTACCGCGTGTGAGCTTCTCCAGTGCTGCTTCTTCTCTGCGCCAGTCCCAGAAGCGCATTCGAGCACACGTTCATCCCTCGGCGGCGGAGATGCTCGTATCCGCGTCTTCCGCAGATTCTCCGAGCCGCGTGAACCAGCGCTACATGACTATCATGTATGCACGTACTCGTACTGCTACCAAAGTTCCAAAGTTCTTCTGCACGATGTACCGCTACATGCCATCCGAGCGCTAAAAGGTTCCAAGGCTAGAGCACAGATGCGCTGAAGACGCAGGTGATGCCCTGCTGTCAGTGCTGTCAACCACTCGCTCTAGCGGATAGCAGCCCCTACCTAAGGTACCTAGCCATTTTAACGTTTCGGTACTGTACTGTAGCGCACCGGATTTTAGCCTCCGAACTCCTTCCACTAGGCTTCTCTGTCCTTCTGCAGCCCGTGATTCACAGGAAAAAAGAGAAAAAAAGAAAAAAGAAAAAAAATAATCCGCTTGCTGACAACTTTGCCCCCACTTGGAATATCTGCCTGATTCAAAATCCCAGCAGCCTCTTGACATTTCTTCTTCTTCTTCCTCTTCCCCTCATCAAACTCGTCGTCTCTCCAGAGATTACATCTGTCAGATTCTCCGAGCATCTCGTCTCGCCCGCTAACCGCCATCTGCCAGGCCTGCTGACTGTCTTTGCCGGTCGCAGCGCACTTTTTTTCCCCAGTCTTTTTTTCTCCTCGCCTCCACAGCAACCCAGCACAAAAAATTATTCGAGTCGACTGAGACCCGTGATAGCCGCCCGTCTTCCTTCTTGTCTGCTCTTCTGGTCAATCTCCTAGATTGTCTGTCTACCAGCACTCTGCCCACTTAGCAGCTCATTGCCGGTACATTGTTGTTTATGTATCAGCACGATTCCGCCACCGTATCCAGACGTTTCTTCACGCTGCAGTTATTTCGCATACCGCGGAAACCTAGCAGTCCCGATATCAGATCTGACGGTTGATATTGCCCTCGATTTCGTTCATGCCTATCCCACTGCAATCGCGAATCTGTCCGGTCCGCCCTATGTCCAGTACGCATAACTGTTGAGTTGTTCAGCTTCCCTTGGTCCTCGACTCGCCCGCTCTATCCGGCGCCAATATCGTCTCTCGTCCCCCGAGCCTCTTGATGCCGATAGCTTCGTCTCAGGCATAATCCAGCCCTCGTCAATTCAATCCCCACAGACAAACCCCAAGCATTTTACTTTGCCACCCTTTTACAACCGTCACCATGGCTCTCGTCAACGTTCGTCGCGATGTCAGCGATGCCTTCTACCGCTACAAGATGGAACGCCTCCAGACCAAGATTGAAGGCAAGGGTAACGGTATCAAGACCGTTGTCGTCAACTTGTCTAGCGTCGCCCAATCTCTTGCCCGCCCTGGTTCTTATGTCATCAAGTACTTTGGTTTCGAGCTGGGAGCTCAGACCAACATCGACCCCAAGGACGACCGTTGGATCATTAACGGCGCCCACGATGCCGCAAAGCTGCAGGATCACCTCGATGGCTTCATCAACAAGTTTGTTCTCTGCAAGAAGTGCAAGAACCCCGAGACCGACGTCGTCATCAAGGATGACCACATCGTGCTCGACTGCAAGGCCTGTGGTCAGCGCACCGACGTTGACCTTCGCCTGAAGCTTAGCGGATTTATCCTCAAGAACCAGCCCAAGAAGGGAAAGAAGGACAAGGCCGAGCGCCGTGCTGCCAAGAAGGCAAAGCAGAATGGCCATGCCAAGGAGAACGGCCAAGGCAGTGGCGAAGAGGGCTCCGAGAACGGCTCCAACGACGCCGTCGAGAATGGCGACGTCAGCGATGACGAGTTCCAAAAGGTGCAGGCCGAGGCAACCACTGCCGCCATCAGCGCCGAGGTTGAGGTCAAGGACGACGAGTGGGCTGTCGACATGAGCGCCGAAGCTGTCAAGGCCCGCCAGGCACAGCTGCCTGGTGAGCTCAAGCAGAAACTCAACATTGGCGGCGACGACGAGGATGAGGACGGCGAGGGCGGTGGCAACACCGTCTACGACGAACTCGGCAACTGGATTGCCCAGCAAGCTGAAGAGAAGGGCGGCATTGACAACGTCGACTCTATCAACATCTATCTCAAGGCCAAGGAGCTTGGCATTGAGTCCAAGCACCGATCTGTCCTGGTTCTGGTGCAGACCGTCTTTGACAAGAACATTGTTGCCCAGATCCCCAAGCGTGCCAGCATGCTCAAGCAGGTTAGTTTTATACGCAGCATTTCTCCCCCCGGTTCCTCAAAACAGTTGACTAATGTCGATTCACAGTTTGTCACCTCCGAGAAGCATGAAAAGGCCCTGCTTGGTGGTACCGAGCGCCTGATTGGCAGCCTAAGCAAGGAGAACCCTGACATGCTCCAGCAGGTCGTCAAGATCCTGCAGCTGTACTACCACCACGACCTCGTTAGCGAGGAGGTCGTCATCCCCTGGGGCTCCAAGGCCAGCAAGAAGTACGTCGACGTGTCTACTTCTCGCAAGGTCCGCAAGGCTGCCGAGCCCTTCATCAAGTGGCTCCAGGAGGCCGATGAGGAGGAATCTTCGGAAGAGGACGAGTAAAATCGCCCTTTTCCTTTTTTTTTTTTAACACTTGGCAGCCGTCTCTGGGCTGTCCTTCACCATCATTTACTAGATTGAGACTTGTGATGCGGAAGGGGGAAAAGGAGGCCTCAAAGCTGCCAAGGGAAATGGCACAGAGATATCGGGATTTTATATACCATGGCTCTGTTGTCTATTATTTTTTTGTATCGGGCTTGTGCAACAACCAGACTTTGTGTATTTAGCTAGATTGTTTATTAATCGCAAAGTGCCCCATTCCACTCTTGACACATGATTCTCGTGCCTTGTCCGTCTTTGTATGATGAATCTTGGTATCCCAATTTGACGCCCTGAGGTATTTAGACCCGCTCTGTAGCATTTGAACATACAGCCATTCTGAAAAGAAAAAAAAAGTAAAGAAGTCCCTTTGAAATCCATCCCGCCATCATCATACATGGTATATATCCATCCTCCTGGAAAACATTCTCTCACGCATCCGCCTCATCATCTACAGACGGAGCATCCGCCATGTTCGCATCGCCGTTGGTCTCTGCGTCGGCTTCTCCCGCGTAAATGAACTCGCCAATACTAGCAGCAGTCTTTTCTACGTCGTCGTCATCATCCACAATGACCGTGTCAAACAGATCGTTGGTCTTTGACTCGTCGATTTCCTCGGCGGAAGACTTGATGAAGATGTAGCGGGCTGAAAAGTCCATGTCCTTGGCGAATTGCGCGGCCTAAAATCCACGAATAAAATGAGTTAGCGATACTTGTAAAAACACTGGAAAAGGGAGAAGATATAAGGGGTGTGTGTGTAAATACCTCGAGATCAAGCTCAATGATGGGAACTTTGCCCGTGTCGACGACAGCATCTACGGCCTTTGTGCTGGTGCCATAGTCTACGCCGTCGCGAGTGCCGTACTCGATGAGTCGATCGCCGTCTCGCAACTGGTTGAACTCTTGAGCCTTGACGAAATGGAACGCTTTGCCGTTGATTTCGCCATCAGCGGGCTCCCGCACGGCGTGTCGGACAACATGAGCAAAGACGCCCTTGTGCTCACTCATGAGCTTCTCTCTCAGAGCCGATGCTTCAATACCGGAAGATACTGATAGGATGATCGGGTCGCGATTGCTGGGCATGTCTTCCTCGCTCGCCGTCGGCTCAGCATCTTCCTCATCCTCGTCCCCTTCAACGTCATCTTCAAAAATGATGTTAATCTTCTTGGGGTCGTCGATTTTATCAAAAGCCGCCAGCTTGAACCGTGAAGCTATCCGAAGGGCTCTCCAGCTCTTGCTCGCCTTGCCCGCAACGGCCGCGGCCTTGGTCTCGTTGTTTGTCGGCATGTCAATCTCAAAGTCGTCATCCGCGATTTTGTTCTTGAACTCGTCGAGTTCGGGCAGCTGGTAGCGCTCCGAAGACTTGAGCTTCTCCATCGCGGAGCCTTCGTCTTCGTTTGCCAGAAATTCAAGAGACACGGCATTCAGCGGGTTTGGTCGCAGGCGCTTATTCGTGGCCATCTTCTGCGCAGCTTCTTTGGACTCGACAAAGCTTGCAGCCGATACCGGGTCGCGTTGGATGGGCGGGCAACTGGCCATCTTCCAAAAGACCCAGTTCTTGTCCCTAGCCAGCACTGTTTCTACCATGCGAAAAAAGTATGGCCCGTCGCTTCCCTGCTTGAGATAATCCGATATTACCTTCTTCATGTCCGTAGCCCATTTTGTCTAAATGGAAAATTAGCATACGAGTAGGGGGAGTATTTCATTGATCAAACTCTTACATTCTCCTCGTTGAGTTGGTCTGGATAAATGACCGACTTGTTAGACACGTTGATGTTGGTTCGCTTTTCTCTTTCCTCCTTTGATAGGGACAAGAGAAAGTCTGTGATGATGAGAGCCTGCACAAGAACGTGTCGTCGAAAGGAGAGGTCGCTGATCTGTATGTCGCTTCACGGTTAGATATTGCCAAGTGGATGCATAAATAAACTGTAATACTTGCCTCAAGCTGGAACAAGTCCTTGCTGGTAAGATACTTGGGATTGAACGCCTCTGGAAGCATCTCAGTTCCGTCGTCGTCCCTCTTTCGCTTCAGCGTCCGCTTAAGATTCTCCATCGACTTTGAGGAATATATGCTGTCTTCATGGATGGCTTGAAAGGCAGTGATTGTGGATTCCAAGCTGGTCTTGAACTTTGCAAAGTGGCCGACATCGAATAATCTCAAGGGCTGGCTGAAGCTCTCTTGCAAAGACCAAAACATGGGGTAGAGCGTGTCGGGATCGAGAGCTTTGCTTGAATCCTGAGCAACATTCTTTGCAGGGGTCTTGGCATCGCCCTGCTCCTTTGGAGTATCAGCATGGGTATCAACTTCCATTTTGCTGTCGTCCTCTTCTGTTGTTTCAAACGTTGTCACGTTCTCAACATGGTATTCTCCTCGAAGGTTGACAGAGCTTCTGTCTCCCAGAGGGAAGCTCTGGAACATGAAGATGAACACTCTTCCACAGAAAGCTGTGTCTTCAGCACGCGACAGTCTCCGCAGCAGCTCATTGCAGCTTCGGAGAATAACAAGGTTCTTCTGCTTGAAATGCTTGGCCGTGATGCGCTCTCGTCTTGATTCGAGAAAGTCGAATATTTTGCGACATCCAGAGATGGTCTGGCTGTCAAGGAGCTCTTCCACAAGCCAGAATAACAGCGCCGGGTCGCATTGGCCATCGTCGGAGAGTATTGACAGAATATCCAGCAGGTTCCACATCTTTACAAACTCCGGGCTATCAATTGACGTTGTCGCCTTTATGGATTAGTGTTGGACGTCTGGGGCGGGCAAAGGTTGCTCTCGGCTTACGATTAACTTGCTGAAGAAATCGCGAGCCGCTGTTTCTACAAGGGCAAACTGCCGTGATCTGAGCGTGTCTGGAGGTGCATTGTTCTCTGTGCCCGCGCTCTTGGGGCGAGTGAGCGAGGACGAAACTCGGTCGTGTATGTTGACAAAGTCGGACTTGGCGAGAGCAGGCTCGATTGTTGTTGTTTGCTTTGCGGCCGATGCTTCGTCGAGAAGCTCTGTGAGAAGACGCCCGAATGCGCCTACGGCTGAGACGCCTGGGTTTTCGATGTCGAGGGCCGGCATGATGAAAAACAGCCGCGCAAGACGAACGAGGCTGGCGTCAAGCTGCTTTGGAGCTCAACACGGATGGCTTGATTGCCCCGGCAGAGATATTTCGAGGGCAACGGAGCCGAAATTAATCGAGATGACGAATCATAAATTAGACGTGTGTAGATTCGGCAGAGGCGATATTACGGGGGTCGAGCGCGTTGCTCAGCAGAATAAAGCGCTATGGAGCAGAGATGATGGCAAGAGAAAGTCGTCGCGAATGGCTCCAGGATAAGATGCGAGGCGAGAAGGCTGAGGACCGCTGATGGCCGCTGTGGTTCCAGGCCACTGCAGGTACAAGCGGGCGCCGCAGCGGGCGTAACTGGCAAAAGGTACTAGCCGCGAAAAGGTACTTGTGCCGCTACTGCTCAGCGGGCCCGCTGTGCGCAAGGCTGAAATTTATGCACAGGGACCTGTAATTCCGTCTGCCAGGCGTCGACGCAACTTGGCTGCGTTTTGTATGACCTCGCTGTCCCGTCTCAAGCTTCACCTAGGCTCGAGCTCAAGCACGAGCGTCTCCTGCAAACGCCGGTCGATCCATCGAATCTTTACCAGCCCATGACGCGACCCTCTCGCAATGCCTAACGCGAAGCGATCCAAAGGCTCTGGCGCCGGGCGAGCTGCAGCCACACGCGAGCCGCCCAAAGACACGACAGACGGCCGTCCAACCCCGGCAGAGGTGGAGGAGCAGGAACATCGTTTTGTGCAAGTTGCGCGGCAGCATTGGCTGAAGCCCGGCAAGAAGACGGCCAAGGTCAAGGTCAAGAACGACGTCGTCAAGCAGGGCATCTGGGATGTTCTGGAGCAGGATGGCTTCTCATATAAGCTGCTGCTGCTGCTGGAGAGCCTGCAGACGCTGGAGAGGTATGGCTGCCTTCAATTTCTCCAAGTCTTGTTGCTGGATTCAGGTTCTAACGTGGTGGAATAGCTATCTGTGGCCCGGATATTCTGAGCAGGCGTCCAACTATCATGTCCTGATACTGGCGTTGATATGCAACGTCAAGAGGCGGGAGCACCTCGAAACATGGAGTAAGCCCGGCAGAATTAGTCCCGTTTGAGTTGGATATTGACAAGAGACTTACCAATCAATCTAGAAATCTTTGAGGAGAGACCCGACGACTTCTCGTCCCTCTTCCGTCGTATCCTATCCATGACCCTCGATCGAACATTGTCGACGACGTTGCGGACACACCTCCTCTGCTTCCTCATCCACGCCTTTCAGAGCCTAGATTGCAGCATTGTAAGAAAAGAATGCGCTCCTTTGGTGTCGATTGGCATCTGGCATAACCTATCCACCGAGAAACGTCAGGAGGCCCAGCTTGACTCTTCACCACATCTCAGAAAGGCTTGGAGGGCTGCTCAGAAGCGGTATGACGCCGCAGACGAGGCTACCAAGGCACGGCTGAGGTTTGAGCGTTCATGGCTCTACACTCTCATCCTTGACTTTATTAATCAGCTTTACGGCGACAGCAGTAAATCAGGTACGTCGACTGTTGTATAATCCATGTTCGCTACGCTAACCTGTTACTCCAGACCAGACGCTTCTCTACTGCGAGCGGTTCACCGAGTTTATATCTGATTTACAAAGCCAATTGCCAACACGACGTTACGTTAATGCTTTGGTCCAAGATTTACATCTCACTCCTCTGATGAGACTGTCTCCATTATACAACGATGCCGGCAGCGCGCTGCTGCGTGACCTCCATGCTCTGCTCTCTCACTACACATTCTTTGCTATTGATGACCAGAGTGGCATCCAACTCACTCGAACAGAGGCCTTTGACCGACATTGCACTCAGTTGGGCAAGCTTCAACGGATTGCTCTCAAGCACTTCAAAGACAAGCTCACCATCTTGGCCTTGTCAAATTACGGATCCATTGACAAGCGAGAAGAATTGATATCTCATCTTGAGCCCCTCACCGATGATGAACTGCTCAATCTAGTGAATCTGTTGGATCTCAGGTCTACATACCCTGAAAGCCTCAACTTGACCATTGACCGCAAATTCCTCATCGAGTTCCTCCTGACTACCTTTGAACGGAAGAAGACCTTCCAAGAAACTGCTCAGAGAATAAGCCTAGTCCCAACCGAAGACACGCTGTTTGATGACAATTTTCAACGTGCGGATTCTTACGACGGATCACATCCCCTGGCGCTCCCGAAGCTAAATCTGCAGTATCTCTCGGTTGGTGATTTCCTTTGGAGGGCGCTAGTGCTATATCGCTGCGAATCTTTTTACGGAATTCGTAAGGATATCGAGGCCGCGCTGCGTCGTCTTCGACCAGAAATCAGGCGGCCCGGCGAAACTCATTTTGCAGGCTTCTCGAAAATGGCCATGCCCATTGCTAAGCCAACCATACTGGAAGTTGTCCCTGCTCTTGTTGGAGACGAAAAGCCATCAGTGGTTCGAGCCGAAGTGTCCTTCGACGCTCGACGGCTAGGAGATGGTGTGCGAAGAGAATGGGACACTCTTCGACCCGGCGATGTCGTGTTTTTGGTGGCGGTTCAGCCCTCTTCATCTGGCCAAGCTGCCGCAAATGGCAGCAGACCGGCTCAGTCAGAGGCTGAAAAGGCCGGTGTCCTCGTGGTGCGAACCGCTGAGGTGGTTCAAATCACGGATGATAGAGGCCGCCACGCCAGAGAAGGGGCTGAGCGCCTCGATCAGAAACGGCGCATCCAGCTGAGATTGGATTCAGCAACCTATGCACATGATGCTGAGCAAGCAGCAGCCGGCAAACCTGATGTGTATGCAGGCATTAACCTGCTTCTCAGACGGAATAAGAGAGAAAACAACTTCAAGCCGGTTCTGGATGCCATCCGTACTCTAGTCTTGTCTGAAATGCCACTACCTACATGGCTTCATGAGGTATTTCTGGGTTATGGCGACCCGGCCGGCGCGCATTACAAAAACTTGCCCAACAGACCCAAGACGATCGACTACAGGGATACATTTTTAGGCTGGCAGCACCTGGTTGAAAGCTTACCTGGCAAGACGGTCGAGCCTGATGATGATGTTACCGGCAGCTTTGGGCCACCGTATGTCCTTGAAGCAGTCGATAAAGTAGAAGAAGCTCAGGGCGGCAAGCCATCCAAGAAGCGGCGGCGTGATGTGGAACCAGCACTGCTCTCAGAAGTAGAAACCCTCAAAGTTTCTACGTATATGCCCCCCAACAACGGACCTTACCCTATTGACGCACCCAAGCAGAACACGGTACGATTTACGTCCGCTCAAATCGAGGCCATCATGTCTGGGTCACAGCCTGGGCTGACTGTGGTTGTTGGACCTCCGGGCACGGGCAAGACGGACGTCGCTACACAAATCATAAATAACATCTATCACAACTTTCCAAATCAAAAGACACTGCTCATCGCCCACAGCAATCAGGCTCTCAACCAGCTCTTTGCCAAAATCATTGCGCTGGATATCGATGAGAGGCACCTGCTGCGTCTTGGTCATGGCGAGGAGGATTTAGACACTGAAGGCAGCTTCAGCAAATACGGCCGCGTCGAGTCATTTTTGGACAACCGAGACAGGTTTTTGTATGAAGTAAAGAAGCTCGCCGCAAGCTTGGGGGCTCCGGGCGCGCACGAGAACTCAGCCGAAACTGCAGGCTACTTCAACGCTGCCTACGTCGAGCCGGCTTGGGCCAAATTTCTTCGGGTGGCGGAATCTGATGCAGCTACCGCCTCTGACATTGCGCAAAACTTTCCCTTTCACTCCTACTTTTCCGATGCTCCCCAGCCCCTATTCCCGCAGGAGGCAGACCGAGCACAGGTCTTGGATATCGCTCAGGGCTGTTACCGCCACATTACCAAAATCTTCTCGGAGCTGGCAGATATTAGGCCCTTTGAGATCCTCCGCCGTGAGAAGGACAAGGCCAACTATCTCCTCACCAACGAAGCTCGCATTATTGCAATGACGACGACCCATGCGGCAATCAGGAGGGGTGAGATTGCGGCACTTGGATTCCACTACGACAACGTCGTCATGGAAGAAGCAGCCCAGATCACCGAGATTGAAACGTTCATTCCTCTTGCCATGCAAAAACCCGTCAGCGGCGAATTGCCACTGCAGCGAATCGTGCTATGCGGTGACCATTTCCAAAACTCACCAGTCATCCAGAGCTTGGCTTTCCGACACTATGCCAACTTGGAGCAGTCATTGTTCTCGCGACTGGTTCGATTAGGCGTGCCAACGGTTACCTTGGATCAGCAAGGTCGTGCTCGCCCATCTATTGCCAAGCTGTACGAGTGGCGTTATCCCAAGCTCGACAGTCTCCCTGATGTCCAGACCAACCCAGAATTCCTGCGGGCGAATGCCGGCTTCAAGTACGACTTTCAGTTTATCAACGTTCCCAATTACAAGGGTCGCGGCGAAGCTGAGCCGACACCACACTTTATTCAGAATCTCGGTGAGGCTGAATATGCAGTGGCCATCTACCAGTATATGCGACTTCTCGGATATCCTGCAGACAAAATTAGCATACTCACGACATACGCTGGTCAACGGGCTCTGGTAAAAGATGTGCTTGCTCATCGATGCGCAAACCCCATCTTTGGCCTCCCCAAGGCTGTTGCTACAGTCGACAAATACCAGGGAGAGCAAAACGACTGTGAGTTTATACCTTGTGATTGAACATTCGATGAATCGACACTAATGACCTTTTTAGACATTATTCTTTCCCTGACTCGCACGTCGCGGGTGGGCTATCTTCGCGATGTCCGTCGTATGACTGTGGCGTTTTCTCGAGCGAGACTAGGACTCTATGTTCTCGGACGCCGAGAAGTGTTTGAAGCCTGCCCAGAGCTTCGACCAGCGTTTGATGTGCTCTTGCAGCGACCGGATAAACTGATGTTGGTAACAGGGGAGCTGTATGCAGCTGAGCGGCAGAGCACAGACGAGGACGGCCCTGTGGAAGGAGAAGTGGCCATGGAGGGCGTCGAGCACATAGGACAGTATGTGTTTGAGATGACGAATACGAGAATACAGCAGCTGCAGGCAGAGCAAGGTCTGCTGATGGACTCGACAATTGACGAGGCGGAGGAAGAGGGTCAAGAGGGATACTACGATGAGGAAGACGAAAGAACTCTAGACCCAGACATTCTCGAGGTGCGCGAGGGGGAGGCGAACTAGGCGTCGTGTTCCCGACGGCATAGCAATGAAATGAAATGAAGCGAAACAAGAAAAAAAGGGAAATAATGTTGGTTTTGCGGATGGGTGTTTAAAGGGGGCCTGTATCGAAAAATACGAAATTGCACATTTTGGTTGAAGAGAGATCTTTTTTTTCTTCTTCTTCTTTTGTAGACTAGGGCAAAATGATAGAAGATGTCTGAAATCTGAATTATTGGAGATGATGTCTTGAGCTTGAGGTATTGGAGAATATGGACATGTGATCTACGGTTGCATGGAGGGCGAGATCCAGTGCGTCATTGTGAAGCGGGTGATCTGCAGGTTGCAGATCGTCTGGGAATGACATTGTAAGATTATTATTACTTCCTGTGTAGTTATGAATTGCGTGTTTGAAAATGCCCTTTTTTTTTTCCCAAGCCGGGTACTTGTTTTAAGAGCCATTGTATGGAAATTGAAGTGAAGTCTTGGTATTTGATATCGCCGTTTGTGCTTCTGGGACGCGGAAGCTTACCCGGGAGTGAATAATTTACACTGTTTGTTGGATGGGAAAGGGCATGGATTATGATGTGATGCTATACATGTATATTTTTATCGAAGGCATATTTGAAGCCTAGATGGTGTGTGCATTGTTGCTGCCGTAGAGTATAGAGAAGTCAGGAAATGCTGATATTCCATATTTAATCGAGCTGATTTCACCCATGGCGAGATGTCATGGACAGCAGCCGCCGGCCCGGATTTTCGGAACAACAATTGTCTCGGCGAAAAGGATGTCGAGGTTCCCGGATTTTCATCAGGTGATGGACGGGCGGCCTTGGGCTCTCCCACTATTTGTATTACAGGGATTGATGATATGGGCAGAGCATCTATTACGAGTACAGGCATAGGGAATACACTTGATAGATAAGCCCAGCTACTGAGATGTGATCGTTTCTTGAAATGGCACAGTGCATTCAGCCTTTTACTTCGAGTCATCACTTATGCCTCTTTGCATAGATAATCTATGATGACAGCCATGTTAAACATAAAAGCAACACAGTCACCTCTCAAAAAATCACTCGAGCAATGCTTGATAGCATCAATTGGCGGACAGTGCCCTAAAAGAGGGGTTTCGCACATGGCTCGTCACTGAAGAGAAAAAAAAAAAGAGGGCGCTAGCAAGGCTAAAAGCAAACAGTTCTAGTGTTGTCGTTGAGAGCTGAGGGAAGAAACCTTTTTTTTTTTTTTTTTTTTTTTTTTTTTTGTAATACACGCACACCCTGGGGTTCACATACTAAAATAGTTTCTCCATGGGATGCGTTTGCATGTGGTGAAATGAAACGACCCTTTTAGCGGGCTGCTAACAGCGGCGCTTATTATAAGGGCGATTTGTAGTGATTGGGCTGTTTTTTTGTGCTCTGGGGCTCTGATTTTCGCACGTTTTTGAATGTCACTGTTCATTTTGTTGAATCGGTGAGGCTCTGGGCAATATATTTCGCTTCTCCTTGCATATGAAGGCCTTCACATGTCCTGAGCACAAAGGGATTCGTTCTGCTGACGAAGAAGATGCATAAAATGATTAGGTACTGTGCTCCGAACCTGGAGAGAGAGAGATAAGCAAAACAATCAGCAAGATTCTCCGTATTGTTTCTCATCCTCTTTTTTTTTTTTTTTAGCTGGTGGAGATTATCGCTTCAGAAGCTGAAAAAAGGGAACGGAAAAACAAAATGAAATGCGGCGGACAGGAGCAGCAGAGGTACGTACCAACGTGCGCCGGAATTGCGGGATCCAACTGGGAGAATGGGCTCAGCTCCCAGGTACTAAGTACCCAGTACTTTATTCATCAGCCACTTCAACTTCAACTCTGCTTGACTACTACTCGTATATCTACCAGCCATGCCAGAGGGAGTCTTGCTCATATTGGGAAAATCGGTATTATTCAAATCCGTAGCGGGTATAAATATAGTGCACGGTAAAAAAAAAAAAATAACAGCGACACAGAGTAAAGAGGCCCGGTAGACGCCGTTGACTAGCACACCGCTCGCTCGCGGCAGAGTAGCCTGGAAACTCCCTTGAGCTGACTGCATACGGCACTGTTGTTCCTGGAGCTTGAAACGGCAGCATGGATTTTATGCATCTTCAGACCGAGTTTTGGTATTACGGCCGGCCCGTCGATGGTGGCTCTGTTGTTGACGTGGCCCAGCTACCACAGTTCGGAGTATATGATGCGCCCTGTTTAACGCCGACTACGCCATTTGGAATTAAGAGGAGAAAATCCGGCGACTCCCCGGAAAGCTTCTAAAGCGGAATTAGTCAATTTTAAACAGCAAGCCTTGTGCGAAAGACTTGTCGATGAGTCAATGCCCAAAGGTGAATGTCACATGTGATTCTCTGTCTCAAGCTGGCGTGTTTTGAGGATGGCTTCCTCTGTAGGCACCAACGCCACACGAATGGGCAGTGCTAGGAGGGAACATGCCGCATAATCTTACTGGGACATCTGTTTTTCATGACCCTTGAGAGATGCTGAAGACGACATTTGGCACGTCTCTGCAATACTTGAACTTTGAAGTCGCGGAGGAGACCAAGGCACTGTGGCACTGTAAGGTTGAGAGATGAAGTCAAAGTCACGTGCTGATAACACCAAGTAAGCCCATGTCCATCTTTGACGATCAATACCCTGCCGTTTCTCCAGCAGGTCAATTATTCTTCAAATATTGTGGCGCAATACTTTTCAGCGGGCAGCTTAGATAATTTTCTGGGTCAGTGCCTATCAAGTAGATTACAGTAAGATATGTACCTGTACCCAAGTGAGAAGCTCTACCTAGGTAGGACGTGCTTCCAGTCTTGGAAGAAAAGACAACGACAACGTCGTCCACCCTCGAAGCCAATGACGGGGTTTACGTTGACGTCGATCAGTGGCATTTGGCAACTCTCCATCGTATGACCAATGATTCAACAAGGACTGCGTCACCAACAAACCTCAAGCAGTGAACAAGAGTTTCCGCCTTTAATACTTTAGGTTAGGCGGTTACCTAATGCATTTTAGTAGTAGGCAGAGTCCGAGATATTGGCGCAGAGTTTCTGTGATGCCGCATCCCGAGAGAGAAAAAAAGGTTTATGTTTTGTTTGTTTGTCTGCTTGTTTGCCCTGCCAACCAGAGGCATCCAGAGATTCTCGCTTTTTTACTAAAGCCAAACAGTGTGATAGATTTTCTTTCTTTTTTTTCCCTAGACATTTTACGGTGAAATCCCTCTCTTTTTTCCTCGCTTTCAAGTCAAGGTCAGAATCCAAATCAAAACCAGCTACGGTATACTGTACTGTCCAGGTACTTTGGCCGCCCGCAAACCGCCCGCCAGACCACAAGTACCCGGCACTTCCCGACCCCTCCAAACCCCAAGCGGCGTGCAAGGAAAGAAAGTCCCTAGCGCCACCCCTCTCTTAGTGGCCACTGCCCCTTCCGCCCACATCCATATCCTAATTCCTGCTGCCCAAAATTTTCTTAGAACCTCCTCTCCAACCCTCACCACTCCAAAATCATCCAGTGGCCGGTGGAATTTCCCTTCTCACCTGGCCCTTTTTTCTCCCCTCACAGCATTGAGCATCTTCTGCAGCTTCGGTAACAGAAGATCGATTTCTCTGCTCATCCCTAGACGCCGCGCGGGATCGTAGCCAGTCTACGGTCGTTTCCCCCACCCGGTCGCTTTTTTTTCTCGTCCTCCGTCTCGATCCAGGCTCGCCCCCCCGATCGAACGAAACGAAGCAATACCCTCTCTTGAGTGTTCTTGATTTACTTCGGGAACAGTCCTTTTAGAGAGCCGTCAAGGATCGCCTCAGCTGATTCTCGAATACATCTGCGGAAACGTCGCCTCGGCTTTCGTTTATTTTTTTTTTTTGGCCCTCGCTTTTGGCCCCGCCACCAACCAAAAAAATAAAAAATAAACACCAATCCTTCGTTTTCTGCATCGCGAATCGCCGCTCCCCATATGACGTCGCCTGCGAACCAGCAGACTCCGATCCCGGCGACCAACACCAACGCTCCTACGGCAACTTCATATGCCTCCGCAGCAGGTGCGCCAAAGAAGTCCGCTCAAGCGCCTGTAGTTGCGCCCGGCTCGAACCCCCCCTTGGTGGTTGGCTCCTCTGCCCCGGCGGCACAGAATGCTAAGGCTGCCTCATCGCCTTCTCCAGTAAACGGCAAACAAGCCGTTCCTCCCGCAGTCCCGGCCGTCGCCCGCGGCTCCTTCAACGGCTCCGGCCCCGACCACTTTCGAAAAGGCTCCGTCACCATGGCTGCCAACGGCCCCAGCGGCTACGTTCCCAATGGTGGCTCCATTGGTGGTGCCAAGTCTGGAATCCAGTTTGGCTACGACTCGCCCGCTATGGGACACAGCACTCCTCAGGTCGGCCACTCTGCTCCTATCCCGGTCCCCGATGCGAACAACAACCACCGAGTGCCCTCCCCCGCGCACTCTCCTGCTCCTATTCCGCAGCCCTCTGCTAGCGGTGGCCGACCTCCGTCTAGCCTGCAGCAGCCAACGAACCAAATGACCTTTGGCAGTCTTGGTAGCGATGGTGATGTAAGCTCCAATTCGGCTTTGGCCTTTCCCCCCTCATACTCACCCCTCCAAATCGATCAAGTGCTAATCTGTGAATGCTTCTAGCGCCACATGAGACAAGGCTCCGTGCCTCCCAACTCGAACCTGGGATCTCAGGGCACACACTTCCGCCGCGAGTCGAGCCATTCCGTACAGAGCGACAGCAGCCGTGGCAACTTTGGCCCTCAAAACAACCGCCAGAACCGAGGCTCTTTCAACCCCCATGCCACCCAGTTCAATAACCAGATGGGATTCCCTCCCAACAACCAGTTTCGACCTCCTGGCCAAAACCGCGGCATGCCTCCTCCTTTCCAGCCGGGTATGACTCGACCCTACCCGAACTCACCTCAACCTGCCCGGAGCCCTGCTCTCGCCACCCTCAACCCCTCGCTCCCCGGCACGCCGAACATGCCCCCCGCGACGATGCAGCCCAACATGGCTATGCAGAATCCTCCCGCATATCACTATCCGCCACCGATGGCAGCTCCTCATCAGCAACAAGTACAAGTACAGTACCCCTTTCCTGCAGTAGCCACCAAAATGAATTTAAAGCCCAGTTACAAAAAGACAAAAGGCCGTCGTGAGCACGACAGGTCTCTTGTTCAAACGGGACGCCCCTTGGATCCCGCGCGTGAGCCAAATACCAGCGATGTTTTGCAGCAGCAGCAACCGCAGCAGCAGCAGCAGCAGCACCAACGCCGTCCTGGTGGCAGTGGCCAGCGTGCAGATACAATGTGGCGTGCCCACGATAAGAACAACATGCGTCCGGTTTCTAGTGGAATTCCAAAGGACAGCCCTCCTCCCTATGTTCCCTTTGTCAACTCCCCAAGCCACCCAAATTCGCTTGACCTCTCTCCTGAAAACGGAGGATTTGAACTCTGGCTAACTTGGAAGAATCAGACTTTCGGTTTCCCCCCCCAGCAGATGAACCAGTTTGGCCAGCCTATGCCATACTACCCCGGCGGAATGCCCTACATGGCTCCTCAGCCCAACTCTCAAGCTTACAACCAGCAGTTCGCCCCCCCTACTTACCACCAGCAGAGCCACAGCATGTCCCGATCGCCCTCGCAGCCTGAGCGGCCGGTCAGCGCCAGCCAGCCCAGCCAGCCCGCCATTGTCTCATCCAACCCCGGAGCCCTGAACGCTCAGCCAAAGCCAAACAGCTTTATTAAGCCCAGGAAGAGTGCCGCAGTTCAAATTAAGAATCTTGCTGGTGAGGTTGTCGATACGTCAACTTTCAAGCAGCCGGCTTCTCCTGTGCCTAGCACTCATCAGACCAAGACTCCTCCTGTCGTCGCAACTTCAACTCCCCCACAACAGAAGCTCGACACACCCACTCACGCCCGCACGGACAGCCAATCGCCGTCAAAGACAGCTAAGGAGATTCAGGACGAATTGAAGGCCAAGATCCAGGCTGAGATTAGGGCTGGTCAAGAGGCCGCCGCTGCTAAGGCCGCTGCTGCTAATGAGCCCAAGCCCAAGGAAGAGGAAAAGAAAGAAGTGGCAGAGGAGCCAATGGTCGAAGTCAAGCCGGAGGTCAAGGCCCAGCCCGAGGCGGCACCCGAAGTCAAGCCTGAGGAGAAGAAGGCCGAGCCTGTCGAAACCAAGGTTGAGGCCAAGCCTGAGCCCCAACCGGAGGTTACCGTCAAGGTTGAGACGCCAGCCCCTGAGAAGCCCGCCGAGGCTGCTAAGACTGAGGAGGCCCCGAAGGCAGAGGAGCCGACCAAGACTGCCGAAGAGCTTGCTGATGAGGAGCTTGATCGAATCATCCGGGAAATGGAGGAAGCCGACGCCAAGCGTGAGGCAGAGGAAGAAGAGCGCCGTAAGAAGAGAGAGGCCGAGAAGGCAGCTCAAAAGGCGAACGAGGAGGCGAACCGAAAAACCAAGGCCGAAGAAGAAGACCGCAAGCTGCGCGAGCAGGAGCGTGAGATGGAGAGACTCGAGGAAGAGAAGGAGAAGCGACGTGAAGCCGCCGAATCTTCTGGAAAGTCCCTCTCCGTTGCTGAAGCCCTTGCTCAGATGCGTGGTGGCGATGAGGGCAAGAAGGACGAATCTGCTGAGTCTGTTGCTGATAAGCTCGCCGACATGAGCATTGGGGACAAGTCTGCCGATGCTGCTGGCCAAAAGGAAAAGCGAGTCGCCAAGCCTGCCGCTCTCAACCTGGCCCCTATCAAGACCAGCACCGTGGAGCCCCCTCAGCCCAGCGCTGCTCTCCAGTCTCTGAAGTCGGCTCGCTTCCTCCAGGTTATGGACCAGGATATTTACCCCGAAGGTATCAAGTCTCCTAACCCGGCCCTCAACGCCGCCGTCGCGAAGAAGGGCAAGACATTCAAATACGACGCTGCCTTCTTGCTCCAGTTCCAGAAGGTCTTTACTGAGCAGCCCTCGCTTCAGTTCCACCAGCAGATTAAGCAGCTGATTGGCGATGGCGATGGCAACCGATCTGCATCGCGCGGCCAGACCCCCAGCTCTGCCAGGCAGGGATCTCGCGGTGGAGGTGGTTTCCCCGGCGGCTCTTTTGGCGTCCCTGCTGGACGCACTCTGCCTCCAGGAACCACATCTGCCGACCGCATGGCGATTGCCAGTGGCACTCTGCCGCGGCCCCAGGTCAACCCGATGGCGTCTTTCCAGCGTCCCGGCGCTGCTTTCCCTGGATCATCTTCCATGTCTCGCACTTCATCCCAGAACATGCGCAACATGCCCAACTCCCCGCGCCAGTCCAGCAGATCCACTCGTGGTAGCCGACGCAACGACCTCGCTGCCAAGGAAGCCCAGGCTGCTAAGACCATGCCTCTTACTGCCGGCCAGGAGGTCAAGCCCATTACCATTTCTGCCACTGGATGGAAGGCTAGCAGCCTTGGCAAAGCCCCTGCTACCGCCGCTCCTCAGCCTGGCCAGCTCCTGGATCCTGAGACTGTTCAGCGAAAGGTCAAGGCCGCTCTCAACAAGATGACACCGGAGAAGTTCGACCGCATTGCGGACCAGATCCTTGTCATTGCCTCACAGTCAAAGGATGAATCCGATGGACGGACACTGCGCCAGGTCATCCAGCTCACCTTTGAGAAGGCCACCGACGAAGCCCACTGGGCTTCCATGTATGCCAAGTTCTGCAAGCGCATGCTTGAGACTATGAGCCCTGATATTCGCGATGAGAACATTAAGGACAAGAATGGCAACGTGGTCAGCGGCGGTAACCTGTTCCGCAAGTATCTCCTGAATCGATGCCAGGAGGAGTTTGAGCGTGGCTGGACGTCCAACCTGCCCGAGGCCCCTGCGGCCGAAGAGGCTGAGAAGAAGACTGGAGAGGCTGCTATGCTGTCTGATGAATACTACGCCGCCGCCGCCGCCAAGCGACGAGGCCTTGGTCTCGTTCAGTTCATCGGAGAGCTGTTCAAGCTGGGCATGCTTACTGAGCGTATCATGCACGAGTGTGTTCACAAGCTCGTCGATTATAAGGGAATGCCCGACGAGGCCGAGATCGAGTCTCTTTGCAAGCTGCTTCGCACTATTGGTGCCAACCTCGATGAGACCGACAAGGGCCGTCCTATGATGGACATTTACTTCCAGCGTATTCAGGGAATGGCCGATCTGCCCGAGCTACAGAGCCGTATGAAGTTCATGCTCATGGATGTCATTGATCTCCGAAGAGCACGCTGGGTGTCCAAGGAGGCCAACAAGGGCCCCAAGACCTTGGACGAGGTTCGCGCGGAAGTGAGTTTTAACCCCCTCCCCAATATCATCTCCTTTCCTTCGGAAATGCTAATCAACGTAAATTTAGGCCGAAGCTCAACAAGCTGCCAAGGCCCAGGAGGCGGCACGAACCAACCAGCGGGGTGGCCCTGGTGGTGGCCGCCCCCCTGTTGGCCGTGGCGATGCCCGAGGCTTTTCTGGAAACTTCAGCCAGCCAGTCAGCAACCAGGTTGGCATGGACGACCTCAGACGTCTGAAGGGCTCGTCTGTCAACCGAACCTCAAGCTCAAATGTCACCTTGGGCCCTGCATCAATGCTCTCCTCTCGTAGCAACAGCGGACGACGATTTGGACCTGGTGGCGCTCTTGGTCGTCCTGGCGATGACTCCAACAGCTCCTCCCGCGCTGGAACTCCTGGCCCAACAAGCTCTAATGCTTTCAGGTAAGCATTTCTCACTCCCCTTCATCCCCTATCAACACCCCATGCTGATACCTTGTTTCTCTCCAGCTTGCTAGCCACTATGGATAATGACCACCCGGCCTCCCCTCCGTCTGCTGGACCCTCGCCTCTCATGTCAAAGGCAGTTCCTGCCACTGACAAGAAGGACAATGAATAAAAAGACTCTTTTCTTTATTCTCGGTGTCTTTGCATTTTTGGGGGGGAATAGACTCGGCGGGGTTGTGTTTTTTTTCTTGCATTTACAAGGCTTTCATGCGACGTCTTCACTAAAAGTTTGAGCACGCATTTCACACGCGATACCTTTTGCCCCATAGACCATTTGACCAAACGAGTGGACAGATGTGGCCTCCCTCAAAGAAGAGGAGATCGGGGGCACTTTTCTCTTTATTTTACTTTTTTTTTACTGTCTCCGGACTAGGGATTCACCATGCCTTTTTATTCATGATTGTGTTATACCTTCTTCTAATGTCCCTTTGGTGTGCTCCAATTCTTAATGTTGAGTGGCTCGGAAATGTGAGAAAAATAAGGACTCAGTTGATGTCATCATCTGCCAGCACAAAAGGGTCATTGTGAGGAAATTATGGACGCAATGCCCAGCTGTCAGTGATGGGGCCAATCGGCGAGATGAGAGAATGCCCACACCCGAGACCTGCGAAGGGGGATGAAAACACAAAATGGGATGCGTCATGTTTGGAAGTTGACGAGGCTTAACATGGAAGTCAAGAGGCTCATGGTGACAAAGGCAACTGGATGGCTACTTGTTTGCCACAAAATGATGATGTATTTACGAGGGAGTGGGGGGAAAAGGGAGGGAAGAGGCAATTCGGAATGGAATATGGTTGTGGTTTTACAATGGGGGGGGGAAGAGGTCTTGATATCTGATATTTATCCCTCATGTTGCCTTTAAAGCCGTGTTCTCCTTTTGCAGGCCTGTCTTTGTTTTGTCACCGTGTGCTTGCTGTGTGTACTTTGATGGACGGGACGGGACATTTGGGTGATGGGCTTGGCTGAGCGGCATGAGTACCACGTATATTGACCCTTTTCTTTTTAACTCCCCTTTAATTCTCTATTCTAATGAGAGATGTATGTGGGGGGATGAATAGGAGAAAAGAGAGGAGGGAGAAAGGGAAAAGTAAAAATGGGGGCTTTGAAGAGTTTTTGAAGGTAGATATAGTACTTTCATGTCGATGAGTGATGTTTTGGTAATTGTGCTATTTGATCTGATGAGCTACGGAACGGACCGTTTGTCATCTATAGTATGGGTATGGATAGTTTTTCAAAATTGTTCATTGACTCTATTCACATTGTTTTGCTCATGTCTTACATGACATCTCGTGTATACAATATTCAGTTCTCGTTTCGATTACAATTGTATAAAACGTCTCCCTAGCCAAATAAACACGGCAAAATCCCATGTCTTGCAATCTTGCAACACAAAGACAGGCATCCAAGTCCTAAACTCCAAAGCGCCTATGAATCCTCATCTCTCAGATCCGCATATCAATGATCTTGCCCTTCTTTTCTTTTCCCCATCATAGCCAACAACACCCCGACTCATGCTACGCAAGATATGTTCATCCTTTGCAGAAAGGATTACATAATATAAACATCCCATCATGACTTGTATTTTCCCCCCATTCACTTCTCATGAGGCAGCAGCAGGGGCAGCCGAGACAGCGCCCAGCATCTTACTGAACCCAAGCTTTGCAAACAGCGTATCCATGGCGACCCATTGTCTACCGCACTTATCCAGGTACTTGTCAACAACGGCCTTGACGGTCGTAAAGCGTACACGGTTGTGCTCCACCAAAGCCCGGATCTTCTCTCTTTCTTGACCCGTCAAGTCATTGTTGGCATCAAGGGCTTTAGCCTTAGCCTTGTCTACATCCCACAGACTGGCAAAGTAAACGAGCTGGTTATAAATTGCCTTTTCGGTATACTCGTAATGCATATTGCCAGCACAGTCGCGTGCCAGACCCTTGGGTCCCATACAGCATATGCCGTAGACGCTCATCTGCCGAGTGCGATTACCGCACTGAGGGTCATCGCAGACAAGCCAGCCTTCGTAGTACCGGGACGTCTGGAGGCGAACTGCGTGTTCAACCTGCGCTACGACAGACAGCGTAGGGATAACTGCGCCGCAGCCGGGGCAGATGACGCCTGACGCAGTGACGCGATCAGGGGAACTGGTGAGGCCCTCGAAGGCGGATGTAGCTTTGCATTTGCGGCAGCGGAGAGCGAGGCGTTTACAATCGACGAAACGGACCTCATCGGGAATCTGAGACTCGAGAGGGTGGATTTCGAGATCGTCACTTGTACCGCTCTGCTGTGTTTGAGTGGAGGTATACCGACGAACGTCCAAGCCCAGCTGTTCAGCAAGCTGCGATGTCGAGGTGCCCGCAATATTGGCACACAGACGCTCAACAGGCGGGAAGATTTGCTTGGCAATATACCAGTCCACATCGGGCTGCAGAGAGGGATCGGCCTTGAGATCTGGCGGAGCATAAGCACGCTTCGGCGCAGGCTCTGAGCTCTGGCTGGTTCCCGTAACAATGTAGGAAATCACATCACCCTTGCGAATGGTTTTACCCCTGGCCAAGTCGCGAAGGGCGACTTGCACTTGGGGCATGGAGTCGGCATTGGGATACTCCTTGGGACCCTTTCCAAGCTGCGTGTAGATGGTGTACTTGGGCACGGGGATCGCAAAGTCGCGCATCTTGGTGGCAATATCGCGTAGGTACTCGTGGATGCGGGCCACGGAAACTTCGATATCGTCTCCAGACAAGATGTCATCAAGCAGATGCTTGGAGACTTCCTTGGAAAGGGCGCAGTACTCACGACGCCTCATATCCAAACCTTTGACCTCCATCTTCTCGATAAATTTGCCATCCTTTTCAATGAGGTTAATGGCTGCATACTTCTTCTTGGCTTGCAGCAAGATGCGGCGGAACACATTGTCGATGTCAATTTCCAGCAGCCTGTACTGCTCGTTGACGGCCTTCTTGAACTCGTTGCCGACCTTGAAAGCGTCTGCAACGTTATCAACGTTGGCATTGATCATGACGGAATCCGTGTCACCGTAAATGACTTGCAGAGATTTGCTCTCGGCAAGATCCTTGGTGCTGCGCAGAATTTCTCGGCCCTTGTGCGTGGTCAAGATGGCGAGGGGGCGAGCATAGAAACGAGATCGAGTATATCCCAAACAACCGTACATGGAGTTGGCTGTGAGCTTCAGAGCCAGCTGTTTAATGTCCCATGTGGCAAGCTCTTCGGGTGTGGCCTTCTTATCCTTCATCAGATTCTTGACTTGGCGACGACGACTGACGAGCGTAGCAATAAGTCTAGGTAGAATGCCCTGATCTTGGTTAACAGGCACTTCGGGGACAGCGTCCTCATTTTCAGCCTAAGCGATTTAACGTCAGTAAGGGCCACTTTGGAAAAGAAATATTTACGAATGCTGCTTACCGATGCTGTTCTATCCACAGTGGTGAAGCAAATGTTAAACTCCTGGATAATGGAAGGATAAAGAGAGTTGAAATCCATGACAAGGACAAACTTGTCATAAAGGCCCTTTTCTGGCTCAAAAACAAGACCACCCTTGTACTTGTCCTTTTTCTTGCCATCGCCTCCTTCTTCCTCGGCATTTTCCTCTTCGGCCTTTTGCCGTCCTTTGAATGTCTGCTTATCTGGACAGATGTACTTGTTGCGATGAAATTCGTGGAGGAGAATGTACTCGTTTCGCTCAGCGCGGGTACCAGTCAAAGTACGAGCCCAAGAGTTACCGGCCAAGTTCGTCAAGACCTTGGTGAGAGGCAGCAGCTGCACACTGACAGCTAATGCGGCAATGTAGTGTGTGTCAGCTTCCATATGAGTAACGTAATCCATGAGGCCCTGGCTCTCCTTAGCCCAGGTGTTGAGAGCAACTTCGTTGTCGACATCACGACGACGGTTGTCACCTGTGAGATACAGGCTGCACATTTCCGTCAAGCTCCAAGTCTGACACTTGAACATGGCAGACTTTCCTGCATCATTGGCAAGATCGCAAAGCAATCGGCCAGCCATGACCTGACGCTCAGCAAACACGTTGCCCCCAGTCTTTCCAATGGAAGAGGGCCACTGAGTTCGCCGCAGTCTTCCGAGCCTTGACCACTGATGGACCTTTTTCTCAAACAAACGATTCAACAGCACACTGTAGTCAACGCCTTCTAGCTGGTGACCGAGAATGACATCAGGATCCGCTACGTCAACCTGGGCTAGGAAAAAGCTCAGGAGATCAGATTCTTGTTTCTTCAAGATGAGACCTCTGTCTCTCTTCTTCACTAGCGTATCAAAGCCCATGGGAAAGGCCTGTCCGTGAGGACGAATGACGGTAAACGTTCTACATGGAAGTTTCTCGGCGGGAGTCGTATCACTGAGAAGCACCTTGTCGTAGATTCGCGCACTGATGGCAAGGATCTCCTGCTTGTTCTCCTTTGCATTGAATGTTGTTCGGAGAGCGATGCTCATCAGCGTCAGCGGGGGCATATCCATGTTGTCGGAGTCGCTGATGGTCGACACCATGTTAGGATGTTCAGCCAAAACCTCGAGCTTGCAGTGAGAAGCATTCTTGATAGCGCCAAAGTCAGCATCCTGGATCTTGAGCCAGCAAGGACCCATGATGTTCTTCCAAAGAACAAACTGCTCGAATAGAGCAGTGTTGGTGCCAAAGACATGGGAAAAGGTCTCTCCCTTTGCATCCATGTTGATTGCGGGTTCTAAAGAAAACAACTGTAGTTAGTAGGCTGTTCGCGCACCATATTGGCTCATGACGTACTTGTGTAAGGATACAAGAGTTTCATGTACTCTGCCTCCTTGGGAATCTCCGGCAGCTCAAAGGCATATTTCCGCTCGCACTTTTTGATCTTGTACATGCCAACGTTCATCTTGGTCATGATCTCATCAACCTCGGTGTAAACATCCGTCATGTCTACTTCATCTCCCGTTTCTTCACCATCTCGGACACGTTGTTGTCGAGGCAGGAAATAGAGTTTTCTGAGAATATTGTCAATCTTGACAAAGCAACTGACATATGACTGTGTTTTCTTGTTCAGCACTTTGCCAAAGAGACACAGACTGCCGTTGACTTCTGTGTAATCGGTCCAGAAGAAGTTCAAAGACCCATCCGACTCGATAGCGTCATTGTGGTCTATTTTGCCGATGCCCCTAGACTCCAACAGGGGAGTATTGACAACGTTGAGCTTTTCTGTAAGTTCGTTCCAAGATGTAGCGTCTACTGAGGTGTCTGGAACCTTGATGGGGGATGAAGTTACTGCCGGCTCTTCCTTGATGATTTTCTTCACCGGCCGGGAAGCTGCCATATTTACACTGGCAACCTTGACAGCGCCAGCATGAGCAACCTCCATCATATCGTCATCGTCGTCACTTTGCGGCTCCTGCTTTATCAGAGCCTTGCGTTGGGCGACTTTGGCAGCGGGAGAAGACGGTGCTGGGTCGCTCATGGGCATATCGGCCGTAACCATAGGCTCGTCATCAATCAAGGGTGCGAGATCGTCGTCGTCGTCAAAACTTGGAGGTGCGGGCTCCGGTGACGGCAACCGAATGTCAACCCGCTTCTGCTTCTTGTAGCTGGGCTCTGGCGCAGGGGATAAGTCTCGAGCCCTGCGTCGTTCGCCGCCAGACCGTTCGACTTTGGACGCCTTTGGAGCCGGAGCAGGAATGTTGGCGTCTACCTCTCCGAGGAGGTCGGCAAGGAAGTCGTCGTCAGCCTTGGTTTTGGTAACCTGCAGTCCTGTTAGGCTGTCTGAAGGCTGTACAGCATGTTGAATGGGTGTGCCATACCTTGGGCTTGGGCTGCGCTTTACCGGCGCCTTTGGTAAAGTACTCGCTAATGCTGCGGTCGTTGGCATCCCGCTTGGCCAGCTCTTCCTCGCGGCTCTTCTTGGCTGCCTTGGTGATGAGCAATCAAACGACCAGAAGAGAAAACAGCTGCAATCCATCACTCACCTGCTTTGCTCGGCCTCCCACGCACTGGCAGTTCGTTCTCCCCTTCGCTGTCTGATTCATACCGCCGCACTCTGTCCCAGTCTTCGCGGCCGTCGTCGGCATAGCCCTCGCCATTGTCGTCGACAACAAAGTCGTCCTGGTTCAGGCGATCCCGCACAATCTTCTTGTATCCAGCCTCGTCCACCTCGTCATAGAGATCGTCGGCATCTTCGACCTGGTAGCTCTCAAAGGCCTTCTTGCCCGCTTGGCGGAGGGCCTTGAGCTCGGCGAGCTTTGCCCGGCGGTCGACCTTTGGCATGGCGGAGTGAGTGTTTGTTTAGGGTATCATGAAATCGTGAAGGAATGTCGAGTCGAGGCCACTCGTTTGTTGTGGTTGAAGAGAGAGAGACGGAGAAAGAAAGGCGAAAATGAAGCTGCTCGAGTCCCAATTGTTTGTTGGAGGGTCCGCCTGCGAGGTACCTCCCACATGCCCTAGCCAGCATACACTGATCAGGTATCTCTAAGCCTGCAGGAAGCGCGTCTTTACGCGTGAGTCGCGTTGTTACTCGACACGCTAAATCGCTACCTTAATTAATTGGCAGCACCAAAAGTGACGTGGGGCAGCTCACAGAGTGGGTGGTCTATGCATCCAAGCGGCGATATCCATTTATCGAGGCCGAACGTCTCATGCCGCCAAGCTGTATATGTAAGTGATATATGCAAGTCCACGGCTATATTTCAAAGAAGACAAGACCAAATTAGGATGAAACTAGGGACGAAATAAAGTAGAGATGCGTAATATTCTAAACGAGGCCGGGGATATCTTGTCACGCCACCAGGATATACAGAGGTTGCTCTATGTCTAAATCATACACTCATAACTCTTACATGCCGTACATGTATAGTAAAACCCCCTACATCTACCTTCTGCTGTTTCTGTTGTCGCTCCACGATCTCCTTGGTCGCCTCTCTTCTTCCACCTCACTACTTCTGCGGTTGCTCCACGAACTCCTTGGCCGTCTCTCCCCTTCTTCCTCCCCGTTTCTGCGGTTACTCCACGACCTCCTTGGTCGTCTTTCTTCTTCCGCTTCCGCCTGCTTCGATGTATCCCAGACAAAATCACCGGCTGGCCTGAACTCAGTACTGAATTTGTCCTCTCCACTGCCCTCCTCTCCAACTTCTCCAGCTGTGTCTCCCTGGAGAGGCTTGCGCAGGTTGGGCTCCCTATCTTCACGATCCGAGTAAAACTTTTGAATCTCACGATTTATTTTCGCTCCCACAGCGCGGAGGTCCTTTGCGTCACTCTCGGCAAGCATCTTTTCGTTGATGACTTTGTTGAAAGCGCTAAACATGTGGCGAGCCAAGGCGATGACCTCACGCTGGCTGTTATACAGCGCCCCCGTGTTAGAATCGTTGCCTTTTGCTTTCTCTTTAAAGAAGTGATAGTGAACTTTCTTATAAGGTTCCCAGAGGTGGGCAAGGGCTGTTGTTATTTGCAAGCCATAGTCACGCTTGGCGTCTTCTTGGTTGCCCTGTTTGAGTTTCTCGCGGAACTGAAAGTGGCTGACCAGGGCAACCCGCAAATACAGGCGAAGGGTATGAAGATCTGGCACGGAAAGGCGCTCGAGCATAGAGTCAAGCACTCGATCTGCGTTGGCAATGACATTGGGGTTGATGTTATCGCGGACACAGGTCTCCATGGCGATGCGGTAGTGCTTGGCATCAATGTATTCGTCAGGCATCAGGCTCAGGATCGAAGAGGCGTGGCCACTGGCCTTGGCGACTTTGAGCATGCCAAACATGCGCAGCCAGTTGTCGTTATCCGGTATCACACCATAGTAGCGGACCAGGAGATTCCAATACTTGATGCCGCACGTCGTAAGCTTTGATGAGGCCAGGGTTGTGAGGACCAGAGCGAGGGTATTTCGGCCAGGGACAGCATAGACAGCTCTGGTCGAAGGCACCTTCTTTGGGGCGCCAGTAACAGCAATCTTTTCCATCTGAGTATCTTGGAACGCGTCCATGCCAGCCTCCTTGGCCAAATTGGGTATGCTCATGGTCTGGTATAATAAGTCGAGCACCTCCTTCTTCTGTTCCTTATTAGGGGCGAGGAGTAGAATACGGCCCATGGAGCACACCAGCTCCTCGTCTATGACCAACTGGGCCTTTCTCCACTTGTCAATGACTTCAACCCAGATGCTCTTGGCACGATCCACAGCCTTTTGCAGGTTGGCGGCTTGCTGCTCCGGCGTGATGTCATCCACAGCAAGGAGCGCTTGATGTCGCAAAGCATTAAAGATGGTAGTATACGTGTAGGGCGTGGGGGCGCGAGTAGAGTCATTGGCTGTGTCGGCTATCAGGAACATGGAGTCAAGGTCACCGGCTCTTGCGCAAACATTGAGCACAGCGTTCATATGGATCGAATTGGGCTGTAGCCGCTTGTCGTTGAGGAGAATGTTGTAGTGCTTGACAGCCTCTGCGACGGCAATCTTTGGGTGTTGCGACTGGGCGCAGCCACGGAATATGACGGTAAAGGTCTGGACATTGGGTAGCTGCCCTCTTTTTTTCATCTAAACGGGTTGCTATTTAGCGCATTGCAAGAGTTGGGGGAACAATTTCTAGTCACTGACATCGTTGTAGAGCTTGATGGCGTTCTTCAGCTGCTGCTTGCCCAGCAGGTAGTTGATGAGGTGGTTCCACGCAACAACAACCTGCTGTTCTTTGCCGGCAGTCTTGGTGAGGAGCAAGGCTTCGTCAAACCTGTCCTTGGAGAGAGCTTTCTCCACGTACTGGGCAATTTTCCAAGGATCGTCCATATGCTGCAGCTCTTTCTTGACAATGCGCTGCAGCCGCTCAAAGTTCTTCTTCTTGGAGGCTTCTGAATCGACGGGCTCTAGAACAAGACTCCGGGGAGCGTCGGTCTGTTCAGTGCTTGGGACGGCAACTGAAGCATAATGCCTGCTGGTCTGTGGAGGAGCTGGTAGAATTCCAGATGCTGTCCAGATGCTGGCGGCTTCGGCGAGGGGTCTGCTGCGAGACGAAGCTTGCACGGCACGGCGCAGGCAAGCGGCGCAGCCAACCAGACTTTGCGACATTGCGCCTAGGGGACAGAATTAATGATAATAAAAAATCAACAGGACACCTGCCTAGCTATTGTCGCCTCATGGTGTATACGAGTATGTATAGCATCAAAAGAAAATTGCCTTGGATGCTCTACTGTAAAAACAATAGTGGGCTGGCCTTATCTTATCGGCCACGCACTAGACAGGGATATCCCGCCCCCAAGCCCGCTAAGCCATCCACAGCTTAGCGCTGCATCTCCGTCAGCCTCTCTTCTGCCTCCAGCCAATCACATGCCTCGGCTTCCAAGTCAAGCCCGTCCCAGAGTTTCCATTTCAGTCCCATTTCAGTCCCCCTTCAGCTTTTAAACCAAAAGGAACAGACGCGACAAAAAGTGGCCAAAGCACCCTCGTCCTCTCCATCTTGTCCACCTTGCCGTCTTCCATTCTTTTCGCATCTCTACTCTACGCTGAACAAATACCCCAGCAGTCTCTTTACTCTTTACAGCCCCTGCACGACAATCATGGCGCCCGTGGCCAAGGAATTCGAGCGAATCATCCATACCGGTACGCACATGGCCGTCGCGCGCGCAGACGGAAATCCGCATCCGCATCTCTCGATACCACCATCGTGAGCCCGACCATTACTTACTGACGGCCTGCAGCCCGAGAGCGCAAGAAGAATGAAGCCCTCGCCGACAAGATCTTCTCCAGGGGCCGTCGCCAGAGCGCGCCAGCCAACTCCAAGGCTGCGCAGCCCGGAGGATCGCTCGCCAGCCGTGTCGGCGTCAAGAAGGTACAGATATGACATGGACGGGCAATTGCATCTGGCATCTGCCTCGGACGAGGACAAGACGGGGCTAACCTCCTGACGAATAGGCCCAGCCTCAGAACAAAGCCACAGTTGCTGCTCAGCGCCGTCGAGCAACCATCCCTGCCGGCGACGTCAACGGCGAGTGGACTCACGACCTCCACAGCTCCGTCAACCGCCCCAACACCTCCGCCAACGTCCCTCTCAGCTCCCGAATAACCCTCCCCGGCGCCGCCGGCAATGGCGCCCCTAAGAAGACAGCCGCCCAGAAGAAGGCTGGCCGGCTGGCCGCCGCACTCGACCGCATGGAGACGGACGATTCCGTCAGGCAGCAGGTCAACGTTGTCAGGAATGGCAAGTCGCAGAGGCCGGATGCCGGCATGACGATCCGGGGACTGGCGGGTCCGTTTGCCATCATGGGACAGAACTTTGCGCCGGGAACGACGGCCGCGGATGTCGAGAGTGCCATGACGCCCGTGGGTGGCGAGATGATCAGCTGCGAAATCGTCAAGACGCAGCCCTTTATGATTGTCGAGATGGTGTTTGCATCAAGAGAGGGAGGAGAGAGAGTAATTGAGACGTTCAACAACAAGACTGTAAGGCTTTGTTCTTCCCTTTTTGCCCTCTTTGGCGCCCCGTTACTAACAACCCTCCCCTTCAAGGCCGACGGCAGAATTCTCAAAGTCTACGCCAAGCCAGGCGGCTACAAACCAAGCCGCGACTCACCCTCGGGACGCCAATCATCGTCAACCCGCGACCAGGTCGTCGACGGCTCCATGGGCTTCCCCGACAACGACCTCATGGACACGGAGAACGTGCCCCCCTCGACGAGGAGCAACAGGCTGCACTACAACAACGACGGCGGCAAGAACAACTCGCTCAACAAGCGTGGCCGCGGGTTCCAGAGGGGCTCCTCCAATAACGGGCGATAGAGCCGTTCGTCGTCGAGGGAGTACTGGGGGAGGAGATCTGTACCATATTGAAAAATCCCAGTTTGAAAAAAAAAAAAAAAAGCCCAAAATCTCTCCTCCCCGGTGGCGGCTTTTTTTCACTTCTTTGTTTGTTTTAGGATACAACGGATCTGGGATAAGGGATAATTGGTGAAATAATTGAGCGTTTTTATTTTTTATTTTTTATTTTTTTTTATTCCTTTTCTTTTTTTCGGGGCAACTGGTGTGTCATTGGCAGCGTTTCAGTGAGGTGAAATTGACTTTTTCGCTGCAGCTGGTGCTTGCAATCAAGGCAGGGCGGTATGAATGAATGAAAACAACAAAAAGCAGATTTCATGAGGCCAAATATATAGAAATACGATCCATTGCATATCTTGTCTTTTAGATCCTAGAGTATCAAGAAGTTGTTGCACGATGCAGCCAAGACTCAACTACACTGACAAAAACATACAACTCCCCCAAGCAAACACAATAAAAAAAAAATCATCACAAACAAAAAGCTTTTCAATGCAACAAATAGTATTCAGATGATAATATTCACAAAATTCCGCCCACACCCCCCCCCCACCGCTTTCCATGACAGGTATCAAAATCGCCACCTCGACTTTACCCTCCTCCATCACCACTCTGCCAGGCCCAGGATATATAACCAACAAAGAGACCCCCCTCCCCCTTTAGCAAAAACCTCACTCATGCTCGGAACCAGACGAAATCGAAAACTGAAAAATCCATGACCAAGAAGGGGGGACAATGAAAAAAACAAAAAAAAAAAGAGAGAAGCGCAAAAACAAGGATGGGAGACACAAAAAGAGGCAGCAAAAAACGAGCAAACAAAGAAAGCCATATCTACTAAACCCATGCCATCCCATAGTCCTCCAATTGCAATTTCTCTCTCTCTTGTTTTTCTTCTCTCCCCTCCCATCTCCTTCTCCTTCTCCTTTGCCCATCTTTATCCCCCCTCCAAAACACACGATGCAGGACAAAAAAAAAAAGGACAAATTTTGCATCCTACCGTGACAAAACCCCCCTCATCCCTCCCCCCATCTTGAAGAGCGAGAAAGAATTCTCTGCAAAGCACGTAATAGAGCCAGTCTCGATTGCAGATACATACAAGGAATAACGAGAAGCGACAACGACACCGAGGCAGACACCAAGTAGTCGTACACGGGTAGGAACATGGCTGATCCCACAGATAAAATAGAAACAAGCAAAGAAACCCCATCCATTCCACCGATATGCAGATTACGGGCAGTCATCTTACGAAAGAGGGGTTGCCTCTGGTTACGTAAAGACTGCAAACGCTCTTCCTCCCAGTCCAAACCCATGTATATCATTAGTGACGTGTGTCGCAGGAACAGGTCCAGTGAGCGGCTCGGGTATGAGGCTTGTGCTGTGGGGGATTCAGAGAAACATCCCCCTGTCACCGCAATGGTATCCCCCTTGCGACTAGAAACACACCAACCTCAGTAGTCATATCAATGGCAAGTTCCCACTCGTCACGACTCTCTTTCAAGCCATCGGCGAGTGCCCTAAAAAGAGCGGCGGATCCATGGAGCGTAGCGCCTATGCTCTGATATTAAAGACGGACGTTTGTCTTTTATAGCGCCCAGTCACTTGGCCATAATACCCACGTAATTAACAAAACTACCACAGTCCGAGAGACTAGATTTCCTTGACTTCGGGTGAAAGGTAAGAGGAAAAAGGACGGGCTCAATGCCATGGATTCTGGCTGCTGCCCATAAAGCCCTCTTCCAATGTTCGCTCTTCCAGGTTACGAATAAAGTCCCGGTTGCTGCGGGCACCTCCCTGTTGAACCCGGCTGCCCCGTCTTCCGGCACGGCCGGGTGCGTTATCCAACCCCTCGCCGGTTGGTGGATAGTATGCTGGGCTGGGCTGGAGCCGGATGGGCTGGCTCGGGTCAAGGTGGCTGGCGACTCGTTGTAAAGCGGGAGGGATGCCGCTTTGCTGCTGCTCCATGGTCGAAGCCCGCTGTCTGTTCGTTCTCATGCCGCCTTGCTGATACATATTGGGCTGTGCGGGGTTCGAGTATTGCCCCGACGGGAGCTGCTGGGGAGGCTGTGACATGACCATTTGACCATACTGGCCGGTCTGTGGCGGCCCGTATTGAGGGGGGACGTTTCCATGGCCAGCGCCAGGGTTATAGACGGCGCTGTTAGAATACAGAGGAGCTGGTACATGGCTAGAGGGTTGGTACTGCCCACCACCCATGGATGACGCATATGCGTTTTGCGCAGAGTTGGCTTGTGCCTGGGCCTGAGCCTGTGCTTGAGCTTGAGCCTGAGCTTGAGCTTGGGCCTGTGCTTGCGCTTGAGCCTGGGCCTGGGCCTGAGCCTGGGCAGCCTGAGCTTGCGCCTGCGCGGCTCGTTGCTTGCTGAGGGCCTCGGCTTGCTGCTGTTGCTGGGTGCCGGGAGCTGGTGATCGGTTGAGGGAGCTTGACTTCAGGTTCATCGGCGGGACAAACGGCCCTGTGTATTTTTGTTGCGTGATGAAGGGGTGGAGTTTTGCCTGCTGCGGCGACCACCGTTCCAGAGGGTTGATGTTAAGCAGGCCTCTGACGAAGTCGATGAAGGCGATGCGATTGTTCATCTCTGCATCAATGTTAGGTTAGTTTGAGGAATCGCATATAAGTGGTTTTAAAAAAGGCCGTCTTTTTCCAAAGATTTCTCACCTCGGTCGATTTCGCTCTGCTTCATATTCTTGCGAGGCATGGGATATGACTTGATAATCTCGGGCAGCGTATTAGCCTGGAAATACTTCTTACTAGGTTGTTCCTTGGTGTTGTGCTCCCGCGAATACTGCTCCATGCTCTTCATGTGGTATGTCCGCCTGCCAAATTCATCCTGCCGCCTTTCGAAAAACTCGAGGCCCTGCTTCCCCATGTCGATCATCCAGTTGGGCGGGTTGCCAAGCATCTCGACAATTCGAGCAATCTGGTTGTACTCTGACGAGCCGGGGAAGAGAGGAAGTCCCAGGAACAGCTCCACCACGATGCAGCCCAGCGACCACATGTCGATGGCAGACGAGTATGGCAAGCCCAGCAAGACCTCAGGGGATCGGTAGAATCTGGATTGGATATAAGTGTAGACCGTCTGGCGCTCGTCGCATGCCGAGCCAAAATCGATAATCTTGATGATTGGGCTCTCGAGGTTCTTTAGCAAAATGTTTTCCGGTTTCAGATCACAGTGGATCAGCCGAGCTTTGTTGAGGAGGGCCAGGCCATTCAGAAGCTGCTGGGCGAAGACGCGGACCAGAGTTGTGCTGAGACCGCGGAACTGGTTCTGCTTGATGAGCTCGTACAGGTTGACGCTGAGCAGCTCGAAGACGAGGCAAAGGTGCTGTCGGTGGATGAAGGTGTCTTTGAGTCGGAGGAGATGGTGATCATCGTTCTTGTCGAGCTTCGTATTGAGCTTTTTTTTTTTATCAAGTCAGCACAAAACCAACCATCGTACATGAATGGAGGGGGGAAGAGCATACCAAGTCGAGCACGGACACCTCCATCATACTCTGGTTGAAGTAGGCAGTGCGGTTTTTGATGACCTTGACGGCCACGACCTCTTGCGTCTTGAGGTTCTGGCACTTGACGACCTGGCCAAAGGTTCCCTGGCCCAGCACATCGAGGATGAGATAGCGATTCCTACAAGAAAGTCAGAGGAGATGTAACGACAACAAAATGAGGAGAGGAGTATGTTTACGCACTTGTGACCAGCTTCTTCAGAGCCCAGAATGTCGTTTACATAAAGGATGTAATCGCTATCCTCGTTGTCGTAGCCATCGTTTTTGGTGCCCTTGCTGGGCTTCGTCAGGACTCGGCGAGGGTTTCGCGAAGACTCGTACTTGAAGCTCGGGTTGCAGATGCGGTACGTGGCAGGCAGATGCAGCGTCAAAGCTTGGAGGGGCTATATCAAGGTTGGAGAGACGGAGTTAGAAGCTGTCGGGCAAAAACAAGGGTATGGTGGCAGACTAACGCTGATGAAGCCGCCCTCTGGGTTCGCTCGCCTGAAGCGCGGCTGCCTCGTGTTCTTGGGCTGCAGCTCGGCGGGCGACTTGATCTTCTTAAACTCGGGCACCGCCTTCATCATGGGGGGGTTCGGGCGGCGAGGGGCCTTGGAGTCGCTGAAGGAGCCGTCGAGTGTGGCCACGGCAGACGAGGGGTAGCCGTCGTGGGCGTACGAGGCAATGGGGGGCAGCTGGGGCGCGCGGCCAACATAGTACTGGCTCGAGTAGTCGGCATTGGGCGGCGTCTGCTGCGACGGCGAGCTGGTGTAGGCCTTTGAGTAGGGCGACGTGGGCGACAGGGTGTCCATGGGCGAGTATCGCTGGGCGGCAGACGACGGCTGCTGCTGGTGTTGCTGCTGGCTCTGCAGCTGCTGGAGCTGGAGCTGTTGCTGGTGCTGCTGGTCCTGGGGCGTGTACAGGCCCGACGAGCGGGTGCCCGACAGATGGGCCTGGTGGTGCGGCCTCATGGGGTACTTGATGCCGGCGTGGGCATCGTGGGCGTCGTGCATGGCGACGTCGCCGCTGGTGTCGCGCACGGGGGCGGTCGCGAGAGGCGAGGTGGCCGGGTTGAGGTTGATGCTGCTGGAGGAGCCGTGGTGGGCGCTGAGCTGCTGCTGCGGCGGGTAGTGGTGCTGCGGCGGCTGGTGCTGGTGCTGGTGCTGGTGCTGGTGCTGGTGAGGCAGCTGGTAGTGCAGCTGGTGCGGCAGCGTGTGATGCTGGTAGGGTTGGCGGTCGTAGCTGGTGCTGCTGTGGGTGGAGGACGAGTTGTTCAAGTTGTTGTTGTTGGGGTTGGAGTTGTTGTTGTTGCTGCTGTAAGGCGAGCCCGAAGCGGCAGCAACAGCAGCAGGCGGAGCGGATGCAGACGCAGACGCAGACGCAGAGCCAGACACGGCAGACGAGGCAGCGGCAGAGGCAGAGGCAGCAGACGCTTGACCGGCCGGGGCGTGGCCAGAGGAGGCGGAGGCGGGCAGAGGCGAGGGATAGTCTCGCGATGTCTGGCCGTTGTTCTTGTGTCGAGAGTCGGGGTACCACGACGGATTATCCATGGCGGGCACAGCGCAGAGGCGAAGGAGGGGCGTCAGCGGTCCAAGCAGCGGCCGACCGGGCCACACAGCACCTCCAGAGCGCTCAAGCGCTATTATTTCGCACCAGACGGTTGGTCAGCGCCGATTGCGTCCGCTCCAATGTCTTGCGACTGCGCTCGATCAACAAACTGAGTCGCAGCAATTGGGCGCTTGGTGGAGGCCCAAGTTCCGGGGGATGCGATATTGATGCGATTGATTGAGGGAGGCGATGGGACACACAGTGGGTAACGGGCTCTGGCGGGAATGGTCTGGATGCAAGGTTGGATCTTGATTTGGTGGCATAAGCCCAAGTCCAAGCCCAAGTCCAAGCCCAGACAAGCCCAGACAAGCCCAAAGCCCAGCCCAGCTATCGTCGGAGTATTAGATCCAATGTACTGTAGCAGCGCAGTGGTGATCAGTCTGGTGCGACTCTGACGTGCTAGCTGTACTGTAGCAGGTATCAATGTCAGTGGAGGTAATCAAATCGATCAGGGCAAAACAGAGAAGAAGAAAAAGAGACAAAGGGATTCGCTTCATTCGGGCTTAGAATTTGATGCTAGTCTCATTCTCTTCATTTTCCCTTTTTTATTTCTCTCTCTCTCTCTCTCTTTCTTTCTCTCAATTCAATCGTTCGCCGAGACCGAACACGTTTGCAACGTTAGTACGTACAGAACCAGCGCTCACGACCTCCACGCCTTTGTAGCGGTACCCAGCAGTTGCACCCGGCGCCACGGCGTGCTCGCTGTGCTTCAGTGCTGAAACGGGCTGCAATCGCTGGCCGTCCGACCGCAAGCACAAGTACCGCTACATGTCTTGACAGCCAGCCTGTGGCTTGGGCGGGGCGCTGCCCGTTGCCCAGGGAGCTTCCACTGGCTGGCTAGGCCGCGTCGGTACTAGCCGCTGCGACAAGTCACCGCAGTACCTGTACTTGCATGGGGGCATAGCTGAAACATGGACTCGAAGCATCAGCAGCAGATCTTTTAGCCTGTGCTGTAATACCGTGCAATCTGTGATGACAGCTCTCCGGTTACCTACCTAGTAGTAGGTGCTGATCTTTACTAGTAACTGTGTCGATGCCTATCTATCCAATCTCGAATCAATTGGATTGCTTGATTGCTCTTCAATGGCAGAATCCATATCAAAACATCGCCACCATGGCGGCACAAGTCAATCATCACATCACAGACAGGCAGACTCCATGTCTCAGACACCTCCAGTGCCCACTGCCACTAAACCATTCAAACAGCATCCACGTAATCCAACTACTCGTACAAGATCCATACACTGATCCATCCCTACCAGGTACATACAAGCTCACGAAACAAGGCCTGCAACGTATCATCCATTCACTCGCTGCAAAGTTCCCATGGCATGTACCTGTACCTCCACAACCAACTACAAGTAACCTGTAGCCTACAGGCGCCTTAGTACTGGTTCCACCTTGACCTGTTCTGCCAGTCAGCATCGCCCAATTGCTCTTCGTGCGCTGCGCCCAGCATCAATCACAAACCATCAACCGCTCGCAAAATCACCCTCTATCCATCCAGCGGCCCCCCCTTTCTCTTCTATTCTCTCCCATCTTCAAACGTACAGTAGCATGAAAAGAACCCCTTCTCTCATGATTTCATGTATCATGCCAGGTATCCCCCAGCGGCTACCAAAGGTACCCAGTAGTTCCACCAATTTTGCCCCCGTCGATTTTCCAAGATTCCCTGCTTTGTGCTCTTCTTCCAAGCGGGCTGACAACAGCATATGGATACCGGCTCGTCATGTCCCCTGCATATACTATGTATGCAGCTAGAATCGCCACCCAGCCATCATTTGCAATCCCTGAACGTCATGTCATGTGTAAATCGAGACCTCGCTCTTGTACGAGGCAATCCAGACAGAATACGAAAGAAATGCCTGCCAAATACACCAGTACATTCCCATATCCATCAAATGGCATACCTGGTAGTGCATGTGATGAGTGTACAATATGCGTTTTCATGAAAATTATCACATGCAAGTCCAAGAACCCCGCATATGTACCCTTGAATGGTACAAAAACTGCCCAGTATCAGACAAATGGTGCGAGCAGCTTGCATGTTGATGTGCTTCAAGTTTCAAAGAGCAAAGATCAAAGATCAAATATCCAAGTCTTGTCAGGATTAAATCCATCAATTGCTACATCCCTGTATTGACTAATCATTTACAGCCATATAAACAGCCTTCGCTCTCTTGGAAATAATCAGAGGCGAAAAGCATTCCGGCTACATACTCGCTCTCCCACTTGTGCTTGTCATTTTCCTTACACATATAAAATCCACATTATCTTTTTCGACGTCGCCGCAACGCAAAAGCTTCAGTCTCCTGTGGGAGAAAAAAGAAAAATCACAAGGGGGGAAACATCCCCCCTGGCTGCAAATGCTCTTCTCGGGATATCCAACCCTTCTTTGACACGATATGGTGATGCCACGCTCATTCTTCAAATCGCTCGAGACAAGAGAAATTCGTAATCATCATCATATGCGAACAGACAAAAAACAAGTAGGAAAGGGTGAGAAATAGAGAGAGACAGAGACAGAAAGAGAGAGAAATTACCTGCTCCAAATGCTCCCATGTGGTATCCCAGCAGGCGACGCTCGTTAAAGGAAGAGAAGGAAAGAAAGAAAGAAAAAAAGAGTAAAATAAAATAAAAATCATTCCAAACTTTTCGTTTCTCTCGTGCATAAAATGAAAACATTACACGGCAAAGGAGCAATGAGAGGAAACCCCTGGAAGAAACAACCTTTGGAAAATCACACTGGAAAAAAAAGGACGGCTGGTACAAAATGAGAAGAGCCCATATGGTGAGAATGGCAGTAGATAAGAGGGAGTGAGGTGAGAGGAAGATGACAAGAAGTTGGGCAAATCAACAAGAAATGGGGAGACAAGGAAAGGAGTATGATACGTCAAATGGTAAAAGAAAATGAGTCCCCCCTCAACCGTGAAACTTGTTCTCTCTCTCAACCCTCCACTCTTACAGCTTGCGACCCCATTCGCACTTCATTCCCGATGACTACGACTGATAGGCGCCGAAACCATTGTTGAAGTTTTGTCCCTGGTTTTGGTTCCATTGAGCATTGGGACCCTGGTGGCCACGGCCGTATCCTCCGGCGCTCTGAGGGCCACCATATCCCATGGGGGAGCCGCTGTATCCCGCGGGTGATCCAGCTTGCGGGCCACCAAAGTTGCCCTGCTGTCCGTTGTATTGCGCTGCAACAAAAACCACACGGTTAGCGTCCAATCTTGTAACCAACAACCATTGTCTTTGGCAACTTACCTCCATACTGAGGGTAGTACGTGGGAGTACCAGGGAAGCCCGGGGCCTGGGAGGTCTGGGGGCTGTATGGCTGTTGCTGAGGGTCAAACGATCCAGAGTTGGGAGTCTTGTCCTTGCCCCACTACTCAGTTATGTCAGTGATATGTCCAGCCATCCTTCGTCAATCAACTTGGAAAATAGGATGTACTTACGCTGCACTTCAATGGTCGGCCGTTGACGTTGTATCCGTTCATCTGGCAAATAGCCATGGCCGCGTTCTCGTGCGTGTCCATCTTGATAAAGGCAAAGCCACGGTCCGCCTGGAATCGCGATTCCACGACAAAGCCAAAGTTTTGAAACAGGGGGACAACGTCGTTGGGAGTGGTGTACGGGGTGAGGTTGCCCACATAGCACGTAGTCTGCCAGTTTGGCGTCTGCGCAAGGATCATCTCGTAACTAGCGATTCCGTGGGCAGGGAACTGGTGGTGGCCAAAGGGAGTGGTGGGAGTCATGCCCATGGCCTGCATCGCCTGCTGCTGAGCCATTGACGGCTGGCCCTTTTGGTTGGCCCAGTTGCAGCGGATGGCCCGCGATCCGAGCCACTCTCCATCCATGGAGCTCAGGGCCTTTTCGGCATCGGGCCGATCGCGGAAGGCCACAAAGCCATAGCCTCGAGATCTACCCGTCTTCATGTCCCACATGACGCGAGCTTCCGAGACGGAGCCAAAAGCAGAAAAGGCCTGGAGGAGGATATCATCGTTGACTTCGTTTGATAGATCGCCCACGAAGATGTGGAAGTGGTTCGACGTATCCTCTTTGCTCGTGGTGTTGGACTGATAGGCCCAGTTGACCCGGATCTCCTATATTTTTCGCAAAAAGCTGTGTCAGTGGAAGCCAGTTGAGGGGGGAATACATGCATGCAGGACATACGGATTGGTGAACTCGTCGGCCGTTGAGGGTCTGCATGGCCCTCTCCGCCGCACCAGGGTCATCGTACTCGACGAAGCCGTAGTTGTAGCCCTTGGCCTATATTGCACCGTTAGCAACTCGTGGGGTCCAACTCGGAAGAAGATATCCATACGTTCTTGTCAGGGATAATCTTGACGTTCTGGACATGGCCAGTGGTCTCAAAGATCTGACGCAGCACGTCCTCGGTGACCCGCTGATCCAAACCACCAACGTAGAGGGCCCGCTTGTTGGGCTCAGGCGCAGCTCGTCGGAAGCCGGTGGTCGGGGAGAGAATTCCACCAGCATCAACGCCAGATCGGGGAGAAGTGATGGCCGTCGGGATTGGGTTCGTGTTCTGCGGAATATGGAGGGGAGGCGGGGGGAGGTGAGTTGGGTTGCCTTGGCCGTTTTGGGCGGCAGAGGCACCCACGCCAGGCTGCGCAGAGGTCGGAACAGCGCCAGCGTCGGCCATTGTCGCGACTATGGGGATTCTGCGGAGAGGATCGTGTCGGGCACTCGAAAGGGGTTGAGGAAGCGGAGGCGCGCAGGGCGGTTGCGTCGGCGGCGATGGAAAGAGATGAGGAGAAGTCGGTAGAGAGGAGGGGTGCTTTAGGGGGGGGAATGCAACGAATAGACTCCGATCACGAGCTCGCTAACTATCGATGACGAGGGACAAAAACAGACGGAAACGCTCCCAGCAAGAGGTCGGAAGATGCTTGGAATAAATCGAGTCGATGCGATGCGAGGAGAGACTGCCCGGGAGAGCTTGTGGGAAGCTTGCAGCGCTTGTGAGGCGGGACAAGATAGGAACAAGACAGGGGACAGAAAACTGGACAAGAGCTTAAGTTAAGGATGCCGAGAGGGACTAGGAAAAAAGGAAATAAAAGAAGAAACCGCAGAAGAAAACGATAAAGGAAACGAGTCCCGCAAATCGCAACCAACTCCGCTACTTTCGTGCACACACAGCGAACTTTGTCTGAGGAAAAAAAGAGACAAAAAACCCGGCGTGTACTAGTTGGACGGGATGTCGAGGTGAAGGTTTGTGCTGGACAGGGTGGAGGCCGACTTTGATGGATTTCCAACTAGAGCGGCCTACCCTACAACAGGCAAGGTGCAGATTTTTTTGTGTGCTTTTCTGCCGAGAGGGGCGCGGCAGAACTGTGGGAGTTGGGAGAGGCCTAAGCTTTTTATTGTTCAATTCTGGGTGTCATGATAAGGATAGAGATAGGTGACTACTGGATGTTTGCATTGTGCCTGTTGGGCGGATTTATCTTATTCTGTTGTTGATGGTACTAACCTAATGTACTAACCACTACCTACCTACTAAGGTATTATGGCAGCAGGTCTAATACATGGCCTCGCAGGGAGGGGAGTTGATGCTCTATTTGTCACATAATTCGAGTCCTAGATACCTATAGCGGAGTATGGAGTTGCCTGTGCCCGACACCTCGTATTGCTCTCGAGGCTGGACTTGTCTCTTGTAGCAGTTGCAAAACCAATAGTAGGCCGTACCTAGGTAGGCAATCCGGACGAATACTCTGGTACTACCCTTGGAAACATGCGATAACTCTGCCTTTGTATTAAGAGCTATAGACACCATGGGGTTTATTCATTTGTTTTTTTTTTCTTCATTCTGTCAACAGTCAGGGAAATTCTTTCTCAATCAGTGAATCGCTGCACCAAGCTCTGCGCCTCGAAACGCCTGATGATGACTCTCGAGGTTGCCTTCTACTCAGCGCCACACCCGTTTCAGCGGCCTGCCTCGGCACTACCTTATTCTGCTGCAGTCGTGCCGTATCGATTGTTTACTTTGTAGACTTTTTATGACATTGCGGATTGTGTAAGCTGGAATTGTGAGACAAGCATTAACACGGCTGATTCGGCGCGCCACTCTGGGGTTGATAGATGGAGCACATGAGCTCTCATGGATGATCCCAGGTACCTTGGTTGCTTGGACAGCAAAGCAAAAACCCTGTCTTCCAAGGCGGCCTTTTACCTTTTTGTTTAATACGAAGTCGAGGCTGAATGAGCAGAGCACCGCCAAAGTTCACCCCCCTAGAGCTCCACAGGCTCTTATACTTTCAACAAGTGGCCCCTATCCCAAAGTTTTTCTCTTCCATGTTCTTCCAAGTGCCTACTGTAGGTACCTTATGTAGTGCAGCTTTAGCCGTTCTTCAGGAACAGGCGGTATTTGCGGGGAATTTCCGAGTCGCCTGAGCCACAGTTTGCGGCTTTGGATCGCGCGGAATACGGGATCGACAAGGCAGGCACAAGTACACTCTACTTAGATAGTTCGGTATTGGCGGCACCGAGCTTGGGAATCTTTTGTAGTAAGGTAGGTAGTTAGTCCTCTGTCCGTAGAAGAGCGGTGCTAATGTTAGGGCGGCGACGGCGTAATACCTGGACTAGGCACGGAAGCTGCCCGTAAAGTGTACCTGCTGGGCTGTAGCAAGACAAGTAGCGAGAACCTTCCTCAGCCACAGATCCTCACGCCTGGCGCACGCCACAGCCACAGCACAGCACGCACCCCTAGCCTACTAAGTTCTCCGAATGCCAGCCCTTCCAAACGTTCCCAAGCCAAGGGAAACAGAACCGTCTCACTCTCGACTTCTCACTTGCGCGTAACAATCACAACTTGTCTTTTTGTTGCCTGTTCTTCCTCTCTCTCTCTCTCTCTCTCTCTCTGCTATTCTCCCTCTTTTCTTCTCTGCTATTCTCCCTCTTTTCTTCTCTGCTATTCTCCTCTTTGCTCTGCTCTGTTCATCTCCCACCTCTCCATCCAATTCTGCCGTTAGCCCGCGCAAGTCCAAAAACCCATTGGGAGCTGCTCATCGACCCCCATCGAATCGCCACCTGCGTCCGCCTGGCCGCCTTTGGGTCCGCGCACCAAGAGGCTCACTTTGGCTGTGAATGCATCAACTGAGCGCCTTCTGCTGATTCAGGCATCTTCATCTTTGGCCTTTGCTGGTTGACTTGACTCTCTCAAACCGGCGGCTTCGGCTTTCACTCGCACTCGAAATCGCCAGCACAATGGCAACCTCAACGTCAACTTCGCCCCCAATGGAGCCGCTGGACGCCCTCCAATCGCTCATCAATGACGTTGTGAGTATTGTCCAATCACTTGTCTCTTCATTTTGACTCTGGCGCCGACTAATCTTCTTCTCATCATTAAGCTTATACAAACTGGCAAGGCTCTGCGGGCGTCTCGCAGGGACGCTCAGGGGAATCTGACGCACGCCTATGGGCCTTCGCAGTCAAAGCTGCCAGACACCATCGATCACTTTCACAATGCGCTCAACGAGCTGGAAAGTGAAATTGTAAGTGACGCCGCACTCTCTACCTGCCTCTCTTTATCTTCTCATGGTCCCCCCCTTTTGTCCATTATGTATTTTTCTACTTCTACTTTTTTACTTCCTCGTTACCCTCAATTACGCATCATTGACTCTCATCCTCCCCCCTTGGTTAGATTGGAGCCAAGTCGGTCTTGCTCAGAGATTACAATGAACTTCAAGAAAAGAAGAAGAAACTCTTTGCTCGGCCCGTCCCTCATCCCGTCGAGGCACAAACAAAGCGACCTCTAAGCATGGATATGCCCTCACCGCCCGAGCCAATTTTCAAGGACGAGCTCATGGCAGAGGATGCAGATGTGAAGCCGATGGCGCCATTCCCCAACATGAGCATCGATCTTGCGGAATCAGAGCCCATGGACATGTCCACCAAGGAACCCAATGGCCAGCAACCGCAGCAGCAACCTCCTCCAGGCGGCATGAACGGGCTAAACGGAACGACCAGTCCAGGAATCGTCGTGCCCGCAGCGGACCAAAAGCCAATTGCGGATATGCTTGCTGAACACTCTGCATCAGCGATGCCAGCCGCTTCTGGGATGAACTTTACTGACATGGAGTTCACTCTTGCGCCACCGTCGGGCAACGAGGTTTCCGTGCAACCCAACGCCTCCAAGGAGCCATCCTTCGATTTGGCTACCTTTGCACCAGCTGATGGCACCGACGACCTTTTGAACCTCAATAATCTCCTACCCTCTGACCCCACCAATCCAGCCGGTGCCGCCGCCCAGGCCAACCCAGCCCAGGTCAAGATGGAGGATATCAAGGTGGATGTGCCCGACGCAACCATGAACACAGACTTCTTTGGCCCAGAGTCCGGGGCCGCCGACGGGATGGACTTTGATTTTAGCCTTGGCGGCACGGGAGACGATACTTTTGACGACCTTATGAACAACCGCGACAGCACGTTTGAGTTGATGGATGCCGGCGGTGACTTTGACACGGCGTTTTTCGGCCTTGACAAGCCGGATGAGAATCCAGCGTGAGAAAAGGAATGAGTAGAAACGAAGGCAGTGCTTATTTGTCCTCCTTTTCTGTTTCTGTTTCTGTTTCTGTTTCTCTTTCTCTTACGATCGTTTTCTTTTCTTCCGCTGTATGACTTGGCAGCTAATATGCGCCACTGGCGGTCGTTTAGTCCTTGTCTGGGATAGGTCAAGTCATTATTCTAACGCGTTTATTGCATCTCTCCCATCTACTCTCTTGTTTTAATTTGCTTTTCTTTGCGTTGGACATGATGGGCAAGAATGGATCAAGGTGTCTTGGGAATGGGAAAGGGGAATAAAAGAATATACCCGTGCTTAATCTTCAATAAGGGTCTCGTTGCAATAGTTAGATACGCTTATGTCGCAATATGATTGTTTCAAGTTGTTATATGCTCTGTTTTGAGTACCTAGAGACAATAGGGCAATAGGCATGTCCACAAACGTCATAATTATCACAGTCATCGGCAAAAGTAAGATGAGCAATAAGCTTTTTCTCAAATTAATAGGCATACAGGCTATCAAGGCCCATTATGCGTCGTAGACTACCTAGGCTAAAGCTAATAAAAAGATAAGAACAAGGAAGCGTTCGATATGAGACGTAACCAACAAATCCTTGAGCAAGAAATTAACTAAAACAAAGAGTCATGAACCAAACACACACGCTGATATTATCCTTGCCAACTATCGAAGCTTTTCGAGGATCAGAGTAGTAGTGTTGGAAACCGAAGTAAGAGGAAGAAGTTTAAAAAAAAAAGGGGGGGTTCCACCAATTCGCCCATTATTCACAAACTCTCAAAGCTGTGATGCGTACCAGGGAGGATTAAACAATGGTTAACATGTAATTGTGACTGGAGTTGGTATATGAGAATAACCAGTCGGGTCATAAATTCGTAAACAGAGATTACGACAAAAAAGAAGAGGGTATTTATCGTACGACAAAAGAAAATTGGGGTGGTCATCTAAGTTCTTGAGCAAGGGGAAAAAAAAGAGAGAGAAGGAAATGGAGAGTGAGGGTATATCGGGCTTGAATCAACGCTCTCGAACAAGAGGTCGAGCCAAGCATTATGAGGGAGGAGGGTTGACGACGACTGTTGCTGCTGCCGCCGCTGCTGCTGCGCGAGCCTCGAGTCCTCGCCTTTTGGCCAATAGGCTCTTGAAGGCACCAAGAAACTGCACCAAGGACTCCTCGTCAGGCGCGCAGAAACGATATGTCTTTTCTTCCGTGATGATCTGGAGGCAGTGCGTCTTGCTTTTGCTGACGGGGTCAATCTCGACGACATTGACAACATCAGACACCTCGATGATGGACTGCGCAGAGTATTCTGACTCATCCTTGTACAAGACCAGCTGTCGGGCTCGCAACACCCCCCACATGTGCTTCCACTGGCGAACGCCGCCCTTGGTTCGCTGCATCCAGAGAGAGCCCTGCCAGACGACGCGTTCAGACTCTTGCTCAGCGGTCACGGCACTGACTTGGCTCGCTGAGCGGGCGCCTGTTTCGGGTCGCTGGCCTGGCAGGTTGGGCTGTCGAGGCTGGACGCCCTGGGCTCTCATTTCAGCGGGCAGTTGGACGGCCAGATTCTCAAAAGAGGCGCCCTGTGCTCGTGGAATTTCGGTGTCGGAGAAATCAGAGTAGGAGAGCATTTCGTTGCCGGACAAGCCAGAGGATTCCAATGTGTAGGACAAGCGACGGTTTGATCCCATGAACTTGTGCGCCGACGGATCGAGCACGCCTAGATTTTCGGGAGAGCTTGAGAAGGCACTATTGTATACGTGCTGTCCCCAAGCGTCAGTCGCGCCGGGGGACAAGATATGCGCCCCAGGACTGCCCATGTACATTTCTTCCTCTTCCTCGTCGAGCCTGGCGGTTTTGCGAATTGAATCAACCCATTCCTGCGCGTCCTGTGCCGTGGGGGCGGCGAAGTGAAAGTTTCTCGACGGAGAAAAGAGCCCAAACAAGTTCTTGCGCTTGTGTTTTGGGTCCTTGAGGATGGCCACGGCGGAGAGGTCTGATAAGTAGAGGTGGTGACGGAGCTTGGCCTCCTTGTCGTCCTTGTAGAGGGAGATGCCATTCGGTCGCAAGACAAGGTAAACCGTCTTCCAGTTCTATCGCGGCGCAAAACGCGTTAGCACAAATGCTGGGACCAAATGGCGGAGCTGCACCGTGGCGCGACGTACCTTTGTCTTTTGGGTCCGCTTCTGGACACAGCCGCTCTTGATGACACGATCGATCTCAAAGCAGCCGTTCTGGTGCACGGGAGCGACCGCAGTATCCAGGGGTAAGCGACTGCGTCGGTTAAGCCCATTGTTTTCGCTGGAGCTGTGGGCAGCAAAGGCCGCCTCTTGGGGCCTCGTTTCTCCCTGTCGAGGGGCAGCCATGCTTGGCAAGGATGCGTTTGCTCTGGCAGCAGATCAAGCAAAGCGTAAGGTTGTCGAGGTCGAGGTCGAACAGTGAAGGATGCGTCTGGATACAGTAGAAGTCGGTGTGTGGAGCCGAGGGGCAGTGGGAATGTCGATCGGATTCGGAGCTGTGGTTGTAGTGGCAGTGGAAGTAATAGTGGCAGTAGGGGTAAACAAGCAGTGTGTTGTGTATATATAAACACTGGACGACTTCGATGCAAAGCAGAGACGTGGCAGAGGCAACCGAGAAATGAGGCGAAGCACAGAAAATAGAAAAACAGAAAAATAGAAAAAGCACCAAAAAAAAAAAAAAAAAAAAGGGCGGCCGCGGCCAGGTCGACGGCGATGACAGGTCTCGTTGGGGGTCGGGTGATGCGAGCACCTGGAGATGCCGTATTCGTACTTGGTTGTAAGCCTTGCGATGGTGGGCAGCGCAAAAGAGGGAAGCCTAGTGAGGCTGACAAGAATAAGTAGTGGTAGTCGTAGTCGTAGTATTACGGAGAAGAATGTCTTGCCCAGTGTCTAAGCGCGTGGCCGCTCGAACGACCATGCTGTTGGATCCAGGCGTCTAGCAGAGCAAAGCAGTGCAATGCTGGAGGAGGAGGAGGTTGATGCGGTTTCAGCTTCCAAGGCGCCGTGTCGGGCGAGTGGGCGTTGAATGAATCGCCGTGCTGCATTGACCGGCGCAAACCCACAGGGATCAGGGGCGCGATGATTGGCTAATGCGGGCAGCGAAGAGATCAGCAAGTTTAAAAGGGGACGATGAAACAGAAACAGGGCCTGGTGGGCGCTTTTGTTTTAGCAATGCGCTGGCGGTTAATGCTTGATGCTGTTTGGGATTGATACTGAGCCAACGGTTGGGATCAAGGAACATGGAATGCTGATTATGTGATGCCGAATTCGATTTCCAATACAGTTGGGCTTAAGCCATCGACAGCGCCACAGGGTGGCCAACGGTACGCGGCTTTTTGACGGTTTTGACGTCACAGGGCTCGAACAGCCGCTGTGGTCGGCGGCAGTTTTAGGCAGGTCTAGGTAGATACAGTATGTATGTATGTAGTACACCGAGGCAGAACTGCTGCGCCTCGGGAGACGCGCACCTTGAACTCTGTTTCGGTCAGGGTCTGGTCCGGTCTGGTCTGGTCTTTGTGGCGCCCAAGTATGTCGGCAAGTTGAAGCCATACTGTACTGTACAATACTGTACATGTAGACCAGCTATTAGAGCCAAGAGCAAGCCAGAGAAAGCTTGTCGTCCTGCTAGCCGCGGTATGCAACTGCAAATGTCACGCCAGGTCAATGCAAAGCCCACAGAAACAGGGCATGGGGGCCCGAGGCGAGCGCTAGAATGCGCTATGGTGCATGATTCGTCTCGGTAGATGGTTGGACAGGCAATTACCGACAGGGGGTTGAAATGAACGGTCTCGAGCTGCAGTTGGTGCTGCTACCCGGCAACGCGATGAGTTTGGCAGAGGGTTTGCAGGTGAAACATGAAGGGGGGAACAGATAAGAAAAAAAGGGAGAGAGCAGGTCCTTGATTTGTGACGAAGCAAGGGCAATAAATGGTGGGGAGAGGGAAGAAGAAGAATTTAAAAAAAGAATTGATGATACGATGGGAGTTGAGGGATTCAGAACCAACATTGAATGCAGAGAAGAAAGAGGCTGCTATTGGTGTTTCTGCTTACCTCAGTCGCTCCAAGCATCCGCTGCACTGTAAAGCCGCTAAACCGTCAGTGACCATCGCCTTGGCAGCGTCAACTGCAAAAAAATTCTCGCCACATGTGTCACTGCCTGTAACTACTGCTGGATCTGACATTCGATGTCATTTTCTTCATTCTGCCTACATAGAACCGCATCCTTGTAGCTGCAACCAGTCATCAACCTCCGTAAGACTGCAAAAGCAGTATCAAAAGAGTCACCACTATATTTTCCCCAGGAACAGTCTTGTAACAGTCTCCTGAACGAACCCCACAACCACATTCATACTTCTCCTTCTCTCTCCTCAACTTCTTTATAACTTCCATAGCCTCTAATGGCGGGCTCACAAGTCCCCAGCCGGCCATGCATGCGCTGCAAGGCACCAGATGCCGCATTTGAACTGCGCAATGTTGCAACCTGCCAGTACGCATGACTTGACTCACCCCTCATGACAAACTCATACACATGCTTACATATACGTAAAACAGAGATTGCTTCATCGACTATGTCGACTCCAAGGCCGTCAAGAGATTCACCGTTCTCCAGCGGGAAACCAGAACTTCTACAAAGCCTGAGCCGCGGAGATACGTCGCTGGCCTTTCCTTTGGACCATCCTCTACTGTTCTCACCCAAATTCTGGACAAGACGGCCAAATATCATGCATCAAGAAAGGGATCATCACCCTTTGAGCCCCTCGTGGTTCATATTGATACAGATCTTTCCAACCGCACAGACTCCCAAGATACCCCCGCACAGAGACTTTTAGCCAAGTACCGCGAGAGATTCCCCAACGTCTCGTTTGAGTGCATACACTTGAGCAAGGTTCTCAGTGTCAAGACGATTGACTGGACTGCACTACCGGTACCTGCGGGTGAAAGCGATGCAGAGCGGCTACAGCTGTTCTTTTCCTCGCTGCCGTCAGTGACTTCGCGCGCTGATAGTCTGAGACTGTTCATTCGCCATCTTCTCCTCGACGTGGCCGTGGAAAGATCTCATTCTGCCTTGCTGTTTGGCCACAGCACCACTGCGCTGGCCGCCCTGACCTTGTCCGAGGTGGCAAACGGCAGAGGCTTCGCTGTGCCTTGGCAGATCAACGACGGACTCTTCACCGTCTGCACCTATCGGCCGAGTGCAGATCCGGCTAGTGCCGGTGAGGCAAGCCAAGAAGATGCCAAGATTCAGTTTCCCATCTACTATCCCCTGCGAGAGATTCTAAAGGCCGAAGTCATGACCTATCTTGGCACGACGCCCTCTGTCCAGGAACTGGTCCCCTCTGCCGACGGAGCAGCGTCTAGCGTAGTTTCTCACAAGGACCAGAGCATTGAAGAGGTCATGGCTCGCTATTTCGACGGCGTGGAGGGCCCTTACTCGGGCATTGTGACCAATGTCGTCCGCACGGCGGGTAAGCTGGACCGGCTGGTTACTTCGCACTATTGTCGCTTATGCGGCATCACCCTGGACCAAGAGGGCGATTCAACATGGGCTGGCGAGCTGGGGGATGACCTGGTACAAGACGCTGGGAGCGCTGATACGGGGAAGCTGTGTTACGGATGCAAGCGTTCCATGGGTGGATAGGAGGGACTGGTTTCAAAACATAATAGGGGCTAGAAGAAACAAAGAGAAAAAGAAACCAAAGTACGGAATACACACTTATAGAACTAGATGGGACGAGACGAGCAAGAAGAAGGAAAAAAGGGACAAAGAATAGACGAGGTTTAAAATGAAATAAATAAATACATATTTCAGCAGCGTCAGTGCGCTCAGATCTATTCATGAAGACTACCAACTCCAGTGCAAAAATCATGCCGCCTTGAGCTTTTCCCTTATCCCCCCATGCCTTATGCCCCTTCTCTTCCAAGTGTAGGAGACACCCCGAAAATACTCCTTGTGATCTATAAACCAGAGCAGTCGCTCCTGAAAGATGTACAGCATACAAGTATACTTTTAGTAATAGTTGTATGGTATGCGCGATGAAAAATAAATAAATAAAAATAAAACAAGGCCTCCTTTAAATAACAGGACCGACAGGGTGGGGAATGAAAAGCAACCCCGGACTTTTTGTAAACGCAGGGCCTCGAATCTAGAGGCGCTCTTCCTCGTCGTAGCCTAGCATAGGCAGGATGCGGTTCTCAACCTTTCTCACCAACTTGGCAGTCTGCTCGGCCAAGGAGAGGGTCAGGATGGTGTGCGGCAGGATTCGGGCCAGATGAGGGATGAAGCCCTTGTAGATGGCAAGGACGCCCTCGGTTCGGATCGTCTTTCCAAGACAGTCGAAGATGCCGCTGTAGAGATTGCCGTGCTGGTTGTACAGACGGGACATGATGGTGTCTGCGTCGGCATGTTAGCTGCAAGGACTCGACGACGAGAAGAAGAAAAGGTCAAAAGAAGGGGTAATGCTCACCAGGGGGGTGCATGACGCAGCAGACGACGAAGCCGCTGACTGAAGAGCTGGCAAGATGCAGCGCAGGACCCTCCTCCATGCCGGCGTGCTTGACCAGCTGTCTCTTGGCCAGGAAATACGTCGGCAGCTGGACGGAGCTGCCGAAGCCAGTGCGCACCATGGCGGCGGAGATGCCTCGATACAGACCGAAGAATCCCTCGCCGCGGTAGATTTGTCTCAGGCCGTCCCAGGCATTGCGGTAGTTGTGCTGCGTGCCCACGGGCCGGACGGGCGAATAGCTCTGCAGGCGGGTCTTGACGAGGAAGAAGGGGCTTCCGGCGGCGGCGCCAATGATTCCAGACGAGGCGCCGCAGAAGACGTTGATGGCGAGGTTCTGTGCCTTTTCGTCGCCGAGGAACAGGTTGGACATGCCCTTGCGCATGGGCTCGTAGAAGCCCAGACGGCAGCCGTTGAGCAGCACCTGGTAGATGTAGGCGGCGCCGAGACCGCGGTAGATGCCGCGGATGCCCTCATTCTTGACGATGACGCTGATGCCGTGGATCGGGCCGCGGTAGTACTGGGGCTGCGCGCCCTTGGTCTGCAGCTCGCCCTGCAGCTGCTGTCGGATCTTGAGGACTTCGGCCGGGTGAGTGACTGTGACGGCGCCGCAAGCCGCGAGAGCGCCTGCGGCAAAACCACTGCATCAAGGTGGTTAGTTTGAGAGTCCTGAGTTGAGCTGAGTCGCGTGAGGGAATCGCAACAACGTACCCGATTGTGGTGGACATGGCCCTTGTCCTGTCCTGTCCTGTCGCCTTTTGCGCCTGTGGCAAGACGAACGAACTGGCTTTCTTTTGTTTTCTTTTCTTTTTCTCGTCTGTGTTACACGGAGCAAGGAACAAGGAACAAGCAACCAGAGAGCAAAGATCGGAGCCTAATGCTGCGGGTTAAAAGAAAGAGGGTTGTTGGGAGCTGCAGGAACGGATTTCGATTTTTGGTGCGACGAGACCCGATGACGGCGGCCCGGCTAGCAATGGCAACAGCTTCTGGCTTTTGAACGACCGGGTTCCCGCAGGTGGAGCAAACGATATCTCGCCGTATTTATGGAGTATGGAAATGGCTTTTTGGGGGCAATGCAGCGCTCCTCTGCGGTAAGCCTATTGTGTCGTGGGAAGAGGGAGAAAAAAAAAAGGGTCCCGAGAGCCACAGTGGCCGAAGAACGGAGATTCGGAAAGCCTGGGGAAAAGGTTGAGGAGAGTTGAGTTTGGCGCCGGCTGCTTGGGGATTAGGGGGTCAATTGAAGAGGTGTCGAGATGAGAAGGGAAGAGGAATTGAGTAAGCTGACGCTGATGGATGAATAACGCGAGTGGGAAATATTACTGTCGCGACTGTTTTGGCCGCGAGACAGGCAGACAGACGGGATGTATGTGATGAGACGAAGATGGCGGTGGATATGATGGAATAGCAGCGCCCGGCTTCTTCTTATTCACCCCTTTCTTCTTCTTTTCCCTCTTTTCTTCCTTTCTCTCTACTTCCATCGTTATCTCGATGACCGGCCCTGATTAGACGCCACCGGTCTGACCGATGCCGTAACGCGGCCGGCTGCAAACGCCATATTTGGCTTCAGACTGAACTTTGACAGCCATGGGATGCAGAGCGTTTTCCACATGGGGGGGGAGGCTTGCGCGAACCAAGATCCTTGCCCAGGCCAGAAATAAGCCGATTCAGCCAAAGCGCATCGGCCCTCCACCCCGCAATCTCCCGCGATTATTCAGCGTCGCTTGATTCGATGGACGTCGTGGGGTTGAGGTTCCGATTAATTGTGCTAAAACATGTGTTTTTTTTGCTGGCGGACTCGACTTACGGTTGCGCCGACGAAAGCCGCAGGGCTAGATGGGGGGAGCGGTTTATCGGTAAAGTTGCGTGTCTTGTTTGCAGTCAATGTACATGTATGCAGCATCCAGATATTGCGGTGCCAAAAAGCCGAAGATGGAGGCTGTATGTGCCTTCTGCTGTGCGTGAAGCTGGGCGGTTGTCGGTGGCCGATGGCGATTGCTGAGGGCATTCCCGAGTGCCGCGAGTAAACGAGCAACGGATAGGAGATCTGACAGCAGCCAATCTATAAGCTTAGGTTGTTTCTTATCCGGCCAGGCGGTAATTGTCTTCTATGGAGAGCAGGGGAATAGTCCGAGCAGAGGGATAGGGGGCTACAAAAGGCCATTGTCTCTATTACATGTACTCATCTCACTATGGGGCTCGTTACTATCCGTGTAAGTACATGTAGCCTCGACACCTGATGATATATACAGGCAAAATCATGCTGTCTTTTGGGTTGGTTGAGACTTTAACCCATTTATGAAAAAAATGGAAGAAGAATGAAAATGGCAAAACAGAAAAAGGAACTCTAGTCCTCCCTTAGTTGGGCACTCTTGGCGCAACAGCTCGCCAGAATCCGCATCTCTCCCCACGTCCACCCTCCCAGCTCCTCCCATTAGCCAGGCGAAACGTATTGACGATGCCTTCTCCATGGCGCACATAGTAGCTCAGCTCGTCCGTCACCGTCACCAACGACACCTCACCTCCCGTCGTATTGAGATTCATAAACGTTGGGCTCTGCTCGCTATACTGCGGCCACGAAACCATCCCCGGGTGGCTGGCATTAACAGGCACCGTGGCATTCTCGGCTCCCGCAGTTGCGTCGTCGACGGAAATAACAGGACTGCCTCCGACGATGAAATTGCCCCATATCCTGTGGAAGCTGTGCTGGAAACCAGGATTCGGGAAGCCGTTGCTGGCAAAGTAGGCGCCGAGATCCGCGCCGTGGTACGCCGGGTCGAGCGAGTACTGGTACTTCCATGCGCGGCGCCCTGAGGTCGGCGAGCTGAAGGCTTCGGCGATCCATTGCGACGGGCAGTGGAAGATGGACTCGGCGGCTACGTTGAAGGCCGTCTGCTGGATGCCCGTGGCCATTCCCGAGACGGTGTTTGCCGTAGGGCCGACGTCGCCGTATGTGTCGAAGCGGGTTCCGTTGTCGCCCGGCTGGGCGGTGGCCGTGTCGTAGATGCGGTTGAGGGATAGGATGTCGGCGTGGGTGAGGAAAGGGAGGGTGGAGGAGATGAAGGCGTCGAATTCCGGCTTGGTGGTGATGTTGGGATTCGTCAGGGGGACGCCCTCGTTTGCATTGGTCTATCAAGCATTAGCATGGAAACGTGGTATCCGAGACCTCATGGATAGGGATTATCGTACTCCGATCAAAGCTCGCTTGCCGCTGACTTTGCCGCACTGAAGCTGTTCCGAGGGCCGTTGCTGGATCATGTCCTCGTCGACGACTGGGAGCCAGGCGAAACTCCCAAAATAGCCCGTAGAAGTCGATACGAGGCCGCTAGCATTTTGCAGGACGTTGGTGTCGGCGGCGACGAGGCAGTCGAATACACTCGAGTGCTTTCTCAGAGCAGCAGAGCCCTGTCCACAGCCAGCGGCTTCAGCAAAGTCGTTGTAGTGACTGGTGGGAATATGGTGGCTGAAGGGGTAAATTGGGGGAACGTAAGTGCTTGCCAAGATGAGCTGGACCAGGTCAGTTATACGGTCTCAACAAGAATAAAAGGGTTTAAAAATCACATACGTTGTTGAAGAGCCCAGACTCTTCACCCCCATACGCCAACGACTGATACATGACAGATCCAGCACCAGACGATTCGCCGCCCAGAGTCACGCGCGATGGGTCGCCGCCAAACTTGGAAATGTGCTTTTGCACCCACTCGAGGGCGAAGCGCTGATCCAGGAGTCCGGCATTGAGCTTGCCGTGTTGATGAACATCGGCTGAAGCTAGCTGGCCGAATGCGCCCAGGCGATACTGGGTTTCGACGACGATGAAGCTGTTGTTGTTGGTCCTCATCATGGAACTGGGGTCGTAAGTGGCGGAGAAGACGGAATAACCGCCGCCATCTTTGTAGTTTGTTCAGGTCAGCTCGGTTCAATGCGTGCCTCGATTGTGATGCTTTCATGCTTACGGATCCAAACAAAGACGGGCAAGTTCTCGGCTTGCGGCGGAGCGTAGACGTTGAGATACAGACAATCCTCATTGCCGAGGTTGGAGTTGAAGCCGTATATCAGAGGCACGCCAAAGGCTCCTGACTGCGGGCACCAGGGAGGCTGATCAACGGCCGGAACGACGCGATTTGGGGTCGTGGCTTTTGGGGGTTCTCGGGGAGCTTGCCATCGCAGCTTGCCCACTGGCGGAGCAGCATATCGGACGCTGCGGAGTGGTGAGTGTTTTTGTTCCTGTTCTCTTCAATGATTTAAAGAGGTAGAGAGATGATGACGCGTAGGTACCTTTTAAATATGTTCAGGTTGACGGTGGTGTTGTAGATACCCTGGTAGACGGCATAACCCAAATCAACTCGAGGAGGCGCAGGTTTGGATACCGCTTGGTGTGTGGTTGTGACAAAGGCAAGGAGGATGAAGCTGATGATGGGCCTCATTGTGAGGAGATTTCTCTTGGCCTTGAGAGTGAATTTCAGGGCTATTTATTCAAGAGACTGAGATTGAGAGAGAGAGAGGAGAATTTTCACATATGTAGTACTGTGAGAGTGAAGGAGAGAAAAAAGAGATGGCAAAGAGTTTAAACAGTCTTCATCGAGTGGTTTGCCAGCTGGCAGATGTGAAGCATTGAGCTTTATCGTTATTACCTATAGTACATACATGCATCCAACGCTACATCGGACATTCTACACGATGCGCCTATCGATACTGGTACTGATACACTGCTGCAGCTCTGGACATCTCGGCCTCAAGCAGATGAGGGATATGAAAATAAAATGCGCAAAAAGCAGCTGAAAATTCGGGTGCATGAGGCGGTGTCTGCGGCTCGTTGTTGGTTGCATGTGGTTTCAAGTTACATTGATGTGTTAATAATACGGCACAGCGCAGGCCAAGATGCAGCCAGCCACCTCGAGATTGAGTTTAGGAAATCGGAGCGGCCCTGGCAGACAAAGGAAGCTTAAAATGCGGATGCTTGCGGCCACATTTTGATGTGATGTGGTGCACAAGCCGGAATATCGTGCTGCTCCTGTACGGTGGTATTGGAGACGTGTCAATCCTTGCGCCTTGTTCCGATGGGTGAATGAGCAAGATTCCGCGTCTCTTGGCAGAACTGAGCTTCTGTATAATATTATGTAGCCTCTGCAGGGGGCCGAAGCTTGTTATCAAGTGGCGGAGCTATTACAGGGGGTTCGAGTTGATGATCTTCTCTCTCAGATGATATGATTTGAGTCTTCCGTTAACAAGGGAAGCCATGCCTGATCCAACAGCGCGCGTGATGGAGAGTCGAGTCTCGTTGGTTGAAAGGGCGAGTGAGACATGATCAGTTCCCTCGGCCGCAGCTCGGCATACTTGTTTCGGGTTCTGAACGGCTGAGCTGCATTCACGGGAAGCCGTTCATAAGACCGATCGCAGGACTCGTGGGCATTCCACAGCTGAACAACATGTACCTGTATGTATGTCTGCATGCACACATACAAACGTGCAAATAGCGTGGCGATTCATGTGGGATCCGACATGTGCTTTTGTGCGAGGCGAAATTCGACAATGTGAGTGTGTACGGAGTACCTGTACGAATACTCGTCCTGTTCGATAGCATTGACTTTCAAGTTATTGAATTTCGTGTCATAACCTTGATTCCGGCTAGCCTTGCTTGGGTGCCGTCTTACATGCATGGCTGCCCAGGATCTTCTCTGTCCCACCCTCTGCAGTAATACGTACAGTAGGCTTCTCACAAGGAGACTGGAATTCCGTTCTTTTGGCAATCTGTCAATATGTGTTGCTTGCAGCTGGATGTTGGTTGGCACGTTTCAAGTTATATTAACAGCTGTGTGCCGAATATGTGCATATAACTGATGTGGTGAGGGGACAGATTAGAGTGCAGCGCATCGGTAAGCATGAATGGGGGTGGCAGAAGTGATGAGAGGGCTATCAGCTCTAAAGACAATCTCGATTCTTCTTTGTCGATTCTTTTGATCTTTTCAAGCTCGACGATGCTTTGAAAAAAATGCACCGATTATGTGTACCAAGATTCAATGTTGAAGATCATGTCAAACGGCAGAACAACAACCCAGAGCGGCATCTGAGCCATCGAAACGTGCTTTACAAAATGCTCACTGCCGCATAACAGCCTGTAATGTTCCATTCCTTGCATCAATACGTCATGTGCGTACCCAGGTAGGTACAGTACAAGTACATGCAGAACGAGGCCCTCGAGTCCAGTTACGGCTCTCTGCGGTCATTGTTTGCTTCGCCACACGCAGCTTATTTCCCTTCCATTCTCGCGGTGGCGTCTGCATTCGAGATTGAGTTTCCTTTGTTGCAGATTAATTAGGCAGGGAATCAAACTACCTACATGTACGAGTACACATGTATGCAGAGCGGATCTGGTGGCCATCTTGCTTTACACACTTTGAAGTGTTGGGCGAACTGTCCCCCCCACCCTAGCGCCGGTTTAGGAGCAAATGTGTAGCCTTTGACTTTGCTCCTCTTTCTCTCTCGGGGCTTTTCTTCGTCTTCTTCTCGCCTTCTTTTTTTCACTGTGGCTTATTCTGCAGCAGAGCCTTGCCAAAATGGTGATCGTTGGGCTTCCTTCATTCCAGTTTGGCGGCGTCTAAGTGGACGGATCGGTCCGTGAGGAGCAAAAAGGATCCCCTCTAGTGATTTGACCAACTCGATTCGACGTGGTACCGTAAGGTGGGCTGCTCTGAATATGTATGTATCTGTACGAATCTGTACAGAAGCAGTAGGCAGTGATATCGCATGTGTGCTCCGTAATAGTAAGCCATACAGCGATCGATGGTGCTTAACTACATGTACATGTCCATGCAAAGCGTAAAGAGTGGTTTGCTGCAGCCTCGACCCTTCTTTCTTCCTCCTCTCTCCATCTCTTTCCCACGTCTATCAGTTTGCGCGCCTTTCGCTTCTTGTCCATGTTTTTTTATTCTCTTTCATTTATGCATATTTTATGTGCTTGCCCATGACCGGGCACGACGGCGTGTCAGTGACGCATGGGCTCCATTGTTGCTGTTACGAGCTGTCGATAATCCGAACATCCCCGCGCGACTCATATGACGAGGACGTCGTTCGCGCTGCGAGGGCTTTTGGTGGCCCGTGGGAATATTGCTTGAGAATATACATATAAATATAAAGATACAATACAGTCGCAAAGGGGCGGCGGCTGGTTTCGCTGCTCGCTGTTTCTTTGAACATCACCAGGCCAGATATTAATAGATAAGGAAGACTACATTATACCCATTATACCCAACCACGCAAAATCATGGCGACAAATTCGACGCTCGGCATGGATTCGGAGTACTTGGCCGAGTCCAAAACGCACGTGGTCACCGTCATGTATGCGATCCCCATTGCACTCGAGGCATTCAGCACTGGGTGGAGGCTGTGGGCATCAGCAACTGGACCGTCAGGGCTGGGATTTGCCTTTGACGACTATCTTATGCTCTTTGCGACGGTATGCTTTCAAGACTCTGTTTCAAGTTTGGGGGGCTGACCAAGGCTTTGAAGCTTGTGGCCATGGTTGTGTGTGCGACTGGGCTGGTCTACGGTATGTTGGAAGATGATGCCACCAGCTCTGACTTATTGGTAGTACAGGAATATTGACTTTGCGATACAGGACCGCCACATGGACTTGGAAGGCATATCGAGGCTGTGCCCGAGCACGACGTGCAACTGTTTCTCAAGGCAAGGCTCCTGTTCAACTTTAACTTCAGATATACAAGATGATGATTCACTGACAATCATTCATCACTCGACAGGGCGACTACATCTTTAGCCACTTCTACGACCTCGCCATCGCCTTCACAAAGCTCTCCATCCTTGCACTGTACCACCGCATCTTTGTCACCCGTAAATTTCGCCTGATTATCATCGGCACGGCCTGCTTCGTATGCGCCTGGGTTGCTGTCATGGAAGTGGTTTTGGGATTTGGCTGCCGGCCCATCCAGGCTTGGTGGGGTGAGGCGGAGGGGAAATGCATCAACAAGGAGGCCTTTACATACTTTACCAATGTGACGAACATGGTGACGGACATGTGGGTGTTTATGATGCCGATCCCGGTGATACTGGGGCTTCAGACTGCCCGAGAGAAGAAGGTTATTCTGTGCCTCATGTTTGGGATTGGGCTGGCAACGTGTGCGATTAGCGCAGCGAGACTGACGTTTGTGTTTGGCGTTGCGTCTGCGGATTTTACGTGTAAGTCTTGATTCATTCTTTCATTTAGTCCCTTGCCAACCGCCTAAGAAGAGAGGTGGGGGATATAGATGCTAACTGACAGTGTCTCTTACATCAGGGCACGAGGCCAGTCTGGGAATTCTATCGGCTTGGGAACCCTGCGGCGCCATTCTATGCGCAAATCTCCCCCAGATATTCCGTCATCTCGTCATCATCCGGGACATGCTCATAGCCGGCGTCCAGTCCGCGACGAATTCTGGTAGTGCCGCAACGGCTGTCAGCGCCGATCGGCTCGGCGGATACAAGGGCAGCTTGCAGCATCCTGACTGGGCCAAGCTGAGCCATAGCGACGGCCTGATGGGAGAGACGAGCGGCACCGTTACGGAGGTGTCTGCGCAGAAGCCACCGGATGCGGTAATTGAGTCGGATGAGCTGAGGCCGGGATGTATCATGGTGCAGAGGGAGCTTCTACAGACTAGTGAGCCGGATATAGAGGCAGCGCCAGTGAGAGAAGTACATGTAGAGGAGACCAAAGAATGAGATGGGTTTCAGTTAGCAAGTGTGACTTTATTTGTTTTTTTGTTGGAAATATGTAAACGGAATCGCTAATGTTATCCAGCATCCCAGCTTGGTTTTGGCCATATATAAATGTATGTGACTTATACGGGATGCTGACCTCGGTGTTGAGCCATGATGTAGCTGCGTATTCAGTGTAGGATTGATCAAACAAAGCATCATCATTCTCACCCATTCTGACTACTATACTCATTAAAGAATTAAAGCTTCTAACAATAATTTCTTTTATTTTACTAATCTTTAATGAATATGCAAGGCAATTATCTATCAATTTCCCGTTTTCTCTTATAGAGCTCCTCACCTCTGAGTGGCACGTGCTTTGGCGTCGAAATCGGCCACGCGAAAAAAAATACCCAGAACCGTGACGTCGTTGCTCCAGCAAAAGCACAAACACAATTTCACGCCTCCAACAAACTCAGAACCTTATCCGCATCCACTCCTCCACCAACCGCTCAATTCACCACAGTCAAGAGCCCAAATCGCACATCATCGCCTCAATTTCTCATCGCGACTGCTAAAGGAGCCCCTGCGACGCTACAGCGGCCTCTGTGGCCTCAGTCGGAAGACGCATCGCATCACCACAGCTTGGCTTCAGGCGCTAGGAATTCGCCGACAAAATGGCTTCCACGCCCATGGATCTCGATCTTCCCGCCAGCTCAAACGGCTCTCCATCGCTCAGCATCTCAAGGAATCTGGCGGCCAGCGCGCCCGTGTCCAATCTCAGCGACGTCGTGTCCAGCTTTCGCCCGACCAAGGTCCGTTTGTTTTGCCTCCGCTACACCGTCGACTGACCGGAGCTGACGTGAATTGGCTCCTCTATTTAGTTGCTACGGCGCGATGATATCAAGGATGGACGGCCTCAGCCTCGCGTGCTCTCAATTGACTACGATGACGACGGCGAGCTGCTGATGACCTCTGCGAGCGACGAGACAATCCAGATCTACAACGTCCGAGAGGGGCGTCACGACAAGAGCCTGCTCAGCAAGAAGTACGGTGTCAAGCTGGCAAAGTTTACACATACTAGGTCTAGTATAATATACGCCAGTACCAAACAGAACCGTAATGACACTCCCTGCTGTCCTTTTGCCCCTACTCGCATCTAACCTCTCTAGATGCTATCCGATACCTCGCTACTCACGACAACTCCTTCATTCGCTACTTCGAAGGCCACGATGCTGCCGTCACAGCGCTTGCGGTACACCCCGGTAGCGACAACTTTATATCCTGTTCACAGGATAACACCGTCCGGCTTTGGGATACACAGACGAAACATTGGCAGGGCCAGCTCTTCCTTAGATCGCCGTACCTTGCCGCTTACGACCCTTCAGGGACGGTCTTTGCCGTTGCATGCCCCAGCAGCGGAACCGTCCTAATGTACGACGTTCGAAACTACGACAAAGCGCCGTTTGCCACGATTGATATCGTAGAGGAGTGCCGTGGAGTCGATTCCCAGTGTCTGGTCAAGGGGTGGACCAAGCTCGAGTTCTCAAACGATGGTAAAACTGTCCTTGTGGGTACAAAGGGCCGTGGGCATTTCCTTCTCGACGCTTTCCAGGGCAATCTGAAAGCCTATCTTCGACGGCCCGCAGGTGGGACGCGTCGACTTGCCCCGGGCGAGAACCTTGCCGCAAACGGCGCCGCCCCTACTCCAACCGATCCCAGCGCATTTGAAAGCAGCGGAGACTGCTGCTTTGCACCGGATGGACGATATGTGCTCAGCGGTGGTGCTAAACAGGACGTGCTGGTTTGGGATACGCTGAAGCAGCCGGCGGAGAACAAAGTGTTGGACCCAACATGGACACTGCCTGATAAGAGAGAGGCGGCGGTACTGGCCTTCAACCCGCGGTTCAACTTTTTCGCGACAGCAGACCAGGATTTGGTTCTTTGGCTACCGGATCCTCACGCATAGAATGCGAGTGTTGCTGCTTTAAAGAAACGTGCGTAGAACTGGTTGTTTTTTTCCGACTATTGGATCGGTCTTATGAAGATGAAAATGGACCGTGTAAATACCCGGCGTCATGTAAAGTGGCTCACACGATGGGATCAGCTGCTTTGCGATTGGCATTTTTTAATGTATATATATAACCGCGCTTCAATTATTAATGAGCGAGTATAGTTGAATACTTGCTTTATAAACATTGGGATTTATTCTTGGATTTTTACTTTATAAATCCATCTTCTAATAGATCATACTATTGTTTGCCAAAATCAACACCGCCCATTGCCGCCCAAATCTGATCCCAAAACTCGCATTCTGTGAAATCCAACTCCGCTGGCGCAATGCTGTCCTGAATAAACACGCCTCGGTTAGAGTGAACATCAAAACGAGGCCATTTCACACTCTTCGTCTCGGGATTTCCCCTTTCAGCCAAAGCCGTCCAAGCAGCAATCATAGAAGCACTTATGCTGCGGTCTTGTTTCGATGCATTGCACGTGCCGTTGCCAAAGGGCTGGTTATCCATGTTACCAAAAACAAAAGGGATCTCAGCCGTGTGCATGCTTCCAAAGAAAGGGGCGAGTTCTGCGGAAGGGAATGGCTGGCCTTGTTCGATGAGCCAGGGGCAGGAGAGGGTGCGGTTGAAGCGGTAGGCGTAGGCTGGGGCTTTGGAGGCGCGGAGGGCTTTGTAGGCGGGACAGTTGAAGCTGGCGACGGTGGTGATGTGGGTGATGGCGGCTATGACGGCGAGGGGGGTAGAGCCTGAGGCGTTGAAGAGGGATAGGGGGTAGTTTTTGGAGATGGAGGAGGAATAGGGACCCCATTCGGAGAGGAAGTCTGTGTAATTGGCTTCGGTGAGTTCATTGGAAGAGGAGGAGAAGTAGTATGGGAGGACGAGGAGGCTGCTGTCTAGTTCATCTGTTTCGGGAGGTGAGCTTCTGGATCTGTTGTGTGTTGTGGCTTATGGCTTACTCTGGCCGGCTATGATGGGGACTTGAGAGCCAACTGATAGAGACTGGTGCTTGATTATTTCGCCATCGAGGACTGAAGAGTCGAGAGATGAGATGTTGGGGATGTTGATACCGAAGACGGTGCTGAGGAGGCCGCCGTTGGTGCGTGGATCGAGGAGGGCTGGGGTCTCGGCGTGAGCTTGAATGAGGTCCTTGACAGACTTGGATTGTAAACAGCACAACTAAACCAACATCCATGTTAGTTTGAGAATAAATGATGTCGATACATGGTGAGAATGAGGTCGTTACTTACGTCGTTTGAACTGCAGTTGAGCGTCTTTGCGAAGCTTCGTCCCGTGTTTGTGGCTGTTTTATACGGAATTACGTCTTGGCCTCCTCCAGATTCCATCACAGCAGCAGAGATCAGACCCTTTGCCTCGGGCAGCGTTGAAACCACAAACGTATCATCTGCGCCGGCACTCTGACCAAAGAGCATAACTTTGGATGAATCGCCGCCAAAAGCCTTGATGTTGTGTTTTACCCAGGTGAGAGCCGCAAGATAGTCTTGGATTGCCATGTTTCCTTTGATGCCGGCATCTGGCAGTGCTAGGAAACCGAAAGGACCTAGACGGTAGTTGAATTTGACGACGATGGCATCTGTGGCTAGGTTGCAGGAGTCGTAGAGGGGGAGCGTGAGGGCTCCTCCGTCGTTGCCGCCGCCGTAAGCCCAGACTTTGACGGGGAGAGATGATTTGGATGTTGCGTGTTGGGGGACATAGACATCTAGATATAAACTAGAAAATAGTGTTAGTATGTATATGATATGTTATACTGTAAATAAGAATTTAAAAGCGCTCACCAATCTTCTGATAAGGGGGTGTCGGTCACATCAAAGAGAGACCCCCATTGAATACATGCGGGTGGTGGTTTTGTCGCGTCTAGATGCCCGTTTGGGTATCGACCATTGAACAACTCTGGAGGCATAAATCTTCGGGAGCTGACGGGTGGATGAGCATAGGGTATGCCTTGGAATTGCTTTACAGGAGTGTGTTTGCATGTGTTTCCTTGAATTGTGCCTGAGGAGAGATGGATGGTGGGAGGATCCTGAGGTTGAGAAGCTGCAGAGACGAGGTCTGCGACGAACAAAAGACTTGCTAGCATGGCTGAGTGAATCATCGCAGCGAAATTTGACCAAATGCGGGTCGTATGGATGCTTATAAGTGGGCAATTGAAAGATTAGACGAAGTAGAATGATGAGCTGAAGATGGGAATATCAGCTCTCTTTCACCTGAATTTGGGACTTTATGAGCTATATATAGAATTTGTGCTATCGTTCTTTGACACACTCAACCGCATCAGTCTACATGTATACATCCTCAAGGGGCTGTCATTCAATATCAGGAGTTCGCCTAAAGTTGTCCTGTCAACCTGGTCGACGAGCACTGGGTACGTAATGAGTGCCCGGAATCTAAGAGAAACGCAATTCCAAGGATCAACAACCATCATAGCCACAGAAGCTGACGTCGACCAATCTGGAAATCTTTCTCGATGCGAGGTCCTAGCGCTGCCTAAACAGGTAATCTCTTGCGATCTAGGGCTGATTTTCAAAAGAGGAAGAAACGCTAAGCTTTTGGACAGGGGAACTAGTGAGACGGAGCCGTTGACTAACAGCTTCTTGGAGGGATTACCTACAGCAAATGATGGTGTAGACACTTGAGAAATATTATTCAAGTAGCTATTTAAATGCTTTCTGGCCTCTTTAGCGCCGTTTAATCTGGGTTTATGCAGCGCTGGTTACAGTTCTAATCCAACTATTTACTTGTGGATGGGTTGTCGTAGATTTGTAATTGTGCATTGATAAGTGCATGTGCTTCTCTGTAGAAGGCGGGGAGACTGTTCATGTAAGAATTGACTTCGGCAACTGCGCAAGGTAGGATAATTATGTGAAAGAGGCTGAGCTTCGAATGGCAAATGACAATCTCTATGACGTGAACTTGAAGAGTTAACGAGACGCCTCTAACTTTTGTCATGGCATGTGATGGCATTTCCATCAACCTCTTTCTCGGAGATAACCTGACAAGGGAAATCACCGGCCCCCGAACAAAAGCCTGTCAACCCCGGATTTTGGGAAAAGAGTTCACGAACACGCGGTTCTGCTGGCCATCTCCATTCGCTTGGCTTGTGGTGTGGCTATATCTATCGAACTTGCCTGGTATTGGTGGAAAAGAAGCTATTGACAGATTACATGAAATCGGGTGGCAAACGCGCCGATACTGGTGAGCGCACGCCTCGAGTCCAGTTACACCCTCCTGCATGATATGACAGGAAACAAACCCCGCACAGGATCAGTGTAAGATGCCTGGAATCAGGCTGGACGAAGCGCTTCTCAGGGTGATGGAGGCTTCCGTGATCTGAGCCACTTTGCGGACGTTTGTTTATCGCGATGGTTGCATTATTGACGCAGCGAAGTAGCACCAGAGATGGAGAGCCGCGATGGAGGCAGCATGTCTTACGAAAGATATACTGTTGCGGTGGTATGTGCCATGAGCATGGAAATGAGCGCTGTTCGTTACATGTTGGATAAAGAACACCCTCGCCTTCAGCAAAAACAGGGAGATTTCAATACTTACCTTGTTGGGAGACCTTCACGGGCACAACACTGTGCTTGCGTGTCTTCCAGGCAGTCAAAGGCAAGGGCTCTGCCGCGACGGTCGCAAACAACTTGGCCCGCACGTTTCCTGCTATTACTCCCCGGTTTCTTATCGGAATAGGCGGCGGTGTGCCGAGCGAGAGAAATGATATTCCTCTGGGCGACGTGGTTGTGAGCATGCCAAACGGAGAGTACGGTAGCGTTGTTCAGTATGGTCCAGGCAAGGAGACTGATGGTGGCTTCGTTCTCAAGGGCTTCTTGTGGCCTCCTCCGCCTTTGCTGCGGAGTGCAGTTGAGAATATGCGGTCTGATCATCTTGTCAGTGATAACAGAATTGAAGAACTCGTGTCTCTGATGCTGCAGAAGGGGCCACGTCTCTCTCTATCAACAACCAGACTGCAGCACAGATGTTCTCTATGAAGCAGTTTATCATCATGTATAGAAGCAGCCTACTTGTGACCAATGTGACCATCAGAGAGCTATCCAGAGACAAGATCGCGAGTTTCCTGGTCCCCAAATACACTACGGGTTGATTGCATTTGGAGACAGAGTCATGCGTACTACAAACGGCACTGCCAGGACAGGTTTCGGCGGTGTGCCCTGGTTTGAGATGGAAACAGCGGGATTGATGACCGAATACTCTTGCATCATCATCCGTGACATCTCTGATTACGCCAATTCCCACAAGAACGACGGCTGGCTTCACTATACTGCTGCGAAGGCGGCTGCATGTACAAAGGAGCTGCTGTCATATTTACAACCTGGTGAAAATGTGTCGATGGCAACACTACCTCCTTTCCCACCACGATTGGCCGCGACTCCCCTTTTCATTCGTATTGTATTCTCTTCATATAAAATATTGCCTTACTAGTAGCAGCTACCAAACATGAGGCGGCCTGCATGATGCATCGTGAACTCGTCTGTAACAGGAAGCCACCCGCATATAGGCGTTCAATATGAGAGCAACAGAGTGATAACAAATCATGACTCGTAATTTATATGTACATGAACTATGTAGCCTCTCTACTTCGCAAATCCAAGTACCTCACGTATGGTGTAAACCTAGGGTGGATGGTACCCAAGGTGATCTTAAACATTGTCAAACTGAACTCTTCATGACCGACCCGCTTCAAGATAGAAATACTCTGAAAAGCAAGAAAGGTGGCCGTGCTAAAGGCACATGCGACTGGATTCTCGGCAAGCAAGTGCTCACAGAATGGCTGGATTCCGGAGACTAGGACGGACCAAATCGTATCCTGTGGCTCCATGGACACCTTGGAACGGGAAAATCACAATGGAGCTTTCAACCATATTCGAGACAAGGCAAGACAAAAAACTCTTGCTTAATTCTTCTGCGGCACTACTTAATAAACTGGAAGACGGCGATAGCAATCATTAGCGGTCTTCTACACCAGCTGGTGCGGGCACATTCACCGCTTCTCAACTACATCTTGCCAACGTTAATGAGCGCGAAAAGTCTCTATTTACTTCGTTCGAGTCTCTTTGAGGAGTAAATATAAGAACGAGAAATTTCAAGACATATATGAATGCAATATGGGGCAATCCTTGGATGGATATTTTAAATGTCAATCTTTTTCCTTGAGAATATGAGTTTGTAATTACAGAAAGCCATGAATAATTGCAATAGACGATTGAGAGTGAAAGCAAGAAACAAGTTAATCTGCTTATCGATACATACCTACGCTTCAGACAGTTGAATAAAAATTGTCCAGCCTATAGTGATATGAACTGCTTATTTGTTACGCTACTGTATATGATAGTATCTTGCTCTGATAATGCTTCAAGGTTCATCATAAAGGGTCTCCGAAGATTGTATATCGTCCACCTTTAACGCCCGGAAGTAGCATTAGTGCTACAATGCATGTTCATGACATTGAGAGAGACTGGGTTGGTCCGCATGCTCATGTTGGTCGTGACAGTCTCGTGACCATTAGTGGTCCAAGCTGTTCAAACAAGTTTCCGATTGCTGCTTCAGATTCAACGCGTAAGCCTCAAATCCTGTTATTTTCAGCATTTGTTTGTCAGTCGAAACCAGTATACTCAAAACAAGTTAACCATCGCCTTCCTTCGGCCGAAGAATCATTTCATACAATCCCTCCTAAAACTAAGCCAAATTACCAACCTCACCTTCTCAGCATGGCGTCTGAATCCGAAGCTATCCTTAAAACCGTTCGGGAGGAGCTTGAAGGCAAAATATTCCGCGGGGTGGATGACATCTTCGCCAAATACTTTGGGGACCACTGGGTTTCTGCGGACCAGAATAATATGCTTGATACCAAGTCGGCCGATGCCGCAAAGTTGTCAGCAGACCTCTTCAACATTGAACACTTGGACCCCCTGGTGGAGTGGCTTGCTTCCTTTCAGTCGCTCTTCATCGCCGCCGACTCGGGCGTCCGCCTCCAAAGCAAGCCAATAACCACACCAGATTCACACTTCAGCGCAAGCATCTGTATGGAGACATCAGATGTCCCCACCGTCGCAGGCAGCACCCTTGTGTACGGTGAATATCATCACGGTAAAGCGACGTGTGATGACGATGACCGTCTGCGCTTTTGTGCGCGTGCTCTGCAGGTATTCAAAGCCCAGCCGATACGATACTTCTTACACGCATTCCTCCTTATCGGCACCACCTTGGAACTCTGGGTATTTGATCGTTCGGGTGCATACAGTAGCGAGATGGACCTGGTACAGGAGGACCCCTGCCTCGTGTTGCGCATTCTGGCGGGCTACAGCATGATGAGTGGCGAAAAGTCGGGTATCAACACGTTTGTGAAACATCTCGGGCTGGGATCGGACGGATATGTTGTCTTCGAGCAGGACCATAAGCTGTATCTCCAACCAGGGATTATTGCAGCACCGAGTCACAGCCACTTGGTCGGGCTCGGAACGACCTGCATTGCGGCCTCGGAATCGACCCCCTCAGAGCCAAGCGTTGTCGTCAAATTCTCTTGGCGAGAAGACAATGCACCTGCGGAACTTCAGCTGCTGGAGTTGACCGGCCAGCGCAAGGTCTGGGGCGTCATCGAGCTCCTCGGCCGGGAAGACGTGGCCAAAATCAGCGAGCTTCGCGAGGGGCTGCAGTTCCCTCAACCCGTTGTCAACCGGACCCTGTCGTGCGTTGCAACTAGCCCCCTAGGCCGCCCAATCCGAAAGTTTGCGTCTATCCGCGAGCTTCTAGAGGTCTTGGGCGACCTCGTCAAGGCCCTCCAGTCGCTCTACGTGGATGGCAGGATGCTCCACCGGGACATTGCCATTAAGAATTTGATCATCAATCCGGAGCCCAGCATTAAGGGCTCCAGAGGTGTCTTGATCGATTTCGACGCAGCTCTAGATCTCGACAAGGCTTCTGATGTTGAGCCGCTGGTTGGATCAGATGGGTTCATGGCCATAGGCATCCTCCTTGGGGAGCGACACACGTATCGACACGACTTGGAGTCCCTGTTTTATGTGTTTCTGTGGCTGGCTATCGCAAATGACAGCGAGCATGACCATGCCCATGAAATTTTGGAGCGCCTGCCAGATGATTCTCGGTTGCGTAAATGGTGCTCAATGGATTTTCGTGCTGTTGGGGAAGCAAAGACTGCCGACATGAGCCCTAAAGGCTTTGAGGGAATTTTGGGTGAATTTTCCACCGAGTTTATTCCACTCAAAGATCTTGCTAAGGAGCTACACGAGCTGCTTTTTCCTATGCACGACGGGATGATTCTCACGGGGACTGAAATAAAATCTGAGGCAGTCAAACGACTCTACGAAAAGATGTCGAAAGCTTTCTACGACCGCGCCCATACATTCCAGCAGTAGGAATTTTCCTGGCCAGTATCCTATGGGATCCTACCTCTGGGTTTCGTAGTGTAACCTCGGTCATCTCAGCGGAGTGGAGGACCCTGTTTGAATGATGCATCTTCTGCAAGACTACATGCAATAAAAGTGTTTTTCAGCCCGTAAGTTGAATCCGATGACAATCCCTAGCTTCTTGAAGTTGACTCAAGTTTCAAAGCTTTGACTATTTGACATATGATTTGGTGGAAAGAAGAGCAGCAGGTACTAATGCCTCGAATTTGACATTACACGTAGTGATGAAGTCGACGTTACAGAGGAGATAGAGAGCTGGCAATATGTTGAGGAGATCACAATGCTTCGAGAGGCAAAGTGGCGAAATCTGAGACTGATATGGGAGAAAATGTAGCAACATTAGTCAATTCAAGGAAAGTATTCAATCTTTAGCAATCTAAGCTGTATGTCATGACTTGTAACATGCTCGAAGTATATGCCCCTCTGTTTAGATGATAACACTCTGTCTTAGTCTTCAAGCTTATGACAGAGAGCCGTCACGAGATCCTTTAGTTTGGATATTTTCTCGTCTTTCCCTTTGACGATGTTTATGCGCGTTGTAGCATCCCCAAACATTCTCCAGACGTGCAAGAACTTTTTGTCCGCATACTCCTTCTCGTTGATGTTATCAAATGCGATGCACATGTTCCTGTGCTTACGAAGTTGCGAAGCAAGGTTGGTGAGCTTTTGATCATTATCATGCATAGTTGCGACATTTGCGCAATGAATTATCAGCGAAGCAAGACCCGCTGCCAGGGCAGTAGAGACAGATGATCCGTCATGGTACTCGACAGGTTTTGATGATCGAGGGTTCCTAGCATCGGCTACTTGGTTTCCAGGGAAGAAATAACTTATTGTTTTGACGTCTTCGGATGTTGGATCTCTTTGACCCATTGATAGCGCGGCGCCAATACGAAAAATGCAGTCCGGCGCCGCGCTGAAAGGAAGAGATTCCCTACCGAGTTGTTTGATGTCATCAGCAGCGGAGCAAAACATTAGTATGCTGTTGCTCTTTGCCTTCTCAATAGCTGCATGGAGTTTCCTCATGGCAACCAGCTCAGGAGATCTTTTGTGCTCTTCGCTGATTCCGACGTCTGAGTTGGCATTGAACCCGACCAATTTCCTGATAGTCCACGACATAGAGATGATGTCAGCCTTGCGGATTATAGCGTCTTCAATCGCCTTGGCAGCGCTGTCGGCGTATATCGTTCGAGTTTTGCTCCTAGAACTATAATCAATGCTGTCATGTATCTTCATAACGTCGAGAGAGACCCAGGGGTTAAGGCGAACAATCATGTTGGCCATGACTGTACCGTGACCATTGGTTGATTGGTGCCATGGCTGCTCGATCAATCCATTTGGAGGATAATAGCTTATACCAGTAACTTGAACAGTGTTGTTGTACATGTCCAAGTTCAAAAGATCTACACCATCATCTATCAATGCAACCTGAAAGGTATATAAGTACTCTGTCGTGTGGGTCTGTGAATTTGGGAGGACAGGGGTAAAATTCTCAAAGATCAAGACATATACACACCCTAACGCGTGGAATCGTAGTATCTCTGCCTATAAGGCGGTGAATGGGGAACAGAGCGCTCCTAAAATTCTCCATGTTTTCAATCCAGACCTGCTGCGGAGGGCTGTCCGACATCCCGATATCTCGGGCGTTTAGGCCAGCGTCAGATTTGACGATGGATGTAGCCGAACCAGGACGTATTTTAATTTTTATCTCGATCTTGTCTTCATCATTCTTGCTTTCCATTTGACATTTGATCTCGCTTTTGAATACTTCAATCATTTTCATCGTCCTCTCGTGAGTTTCATGTCCCTGTAGGCGAATCAGCTGGGTTTCGGGGATTGTAAATACGTTCGCTGATAAAACTGATGGTAGGCATTTGAATGTAAGAAACGTACTGGAAATGCATGAAGCGTCACCTTCCGTAATTTGCCCTCGGGCCTTGCGTGTCGCGAAACCCCTTCCGGACGACCCCAGCCCCTGAGAATAGTTTGATTTCCGCTCCAGTATAAGTTGACATGCGCAGCATCTGGTGCCGCGAATGAAATGTTTGTTTGTTTGTTTTATTATTAACGTCCACTAAGTAAACTAGTTATATAAGTCCTTATCTGGGCACTAGGACGGTAGGAGCTGCGGTTGTTCAGACCCTGCGTTCGCTACGTTTCAATTTGACAAAAGAAATAGGGGGGGAAGTGTCAGTCTATATCTGCGGGAGGGGGGCCATACGGGCTTGTTTCCTCCACTAGTTTCTGGAACTCCTTATAGCCTTTGTAGCCTAGGAGGTACGTGAGATGTGTGGCTTCGAATAGGAGGTCTTTTTCTGGGATATCCGGGAGGAAGGGTACAACCATCCGGTACTTTACGAAGTGTCCCTGGGTCCTGGGCTCGCTGCATTTGTAAGTAGGTCTTGTGTTATGGCTGAACCTCTCGTGGTATTCTATGAAGTCGCCGTGCCCGGACCTCTCAGCTAGAAGTCTGTGGAGGATGGGGTGCGGAAGGTGGAGCTTAGGTGGTATCGCAAGGGCGTTGAGCTGCCAGCGTCTGTAGTATAACGGGGAATTGTCGTCCCAGTAGGCTTTTAGTATTAGCCTCTGTTTCTTCCTTGCCTACCTTTTGATGTGGGTGATTGTAGTGTAATTGCTTGTGTGTTTTGGGAGTTTTAAACCTTCTTTAGTTAGTTTGTCCGCTCTTTCGTTGCCCAGTATGTCTTTATGCCCGGGAACCTATGCTACTTTAGTGGTGATGTATGGCTGTAGTTCTTTAGCTATTTTTCTTAGGCCTATATATGCGCTTTGTGATAACGCTGGTGTAGTCCCTAGGATTTTATCTACTACCGCGGAGTTGTTTAAGAAGAGGAGTATTTCCTTAATGTCTGGGTTCGATGCAATTTGCGTTTTGGTGAGTTTTATGGCCTCGAAGGCCCCGACTGCTTCTGCATCGTAAACTTTAGCGTTCGCTAGGTAACCGCAGGATAAGGTAGATTTGTAGTTGTGGTACGTAACGGCGCCCCATCCTGTGTTTTCCGTCTTGTTTTATGACCCGTCTGAGTATGTTAGGAGCGTAGTTTGGGGAAGGGCGTTGAGTAACTTAAGGTGTTTTTCCGCTGCTTTGGCTTTGGGTAGGCTGCGGAAGTCTGGCTCTGCTAGGACTGCTCTGTTATTTTTAGTGAAAAGGGAGGGTCTGACCGTTTTATCGATTAGGGAGGCTATGTGTTATAGTCTGGTTATAGGGAGTCTGGGCGGAAGCTTTTTGTCGATGCATCTGCTGACGGGGTAATTCCTGTCTAGGCTGGCGAACTTAGCTAACGTCTGGAGTTTTGCCTAGGCGAATGCTACGGGTGCAGGGGGGACTTTGGATTCTCTGTGTACGACCGCTGTGTTGGTTGTCTTTTAGGCGGGGAGGACTGCCCTGGCTGCCGTTCTGAAGGCTTTGTCTATTTTCTCTACTAGGTTCGAGGTGCCGGTGGTTATTTGTCTGGAGGGGTAGGATGCGCTCTGTCTTTTGTCTCCGGGCTACCAGGCCTCTATACTGTACAGAGCTACTGGGGCGACGCAGGCCTTAGCTGCGAGTGCGACCGCGTTTGGGGGAGAGCCCTTCTGTGTTTTATTGAGTGACTTAAGGAAATTCGCTGCTTTAAGGGCCTTCCCAGTCATTACTTCTACGTGTTTCCTGAAGGAGAGTCTGGAGTTGAGATGGACCCCCAGCCACCTGACTGAGTCCTGTGGTGCGATAGTCTTCCTCTTGAAGTCTACACTCTCCTTGTGTGTCTGTTTCTTAGTGTGGTAGAAGTGGATAAGCTTCGCTTTGTCCGGGTCGAAGGACACCGCATTGCGTCGTCCCTAATCTAAGGTGTCTTGGAGCTCTTATTGGAGTTTCCTGGTCGTCTCTTTGGTGTCGGCCCCGACTGCGAGGATCGCTACGTCGTCGGTGTATCCGAAGCGTACGCTGGGGTTATTGATTTTTAGGATGGGGGAGAAGTAGAGTATGGAAACGATTGGCGAAATGGGCGAGCTTTGAGGGGCCCCGCATTCCAGTTCCGTTTCCGGGAGAGTTATGCCGTATCCGTTGCGGACCAGTGCCTTGCGGTCGCTTATGAAGGACTTGACCCACCTTACAAAGAGTATAGGCTAGCTTTGCTCCTTGAGTCTTAGGATGAGGCGGTTCCGTATGACGATGTCGAAGGCTCTGGAGATGTCTAAAGTCAATAGGGTGGCGACCGACCCCTGGGCGAGGGTTACTTCGGTGTTGTAGATGAGGCAGGCCATTAGGTCTATCGCCGATCTTTTAGGGAGGGCTCCGAAGTATTGCTTAGGGAGTATCTTATGTTCTATAGCTAGGAGTGAGACTCTTCTGGCCAGCAGTCTTTTGAGTCCTTTTCCGATATAGGAGAGAAGGGAGATGGGCCTGTACCCCTTGTGGGTTGTGTAGGTTTTCTTGGGTTTGCCTGGTTTGGGGATGATGGTGACTTCTGCGCTTTTGAAGGGGAGCGGGTGGTAGCCAGCTGCCAGGCAGCCTCTGAAGAGGTTAGTGATGTACTTTCCGACTGCTGGCTAAGCTAGTTGGAGCAGAGCGACTGAGATCCCGTCGGCCCTGGGGGCCGTGTTGCCTGATCCGGTGGTGGCCTTCCTGGCCTCCGCCTTTGTGACCGTAGTGTCTTATGTTATGTTCCTATTGACGGGGAGCTCCTGCGCCCATGGGTCTGGTGTGTCTTCCTCTGTGGTTTTCCGCTTTAAGAGCTTATCCCTGAGGTACGTTGCTCTCTCAGTGGGGTCTGAGATGCTGATGTCTCCGTTAATTAGAGGAGGGGGTTGGAAGCGGTCTGTGGCTTTGCGCTATTTTGCGACCGTTTAGATATTTCTGACTGCGGTGGCGTTGGTAATGATCTCGTCCCAGTGTGTCCGTTTGCATCGGCGAACGACTGTCTTTAGGTTCTTCTTGGCTTCCTTATACTCCGCCGATCTGGGCCTGGAGCGATTAAAAGCCTGGTGGGCTGCTTTACACTCGTCCGTCTACTATGGGGCGCTGTGGCCGTTTTGGTGTTTGGTTTTGCCTGCTGCCTCTATTATGTGTTTAAAGAGGTCTTGTAGTGCTTTAGTGCATCTGTCTAGGTTGTCCCTGGAGGGGGAGGTAAGGTTGACGGAGGGGAGGGTCTATGTAAAGGAGTGTATGAGTTAACCGAACTCCTCTTAGCATTCCATCGGTATGTACTTCTTGCCTGCTCCCGGGGTAGTACGGAGTGGTTCGGGGAGGGTGGTAACTACAGTGAAGTGGTCCGACCCTGTGTTAAGTGAGTGTTCGACTCTGGAAGAGGTTGGGCAGTTGGAGAATATTAGGTCGATGTATTGTCCTGAGTGTTTTGTCGGTGAGTCTGTGAGGGAGGGGTAGAGATTGTGCTTCTCCGCCCACTCGGCGATCCTGTTGCCGGCTGTGTTTAAGTCCTTGCCCGGTTGCCATAACCAGTAGACTGCGTTAAAGTCGCCTGCAATAATGGATCTGGGGGGGGGTTATTCCTATTTAGTAAGGGTCTCTGTAGTAGTGTCGTCCGCTGTGCGGTAGTAGATGTTAACGACCGTGTAGCTGCATACCTCGATCCAGCAAATGCATCCGTTCTTCAGGCCAGGAGGGGAGAGTTGTTTGCTGGGGAGGTTGGGTGAGATTCTAACATAGGTAAGGACTGATGGTCTAGCGCTCCTCTAGTTGTTGAGTGGGTTATATGCTTAGTATTTAGGGTGGTTTTTCGTCTGCCTTCTGCCTGCATTGTTGTCCCATTGGGCGTAGGGCTTCTGGATGAGCACTACGTTGAAGCCGCTTTCCTATGCCAGCGATAGGGCGGTGTCCTGGGTGGGACCGCTCCTCCCTACGTTGGTTTGGAAGATTTTGAGGCTAGTGTTTCTTCGGTGACTTCGACGGGGGCCGTCTACTATTTATCGACGCTTTGTTGTCCGTCTTGCCCTCCCTAGGCGGGCGTGGGGTTGTCTTCTATGGTGTCGTTGCCCTCAGGGTCTGCCACGTGTACCTTAGACTGGGCCGGGGAGCTTTCCCGTGAGGATTCTACGTCTGTGTCCACGCTTATGACAACCTGGCTTATGGGCCGTCTGCGGGGCACTGAGGGGTCCGGAGGCGGTGGGCTGCGGATGCGTTTGGCCGATGTCTTCTTAGGTTCTTTGTCTTTTTCCTTATCCTCGGTAGGCTTGGGCGGGTTGGTTTTTAGGAATTCCTGTTGGCCTAGTTCTCTGATGGCTTTGAGCTGTTCTTTGGTGGGATGTATTTTGGTCCTATTTTTTATCGTGGGGTGAGCGTGGCACTTGGGTGCGTCGGCTCTGTGTGCTCCTTTGCAGTTTGCATATTGTGGAGGGGAGGAGCAGTTGGCTGTGGTGTCTTTGTGGCTGGCGGCCGGTTTCCTGCATTTTATGCACCTCTCGGTCCTGGTGCAGCCTCTGGGGTTGTGGAAGCCGAGGCAGCGGGGGTATTGTGTGATCCTGGGCTGCTGTATTTTTAGTTTGGCTGGGGCCGAGCAGTTGAAGAGCTTGAAGCCTGCCCTTACGTTTTCCCCGAAGGCTATGAAATAGTAGTAGGTGTCCGGGGTTTTGCCGAAGGGAGCCTTCTGGCAGAAGGTCGGTAGATTTTTGGCGCCCGCTCTGACGCGCGCCTCCTTGGGGATTAGCGCGTCAGTGGAGTGGGTTCCGGATTTGTCGGTGTATGTTTTTAGGACACTGCGCAGGAGGAAACTCTTCTATGTGTACGCTTCTTCGATTTTTAAGTTGTTTTTTTCTGCTTCTGGTGCGAGTGCGAGGATCTTGTTTTTGATGTTTTGGTTCTTAGGCTGGAGGGCGAAGCCCGAATGGACCTTCTGAAAGTAAGTGAGGTCGTCGCTGTTAAGCTTCATTCCCTTTACTAACTCTTATTTAGCCCCGATGGCCATCATCTTCCTCTATTTATGGTCTAGGGGGACTTAGACGAAGATGCAGTCGTCGGGTTTTTATGCAGTTGTCTTTGGCTTTTGTTTTTCCTTGTTTTCGTTAGCGGGGGCCGGCCCTTTGCTGTTGGAGGTAGATGTTCTTTTGTTGTTTTGTCCCCTTTGAGGGTTTTTGTTGTGAGTAGCCCTGTGTGACGCGACTTCTGCCCACGTGACCTTTTTGGCTCCTTCTGGCCCTTGGGGCGGGGTAGTTTCGGCTGCTGCCGTCCCAGTGGGTCCTCTGGTTTCCCTTGATTTGACCTCTGTGCTGCGGGATGTGTTGGCTGATGCCTTTTTAGGCGGTTGGGCAGTGAGTCTCTTGCTGCCTGGAGTGTCGGGGTTTTTGGGACCCCCCGGATTGTGTTTTAGAGAGAGGAAGGTTTTGAGGGCGGTTGCCAGTGCAGCGTGGATTTGTTTGGCCGCTGCCAGGCAGTGGCCTGTGGTGAAGGTTGCTAGGTATTCGTCTATAGCCGTAGCGGTTGAAATAAGAATAGTTTGTCTGGCTTTGTGTATTGTATTGATCTCTGCCAGTTGTCCTATGATTTTGCTTTGTGTGAGGGATTTATGCCTTTGGTTGGTTGCGGTGGCTTTTTTGACGCCGCTGAAGAGGGAGGAACTGAGTCCCTCCGGTGGTTTCTGCGTAAAGTGAAAGGGATTTGCTCTGCCTTTGTTCAGTTGGAGTGCTGGTATGTTGTCCGTTGTGAATTCGCCGCCGAAGCGTCGTTTCTTCTTGGGGGTGAGAGCGAGGATAGTTGTCTTGCCTTTCCCTGGGATGGAGGGGGTGGCCTCTTTTTGTTGTCTGTCGGGAGCTGCCTGCCCGGTGGCAGCGGGGGAGTTTCTTGACTGGCTTCCTTGGGGGTCGGTAGAAACTGCTATTGTCCTAGGATCCTCAGCAGGGGCAGTAAAAGCAAATGTAGAAGACGTTTTGTTCGATAGCTAGTTGAACGAGGTGAGGTTTTTGGTGAAGGGGTACCCAAAAGGTGGGGTACCTGTAGGTGTAGGAGGGAAGCTTGGCCGCGAATGAAATGACGTCCATACTTAGATCTAGCTTTCTCCAGTCCCTGCGAGACAACCAACCCCATGTCAGTTACGGGACCGCGAGATAGATCGAATCTTTGAAATCATAGGATGACATGAACGTACCAATCATCTATGTTGATGGCTTGTGCCCTAAGCGCACTTAAATAAAATGAGTCCTGGCCTTTAATAGCCCGTTCGATTGTGGCATCAGTGTGGGGTTGATCCCCTACGTCGACCACCTGCAACCGTAGTATGCGTCGGACGTTTACTGACACCAGTTTGTCAAATACCTTCACCAGACAGCTACAACCTAACTCGGGATTCTCCTGGGGAGCGGCTCCACGTTGTCCTTTTTCGTTAGAACTGGATATTATATTGTTTGACTTGGATGCAGCTCCTGACTCCTTGTCAATCTTGCCAAGCAGAGGTAAATAAACATATGACAGAGTGTCTTCAAACCCCCCTGCATTTGATAGCTTTTCAATCAAGTCGATAACTTGTTCTACAGGTTCTCCTGCGAGATGAAAAGCGTCGAAATATAAGTTTTTATCTAGCGAAGCAAGGGTTAGTTTCATATCAGATACTGTGCCTAAGTAGTCTCAGATGCTCTAGCGGAATATTATATGTGAACTTCCAATTGACTGCCGACTTACCTGAAGCCACTTTGCCATAAAGCAATTCCTTAGCTTCCATGCCTGATCTAGTGCGGATGTAGTGAACTTTGACAGACTCCCCCATCTTGATTGCCATCTCATCCACCAAGAGTTCCTTCTTTTTTCTCTTCGGCTTCTCATTATTCGGGGCCATACCCCGAGATAAATCAATGGCAATGGTGGAATTGTGTGTTTGACTGCGCGCAAGAGCCTTGGTAGAGACTGCATGGGCAGAGTTAGAGTTAAGTTCGTGCGATGGTTGAGATCGCGGCTGTTCTTGATCACCATCCACATTCCCTGTTATACCTTCGGTATCGAGACGCTTTTTCTCATCTTGGCCGGATGCGGACGGAACCGTGGATGCATCTCCTGGCAATACTCCGTTCTTTGGTTCTGGAGGCTTGTTGTTACTTGCTTCCGTAGGCAAATGGGTTGTTTTACCGGCAATATTTTTGGTTTTGAACCACTCCTCCCTTGTCCTCAAATAATAGAGATATGGGGACTCGTTTTTCGAGTTGAACTGAAAAGCTGCTTTCTTCTTGAAGATCACATCGCTTTTTTCAAGAAGTTGTTGAAGAATTTGTTGGTATCGCCGGGAATTGACTTGACAGTTACGGTAATTTAAGGCGTAGTGCAGGGGGGTGTTGCCATGTTTGTCTCTCCAAGCAATTGTCTCTGGTTTCGCAACTTGTACAAAGCTAAGAATGATGTCGACAGTGTTATCAAGGTTCGGCATTTTGTCCCTCGAAAGGTGTGTTATAGCCTTCTGTAGTTGGACCTTGAATGCGTAGTGAAGACAGTTCATCCCATCATGATCAGTTGCAGCAAGAAGCTCTTCAAATTTTCCCGCGATATTTCCCGAGCACTTGATGACGGATTCAATGAACTCAGTGTTATTGAAGTCCATCGCTACCCGCAAAATCGGGGTTTCTTCTGATTTGTTGAGGTGGCTTCTTTCCAAGTTGCTCTCTTGATTATTGAGAAGATAGTTGATAATCTTGGATATTGTGTTTTCTGGGAATTTTTTGAAATCGTCGGCATCTAAACCCTTGGCTAAGAGATGAAAAAATGTAGGTGTCGTCCTCTCGCGATCATCCCGGTGTATCAAGGCGTTCTTCTCATACTCCTCAAGAAGGCGTCCTTCTCCTTGCTCGGAATCATCCCATCGTGCCTTCCTGGATACAAGGACCTTCACAACTTCTCTCCATTGTTGTTCTAAAGTTTTTTCTTTGAAACATGCTTCTTCACTCTCTTCCGTTTGGGAGCTCATCTGAGCGGCCTCATCCATTTCATTTTCATCGACCAAACTTTTAGTGTCCGATTGCGAACTACCATCATTTCCAACATTGTCCTCCATGATTCCGGGAAATAACAGCTCGGTAACCTAGATAAGCGGCACGTTAAACTCCTGAAAAATAAGAAAGAAGATAAAGATGATTGTTTCAAATCACTCCGAAGAATGTCGAGTTTAGCTGAGGCACAATCTGAGAAGTCAAGAGATTGAAAGACAATTGTCGGTGAGCTGAGTGAAGGGCGAGAGGCGTTGCCCAGTATTCCTCTGGTTTGATGTATCCTTCCGAGTTGATCCATGCGACCTGAGAGTGGGGGTTAATTTCAAGAGCGTTACGAGTGCAGGGAAGGCTGCAGAACATGACAGGGGTCAAAGAGGTGCGTGCTCATTATTTTGTTGTTTCTCTCGAAGGATTTGGTGTTTATGATTGCACTCATACAGTGTTAATTCTTCACTTTTTTGTGCTGTTCCTGCATAGAACGGTATCGATGCATTTTACAACTGATGCAATATGTCTCCCATTTGCTATAGATCGCTATCGCCCATTATGCCATTGCTATCATGCTCTACACTCTTTCATGACTAGATTATTTAACCGACCGTTCATACTTGTAATATTCAGTGCAATCCCAGAGCTCACCTAGGTCGACTGCTCCTAGATTATTGCGATCAATATCAACATTGTCGTCCAATTGATTGAAAGGGGGTTCGGCCACCCTGAAGATGATCGGATCATCCGGTGATCTTGAAGAGAACAAAGTCGTAAACATGGCTGTGAAGTTTGGTGTTACATTCACGTAAGGGACGCAAACGAAGTCCTCATCATCGTCTCGCTCCAGAAGAATGCAGACGCGTAACTTGGAGGGGATGCCGCTTTTTTGCGACTCGTTCTCAGACAAGAAGAACCGTGCCCCGAAAAAGTTTCCCCAATCGTCTTGAGAAGTATCGCCCGTCGCCACAATATAATGCTTCGTAACTTTCTCCACAGACGCTTCGGCTGATAGCGTCAGATTTGCTTCGACTGCTGGAATGTTTGGGCCGAGTCCGAATTCTATTCCCTTCTTCAAGGACTCATCTTGCAGTGTTTCTCGCATCTTATAGAGTCCGCGTGGAGCAACTTGATAGACCGATGGGCCACCCTCCTGACCCTTCATGGGCTTAAATTCAAACAAGATGTTCGCTTGCTTGATGCGTGATCCCCTATAGGAGTTGAACTTGAACTCGTAGACAAGAAAGGTTGCCCGCTTCTTGGACGACGGGTCAATTTCGCCATGAATGATAGCTTTCGCATTGCAGCTAACAGTGAAAGCCGGTTTCTTTTTTGATCCACCGTGGAAAGCTGAAACTGCCGTCCGTTGCACTTGACCCGGAAGATTGCGCACATGGAAGCCTGTTTGTGAACATCAGTTTGCGCTCTCTCCTAGGACAATAGAAACTGCAATGGATATTGCTCTCACCTCCCGGCTGACCCTGGTATGTGAGTCCAATAGTGAACGCCGTAGGATCTGTGTTTGTTCCGTTTTCCACTTCTTCCTCTTCCTCACTCAACCAAATCTCGCTTTCATCCATGCTTCACAATGCTGATAGGTGCGCTTATCAATCAAATATATGAATATTTGACAATGGAAGACGGGAGAAGAGAAAACAGAGAAAGAATTTGAAGTATATAGAGAATAATCTCAACAGATTCAGCTAAACGCTGAAGGGCCATGAGACCTGGTAGTGTCGTTGCTGCCCATCACAGTATGAAGACACAAACGGCGCACATGTTTTGACCGCATGTTTGGCTACATGAGTTGCTGGATACCCGCAGATTAGGCTGCCGAAGAGATGGTGTGGCTCGTCACACGTTGTATTGACGCGATGTTCTTCCTGTAGTTCCGATTCGTACGTATCGTTATCGCTGTATTTTGACCAATATAAAGCTGCTTTGTGTCACCCAACGACGAAAGATTGAGGTCAAGTGGTTGGATGAATTTAGGGCCACGGCCACCTGACTCGGGTGATGCAGCAAAATACTGAGCTGGCATGGTTACATACCTCCCGCACACTGGCAGATACATCGCACAAACAATGAAGGATACACGAAATTGAATCCTGTAATGAGCAAAAATCCCGCAGCGGTGAATGAACCATAATCCCATGGGTAAATTGGAACGGTTCAGAGGAAGCTCCATCTGGCTAATTCTATGCCAAGCTTATGTTCATCCGCGTTCAAGTTCTCGAAACATCGAACACTAAATCGCATCTCTCCGGGGCAGTGCCAGAGACAAAGGCCAGTCAGCCGGACGCAAGCGCTAGAGTGTGCTATTAATTGTGTTTTTCAGCGTAGCAAAAGTAGAGAGCCTTTGTCCCTCGCTTTTGAAAAGGATGAAAGCTATAAACAGTCTTTGTCGCAAATATACCTAGCTGCTAAACACGTGCCACTCACTGCGGCTTTCAAGAGAGCTATAAAAAAGAGCCTCGAACCCTCCAATTTGGAATAAAACAGAGATATATATGTATACTGTCATATACCTCGCTACTAGGCTTATGCTAGAAATCGGCAAACGTTTCTTTCTCCTGCAACACTCTTCTCCAAGTCTGACAAGTGAATTACGACATACACAAGGTATCTACATTACCATATCCATTCCCTAGGATGCCGCACAGTTTACACTAACCGTGGCAATAGCATAATCCGTTTTTGCGACGGACCTGGCCATACCCGCGGGTGCAGCATGATGGAGGACTATGATGACATGTCCGAGGACGAGCCAACTCTGCAACCTCCCACAACCGTTGTGGTGGTCGATCCCAACGAAGGCCTCATCTTGACCAATATTGTGGAATCTACGCAGAAAGAATCCGATGCAGATAATCTTCCAGACGTTGAGTAAGTCTTCCCACCAGAGTTCGCGTCCTTGGTTCCATTAGAATAGCGAACTTATGGTCTTTTCTCACAGCGTCATCCATGTCATGGCGATTGGCAAAGAAGAAGGCCGGCTTAGTCTTGAAGCTCTATTTCCATCATCAATGACTAGTAGAAGAAGAGAATTTGCCTTTCGATGTAATATAGCAAGATTCCTTTACGGCGACTTCACGAACCAGGCCATTGATGACCTTGCCCGACAACTTCTCCAAAGCCTCATTATTTTGCAGAAGCAGGATAAACATGTCGGTTTCTATCTCTCGACTGATCTAATATCATATATGAAGTTGAGCTAATTCAGGAAGTAGAAATCAAGAAGAGCGATCGTGTTTGTCGCTTATGACTTGGGAGCATTAGTTGTCAAACAAGTGTGTACCATACACCCATACTTGATGATTTAATAAAACTTGCTGATCAGGACAAAGGCTATTTGCATTGCCGGCGCGAATCAGCAACAGTGGCCAGGAATTTTTATGAGTACGGCCCTTTCTGTATGTATTGAATTTCTTTATTACAAGCCCTGATTTGACTTGAGAGATACCTGGAATTCAATGCTATTTCATGGTATTTGGATTTTTTCTTATTTAAACAAAAAAAGAAAAAGAAAAAGAAAAAGAAAAAGAAAAAGAAAAAGAAAGGAAAGAAGAAAGGAAAGAAAAATCCTAACGTGGAAATGTGTAGATATTCTCAGGCTGCTTCCAGCGGACGAATAACAGCCAAATGCTCGACTCCAAAATATTCCACTACCTTACGTCTCATACAAACGCCATTCGTGAGATCCCTGTAAGTTCTCTGTCTTTGACCATCAGAAGTATTGCAAAATATGTAGTAGAGATCACCGAAGCTTTCGTCGCTTCCAAAATCACGCTGCGAAGTCAGGTTATAAGTCTCTATGCAGGCCCAAACAAGCAAGGGAAAATATCAGATGCAAGTGATTAGTTTAATGCGAGGGCAGCACGATGAGTTACTCATATCATACAGATATTTGACTATACTACGGCAACAATTGGAGTTCCAGACGAGGTGACTATCCAAGAGCAAACACAGACAGGCAAACCCCCATTTCCGGGTTTATGTGCCAGAATGGCTAACATGAAACGTAAGTGCAAAATTCCACTTGATAATCTCTATATTCACAATATCAGATTGGGCCCCCCACAAGCTCTGGATTCCTATTGAACAAACCCTTGTGGCACTCGCCCCGGCGCATCGTCTGTTGTCGTCAGAATGTGTTGTAGACTCACATCCAGTGTTTTGCTGCGGAGAGCACAAGACATGGATGGCATCTGCCGGTGCGCATGTACTCTGTATTCGGGGTGACGATAATAATGGAGTAATGGCGGCAGCGGAACAGGTACTCCTCCGTTGGAGACTTGAACGGAGAGAATCTTATCAAGGAGAACGGATAACTTCCCCCTTTTCTTTTGTTTTCTCTTCCAGTGATCCTCTGCATCTCTCAATGAAGGATATGCTTTGTTCATTCTTGCTCTCAATACTGGCCAACACTGCGACCGGTGCAGTTAACGAAGAGTACAAACTCATGAAGGACCAGTTGATACTCCAACATGCATGGACGGAGATGGATTTGTTCAAGATCTTCACGACGCTTTCTCCCACAATCATCGGTCCAGATATGCTCCTCTTACTACACAATGTTGAGGAATGTGACAAGAATGGTCGAGAAATATTCTGGAGAACGTTGAGCACTATTACAGCCACAACCGAAGTGCCATTCAAGGTTGTGGTAACGTGCAAGAACCCTTTTGATCTCTCAGATGAGTTGCATCAGTGGCCAGATATCCCTGTCACCACATATAATATTGGCGATAAGAAGGAATATTTAAGCCAGAATGCTGAGGGTAAATACTCAGACGACCTGTTATCCATGTTATGTCCTGGTGGACATGGTGAGGCTAAAATCCGAAAAAAGCTAATTGAGCTCAGATCCATGAAGACCAAAGATCTGGACACAATTCTGAAACTAATCATGGATCTCACAGATTGGCCTCAGGATGTGTCACAAAGATCACTGCGTGAATTTTATCACCGTCTCCAGGCTGTCACTCTGAAATCTACACCGGCTGATATCTTAAGGCAATCCCTCCAGGATATCTTGGACAGGGATGGCCTTAGATGGATATTGAATTGGCTCTTGAATGGACAGCAACCTCTAAGCTACAATCAATTAGCAACGGCGTTATTTCACTTTAAGCGTGGAAAAGATGACACATTCCATGCACCATCCCCTACTGAACTGCAGGAGCCCCTATCCCATCTTCGTTTATGGGTTCGGGGCATCACAGAGTCTTTCAGTGGCCAGGTCCGCTTACGAGAAGAGTTTCGGGGCTATTTCCAAAACAAGTCGAACCACCTTGAGGACTATTTAACACCATCTGAAAATATTTTGGTATTCCTGTTCGACTACTTGACTTCGCCAGAGATTCAAGGACGCCTAGACTCTCTATACAACCAATATCAATCTAAAGTTGGGTGCTCTGGCAATCATATTACGCCACCGCTTGTCACGGATGGCCAAGACTTTATTTTTTACGCAATTCAGGCTCTTCCGTATCACTTGTCGCAAGATCCAAACTTTCTGCTAAGCAAAAGTGATATGTTAACAGCCATTACCAGCAAACTGATTCCATGGTCGAGGGTATACTGGGCCATGAGTAATCCGTTCTCTCGTCCCAAATTTGAAGCATTGCAGTCACCATTTGAAACACTTCTCACATTAGGGAATTTGGGACTGGAAGCTGTTTCCGCTTTGAAAGAAATACAATACTCAACATGCCCGCCTACAACTAATACCCACGAGATGAGCAAAGCGCCCGTGTCTGTAGGGATGAACTCTCTCTCCGACGCCATTAGGGAGGGAAAAGAGAATGCTGCGTTGTCTCTTGCGGAGGAATTAATACTGGCATCCGGAAGCCAAAACAAAGTCAATGGAGAAACTGCTACTTTGCAGGATAGTTCGAAAATAAGTTGGCCGTCGTGGTTTTTATGGAGAGCAGTGTGGCTCAACATGGACCGACTAGTCGCTCTGCTCTTGAATAACGGCATGAAGGTGGATCCCGAAGACGGTGATTCCATATTTTTCCCCTCTCCATTATACATGGCTGTACGCCTAGGCCATGCTCTCATAATGGAAACATTGATAGAGCGTGGAGCGAGGCTTGATGTGAAAAGACCTGGAATGGACAATCTGGTATGCTCTGCTGCTGTCAGTGGTAGCATACATGCTATCAATTCCTTGATGGTCAAAAACAAGTCACTACTGAAAGTACAAGAACTTGAGAAGCCACTATATGCTGCGTCTCTCTATGGTAACTGGAAAGCGGTCAAGAGGCTTCTAGAACTTGGAGCCGATCCAAACTCGGGCATAGGAGAAAGATCTAACGATGGGGGAGCCCCTCTCATTGTTGCAGCCGAAAGGGGCAACATAAAAACAGCCCAGATGTTACTCAAGCACAACGCCGATCCAAACATTATCGGGCCAAGAAAATTCAACACTCCGCTATGGTTTGCCGCTGTCAAATCAGCCAAAGCAGATTTGGTTTCCCTTCTCCTCGATCATGGAGCAGATCCCAACCACAAGTTGATAAATCCACCGCTGCTCGTAGAAATTATAACGGCTTCGCCTATGCGAACCAATAACAAGCTTGCAATTCTCAGCTGCTTAACCAAAGATTCAACAGCCCTGATCAACATTGCTCATGCAGGAGGCATGACGCCGCTCCTCTACGCTGCAAACGAGGGAGACTTGGATATTGTAAAATGGCTTCTAGCGTACGGGGCAGATATCAATGCGACAGACAACCAAGGTCACAGCGCACTGTGTTATGCTATTGCAAAGATGCATGTCGACGTAGTCCGAGAGTTATTACGTTGGGAGCAAAAGCTTGACATCTTAACTAAATCCGGAAACACGCTCCTTGACATGGCAATAAACAACGTCTCAGTGGTGCAAATGCTACTGGATGCCGGCGTCAATAGTGAGTGGCCGAACAGAGATAATCAAACCGCTATCAATACGGCCGTCATTATGAGGAAGACAGATGTTGTGAAGCTTTTGGTTGAAAGGGGGGCGAATATCCACCACCGGGACAATACCGGCGAGAGTCCGATTCTGAATGCAACAAGAAATATACCGAATGCGGAGATCATACGTATCTTACTAGATGGCGACGCAAACCTTCGTGACGAGGACCCGGATTCTAAGTACACTCCCCTGCACTATGCGATGAACCAGGAGAAAGATATCGCCAAAATACTTCTGGAATTTCGCAATAATATTGACCTGGAGAAACGCGATATCAATGGCAGAACCGCCCTTTTGGTCGCTGCTTGGGGTGGTAGATTTGAACATATTAAGCTTCTGGTCGAAGCTGGAGCTGACATCAATGCGCAAGACCATTTGGGATGGACAACGCTATCATATGCTTTGTGTCACTCGTCCGCTTTCGAAGTTGTTGACTGGCTCCTCTGGCAACCCGCCATGGAAATAGATACTATAGGAACTCCAGTTGGAACGGCACTCATGGTGGCTTGCTACTCACTGAATGAAGAAATGGTCTTCAAGCTTCTTAGTCGAGGCGCAAATCCGAACATGCCAACAGGATATCGATACTGCAACAACGCCTTGAAGGCCGCGTGCAGACCTTGGAAGAAACTAAATTTAACATACGAGGAGCGCATGCACAAGATAGATGCGATTATCTACATGCTGGTGGAGTACGGCGCTGATGTTGATGCCATGGAAGGGAACACCATCTATAATGCCATTTCCGCAGCCTCGTTTTCTGCGGGTAGCAGTACCATCAACTTGCTTTCGAATATGGGGGCGACAGCGGAAACGGCTGATCCTTTAGGTCGATTCCCCCTTCATTTCGCCGCGGCAAGTGGTCTCAAGAACTTCGAAGTCATGCTACGTCTTCACAAGGGGAATTTAATGGTCCGTGACTGTTCCGGAAGGACTGTCCTACACTGGGCGGCCCAATTTGGCCATGTGGAGACAATTGAAGCCATCTTGAAGATAATGAGCCCCTCAGGAAAATCAAGACGGAACTATATCAACCAACCTGATATTGATGGGTGGACGCCGCTCTGCTGGGCCACGCAGCCATTAACCAAATACAATGGTTTCTACCCCAACTTGCGGTTTGAGCCTTATTCACAGAGGGAAGTTGTGAAATATTTGATCGATAATGGAGCTGATAGGGGCGTTACATTTAACATAGAAGCAGAAGACAACGTCGAAACATTTACACTAGTACAAATGGCCAAACTTTGCAATGTTAAAGACGACATCATCAAAATGTTGGCGGATGACCTGGATGGCACCTCAACGAAGAACATAGCAGACAACAACGGGGATGTCGAGCGAAGATATGCGTGTGATTCTACGACCTGTAGCATATGTTTCAATGTAAGTCGACTCGTATTAAATCAGCCTGACATAGCAATACTGACAAATGCCACCATTTCGTTTCATAGGCAATATTTGGCTGCCAGTACGAATGTCAATCTTGCCTCGAATTCAGCGCCTGCAAGAAATGCTACGGGAGGATAAACATCTATCATGGTCACTTCACACTTGAAGACGGAAAACCGCACCAATTTGTGAGTCTCAAATTCGACGGTCAAGACTTCTACCAAATCGATGCCTTGGAGGCTTTTATGGCGGAAAACGGTCAAGATGGGGATGATGATGAAGATGAGCTACCACCTAGTGTAGGGAGGGATGGGCTGTGGACCGAGGGCTACCATAAAATGGAGTTATGTGATGATGATGATGATGATGGCAGTTCTGTAAGGAGCTTGGTTTAGAGAGTTGGAGATATTGGATCTTATGAATATATGCAGGCACCTAGTAGACTAATTATTTTCTCTAATCCGTTGATCTGCCAATCCGCCAATCCGCTTCATCAACGCATGCACATATCAAGGGACATATGTGTACGTACCTCTAAGATTCCATGTTGTCCCATCAGCCCCGCGACCCCACCAAAAAATCGAGCGCCACAGTTCCAGCCACTAGCACCAACCAAATCATCAATATCATATGGACATTCTTCATCACAAACCACAGCCTCGCCTCAACTCCATTCAATCGCATCACAGCCACAGCCTCTCCCTCCCTCTGCCTCCCTCTCCCTCCCTCTCGCGATATACAAGATACCCACGCACAGATACATGGAGTCTCGTCCATCATAGCGCCCAATGCCATACTTTAAAACGAGCCAGGAATGGCTCGACCTCTCCGTCGCTCTGCTTGAGGCTCGACCCTCTCAGGCAAGTTTCCCTCCTTCTCCTCCTCTTCCCTCCCTCAATCCCCCAACAGCTCCTTCAAACCACATGGCACCAGGCCCCTTCTAACGATATCTCCCATCAAATAGACCCGCGTCACCGCGAAATACTCCATCAAGCCCGTCAAACCCCGCAAATCCGACCCCAGCTCCGCCGACGAATCCTCCCCCTCGGACCCAAAACCCCCCCGCGGCAGCCTCGTCCTCAAGACCTACGACCCCGTCAGCGGCGTCGCCCTCAAGTACCGCACCACAAAGGCCGCAGAGGTCACGCGCCTCATGTACGCCGCCATGGGCCGCCTGGGCAGGGCACAGGCAAACGTACAGGACGTTCCAGAGGAGACGATGCAGGATGCTGATGCGGTCGAGACGCCTCAGGGTGAGCAGACGCCACAGCAGACACAGCAGCAGGGTGCGGCGGGTGGTGGTGGTGGTGGAAAGAAGAAGAAGAAGGGCAAGAAATGAATATGAAACGGGATTGAATAGACCATGGCTTTTGGCTGATATGAATGCGGATGTGGAGTGGACATGAATGCGGACTCGCTCAAAAAAACTTTGAAAACCGGCCTGAGGATATCCAAGGAGCAAAACAAGAATCTAGAAATGGAAATGTACAAGCACATCACAAGGCATGGGCAAACTCCAAGTCATCATTCCTACAGGTCTATTTGCTAGACTTCCTCTCTCCTGTATATACTCCTCCACTATATATTCCACACAATATGCTTATCACCAGGCATGAGCAGACTCCAAGTCATCATTTAGCCAGATCTATTCTCTGGGCCATTTATTCCATAGCTACGTACTCCATACAGTGTATCATGATCCAACACGTTCCGCAATTATCATCCCCTGAGGGAAGAAGCACATCGCATTCATCAAAACAAAAACCCAAATGCATAACCTAAACGCCCGCAGTGTTTGTGTGAACCTCTGAACCAATAAAATGGGACACCCTAGAATGAGTTCCCAAAACCACTGTGATACTTCAACGCCGTCTTTGCCAATCCAACCCGCGGACGGCTCTTATTGCAAATATACAAGCTTCCGATTGTGAAGCAAGAAAAGTGAAGAGATGAGAGAAAAAATGCGAGAAAAAAAAAAAGAAGAGTTGGGATATGAAGAGCATGACTTAAAAGTCATCGTCGAAGGAAAAGTCACCGCCGTTTGAGTCCTTGGACTCAGCACCGGCCTCCTCGACAACCTTCTTGGTGCTGTTCATGACACCGGCCTTCTGGTAGTCGGCAACACGCTTCTCAAAGAAGTTGGTCTTGCCACCAAGAGAAATGTTCTCCATAAAGTCAAAGGGGTTGGAAGACTTGTAGATCTTCTCGTTGCCGAGAGCAACAAGCAGGCGGTCAGCAACAAACTCGATGTACTGCTTCATCAAGTTGGAGTTCATGCCCAGCAGGGCGCAAGGGAGAGCCTCGGTCAAGAACTCCTGCTCAATCCGGACGGCATCAGTGATGATGTCACGGATCACCTCCTTGCTGGCGCGGTTCTTGAGGTGGGAGTGCAGCAGGCAGGCAAAGTCGGTGTGCAGACCCTCGTCACGAGAGATGAGCTCGTTGGAAAAGGTCAGGCCGGGCATGAGACCTCGCTTCTTGAGCCAGAAGATGGAGGCAAAGGCACCGCTGAAGAAGATACCCTCAACGGCGGCAAAGGCAACCAGGCGCTGAGCAAAGGAAGAGTTCTTGTCCTGGATCCACTTGATGGCCCAGTCAGCCTTCTTGCGAATGCAAGGGATAGTCTCAATGGCGTTGAAGAGGTAGTTGCGCTGGCTGTTCTCCTTGATGTAGGTGTCGATGAGCAGGGAGTAGGTCTCGGAGTGGATGTTCTCCATCATGATCTGGAAGCCGTAGAAGCATCGAGCCTCGGGGATCTGGACCTCGCCGCTGAAGCGCTCGACCAGGTTCTCGTTGACAATGCCATCAGAGGCGGCAAAGAAGGCCAGGATGTGAGAGATGAAGTACTTCTCGTCATCGTTCAGGCGGTTGTTCCAGTCGTGCAGATCCTTGGACAGGTCAATCTCTTCGGCGGTCCAGAAGGAAGCCTCGGCCTTCTTGTACATTTGCCAGATCTAATTGAGCGCTGTTAGACAATTGGTGATTCCATTTTTTTGCTTCCCTGCAGTATAGTGGGGGTGCCACTTTACGCGTCAAGACGCGACAGGGGAGGGGGGTTGCCCGCATACCTCATGGTACTTGATGGGGAACAAGACGAAGCGCTGAGGGTTCTCTTGCAGGATGGGCTCGTCAACCTCATCGGGCTTGATTGTGGGAGCCACGGCGGGCTTGGCCTCCTCCTTCTTGAGGGTCTCGGAGGGCTTGTGGTTGTCGTCCATCTGCTTGGCAAGGCTCTCGAGAGCGGACTCGTCGAGAGGCTGGTTCTCCTTGTTGGCAGCGTCGAAGTTGATCTTCTTGACGGGGGACTCGATCTTGAACGAGTCAATGGCAGAGGCAGCCTATTCGAGAAGCTGTTAGCTTGCGTTCTGAGTGCTGTTGATACTATTCTCCAGATCACGGCTCAGTGAAACCGGCTGTACTCACCTGCTTGGAGGGGGTGAGTTCGGTGGCCATTGGTTATGATGGTGGGCGAGGCAAGGCAAGACAGCAGGGCAGAGCGCGTAAAGTGGAAAGAAGAAATCAAAAGCGAAATTAATTGCTCTGGGATACTGTGCAGACGCGGTGGTTTGACAGAGAAGACATTTGCAGCATCGCGGGTGGCGCCAGAGGTTTTTGTAAACGAGCAGAGCAGCGCTGTCACGTGCGGCGCGACGCGTTCAGGACGTGTTTCCAGCGGGTCGTCCAGCGGGTCTGGCAGCCTATTAAGCATCCCTGGGAGGCTGGGCGGCCTGAATCGGGCAAGGGCTACAGGGATGGCAGCTGGTCAACAGGTACCGAGCAGGTACTCGCCAGGGCTGCTCGCCGCCATGGTGGGGTGCACAGCTGCGGTGCACCAGCCACTGCTGAAAGTGCGGCGGCGCTGGCAGACGCGTGAAGCAGCTTGGTCGCGTCAAGGTACTGCGCTACCTTGATGACTCCATGATCCTGGCTGGCTTTCAATGGCTTGGAGGGCTTGAGCAAATGATGATGCGAGAGACCCTCTCAGCTCCCTGTTTATCAATCTTGAATCAGCAAAAACAAACACCTTTGGATCTCGTGTCGGTGGGGCCACCGTCAGGCTGTGACTTTTTGTTTTTGCCGGAGCTCTCTCGTACAATGTGCAGCGTATAATATGCGTGCAACGAGCTGGTACTACTACTGCTGGATCGTCGTATGATGGAACAGCTTCACAGCTTCACAGCTTCACAGCTTCACGGCGCAGTATGGCAAAGCACAATCACAAGCGTGAAAGGCCCAAGCTTCCTGGTTTCGATTTTTTTGACCCAGGCCCTGTCGCTTTTCCAGCAACTCCGAGCGAGCAGCTCCAGAGGCGTGGGGCCACAGGTCTGAGCTCTGGAACGCGAGAAATCTCCATACGGGCGTCAAAGACTTACTTTGGGTTTCACGCTCAAGCTTGCTTACTCGGTACTAGCATCAACTCTAGGGGACGTCTTATGAATTCGTGACTGAGAATTACAAAACCCAATGGCAAAATAGCGAGTCTTGCTCGGCGGAGATACGGAGTACTGTACGGAGTATGAGCCATTGTTTTCCTCTGCCGACAAGCTGACTCGGCAAGGCCAGTAGTACAGTAGTGCGTACGAGTATATGCAGCTAGGGTTTCTGCAAGGCGATTTGCATGCATCTCAAGCTACAGAATAGACTAATCCTTGCCCTAGTCCGTCTTACTCAACGTGGCAGCACGTCGTTAATCAACGTGAAATGAAGCCGTGAGATACGAGTGCTGTACAAGTCATACACGTACTTGTACGGATACAAAGAATCGGATAGATAGGAACGCTTCCTTCACCGCATCAACCCTCGCTGCTCCTGGTAAAGCCGGACTACTGAGGTGCTGCTGCTAGTCCTGGCGTCTCTTGTCTGAAACAAAGAGATCCTTTGTCAATGCACTTGGGTTTCATTATCTACCTTATGCTGCATTATGTATCTTGATTTCTGTCTACCTATCTAGACTTGGTATCTAACATAGCACCTAATGCTATGCAACGCGAAACAATGTGAGCTTCTGGCCCATTGAAATAAAACACACCGTGGTATATCAAGTAATACCTCCAATCCATTCATTCTAGCTTTTTTTTATAAAGGAAAAAAAAAATTTCCTCGACACGACGCGTTGTAAAGTCTTCGCGCAATTACCATTATTCATGAATGCCCCTCCTCAACCACCCAATTTTGGCCTTTCCCATCAATGGGGCCATCGAAATGTGAGAGATCCACTCCCAGAGCTTCAAAGCTTCATACTCGTAATCATACAAAGAAACACGTTCCAGACATGCGAAAAAGTCCCGTTCCCAGACAAAAAAGATACGACCAACAAAGTGAACAAACAAAGGAGATTCATAGCGGGGTGCTCAGACAAACGACCCGGCGATATGCGCCCCCTGCGTAAAACTGACAAAGAACCGTGCAAACATCTCTAAGACGCCCCATTATCGTCTACCCTTTTGCTTGCCGGTTTGACGTGAGCTATAATGTGTGTCTCGGTGTACCTGGCCCATCTCAATGTCGTGTGGGCGAGTCTGGCTGCGGCCAAAATATCCGCGCACATCGTGAACTCGATCTGGCGCTCGTGGGGCGATCGGCTCCTGGACTTCAGGCCGGGCCGGAGATGGTCGGCGAGACGGAGAGTCCGACTGATACTCCGGGGGGTCTTCTCGCTGAATCCTGTCGTACTCCTCGGCACTGCTAGGATCGATGGCCGGGATGGGCTGTCCGCTTTTGCGCAATTCCTTTTTGCCCTTTTGACGCAGATGCTCCTCCAGCAATGCTGCGTTGCGGGTGTTGGCGCGGAATACGGCGTCGGCCAGATCTCCAAGGAAGGGAACCAATCCAACGGCAAAGTCGAGAATAATGTTGATCAGCATCTTGACCCGAACCGCGGTTGGGAGGCCACCCTCCACTTGGCAACACGTCCTGTACACCATAAAGGCCATAAAGGCATCGAGTGCATCGCCAGCGCTGCGAAAAAGTTAGCAACAAATCCAATTCATCTTCCCAAGTCTAGGGTGAGGAGTGGGGTGCATCACTTACGCAGGGATTAAACCGATGACGCTGCTCCATCCAAAGCGAATTCCAAGAAAGTTGAACAGGCACATGTCTAGACGATATGCTCGTCTCTTGACCTTTGTCAAGACTTGGCCATCGTGTTCTGAGATGCCGGGCGGCAGAGCCTTCTTGCGCTTCTTGACCTTGCCCGTAGGCCTCCCGTCGAGTCTGGTGGCGGGGACTTGCTCAAAGTAGGGATCCTGGCGCAGAGATTGTCAGTATTTCGTGATCAAGCCAATAAAGATTAGAAAATGATGTTGTGCTTTACCTCTTTGCCAAACTTGTTCTGGAGCGACTCTCCCAGAATCTTCTTGCTGATGGTCTTTGCTAATAAGCTCGTCATGGTAGCGGTGTTTTGAGACGGCGGGAAATGTGTAAGAGGCGATGTTTTCTCAGGCTCTAGGAAAAGTCGAGGAAATGGATATTTATGCTTCTTTGTCAAAGCAAAGTAACACAATCAAAGCCTTGTCAAAGGGCCAGATGCTGGCGGCCTGGTCGATTGGAGAGGCGCTTGCTGTCGTTTGTTTCAGAAACCGCTGTTGGGCGGCAGCTGTTTTTAGAGCTCGGGCTCTGATAGCCAACCAAACAAGGGCCGACAAGGCGAGACAAGGCAATCAAAGGACAGGCGGCTGCGCTTGCAAGGGACGAGAGTAAAAAAAGAATGAAACAAAAAAAACAAAGGACCGGTCTGCGTTTTATATCCCGTGTCGAGAAACGAGGACTAGAGGAGCAGTGAATGGCGTCGCTCACATGGCCCGACCCTGATAACCTGTTTTGGCTGCTTCTCAACACTTCTTCATGATGTAATCCAGCTGCTGCAGCGACGTGGATCATGGGAGCGGCGTTGAGGCCGCTGGAATGGTGCTGAATCGGCGCTGCATCAGCCAATGAGACGTTGCCGGAGGTGCCCCAGCGCCCGCTAAACGTGGTCTTGTTACAGGGGAATTTTTAGTGGCCGATATAGCTGGCTGCCTCTGACGTTTTGCCACGGCAGATCTGGCGCCAAGATCATTACAGGAACATCCAATACAAGTGCAGTGAGTTGCAGTGAGTTGGTGCTGCACCGCCACGCCGATGCAAGCCACGCTGTGGCAATGCCGTTGGGCTGAGTGGCTGAAGCTATCTTTCTGCAGGCGCACTGTGTGGCTTGTGTGGCGCTCGAACAAAGTTCCGTGAAACCCCTCCAACGGAGACAGTGCGAACTCTGTTGTCCCTCCCACCAACATTGACCTGATTTGTACATAGTACGGCTGCAACGGCCAGGCGGGCAACAACCTTCACCTATCTCGCAGCATCTGATAGCTTCACCATCTCTTGGGTCGGCAAACTCCATCTCGGCATATCCATCGCATCGCTGCCAGCACAGCCATTGTATCGGCAAAACTCCGCTCTCCAACTCAACGATACGCCGGGCGACCTCGCTCTCATCGGTGGCTGAAGCGCGCGTCGCGATCTAATCCTCAGCTGCAGAACCTCGGAACGATCGACCATGCCCATTATCCCGTCACATGTCCGAAGCGTACTCAGTCTGGCAAAGTCGTGAAGACCGTATGATCAAGCGTTATATTATTAATCAGGGCATGGGGCTGAGCTGAACATATTCAACAAAAAGAGAGACAAACATGGCTCAGAAACAGATGCAGCTGGAAGACTGTATGCCCCGACCTCTTCACCCCGCCTGCCGTGCCAGTCTTGACAAGGTGCTGATCTATTAACTCTGCTAGGGCTGGACGACTTATGCGTCCGGTTCATCATCAACCTTCCGCAGGAGGACCTGTCCTCGGTTGCTCGACTATGTTTCCAAGTTGAAGAGGCACAATGGTTCTACGAAGATTTCATCCGTCCCCTCGATCCGACCCTCCCGTCCATGACTCTGCGCACTTTTTGCCTGCGAATCTTCCAACACTGTCCGTTGCTAGCTTCCTTCTCCGTCGAGAACCATATCAAGGCATTTGAAGAGTTTCTGCAGTACAAGACTCGAGTGCCCGTTCGTGGCGCTATTATGCTCAACCATGAGATGGACTCGGTTGTCCTTGTCAAGGGCTGGAAGAAGGGGGCTAGCTGGAGTTTTCCTCGTGGCAAAATCAACAAGGACGAAGACGATCTGGACTGTGCGGTGAGGGAGGTCTACGAAGAGACTGGCCTGGATCTCCGAGAAGCAGGGCTGGTGCCAACCGAGGCGAAGCCAAAATACATCGAGATCCCCATGAGAGAGCAGCATCTCCGACTCTACGTCTTCCGAGATGTTCCCATGGACACGGTTTTCCAACCTCGAACGAGGAAAGAAATCAGCAAGATTGAATGGTATAAGCTGTCTGATCTACCTACTCTTCGGAAAAAAGGTCCCCAAAACAACAACCATCAATATGACTCCAGTCCTGGGACCAATGCCAACAAGTTCTACATGGTTGCACCCTTCCTGGTCCCCCTGAAGAAGTGGATTGTTTCCCAGAAAAAGATTGACGAAAAGAGGTCATTCAGTGGAGGTATCCAGGCCAATCCTGCCCACCACCATCATCATCACCATCGGATGGCCATCGAAGAAGACCCCACCGAGGATGAGGCGTGGGTGCCCAATGTGGACGCCCCAGCGCCGGCCATTGAATCCCTGGATGGAGCCACTCGAGAATTACAGCGCCTGTTGAATTTGCAGCCATCGGTTCAACCACCGGTTCCAGTAGCTGAGGCGGTTCAGCCTGCATTCCAGCCTGCGCAAGCCCCCCCTGCAGCCGCTCCAAAGGACAAAGGCAGTGCTTTGCTCTCTCTTCTCCAGTCCTCGAGTTCTGCACCCCAGCACGTGCCCCAAGCACCCCCCCAGCATGTGCCTCAAGCACCCTCCCAGCTGCCTGATTTGCTGTCAGCTCTGATGCCGGCTGCACCAAGACAGCCTCAGAACCCGCAACACAATATCAACGCTGGGCCTCAAGCTGTGCCTCAAGCTGTGCCTCAGGCCATGCCCACCTTCCACCAGCAGCTCCCAAACTTTGCTGTACCTCCTAACCAAACCTCTGCCGCATGGAATATTCTGCAGAACAGGAATGAGGGCCAGGTTAGCGGTACACCACCTAACCACCCTGCCTATCCAGGATATGCCATCACGACACAGCAGACTTATACTGCTAGCTCTACTGTCAAGGCCAACCCACTGCAGCCGCTTCAAATCCTTCAAAGAGGACAGTCCATCCAACAGACTCAGCAAATCAGCCCTCCAGAGCCTCCCAAAGCCAATCTTGCTCCATACGCTGGACCCTACGACCAACCAGGACAGCTCCGTCCCGGGCAAATTGTTCAACCATCTCCTTCTACCCTGCCGATCCCTCTGAGTTCGTCATCTGCAGCAAACAACTACAACTACAGGCCCGAAGTGTCACAAGAGCAGAAGAGACAGCTTCTCTCTCTCTTTGGAACACCGAACAAAGCTGCGACAAACGCCCCGCCCGAGCCTGCTGTCCAGACTGGACCATCTGCGACCGGGCTATCCATGCCCCGTGCTGCGCCGCCGGTATCAGGAGCTGCTCAAGGACCCGGAGGTCTCCGTAATGCACCACCATCTCGCAATAGCAATATGACGCCGATATCGCAGGCCGACCAGAGCTTTTTGCTAGACTACCTGCAATCTATTACGAAGAATACTACACGTTAAATTAAAGATGAAGTGAAGCAAAAGGTGGAGCAGATTGTGTTTGCAAAGGGTTATGGGAATCTAGGAACGTGTTTGTAGGTACATTCTTTGATGGGGTCGCGGTAATAACAGCGAAGCAAGGCGAACCGGCTTATACTCTTTTGGTAGTCTGCTTGTCGGAATTTTGTGAGAGTTTCGACTCATGCCTGTGTAGTCTTGGGACTCAGAGCAGCGAGGATATCAATAACGATGCTATGAGCGTCTCGCGTATTTAATTTTTGAGATGCTTGTGTACGGAATTAGCGTCTTCGTTATTTGCATACCTACCTATGTATAGATATGCAAAACTACGTATTGGTGGAATTGGAAAGTATCACTGGAATAATTACTCCATATTGGTATTTGTATATGTTCAGCAAAACATGGGAGTTGAATAAATGACTCTCGAATATCTAGGTTAGACTCTATTTTTATTTCTCAGAATGTTTGAACCTTGACGCCCCCACCGAACAAGATGAAGGGGAAGAAACCACTGCCTTCAAATTCTCTACCAATAATCAGATCGCAAATGTATGAAGCAACATGACGCCAAGTTACCTAAGTCGTACTATGAGTATTGATAAGATACTGTAAAAATGTAGTTGCCTATTCTTCAGCCTCAAGAAGCTGGAAGCGGTTGCTCATATAGACGGATCGGCGAATAAGGGCAGTGGGAAAAGGGGCACGTCGACGAGGCCTGGCGGGCACTTGGTCTAGTGGCTGGGCACATTCATCAACGTCCCACTCGAGGCGGGAGCCCTTGTACTTGCTATATAGAAATAAAGGATTAGACAGGTCCTTTGAGCAACATGACATGGGGACAAAGGGGCTTACAGCCGGCTTATCATGCAGGTTCGCGCGTACATGGCGCTCGCCACGGAATTGGTGCTGATGTGGCACATGCCGCTGCGGAATTTAATGGACACGATTTCGAGGCCGTGAATGTGGTCGAGATCTTTGCGGATGGACGTCTCTGTGTGAGTGGGACTGCAGTTGCGCAGGACGAGATTGCGAGTTGTGCCGTTTGCAATGCGCTTGGCGAAGTGCTCGTGGAGATGTTGGAAGCGGTCCGATCTGCGGATGTCAATCTAGAGATTTAGGTTAGAGAGGGATAATTCCGAATGGAAGTCTTGGACGCTTGACTTGCTTTCTTGTTTTTGATGTATAGGCAGTTGTTGCGGACGTGGACGTAGTAGGCCTCAGCAGCTGAGCTCTCCGCAAAAGTTACCGTTGCAGTTGATGAACGACGCATGATGGAGATGTCAAATAGGATTCCGCCTCGGACTACGGCGGTGATGTCGGCGTATGTTGCGTCCTCAGGGATGTTGAGGAGCTGGACCGAACGAAACGATGGTTCCTCGAAGAGATTGAAGCTGCTGAGCGAGTGATCAAGCATGTCACTGGTAGTGGCGTCGTCCTCGTCATCCAAACATACACCGGAAGTCTCAAAGGACTCATACGTTGCGTTGCTCACAACGTCGCTTCTCTTTTGACTGCCCGAGAGGGATCGAGGTGGCGGAAAAGGATAGATGCCCAGCCGGGCGCCGTGGCTGATGAAGGAGCTGGGAGATGTGGCAATCGAACTCGAGTCGAAGTCGGGAGAGGCGTCGGAATAAGAGGCAGGTTCGAAGCTAGGAGCATTTGCGTTGTACACATGCTGATTTGGGACGGTGTTTGGGTATTGGGCTTGCTGCGAGCTCAGGCATGCGTTGAGAGCCTGGAGAGGAAGTTAAGAGATGTGAAAGAAGATAGGGATGGAAATTCTGACCTGGACGACTTCAACATTCTCGATGGGGGCATTAATGAGGCAGCGGCAGAGTTCGGCTACGAAATGGGTCAGCATCAATAGGATATGCCAACATGGATTCTGGAGGACAACAAGATGCGTACCGTGATTCTGAGCAGTGCGGACGAGATTCTCGTAATCTGTCCGAAGAATAGTTACCGTATCCTCAGATTGAGGTTCGGAGAACTTGGAAGCCAAATAGTCAGTGAATTGGCTGCGTGGTAGCTGGGGATGGAAGAGATGGTCGAACGCACGAGATTGCTACTATAATGAAATCGAGTTAGCAACGAGTATCCAGAAGCAGAGAGAGGACGATGGCAGAGGAAATGCATGGGGTTTCTCACCGAAGGGGCTGCATTTTGGAGGTCGTTGGAGGAGGATGAAGGTGGGAAGAAAAGCTGGCAGTAGCAGTAGAGGAGGAGGCTCTTTTATATGGCGGCTGGATTAACCGTGGTGGCCGTTTGCCAGCTGGCGTGGTTGGACGGCACCGAGACGGCAAACGGGTTTTACGGGGTGAAGAAAAAAAAGGATTTATATTTGAGAAGATAGGATTTCACATGGAGATAATGACGTTCAGTTGATTGGTGAATGCCGTACATCAATTGCAGATTTCGATGCTGGATGCACTCCGTTTTTGGGGCAAGCAGACTGCTTATAGCAAGGTACGGTTGTTGTGTAGTTTTTTTTCGCTCATTAGAAGCTCCATATCCTTTTATATTAACTATCAATACCTATTAATAATGCCATCAAAGCTCCATACTTCCAATTCGCATCTCGAGTTCACGTATGTCTGTGGGTTCTGCGTCGAATGGTGGCGGGACCAGAGCAAGCGTGGCTCTCCCATATCTTCTGTCGACGCATTTCAAAGCAACATCTGCCGTAATTTCAGCCCTTTTCTTTTATTGCATACTACAGCTGCCTAATCTCCTTCACAATATGAACGAATGGTCTATGCTGCGTTTATGCTTTGTAAGTGAGCCTGAACTGGCAAACTTGCCTGCAGGTTCCTCAGTAGATAGGTACATAATATATACAACTGTCTAGAAGTACTCCTGAATGGCAACTGTTTACTACTGGGCGCTTAAAATACCGCTAAACTAACGTATAATGTCGTATACTGAGTATTGGCTGAGATTTATCCGCCGTCATCGTCCTAACTGCTCATGTCCCGCTGTGTTGGCCCAGTCTGTGATTCGCCTCAGCTGGGAGGGCAACCCATAGAGCAGGAAAGAAACTCCAAACACATGCTCAACATAAATAACAAATAGTGCGTAATCTAGTTCTACAATAGTGAGACATTGGTATTGTTATCACCTAAGTTATGCTAGTCTATGACAACGCTAACAGGGATGCTTCAGCCGTTGTCTTAGACGGGGGTCCAAGCCAGCTTGCCAGCCACACGGATTGCGATGATCTATCTGGTTTTCAAGGCACGTCCTGAGACATACAGGTCGCTAAAATGTTCAATCTCGGTACGGGATAGTAGCACCACGTCATAGCCTCTAGGCTGTTGTGACACAAAAGTCGTGGACTAACACAGCCCTACTGTACGACACCCAGAATCTTGTTATGGATCTTCTTGGGCCATCAATGTTGTTTTTCCTGTTTGCCTAATTTCATATTATTATGTAGCCTAGTAATGCATCCCTTGATTACTATTGACCAGCTCTATTTTCTGCTATCTCCACCGGTCTTTTTGTTATTTAAGTCGCAGGGTACTCCAGCTGGCACAAGTTTGTTCGCATGGTTTCCAAACCACATCATATCCGGCTGCTATATTCAACGAAAAAAATGCTTCCTCTCGCTCATTCACTGGGCACAATCACGTCTGCCATTGTGTCGAAACTCTATGCAGTACTCATAGGCAGTGTGCCCACAGAACCGACTTTCAAGAACGACGTCGGCGGTGCCAAAGAAAAGTTCCCAAATGATGCCATATTCACCAGGCTCCTCCAAATGTCTATAGAGAGGCCTGGTTTGCTATTTCATGACGACTACGGCATTGATGCTAATTACGATGACTTGATCCGCGATGTCATCCACGTGCGTCGATTACTCCAGAAGCAGCTCCCGACCTCTTCATTCGACGCAAATGGTTCACTTCGGAAAGATGCGTCGTCAATCGCATTTCTTGCCTTTAGCGGATACAACTTCATTGTGAGCTTTTTGGCTATTGCGGCTTTAGGTGGCATATGCGTACCTCTATGTAAGTAAAAGGGCCCGTGAAAAGACAGAAGAGAATACTAAACGTATGGATCATAGCTACCGAGCTCAGCGCTGAAGAAGCAAGTTTCTTTCTAAAGAAAACGAAGGCAACATGTATAATCGCGGAAGCAAGAACCTTTGACATGGCCACAACCTTCAGAGATCATGCGCAAGTCCAGTCTGGCCAAATGTTGAGCTTGATACACTTGTCAAGGGCACCGTCTGAAGTGGAAAAGAGTCCAATCAGCTGGGAGATTGATCAAGCCTTGACATTTTCACCAACCAGTGGATGCATTGTTCTCTTCACCTCTGGGACTACTGGGTTGCCGAAAGGCGTTCTTCTCCCCCGTCAAATGTTCCACTTCACAGAAGCCCCTCCATCTCATGAAGTTGTTTATCTGGCATCTTGTCCCGTCCACTGGGTGGGAGGCACAGGCCTCGTCGACAGCGTGCTCAACGGCGAAAACTTACATATGATGCGCAATGGATCTGAACCTGGGGAGTTTTGGGATATCTTGCGGAGCGGTAGAATCACAGACATGAGCGTGTCGCCGACGCTGCTGAGAAGACTGATGGAGTACTACAACGATAATATCGGTCAACTTCCTTCCGAAGAACGCGAGGCTTATGCTAACGGAGCTCGAAACCTACGGTCTGTGTTTACAAGCGGCTCTATGCTCAATCCTTCTACTGCAAAACTGTTTGCGGATTTGACTGGCACGGCTCTTCGGAATGGATACGGGATAACGGAGATGGGCGGAGGAGTCATGGCGACTCCAGAAGGCTCAGCTATTTCCGAGGTGCGTACTCTGATTCGAATACCTGCAGCATGTACTCATTATTGTACAGGGCTACATTGGAAAGCCTTTTCCGGGCGTCACAGTGAAACTCTCTGATGGAGATCATGGAGAGATTTTGGTCAAAAGTCCTACCATGTTTATCGGGTTAGTCTATTTCAGCACGTTCCGAATTACTTCGAGCAGACTCTTCTTACCTTGTTTGCAGTTACTTTGACGATGAAAAGGCCACCGCTGCTTGCTTCGACGACGAAGGATTCTACAAAACAGGGGATCGCGCTCACCGCATCGGCGAGGACTATTACTTTGACGGCAGGATGTCTTGCGATTGTAAGTCATTCTTTTCCTTCTATCCATCTCCATCTCTCTCTCTCGTTTTTTGCACCTCAAAGCGTTCGCCAGATCTATTTAACTGATGATGAATGTCTAGGGCTCCGGTTTCACGAGTACACGATATCTGTCCTGGAGCTTGAGCAGCGCTTGATGGACCTTCCATATATATGTGAAGCTCACATTCTCCCGGTACGAGATCACCATGCTGGAGGATTAGCGGCTGCGCTGGTTCGTCTTCGCAAGCAGAATGCCGATCAAGCACGCAACATCACCCTTCAGACTATTCGGGAGGATCTCGCCGGCGCCGGATTAGTTTCGTATAAGCTACCGACACTTGTTCGTTTCATCCAAGATGGGGAGCAAGTGCCACATACGGCTTCTGGAAAGGCGCAGAAAAGGGAAGCTCTACAAAAGTACTTTAACATAGTTGGCCATCTACCGGATCAGTATGAGCATGAAGGCGTGGAATATTGGGGAAACAAGCTGGATTTGGCAACTTCGTCACGACTGTTTGACTGGGGAGGTCTGTAGATGTTTTCCAATGCGGAGGATGTAGCCTTGGAATTGAACCTCATTATTTTGTAGATTTTCTAGTATTATGGCTCATGTTCAGAGCTGGTTCAAGTCAGTAAAAGGCTATACCAAGGCTCTGAGCCAAATACATGTGGCTAGAATCGCATTTTGGGTAACCCAACCGTAGAAATACGAGCTGTGCTAACAGCAAATTTGGTAAAGAGAGACAATTGTTCAAATGCTCTAATAATAGGCAATGAGGTTCCCGATGAGCAATCAATACTGCAAGGCCAAAGCTATGTTATCGGTCCGAGGAACAACTATTCAATGGCTTAGCCAGTAGTTGTGTTGCTTCGTGAGCTACTGGCTCTCTTTGAAGATGGATTGCACCACCACTCAGCAAACCACGCATATCAACACGCCTGCGTGTCCGGCCAGATGAAAACATACAAAATTAATGCTCACAATGAACAAAAAAAGCAAGAAAAAAGAAAAAAACATACAACAGCCGGTGTTCGCTGATGGTCACCCACTCAACTACTAATCTGCCGGTTAGAGGCTTGTCTATGGGGGAGCAGACGGGATCCCGAATTCTCTATTATCTACGTTGTATGGTCTGCGGCTTTAGCGGTCGTTGAAGTAGAATTATAAGTTATTGTGATGCGTGGTCCTCAGTGTAGGCAATTATACTGATGTTGTATCCATCGACAACTTCTGTACGCAACTTTAACCTGTCACATTGATGACGTTGGCAATAGAGTATGTGGACCAAAATAACGCAAGATAAAAAAAAAAATATAGTACCATAGTACCATATCTACATCTATCAGTAATGCCTTCTATCCTTCTATCATCCTTAATAGTGTCTAGCACCTGAAATAGGCAGAGGAGTTACACAGCTGTCTTTTTGGCTAGGAACTGTTCTGCGGCGTTCGCGCGGGCCATTTGACTCTCCTCTCTGCCCGCACATACAGATTATTCGGCCTAATCAATTGGAACATCGGGTCATATTCAATGACTCCATCCCCATCCCGAATGAACTTGTACCGATATATCAGTTTTGGCAGGAAAACTTTGATCTCTTGAAGTGCGAAGTTGAATCCGATGCACATCCGTGGCCCTGTACCAAACGGCACGTACGATGCCTTGTGCCTATTTTTCACCTGTTCTGTATCCCACCTATCCGGGTTGAAGTGGGCCGGATTGTCCCATAGGCTGGGGTTGTTATGGATATGATGTAGGGCAGGTATTAAAACTGCATCCTTGGGTAGCCTGTAGCCCCCCGGTAAGATAAGATCAACCTTTGCCGTGCGACCGGGCTGGAAAGAAGGGTTATGTCGACGCTGGGTCTCTTTAATATACTTGTCAAGAAAGTCTAGACGGTCCGTAATGTCTGCTGTAATTTGGGTGTTTTCATCGATACCGTGATCGATCAGTTCTTGAAGGAGCCTCTCCTGCATACCTGGGTATGTAACAAGACCATATATAAGCCAGGACAGTAGGGAACTAGTTGTTGTGAATCCAGCAGCAGTCGCAACCACTAGAGCCCAGACTAAACTAGACTTAGGCAGTTTTTCGCCTTTATTATCAGTGGCACGCATGGCATAATCTAACAGAGGTTAACCGCCTATTATGGATTATGGATTGGATGGTAGAGAAAAAATATTACTTACCAACCATGTTCGACGCTTGCAACGCAGCATCTTGAAGTGGCAGATCAGTAACCCCCCCTCTTGCGGCCGTCTGAATAGACTGATCCACTAACTCTTCCACACGAGCCTTTACTACCTTTAACTTTTGGGGGTCCCCAAAAGGTAATTTGCTGTACCAGGTCCCTTTTGATGTAACCTTTTTGTTAAGAGAAAGGAGATCCGCGATTAGATGCACCATCTCATGGAGGGGTGCATCCTGGGAAGTAAAGTGCTGGAAGTCTAAGCCAAGTGTAAGCTTGCCAACTGCTTGCGAACCAAGCTTTAGCATATATTGATACACATTCCATGCTTTGTTATTACGATCGAGCTCATCAAAGACTTCATAGGCTTCCTCCACTGTCTTCTGCATCGTAGGTGCGTAATGGCGGACTGCTTTAGGGCCAAGGGCGGGAGGCAGAAACTTATGTGCCACCCTCCACTCGGGAGTGTCTGTATCACCTAGGAAGATGCCAGCCGCTGGGGTTTTAAGGCCAGCGAGAGGATGGGACTCGTTGATCTTTTTTGAGAAAAAATCAGACTCAGCAAAGGCAATTGCTGAAATAACTGGGTCATTAGTCTGATAGACTGTGCGCCCCATATTAGTTGTTTTGAAAATGGGCCCATATTGGTCGAAGAGACGCTGATGATTCCCAAGATGGTCTGGGTAGACCTCCAAGTAGTTCCCAACATAGGGTAAACCTTGAGGTCCTGGTATATCGCGCACTTCGTGTCCATCTATTGTAATGGCCACGGGACTGCTGGAAGAGACGACCTCAGATAGCTCTGATAGGAACTTGTCTTGAGCTTGGAATCCAATACCTGTCCACCAGTTAGGATATGTTGGTCTCAAGAAAGATAAGACGCCGAGAAAGGGGCAAAATGGACTTTCGTACCATTTGGCTCGACAATAGCAAAATGAGCGGCAACAAGATGCTTGAGCCCATCAAGGTCTAATGTTGTGTCCACATCAATGTGCTTCGCGGAGGAGATTGGCTCCCCAAGGAAATAAAATTGTTGTTCAGGCATAGTGATAGTGCGATTGATGTAAGCCTCGTATGGATTACCTTTCGGGTGTGGTCTCTGGATTAAATATATACATATTGGTAACTATACAAAGCAAATCTTACAAAATTCTCGTCCATGATGATGCAACTATAGACAGACTGGCATCCAGATCGATGACCAACCAAAGGAAAGAGAGTACCACGGTTCGGAGGATGCCGTCGGAAATGGGTCGATCCAGCAACAATTTCCGATTGGTTATCTACCCGAGGTTGTCTCCTTGGTTGGTTGGGATTGGCCTCTTGACCTCGGAACCGATTCTAAACTACATCAGTAATAGCTCCCAAAAGAGGAGTATGATGGTGAAAATACAAACGGCGCCACCCATAAGGACGCCAGTGGTACCTTCGTGGCTTTCCGCGGTATTAGGAGAGAGTCGTGAAGCTTCCCAGCCATTTGCCGAAGGTGCTTCTTCTTAGACAAGGCCCTATATCCAAATTCGCTCTTCTTTAATGTCCTACAGCTATATGAGGGGGAGGATATGCCGTTGGAAATCCCTGAACACCCCAAAAATATTAACAAGCGGCCTGGTTGATCCTCTTTAATTAAAAACCACCTTCCGCTGATTTGTCGCCCTATCTCACCACCAGCCTTGACCAAATTCCCTATTGAGTGTCCAGGATATATTTTATACTCTACAATTTTTTTTTCTCAATCCCTCTAGCACTAAGACCTTACAATAATGGCAAATGTGCCGCAGTATACAACGGATGATGTTGCAGCCCACAAGGCCAGGGATGACTTGTGGATCAGCATCCACGGAAAAGGTAAGATCTTATAACATACGCTGCCCCCCGAAAGACTTTCTCTGCCTCGTTTCTAACAAGTTAAATTCAGTCTACAACATTACGGAATACGTACGCGACCACCCTGGTGGAGCAGATCTTTTGATTGATGTGGCCGGAAGAGATGCCACGGAGGCATACGAGGATGTTGGACATTCTGAGGATGCAGATGAGATCCTACAGACACATCTCATTGGCACACTCAAAGATGCTACCGAGGTAACGCGTTCCAAAGCGGTTCGTGTCATTCAGTCAACTCCACAACAAACCACGGTCGAGAAGCCATCGAAACCTTCAGTTGGCACTGTTGCCATTGCTACGGGCTCATGTGGAAGTGCCGCACTCTGGTTATATCTCGGCTCCAACAACGGCTTAAACATAAGCGTTAAAGAGGCACTTGTGAAGGCTCTCCAACTCTCGCCACGCTGGTTGTCTGCGGTCCGTGCGCCGCATCAGAGCTTCCAGGGTGGAGGATTTTCGAATGGATTTATCACTGCCAGCCTTATTTGCGCAGCTATTGGTGGCGTTATAGGCATCAAGCTCTCCGAAATCACGCAGATTAAATCAGGATTTTCACAGTACCCTCCACACCTCACTGGTCACAAAGTGGCCAAGCCGAACCCGCATCAGACTAAAGGATTTCTCGAGCCAAAGGAATATAAGAAGCTCCCGTTAATTGCGAAAGACCAACTGTCTCCAAACGTATATCGATTTATTTTTCGTCTTCCCGGCCAACAAGATGTTATTGGTCTTCCTATTGGCCAGCATATAGCCATTAAAGGAATTATCGATGGACAATCAATCTCTAGGTCATATACTCCAACATCAAACAACCTAGACCTTGGCAGACTGGAGCTAGTTATCAAATGTTACCCTGACGGTATGCTTACCGGTAAATATCTTGAGAAACTTAAAGTCGGCGATAATGTTCTCTTCCGCGGTCCTAAAGGTGCAATGAGATATAATAAGGGCCTTTGCCAGAAGATTGGAATGATTGCTGGTGGAACCGGAATCACTCCGATGTATCAACTTATTCGAGCAATCTGTGAAGACGATACTGATACAACCGAAGTTAGTTTAATCTATGCTAATCGTACAGAGGAAGATATCCTTTTGAGGAAGGAACTAGAGACATTTGCTCAGAATTGTCCAAAAAATTTCAAGCTTTGGTATATGCTTGACAATCCTCCTAAGAAGTGGGACTATGGCAAGGGCTATGTTACTCCAGACGTTATGAAAAAATATCTTCCTGGTCCTTCCGCCGATACGAAGGTGATGCTTTGCGGGCCTCCAGGGATGATAAATGCTTCGAAGAAAGCGTTGATATCAATGGGATTTGAGGCACCGGGCGCTGTTTCTAAGATGACGGATCAAATTTTCTGCTTTTAGACCTGTTTCGTGTATTCTTTAACTATACATCTTATTTAGACTCCAAGTTGAAATTGTTAATAGAATAAATTCCTGCACTTGACAAACCACGGACCCGATTTCTGCGAGCCCAGAATGTTCCTGCCCGCTCTCCACCAATAGCCCGTGTCTCCAAAACAATGTAATAACGTTCGGATCAGCTTGGTTGTACGCTGTATATTGAGCTGAGCAGACCGCTTGGGCCCCGTCATACTGGCGTAGCATTAGAGTCTTTACGATGGATTGGAGGGAGCTCAAGTGTCAGCCCAACGTCATCCCTATCGCAATTAACAACAAATTATCAGGATGTCTGACCTTGATCGGCAGGATGCTGTTCCACATGGGTTATAAAATGCTTAGACCTTAAGTGTGGTTAATGATATCTTCTCTCTGGGCTAATGAGATAGTTTGGTAAAGCAGTTGTGACAACATCTAGCTATTCAGCATCATCTTGGACTGTAGCAATCACCTGTTTCAGGGTAGCTCATTGGACAGTTCTACTTGCTTTAGTGAGCTTCGAGTATTGTGACCTATGTGGATCTATAGGATTTCTCCTGGGAAATCACACTTCCGGTGTAGCTGACTATGCATCTTATTCCTCTTCTGCGGAACTTGAGGAGACGAGATTTCCCATTCTCTGAACTGGCAGTAGTATTTCTCCTCGGCATTTCCAGCCAGTCGGAATGATGCCAGGGGAGAGCCAAATACGCCGCGGAAGTATCCAATCAAGTGTTTCGATTAAAATAAGGTTCAAATTTAGCCGAGCACGAATACACCTAAAAATGTATATTCCGCGGCTGAGTGAGAATGTAAATTTGCGCATCTATAGTTATGTCAACTTGTGACACACCCGAGCCCATGGAAGCTACTCAGTAACCTTGCAATCAATCGCTCGGTAAAGGAGATCGGGCAAGTGTAAATATCTGGTTTGGCTAGACCCATATACATTTTCCCTGTAATTTCACTCGGATTATGTTCTGCCGCAATACATACTGGATAGATTTTCGGTTATTACCTGTAGGTTTCAATTAGTCTAGAATGATTATTGATGGTGAAGTGTGAGATGATTTCTCCATAGAGGACCTCCTTAATTCCACATCCGCGGATCTCGCGGACTGCGGTGTCATCCACCTCCGTGTTGCGTTTTAGATGTTTCCAAACTGGGGGTGTTCTCTTCATAACATGGAGTTTGATTCTAGCATATATAAACCTATTCAGGTCTCTTTCATGTTCTACCTCTTCTTATCTACTCATACCGATTCCTAACAATTCTTATAAATTATTATTTATAGCCTTTGGCAACCTGGATAATCACTCCAGAACCACAGAACTTCTCCTACACGACCTTGAAAAAATGTCGCCAGTTTGGCAACCACCGAAGAATTATCGGAACCGACCCGTCGCTGTACTCGGCGCCGGCGTGCTCGGGCGTCGCATAGGTAGGTGATCCCAAGTGGCCTACCACGGTCAAGCCACTGATAATTGCTTCACAGGATGTATTTGGGCATCAGCCGGATATAACGTTACCATCCGGGATCCCAGTGCTCAACAACGCTTGGACGGAATCGCCTATATCAACGAAAATGTAAAGTCGTATGCGCAGAACACTGGTCAAGCCCCTGGCACCGCAGCGGCATTCGAGAATGTGGCAGACGCTGTGGCAGACGCTTGGCTCGTAATCGAGGCTGTCCCAGAGAAAATTACGCTTAAAATCGATACTTTTGCAGAACTGGCCGTCGTCGCACCGGATGATTGCATCTTAGCTTCAAACTCGTCCTCGTATAAAACCTCTGAGATGCTTGAAAAAGTCCCTGCTATAACAAAACCCCGAATCTTAAATATGCATTACTATATGCCTCCACAGTGTATGATTGTGGAGCTTATGACAGATGGTTTTACTACAGAGGGGATTTTTCCTTTTCTAGCCGAGAGGTCAAAAGAGGCGGCAACATTACCATACATTGCGAGAAAAGAGTCTACCGGATTTATATTTAATCGCCTTTGGGCGGCTGTTAAACGCGAGGCTCTGACTATTCTAGCGGAAGAAGTGTCGGTTCCTGAAGAAATCGACTCCATGTGGGCGGAAATGTTCATTAAAGGGCGCGCAACCCCTTGTAAAATGATGGATGGTGAGAAAATTCGGTCCCTTGTGCTATCGTTAGACTTAACTAACAGAGGTATCTGTAGGTGTCGGTCTGGATACGGTCGCCTTCATCGAGTCTCATTATATTAAGGAACGCGGTCTTTCCTCAGCAAAAACTGTAGACTTTTTGCAGAAGAACTACCTTGATCATGGCAAGCTGGGCCTTAAAAGCTCAGATGGTGGCCTTTACCCTCCCGTACAAGAACACTCGAATGGACCGAGAGTTCTAGTCCTGGATATTGGACTGTCGACCGCACCGCCATCCATGAACTCGGGTGAAATTCTCGAATATACAGCAGATGGGAAATTTGAACGAGTACTATTTCAAAGTCAGGCAATGCCCGATGGTTTGGCTGTCGACCCTGCCAGTAAACGCATGTTTTGGACCAACATGGGTATACCAGGCAAGAACGACGGCGCTGTTTACTCCGCCAATCTAGACGGCACCGATATTTATACCGTCATTGCTCCGGGTCGTATTAATACACCAAAACAGTTGACCTTGGATCTAGTGGCGAAGAAGGTCTACTTTTGTGACCGCGAAGGTTGTCGTGTTTACCGCTGTGGTTTTGACGGCTCTAACCTCGAGACCCTTATTTCAAATTGCAAAGCTAATGAAGGTGCTGAGGATTGGTGTGTCGGTATCGCTGTGGCCCGTAACCTAGGAAAATTCTACTGGACACAGAAGGGACCTTCCAAGGGGGGCAAAGGCCGCATTTTCTGTGCCAATATTAAGACTCCATTGGGTCAAGATGCGGCATCAAGGACCGACGTTCAGTGTATTCTGGGCGGTCTTCCTGAACCGATTGATCTTGAGGTAGACGAGGTGTCTAAGTTATTATACTGGACTGATCGCGGTGAGATTCCCTTCGGCAATTCTTTAAACAGGATTCAACTAGACGAATATGGTCGACCATTGACGGGTTCTGCCTCCGCAAAGCCTGAAATTCTTACTCGTCATCTCAAGGAGGCGATTGGATTAAAATTAGACACCGAGCGGGGTCATATCTATTTGACAGATCTTGGTGGTAATATCTATCGCTGTGACCTAGACGGCAGACGCAAGGAGAAGATATTTTCAGATGATTGTCGGGCTTTTACGGGAATTGCGGTACTATAGATTAGAGAGTTCAGTCCTGCTCGCCTCCATAGCTATCATAAGTTGTTAGTTTGTTGTCTATCCTAGCAATTTTATTGTCCTATTTTCCTCTCCCGCGTCAGTACAGCTGCTTTGGACTAGACTACATTATCAGACGTTAACGGAAAACTAGCCCTAGTATGCGTTTCAACTTCGTATTTAATGGTCTCATCGAATAGGTCGGAGATTAGCGCCTCGAATGAGGAACTCAGGTGTTGAATAGTGCCATTATGAAGGTTCGTCTTGTAGATGAGGGATCTTGATCTTGTTGCTTGACATTCGCTTATTTCCGTTCCTACCTATTTATATATGGTATCTATCCTCCTTATCTTGATCTATGATAATGTCCTGCTTTTATCACTTGACCTGAAAATTGGAATCATGCAATTTCCTTATTCATATATTTCCCCTGCATCTAGAATACAACCTGCTATCTCAGTCAGTCAGTACCACACACGTGATTTGGTCATTTATTCGCCCAGGTAAGAGGCTTGGAAGTCTTTGTCTCAGTCCGTCATACCTATTATCTGGCCACAGGTAGCTTCAACCTTGCAAGACGTTTTCAGCGACCCATAATGCTACCACCTGTCTGGCCAAGAAGCTGCAAACAGTGGTTCATCCATATGGCTCTTAATATTAGTCATGGAATCTAGGATCTATTAGCTTTAGGCACTGATTCCACAGCTCCTGACAGTTCCAGTCTTTGGCACTACCCTAAGTAGCAGAGAGTATGGATAAGAAGCTGCCTTAAGGCTATTCTTAGTCCTGCAGGTTAAACTTAAATAAAATATATTTAAAGATTAGTTAAATAAAGACGTCGTTAATTTCTTCTCTATTAAATCTAAAAGAACCTTATCTTATTCTCTTTCTGTTACGACCCAACACATTTATGGTTGCAACGCTGGGCCTATAGGGTAGGCATCATAAATAAACCTCGGTCCGCACAGTTAATCAGGGATATATTTACTTTTTAAAAGTGAATATTAGTAAACAATTACCTAATTAAGAAGATATTTACTTTTATAAAGTAAACTAAAGTAAATAATATTATATATACTATTTAATATATTTATTTAAAATAGTTAGGATAATTAATTATAAATATAATATTTAAATTAAATCTATTTAATACTTTTTATTAATTATATAATTATTTATATTACTTAAACATTTAATTTAATTTATTTATTAATATAAATTAAAATTTAAGTTTATTTTTTAAAAATCTTAACCTATATTAATTTATAAGTTTATAGTTTATTATATATTTATAATTTTTATTTAAATAATTATTTTAGACTATAAGTAATACTTTAATAAAAAAAACTAATAGTTAACTTTTAAATTTTAAATATTAAAATAAACTAAGAAAGTAAAGTTTAAAGTAATTACTTAAATAATAATATTAAAATCTAAGATTAACTTAAAAAAAAATAAAGAAATAATTTTTAAATTACCTTAAGGAAACTTTATAATAAACTATAAACCTAATATTAATATAAGTTAAAATTTTTAAAAAATAAATTTAAATTTTAGTTTATATTAATAAATAAACTAAACTAAATATTTAAATAATATAAATAATTATATAATTAATAAAAAATATTAAGTAAATTTAATTTAAATATTATATTTATAATTAACTATTTTATCTATTTAAATAAATATAAAAAATATAAATTTATATATTTAATTAACTAAATTAAATTATTACTAAAATTTAATAATTTTATATAAATTATTTTAAGATTTTAATAATTTAATAATCTACTTTTAATTAATTAAGTAGTTTATTATTTATATAATACTGCTTACCTAAAAGGTTTATTATTATAATTATAAAAGCTAAGTTATAATATAATATTCTTTTTTTATTAATTTTATTTTTAAAACTTTACTTATTTAAATATAAGTATTATATTTTTACCTTTAATAAATTATTTTACTTAATAGCTTTATTTTTTATTTATTTTAATTATTAACTTTATGTTACGATCCATTATACCATAGCGCCAACAAAGCAAAAGATTAAGCCAATAATCGCAATTATAGTAACTATTGTAATGGAACCAGCTATTTATAAGGGAATAAACTGTATGGGTAACTAAATTGTAACACTTTATATTAACTATATAAGATTATATTTTTAAATCATTTTATTTAAAAATAAAAAAATATAAAAGTTTTTTTTCTTTTATAATTAAAAATACTTTTACTATAAATAAATATTATTTTTATTATATATTATATAATTATAAAAAGTGTTTTTTATTTTTTTTTAAATTTATTATATTATATTAAATATATTTATTTAAATAAATTTTATTATAATATTTATAGTTTATTTTTAAATAGTTAAAGTATATTACTGTTTATTATTTTTAAAAAACTAAATATAATTAAATATAAAAAGTAAAAGATAATAAAGGTTATTTATTAAACTAAAACATTAGTATTTAATTTAGTTAATTTTATAATTTTAAATTTTATAATTACTACTATTAATTAAAGTATTTTTAATTTTAACTTTTTTTTAATATTAGGCTTAGTTTTTAATAAAGCTTATTTATTAAAGCTTTTAAATACTTAAGGTTTTTAATAAGTTTTTATAAAATTTTTATTTAATTATAGCTTTTTTATTTTATTAAATATTTAAGTTTTTAGGTTTTTTTTATTAAATTTTATTATAGTAAGTTTTTTAATATTATTTTTAAATTTTTTATTTTTAATAATAATTTTATCTTTTATAATTTTATTTATTTTTTTATTTATTAATACTTTTTTTAATAATAAAATATAAAATATTAAATATATTAATTTACTTTTTTTTTTATATTAAAAGGTTAAGTTTATAATTAATAATGTTAATTTTTTTTAAAATTTTATATAATTTAAGCTGTTTAAAATTAAATTTATTACTTAATTAATTTATTTTAATATTAGCTTTTTTTTACTATAAGTATATTAATAAAAGTAAATTATATTTTTTCTTTAAAAGTTTAGTTTTTTAAACTTTAATTTATTAATATATTTAATTATTTATTTTTTTAATAAATTTAAGTTAAATTTATAATTTATTATAAAGTTTTTTTAAATTATTTATTTAAATAATTATTAATTTTATATTTTTTTAATAGTTTATAAACATTAAGTTTAAATTTATAATTTATATAAAATAGTAAATATTTTATAAATTTTGTAAATATATTATTATAGAAAAATTATATTATTAATAATTATTTTATTTAATTATTTTATTTAATGTTAATATAATATTATAAATATACTTTAATAATTTAATTAATTTTTTTTATTTTTTATTTATAAATAATAAATAATATTAGTTTTATAATTTATTTTTATTTTTATTATTAAATTTTATTAATATTTAAATATAAATATAAATTTTTTATTAAATATTTTTTTTTAATAACTTATAGTTTACTATAATATATTTTTAAAATATATATATTAATTTTTTAATAATATTTTTTTTAATATAAAAAATAAAAAATATTATTTTTATTAATTAATTAATTATTATAAAAATATTATTAAACTTAACTTTTATTATAAATTTTTTTAATATTAATAATTTAATAATATAATTAAAAAAATTAAATTTTATAATTATAATAATATTAATAATAGTTAAAGTTTACTATATAGTAAATATTAATTTATTTTTATTTTAATATTTATTATATAATATTTAATAATTTTTTTAATAATTTTTTTTATTTTTTTTTAAAAATATAATATTTTTATATTTATTATATTATATTTTTAATTGTTTTATATTTATATAGTAAGTGTTTATAAACTAATTTAACTATTTTTTTTTATAATTTTTTTAATACTTAGATTTTTTAATTTTAATATAATGGTTTTTTTATAAAAGTTATATTATTAAAGAATTATTTTAATATTTAATTTTTAATTATATTTTTAATTTTATTAAAAATAAAGTTTTTTTTATAGTAAAAAAAGTATTAATTAATATTAACTTATAGTAGCTTTTTATTGTTTTTAAAAATATTAATATTATAAATTTTAATATTAATTTAAAATAGTTTTTTTATTAACTAAAAGTATTTATATAATGATTTTTTAATTTTTTATAAAATATAATTTTAAAATTATATTTAATTAAAATTATATTTAATTATAAACCTTAAATATTTTTTTTATTATAAAATTTATAAAATTTTTATAATTTAAATATATAATAATTTTATATTTATTT